TTTCACTACGTTCGTCGCTCTTAAGGTTAGACTCATTCTCCTCTCGAGGAATATTTTAATCGAGAATCCTTACGCTTAAGCTAAGTCGGTCGTAAACGATGTATAGCTCTTCTCTCTCGGCTACTCTTATATCGGTGCTACATCGGATTATCTTCTTCTTTTTAAGGTCGTAGACGTAGATTATAGTCTCGGTTTTAAATTTCACGAAGTATTCTAAATCTACTTTAAGGTGGAGTTTTAGCTGCCGTAATTACTTTTCGTAAGGCTTCGTTACGTATATCTTACTCTTCTAGGTTTTCTCGAGACTAATATCTAATAGAAAACTCTTTAATAGTTTTTATAAAGTTTGGTATTCCTTATTTACACGGTAGGTAGTCGGTTCTTACACTACACTATATATCGTATAGCGTAAGACCATAGAGTCTCTAGTAGTTAAGTATTAGCTAGAATTTCGCGCTGACGTACTTTAAGTGCTTAAATAATAATATAGTTATAATTAGCCGGTTAAATTAGTATCGCGGTAGTATTTACGACGGTTCTATTATTCCTCTCGGCTACTCTATTTTAGTAGTGTCGATAGAGAACTATAGACTTAATAGTAACTCCGTACTTAGTAGCTCAGTTCTTAAAGGTTAAAGTCCGGCCCACCTCCTAGTCTAATCTAACGATACTCACTTTAAAGTTAAATACGTTCTAGATCTTCCTTAGGAGTAGAATAAGACGATCCGCTATACCTTCTTTATTCGAACTGAAAACTATCTACGTATAGCGGGAAAAATCATTAACTATAAATAGCGTATATTTAATATCTTACTCTCTTACGATAGAGTATAATCCTTAAGAATCGAAGTATACTATCTTCTCTAGACGAGTGCTACGCCGGGTAGCCGGGTCGCGTAGAATCTTAACCGTCGTCTTCGTTACGGCGTAGATCGAATAGACCGCGCCTCGTTTAGTACGAATCTACTTCTTCGTGATGTTTAAGCCTTCGACGTTACTAGGAAGGTAAAGTATAACCTTAATACTTAGATAATCTAGTCTTAAATGTTAGGCTTAAATAGAGTCATTAAAGTCGACGTTTAAGGCAATATTCGTTAAATCGACTACGTCTCTTTTCTTCTCTTCGACGAGTCTTAGTCGATAGAGACTATTCTCGTAATCCGCTAAATCGATAGTCTATTCGTCGATATCTAAGAAATATTCGATCGAGATATAAGTGTTATTTTATATTCTCTTTAGACTTAAGATAGAGTTCGCTAACCTAGATACTAAAATTAGACTATATCGACTAGTTAAAATATATAGACACTCTTTTATTATAAGATTAGTTTATATTTCTTCATTAGAAGATATTAACGGGAGTTTAATCGTAAGTTTATCTATAATCCTTATCTCACCATTATTATCGACTATATTAATATTAACCGTGAGCGAACGAGATGTCACAACGTAGTTAAGATTATTAACAATATAAACGTTGACTCTAGAGTTAAGAATTCACTATTCCCGTCTAACGTCTCTCTTAACTACAGCATATATTATTAAGTTACTATTAATAACGGATTCGAGTCTTAGTCTTACCGATCGATATCGATAAGGAATCGATAAGGTCGCGTCGAAAAACGCATTAACGTTCACGGCGTTATTAGTGAGCGTACGGCGGTGAGGACGTCTTTAAGTATCCTCGAAAGTCGTAGCTAAGGACCGGTAGATATATGCCTTCTCGTCTTAGTGTCTTCTCTTCTATTCTATATATATCTTCATATATTTAGCCATAATAAGAGCGACCCCGAGAATTATAACGGCGATAAAGATATATATATAGACGACTAGAATTATATATATCACGGATAATACGACCTAGACTACCATAGCTAATATAATATAGATATAGAAGGGGTCGTTATATCGCGGAGTATATATAATAGTCGATTTAGAAGTATACTTTCTACGGTTCTTCGCCCGACGACGAGTTCTTTAACGCCGCTTTATCTTTTTCGATTCTTCTCCTAGCTTAGAAATTAACGTTAAGAGAGAAGAGAAATAGTTTCGAATTAATATTATTGTGAAGATAAGACTACTCTATGAATATCTTATAAATAGAATAACTTTTCTATTTTATCTACTTAGGCTATCTAGGATCCTCTCATTACTTCTATCTCTTTTAAATCTACGTTTTTTCTTTCGCTTAAACGAGACGGTCTAAAAGGAATTATTAGCGTAGATTCGAATATATATAGAGGTAGTCTCTAGGTCCGTATCTATTATATCGTAGAGAGTGTATTCGTTCGCTTAGGCGCGTTGAATTCGAAGATATAATTCATTAACGAATACCATAGCTTCTAGCTCTTAGACGATCTTCGGCTTTTTCTAATTAGTCTACGCGGGTTGATCGACCTTCTTATTATCCTTGTTAGTGAATATATCGGCCGACTTAGCCTCCTTATCCTTCTTCTTAGAAATAGAACCGAGTTTAGAATAGAGCTTTCGATAGGTGGCGTTAGTATAGCTATATAAATCATATCTAAAGGGTTTTTCGCAGCGTAGACGATTAGTCTTTTTCTTCTTCTTCTTCTTCTCTTTTACGTTCTTAGCGCTACTATTATTTCTAGTACGAGAGATCATTTTAGCTTCGTACGCCTAGAGATTATTAATAAGAGTATTAAAGATAAGAATGATGTCGATAAGATCGATATTCTTAAAGATAAAGTCGTCGTACTCTTTCGATAGAAGTCGAGAAAGTTTAGCGACTATATAGACGTTCTTATACTTTTTATCGGCGGCTTCGATATTAGTCTTCGTATGGCGGATGAGATTGTTAAGCTTAATGATAGTTATGCCGAATTTCTAGGTGATGTTCTTCATCTAGTTGAGAGACATAATTAGGCTACGCGACTTCTTTAGCTCGAATTATTCGACGAGCTTCTTATAGACCTTAGCTGAGGTCTTAAGGTCGACGATACTAGAGCGAATGAAGGTATAGACTAATTCGGTAAGGATTTTAAGCGCGTTTTTGATCTTCTCCTACTGATCTTTATAGTTCTGACGGTTCCATTTATATAGCTCGCGGTCTTTAGTCTTTAATATCGAAGCTGGGCGCTCTAGCTTATTAAGGACGGCTTCGCTACTAGTGATCAACTTTCATATCTTTAGGCGAGTGTAGGTACTTTTAATGTCTTAATGTCACACTAAATAGCTTACCGATCCTTCGAGAATTTAGACGCTAATGCTGCCGTTCCCTATATTTAGGGTTTTAGCGACGGGTATTTTAGTGTTCGCCCTTCTCTGTGAGTATATGATCTATTAACTACTTCAAGAGCCCCTAGAAGGAACTCATAACCAGTAGGAACCACTGAAGCAAAGATAGATTGATTGATTGAGAGAAACTATCTTAGTGGAGGTGTGTGGGCAGACCTTTATAGGTTGACGCATCAAGGATAACAATGGCAGTGACAAAGGCAGTGACACGGGCAGTGAGCAGTGAAGACCATATCACATGATATGGGTTTCAACTCACTCCCCCTACCAGCTCATTTTGATTTGATATGTGACTAGGCAACTCTCCTTCCTACTACCCCTCTATCAGCCCAGCACAGCCACTTTGCCTTGTTATAATAGAGGATAGAGATGCGTCAGCCCGGGACCGACTACGCGCAAGGCTTTATAAGACTGCGGCGCCTGCAAGGTGCCCAGGAAGGGCAAAAGCACTAATATACTCGGTACACTAGTGCGCTAAGTGGACCACGACTTAAGTACTTGACAGATTGTACAAACATCGGCTCGTGATAGTCAGTTCATATAACAGCGGTGAATCCTTAATTAGAAGGATAAACGAATAAACTTTTGCATAGAGAGGAGTAACATCGAGGGCGTTATCATTTAGGGAAATAGCCATCCAATCTATTATATAGCACAGTATAGTATTCGCTGATTCGAACGTAGAGAAGAAACAGAGAAGGCGGGTGAAGAGGAAATATTGCTTAATCCTTCTTGGTAAATTAGGAAATCGCCTCGTTCTTAAAGGGGATTACATAACAGCTGTGTGGGTCGAAAGTGATGTTTATTCGATCTTCTCGTGCAGATAGTACGTAGCATTGTATTCTCCAGAGAGAATAAGGTAAGACTTAGAAATAAACACTATGCATAAGTTGATGTCTAGCCTCAGCAGTATAATGATCCATGGTGCCAATTTTCCCGTGCCTTTGTCTTTATTAGGTAAGGTATATTTTGCTATCCTTATCTTGCCTTAATCCCGGGCACTAGTTGTCCTTGCTCCGCTATCACACTAAACTAAACTTAAGGTAGAGAGCATCTAGCCGCGATTAATTCAGGACGTAAAACCCCTTCTCTACTTTGGTCGATGCGCGCTGCCACCCATTACCCAGTATTGAAACTGGTGCCGATTAAAAGGAAGTATGTTAGTCTGTATATTGGGCGACCACCTCTGTATTTCCTTCTCTTACCTTTTGAGCATTCATTGTAGCCTTTAGCCCTGCCGCAAAAACATCTGCTTCCACTTGTCTTTGGACCTCGAGGGCTTTCCTCCCTGTGCTCCTTCTCCTGTCCTCTCTCTACATCATAGCCACGTCTTCCTATGATGGACTTGGTTCAAGTGGACGCTCTTGCCCCGGAAGAGTCGATGAAATCACAATGGAGACCGAATCTGTCCGATGAACAAGCAGGACTCAATGTGAGCTTAAAAAATTCCAGGAACCGCGAACTCTCACAAAAGCTAATAATATCCGGAAGGGAACCAAAATTCTAGAACCTAGCCTGCATGAGACCTCTCTAGGAGATTCCGCAGATCCAAGAGAATGGCCCGTTCTGCTTCGGATCTATTCGTCTATGATACCAGTTTTGCTGAGCTTTGCTGTGTATGTTGAATCGCCATAATCTTGCTCATGAATGGACTGTGATGGTGTCGGAATGTTCGGTGAAAAGAACGAGACATGAGTTCACGAGAGATATCATTTTTACTGATGATGGGTATCTCATTACAGGAACTTCACCGCCGGAATCTATGCCTCTGTAATCCCGGCCATCCAACAGCACTTCTCTATTTCGCAAGATCTATCAATATCTGGCCTTAGTTTCTTCGCTTGCGGTGTTGCGTTTGGCCCCGTCCTGGCGGCTCCGATTTCAGAAATCTATGGGCGCAGGTATATTTACCTTCTATCCAGTCCGATCACGATCATCTGCCTTGCTGGTACAGGTGCCGCTAGAAATTTTCAGACGGTCGCTGTACTACGATTCTTCACAGGCCTGTCTGGCAGTCCTGCTATGGCGGTCGGTGGTGGCACAATTGCAGATCTCTGGGATATCTCTACCGAACCCTTGGGCTCGCTCATGCTGCTCTTGATGGTCGTCTTTACTTTCGTTGGTGCTGAACTCGGTCCCGCCGCAGGCGGATATCTAGTCGACAACCGAGGTTGGCGTTGGGCCTTCTGGGTGCCAATGATGCTCAACGGCTGTGTATGGCTTTTCTCCTTGGGTGTACGTGAAACGTACCGTGACCTTCTGCTGCAAAAAAAGAGCCATGGCCGAGTTGGAACACAATCTTCTCCGTCACGCAGGTTTCTATCCGTCCTGGGAATCACGTTCTCCCGCGCTGTCTACATGTTGCTCACCGAACCGATCCTGCTGCTTGTCTCGCTTTATGGCGCGTTCGCCTTGGGCGTCTTCTATCTGTTCTACGTGGCCTATCCTTACATCCTGAGCAGGGTCTACTCCTTTGGATTGAAGGATATCGGCTTAGCATACATCTCGCTTGCGGTCGGGAGTCTGCTTGCTATACCGGCCGCCATCGCCATTGATAAGACTCTTTATCAGAGAGCCAGAGCAAAGACTCCGGATGGTAGACCGCCTCCAGAAGCGAGAATGTATGGTGCGATGGTACCAAGTGGGCTACTACCCTTCAGTTTACTCTGGTAAGAGATTGTATCCAAGATTTGTGTGTGCAAGGTCGTTGTCCTGCTAACGGCGACAAAGGCTTGCCTGGTCCTCACATCGAGGTGTTCCTTGGATCTCTACCGTGCTATCGGCTGCGCTATTTGGGCTCTGTCAGGTGCTTCTCTTTGTGAGTTACTCCTTCGTTATAACTCGTCATTAACAGGGCACAAGCTAAAGTCCATCGCAATCAGACATACTATAGTGCCTATATGGTCGACATATATAGAGATAAAGCGGGGGCCTCTGCTCTTGCAGGAAACGGCTTATTGCGTTATGGGGTATGTGCAGCGTTTCCGCTCTTTACGTCCCAAATGCTGGATAGGCTAGGACATCAATGGGGTGTATCGCTAGTTGCGTTCCTAAGCGTCATGTTTCTTCCTACGCCATTGTTATTGCTGCGATATGGAAAGTTTCTACGCTCTCGGAGCAGATACGCCTTGGGCAAAGAAGACGAGCTTTGACTTTTTTTAGGAGGGGGATATCACCTCATTACTTCTGAGGCGCTATGGGGTTATTTCGAGTTCTCCAGAGATTTGGAAGGAGTTGGACGAAGATGCATATAGGGGAGAGACCAAAGCGGCGGCTTGAGATTAATTAGCTTAGATGGAGCCTCCATTTTGGACAACCGATTCTGCTGTTGCAGATGTTGTTCAGCGGCTAGCTGCAGCCGTATTGCCCACTTACGGTCGTACATTTGAGTAGCTGCTTTCCATGCAGCTTTCGACGCATGGATAAAGCCCTCGCATCCTCACCACAGCTTTAAGCTTTCAGTTATACCGTTTCGGGCTGGCCGAGAACCTCACGAACGGGATGACGCTGCGACATCAGAATCGGCAGATTTGAATATGTGGAATCCTTCCGTCCCAGAACGTGAAAGACAACTGTTACGAGATACGTGTGAAGAATTTTCTGCTCCAAACCTGCTCAATATTCTTTATTGACTCGTCCCCTTTCGGCTCAAAAATGCCACCGCTGTTTCCTTTCCAGCAAAGCCATTCCATCCATTTCTATTGATTTTGAATCTTGCACGAAGCCCGATACTTGTCGAAATTTAAATCGAACTGTTGTCTATTCGGACCTGCCAACCTTTCTTGAATGCAAGGTTGGATGGCGGGCTCCATGTTCAGACTCTCTTCAAAGTCAAAGCTCACCGGAAACGTTTCGAACTTGCAACCCGCGTCAAGGAATATTGAGCCAGCGACACCTTGATTGGCGAATTGTTCCACTTGTGTTTGAATCAGGGGCGGGATGCTGATTCGTCAAGTCTCTATAATGGAGTGAGTGGGTTCACAATTTCGGTCGGTGTAGCGGAAGAATCTAACGGCGTTAAAATTGCTGTCGTCTTTAGTGTGCTTGGGGTCGAATTGCGCTTGCGCGGTGGCAGTGAGGAGGAAAATAGGGAGTGTGTTGGGCTGCGAGGGTCGAGACGAACATGGTTTAAGAAGCCAAAACTTGGCAAGTGCTTGCTTGTGGGCGTGGAAGATGTTACTTGGATTGTGGGGGGCAGCGTTAAGTCTGGAGAGAGGAAATGGTGAAGTTTTATATACGCTGGCACAACAACAATCAACTCTTACTGCCTCCATCCTCAGCACTCGGCGGTAGTGGTCCTGGTGTTGCAATTCACAGCTGACAGCTAGCTGTCACACAAAGAAACAACAGAATCGATGAGGCGAATATGATTTGGAAAGCGGTCCTTCACAATCGACGTGCTGACAATGGCAACAATACCAAACTAGGTTTGTAAAGTTGTTGCAGGGAAATCAGCGGCTGCTTCAGCCCATGATGTTGGTACTCATTAATCGTGATCTATCAATACAGTTTTGATTCGTGCTCTTCGTGCACTTGTCTGCGACTTTCAATCTCAAGCGTCTCCTCTTCGTTACTAGACTTGTGCTCTTCATGGAGGTGGTACGGCGGCGACCTCCCTTAAGCCGATATGAGTTCTCAACATTTTCTTCATCGCTGCCAAACTTGCACCATGAGCAGGTTGAAGACCCAATTGTTGTAAGACAGTATCCATTTGCCGTCCGGTCATTTGCCCAAGTTCTGTCGATGTAGTAGGGAATTCGGGAATGGCGGCACCGTTGGAGGGGCTGAGGAATGACGAAAGAGGTTCCGATCGGCTTGCTACGTAGGTATTCTGAACTCGAGCCGTGTTATTATGATTACTATAGAATTAGTATAGTAATATGAGAATGACGAAGGGTGATACATACGATACAGCCATCATAGTAATAAGGTCTCGACGAGTGTCTGCGAGGTCTCGACGAGTATCTGCGAGGTCTCGACGAATAGCTCGTAGCTCGGCCAGAATTTGTTGACCGTTATTGATTGCTGGTAGATTTTGTGCTTTTTTGAGCTCATCACTAATGAGATTGAAATTTGGCTGTGGACCGAGAGAGTTTCCGTCAGCCATCGTCGCGGTGGTGGTGGTGGTGGTGACGGTGTTTGTTTTTGTTCACGAAATGGTGGAGGGGAGAAAACTACCAAGAGTGGGACGCGCCTTCACTAGAAAGCGCGTTGTTAGCATCGAGGCAAGAGCCCCTCCAAAAGCGGCGGCACTGACCACCAAATTTGGCGGGAAATTTCCCTGCAACCTGCGTTTGGACTGTAGAGATGGTTGGTAGACGAAGACGTATCGGCAGAGCCGAAGCACTTGGTCTCATTAAAAGGGATCTCCACGCTTGATCCCAGTTTCTAAATGACTTGTCTAATTAGCAAAAGCCCAAACAGACAGATGGAGTATTCCACATCAGGGAACATGTGCGCCTGAAAGGACGGGAGAACAGGAAAGCAGGAGAAGTCGCCATCGCTCCTATATTCAACCAGGCTTGGGTTGTGGCTTTGCTGAGGGCTAGCATTAGATCGCACAGCTCGTCATTTGGAAAGGAAGAAAGGCTACGGGGGGGGTAACAGGGCCAGCGCTGATCCGGTGGAGAGACCGGCTGTCGAGGGCATTTCTCCAAGCGGAGGGTGCTTGGTAAGCTATTCACCAGAGGATGTACGAGGTAGAATCATATCATCAGGGTCATTGTGCAGGCTTAGGAAATGCATACGGGGTAGTGTGAGAGGAGGATCGAGGAGGGTGAATGGCGAGGCAGCTTTCCCCTCCTTGCTTATGCCACTGCCACCCGTCGCCGCTGAGCGCGTTGTGCATGACGTAACTGGTGGGTGGCAGGGCGACATTTCTGTTTCACCTGTACCTGTTACTCCCGTATTTAGTACAGGAGGCGATTAGGTTTCAACGGCACAATATCCATCATGTACTCGTATGTGTCTCGGCAGGGAAGGATCTGTCACCGTCTCACGAATGTGACTTGAATGCACCAACGGGCAGTGGCCGCATTGGCGATGACGTTGCCCATCCTGCCCATCTAACCCATCCCACACGGCGTTCTCTACAACATGCCCATCAGTTTTCAGGACTTGAAAACCTGGGCTTCACTCGTGCCGCCTCAGCTTCGCTGTCATTAGCCCGACTCGATCCCATCCAAGATGCGCTGCCATCCAGCGGTTCCTCTGTTCTTTGCCATCTCACCTGCTCTGGCCATTCCTCCACCGGACTTTGGCTTCCCCGAGGCACCAAACGACACGGCGCTGTCCATTACCTACCAGAACAACGGCAATCCCGTCGTTGTCACAGAAGCGGAACTATTTGGTGTTGAGAGTACAAATTTCCATGCCTGCTTCATCCCTCGATGCTGATCAGGCGCAGTTACCTCCAAAGAACCCACGGTTGCTGTAGAGACATCCCGGTTCCAGTCCATTTTCAGCTATAATGGATCATATGTCCTCCTGATGGTTGACCCTGATGCAAGATACCCTCAAGATCCGACCGCTCGATTCCTCCTGCACTGGTTGCAAACCGATATGACACTAGGGCCGCAGGCCGCTGATGGAACCAGTCAACTGATCAATTCCACTGAACCACGGGCACCGTACCGAAATCCGTCTCCTCCCACTAACTCCTCTGCCCATCGATACATTTTCTACGCCTTCTTTCAGCACGAGAACTTCACCCTTCCCTCGGCCTTCGAGGGCTACAGCGCTACAAATAGGACCAATTTCAACTTGACCATGTTTCTGGATGAGTCGAACCTGGGTCGTACACCAGCGGCTGCCATGTATTTCTTCGTCAGCAACCAGACTCAAGTTCCTCAAGATTTTACCGCAGCGGCTGGTGGAACGTACCCAGGCGGGAACGGAGACATGATTACTGCTGGTCCGGGTCCCAGCATCACACCTGCCACGACACTTGCCACCGCTGGAGCATCCACGACTGCAACAGGCTCCTCCAGCTCTATACCAAGTGGCGTCTCCGAAACCGCTACGGCAACAGGGTCAGCTTCCTTGGCCTCGGCCACAAACGGTGCGGTTCATACAAAAGTAAGACCCGGTGTTTTTCTGCTGGCCTGCTTCATGGCCCTGCCGAACGCGCTATAGGCGGTACACCCCGATATGAGGCTAGGGAAGAAGAGTTATGCATATAGTGGAAGTTCTGGATGCGATAGATTTGCCTATCACCAAGGGTCCTCGTCGTTCGCGATTTACCCGCCTAATATGCCTAGCGACGAAAGATTATGGGAATTTCATTTTAGCCTTCACAGCTCTCCTGCAGTTACTTCGCTACTCTTCGCCACATGCACAGACGGCCCTCCGTGCTTGTGGCTTTCTCAAGACTTGTTTGTTGCTCGTCGCAACGGATCTTTCATATCCGGCATTATCCCTTCTCCGACAGTATCGCAATCATTCAATGCACCAATCGGGGTCTTATATTGCATATCCCACCTGCGTCATGCTGTTTAGAACTGCAGAAATACCTTTGCGCCACCCATTCGATTCCTTCCATTGCTTCGCGAACTCGATCCTTCGGCTTGAAAAAACCCCACAGATTGCCTCACAGCAGAATTCAGTTCATTCTCCCAACATAATCGGAGAGATCATTCCCGGTCAAAGCTCGTCTTTGTACAGCTAAGTGGAACACCAGTTCCAATACTTCATGTTGCCCTTACCATCTCCCGATTTTTAGTGCTTCTCGAGACTCGGTCTCTGATACTGGTAATTACTTTTTGTCTGATTGCAAGTCAGCTCAAACGTCTTCAAGATCTCTTGATCAAATTGCCGAGTACATATAAAGGTCTGTACTGTCCAGAATGATGTTATAGGTTTCCTCTCGACCCTGACGGATCGTACCTCTTCTGAGGTAGTGCTGCAATATACAGATGGCCATTGGCGGAAGAATCTACCCTATCAAAACAACATCTACAACACTTGGGCAAAATTGAATCGACCCCACAATCATCAATTCTGGTCTCGCCGCCCACGTGCTCAACGAACATTTGCCTTTGAGCCGTACCTTGGTTAGTCGATCTAACCCACAAACTTTGAAGACATCACATGGATGCAGTGGATAAGCATTTGCTCCGAATCTTCCTCACATCCAAACCTGCCACCCGGACAAATTGGATAACGACCCCGCCGGCTTCCCGATGACAGGGAGTCCTATTGTTATCTACCTGGTTACGTGCAACAACGGCTTCACATATGTGCATGACTGACTATTCGGCGTCCTTCCTTTCTGCTTCTTCGGCATCGATCTGGACCAGAGCTCTCAGGATCCCAAGGTCTTCTATCTTCTTCGTCTCAATGATGAAATTTGCAATGAACACAGCATCTTCTTCGCCAGCGTTCTCGCTCCTGACATGGTGGCATCCAGGGGGTTCATACCAGCACTCGCCTTCTGAGTGCACCTTAGGCCCATCATTCTTCCCATCGCACTCCATTTGGTTCAACATGCAGCCTCGAATCATTGTCGCAACCACGGCTGCTCCTCCGTGCTTGTGGGGAGGAGTTGCAGAATTGATCGGGGATGTGACTTTCAAGCCGATAAAAGTCATCCCGGGAATGTTCGAAGGTTGATGTTGATAGACAACTTCCACATTGTTACCGGGACGACTACAACCTCTTTCAGCAAAGCTTCCATGTGTTGATCTCGGATGTCTCACCCATCGACGGTCCAGCGTCCATCCGCCTTGACCACTTTCTGGTCTTGCCATCGCATATTCAGATCAAGAGATGGAGCCATTTTGGTGAGATTGACACGCTAAAGTAGACTGTATGCTTCTCGGAAAAGGAGAAGGAGAGTGATATTCGGCTTTATATAAGTGGTTGAATTCCATGGGTTTATCATCGGTTGGGGACTACAATGTTTTGCAATTCGCTTGTCGAGATCACAGAAATAATAGCATCCTACCAATGCTCTCCAACTTCTCAACAGAGTTGGGTATTCCAGAATAGGATTGGCGGTTCAGTGGGAAGAAGCTGATCTTATTGGGCTGCATGCTTGAATGGAAACAGTTTCCCGGATGGACCTGCCAGAGAAGGCAGATGTCCCTAATTGGGATCGCAATTTACCTCTTCGGCAGATGGATCGTTGGATCATCTCCGAGGAAGGCGACAACTTGTGGTTCCTAAGTTCTACGATGATCTTCCTTGCTGCACACATGATATCGCCTCTAGGTCCCAGCAAAAAGGCGCAGTTCGGCGCCCAGGCAACGACTGGCAACTGGCGCACTATAACCATCGAAGTCAACGGAGTCCTAGTAAAATGATCCGATGCGGGAAGCGGATGCCCTCGTGATCATCCACACTTAACCTCCTGTCGCTTCAGGAGCTGAGCAATACGAGCCTGCCGAGCTCCCAGCCAGCCTCACCATCTTACATCTCACCAGTAGTCACTTCAGCCGTGGGGCACATTGGACACGAATTCTCATTTCCAGCAGTCGCCCAAATCTTACAAAGGGTCGTATGAGACTCGTGAAGGATTCTCGTCTGGAAGAACAATCCCTTGATACAGTGTGAAATCAATTCACAGAGCTCAAAGCCAAACAGGTTGCCAACCTGTAGTATCAACCTTGCCAGAGAGCGACTCAGCCGACTTCTCCCACCCAACCGGTTTGCAACGCGGCTGTTACAAGGAAACCGGGCTGCCAAATCAGCTGAGGCTTACCCTTGGTCACCACCAGCAGCGAAGCATGTGGCTTGTACGAATACGGGCAGAACTTCAGCTTACCAGGTGCTAGAAAATTAAGACTACCTACCTATATAAGGGCTCATACTTTCCCACTCATCAAACTTCATAATAAACATTAATCAACAAGGCTGCGTCAATCATGACTTCCGCAATGGAGGAAAAACACATCTTCACCGATGCTGTCGCGTTTCATCCTCAGGTGGTCCAATCAAGTGTACGAGGCTTGGTGACGCCGACGGCCATCACAACGACAGCCAAACCGCTGACACTGGATCAATTGCAAAAAGTCATCAAGCTGTATGGCCCAATTCTCAATCTCCATCCCGATGAAAAATACGTCAATACGTCCATCGAAGAATTCTTGAGTCATTGTGTGCTCGTCGACAAAAAGGCGAAATCGCGAGTGCAAGCACCGAAAGCCGATCAACTACCCCAGAGGGGCGGCGACGGCCAATTCTATTTGGACCTTGCACTGGACGGGAAGAAAGGCGACTTCTCGACCGCAAAAGCATACGTCCGTGCTTTCTGGCAATCTGGCATGCCGTACACGGATCTGCAATTCTGGTTTTTCAATGCCTACAACGGACCGGGAACCCTCCATATCGACGGGCTTATGATGGACAGCATCACAAGCTCCGGTGATATCAACGTGGCGCCACTCGGCGAACATGTGGGGGACTGGGAAATGTGCATGGTTCGTGTCGACAATTCGACGCTGAAGATCATTAGCATCTGGCTTTCACAACATGCCAAAGGTCAATTCTTCACCGGCGACCAGATTGATCGAGCTTTCAAATTCCAGGGAACTCAACCCATCATCTTCTCCTCTCGCAATGGCCACGCAAACTTTGCTCACGCAGGGTCCAATCCAACAGAATCCAAGAAGATTGGAGGCATACCCGCCGGCTTTGACTTTTTCGTCCGCAATGACACCGCCACCAGTGACCATAAGCTGGATTGCTCCAAGAAATACGAACTCATTTCGGCCGACTGGGTTGGAGTGAAACCTCCTGCTTGGATGACCTATCCATTCCGCTGGGGACCAGAAGGAACTTCAACTCATCTTAGTCCAAGTGCAGTTGCTGATATCGTCAGAGCAGCAGCAGGGGATGAGCTCTCCGAATTTCTTCCTCTAGCCGCTGGGACAATTCTGGCTGGAGAAATTCTTCCGCATTTTGTGAAAAGCGATATCAACGGCCCGACTTCGCCAAGTCGCCACGGAAGTTGGATGGGTATCTACCCTGTCTACTAAACCTCGGATTCAAATTGTGTTTTGCGTAATGACGAAGCCATCTAAGATATGTGCTTTATATCTAGGAGCACTCCGTGGGAAAGTTCTAAATGAATGAATTCGCGCTTGTCCTGAACAAACTTGCAATGTCCTGATTAAATATCGTCGCCAGCATCGCCTAATTGTCAGGTTTAGCATAGCCAAAAGCTCATTCTTGGCGATGACGATGAAATTTCAGACCATGTCTTAGCTGCTCTCAAAAATCTTACGGCTTCCAAAGGAATGCTGGTTGCTGCCAGTCCAGATCTTGCAGTTCCTTGATCGACAGTCCACTGATCTCTGAGTCGATATTTCTATTGGCGCGTTTCTGATTGTCGTACTTCATCCATAGGAGGAGCGTGACAGAGAGAAAAAAACAGCACGAGATTGCCGCGAGATTCAACCCGTTGCCGATAGGGTAATTAGGGCCATCAAAGGGAAGGTATGACCATGTTGAAACTAATCCCCCAATATTCCCAAACAGAACATTGGTTCCTATGGCGGCAGACCTTGAAGTGTCCGAGATGACATTCGCCGATATCAAAGCGTTGCTCAAAGCTCCAAACAGAAATGCAGAGCTAGCCACTAGGAACGTTGCAGCGTAGCGAGCATCCGTATTTCGTGTTCCGAGAAACATCGCAAATCCACAAAGTGTGATCGGAAGGGCAATGATGTAGTAAATTAGGTAGCGGTCAGTCTTCCAGCTCAGGTAGGGTAAGATGAGTACGAAGCCTGCACCAAGAATGTAAGGAGGTACGGTGTGCAGCTGTTGTGAAACCACGCTATGCTGAGGGTAAATGCTCTTGACGATGGTCGGCGCAAAGAATGCGAGGCCCTGCGCCGTGATGTTTCCGAGGCCGAAGATTGTTGCGGTTGTCAGCGTCACGGGGTTGAGGATTCCCTTGAGTAATTTGTTCTTGTTGAATTTGTCGAGTACTTCTGTGCTTGCCGTTCGCTCGGATTTCACTCGTGCTATGGCGAGGTCCTTCTCTTCAGTTGTAAGCCATCTGGCTGTCTCGGGTCGATCGGTCAGGGTGAAGAAAGACAGTAGACCTAGGCCGCAAGTAATCGTGCCTTCGATTATGAATATCATCCTCCAAGTTCGTAGGTAGCCCAAGCGATCAAGCGTTAAGATCGCCGACGCAAGCAGACCCCCAAAGGCCCCGGCAAGTGGAGTCATGATAATGTACAACGATAAACGAAAGACCAGCTCGCTCCGTCGGTACCACCTAGAAAGATAGTATGCGATTCCGGGAAGCATTCCAGCTTCGCACATCCCAAGCAGGAATCGGACAGCGGAAACGTTCTGGATATTCGTACAGAAGCCTGTGAGAAGCGAGAAGAAACCAAACGCAACTGTCATTGTGGGAATAAACCACCCCGGACCGAAAAACTTGCAGGCGAAGCTTGAGGGCATTTCTAAGACGACGTAGCCGATGTAAAATGCGGTTAGCACTTTGTTGTAATCGTAGCCATGCAGGCCGAGATCTTTCTCAAACCCGGCAAGCCTCGCGTTGCCTAACTAGACATTAGTGTTAAAGATAGAACTTGAATAACGGTGATAGCTACCAATATTAGCTCGGTCGATGAAGCAGAAAAGATATAGAATGGCCACAGTGGGTACCACATGGAGATCAATTTTTGTCCTTAACCTGGCTTCTGCCTCCGCATCCAAGGCAACCAACGAGTTCCCATATCTTATCAGTTAGTCGATCAACTGTGGTCGGCCTGTAAATGAAAGACTTGCCTGTCGGTCGCTATATGGCCTCCTTCAGCTATCTCGTGCAGATTCCCTCGTCTTGGGTCTCCGTTGCCATTGGACTGATGTTCTTGGTTTGGAATGCAGATGCCGGATGTGACGTGAACTCCCTGCGACTTTTCCACCTCAAACGCCGCCATGTTGAGCGCAAAATTGGTGGTCCCAAATGAGATGTTAGACAAATTAGCGAATCCATAGTCGGTGAGGAAGTTGCTTGCATTTACGATTTTCGAGGCCGGTTGATCCGTTTGCCGAATGCCTTCTGGCGCCGGCTAATACTGACTGCGACAAATCCCACATACCGTGTCAGAGCAATATCTGTGGAAGCGAGGAAGTTGGAAGTTTGACAGTAGCTTCCGCAAAAGGACCTTGTGTGGCAGCAGTCGAGCGGTCAAACTGCGTCGGAATCAGCGAGCTGAGCTGCAGATGCTGCCCATTTAGAAATCCTTACTAGCTTGTCATCGCGCGCGGAGTCTCCGCAATCTGGCTGAGCACTGGGACCAAATTGCCTGGGTAGCTGCTTGGCAGATTAGGCTTAACCGTGCGAGGGAAAGGCTGGCGCGTGTCTTTATGTCAACGACTATCGTGGCACGCGTTGACGATGAGCGATTTGGCTCGTAATTTTTTCTGAAAACAGCCGACCGACAGACTCTTCCTGGGAATAGCGAGGTTTAGCTTCATCGCAAGGATCTTGGTTTCTTATTTTGGGTCTGAGATATACAGCCCGATGGGGAAAAGATGTTCATCGGTTTACGTGAACGTAAAGGTATCTCCGATGGAGACGCTTCGGCTGTCGTCCGGGTTGAGGAGAATGCGTTCAAGCTTGGTATAACACGATATGAGCTGGATGAACAAGCCCTGAAACACGACCTGATGGTTGAGTTAAGCAGCTCAACTCGATGCCGTATCTTCTTGTCCAACTATGCCGAAAGAAGATGCCCAATAATCCCAATCACACGGTGTGAAGACGGGCTCGCTTGAATATATATTCCCAAATACACCCTGCTATGTCGTCTCCTTTTCCCATCTCCATCCTTTGTCGGGTATCTCTTGTCCACTGTCTACCACGCTCTCTCCACAAACATGGTTATCGGCAACGACGAGTACTCCATCTGGAGAACGGCACCTGATGCAAGCCGACTATGCTATCAGCACTTCCTGTGGCGAGAGGTTCACAAAAGCAACATCCACCCCTCCATCGACTTGAATAACAAGCAGGATCTTCGTATAGCTGAGCTTGCAGCTGGTCACTGTCTATGGGCTATGCAGGTTGCAGAAGAGTATCCTCATGCTCAAGTGGAGGCTTCGGACATCAACCTGAGCCTAGTCCCCCCAAAGCCCGACCTTCCATCGAACCTGTCAGTCAGCAAATGGAGCTTCTTCGACCCAGTGCCAGAAAAGTGGAAGGGGGCATTTGATCTTGTTCACGTCAGACTTGTTATCCAGCCTTTCGGAGGATATCTGGATCCCAGAGCCGTCCTGCAGAAATTCGTGTCAATGCTGAGTATGCGCTTTCGTCGCCTGCAGAATGTGAAACGTGTTGACCAGATGATGTTAGAACCCGGGGGTTATCTCCAGTGGGACGAATACGACTACTTCGACGCAGACAAGAACAATGTCTACTCCGCCAATGATCCTAGTCGCGTTCCCAATCCGGAGGTCACACACAACGCTTCGACCAAAGTTTGGAAGATCATGATGAAGACGTTCCAATGGCCAACGGAACATTTTGATCGGTTGTCAGAATACTACGCACAAGCAGGCTTGGAGAATGTGGCTGCTCATAGGAAGCGACCTCCTCCTTCCGTTTTCCGTGGATTTTTCGAACATTGGTATGCGCTTATTGCACAATTACTCCCCGTCCTGGAAGCAAGGGATATGGAAGCAGGTCAAGAGGCCCGACACTTACTTACGCAGATGAAGAAGGATGCTCTGCTCGACGGTGTGTACAGCGCACATATCACCAAGTCCGTGATCGGGAGGAAACCCGAAGCTAGTCGATGAAATAATGGAAGAATGGAAGAATGGAGGAGTTTGGGGAGCGTTGATGCTCGAATTCGGTGACCTCAATGATTATCCATTTCCATGTTCAATACATAATCGACAATCTCGCTGCGGATGAAACGCGTCCAATGCTTCATGTTGACAGGGTCTCAATGTAGCCACTGTGGCAAACCATCTAAGACGCTAGCTGTTTCACCAACTGCGCCACACCCTTGTTCTCGCCGATCTGCGAGAGCATGGCGACGGAATAGGAGGTTTCAGGAACGGCCTTCCGAGCACAGGCCAAAGTGTATATAAACAGACAGAGTCTCTCTGAATAGCCAGGGGGACAGAACACAATAAAGCAGATGAATCCACTCTCATTCTGTGTACAACACTTCACTTACTTCGTGCAGACGCAACAGTGACATGACTTCCCGAAGGAAATGAAAAAGGGCCTGAATCGGACAACCTTCGTCCCAAACATGTTTGAGGACAATACATTGGAGCTTCAGGCACGCCAAGCACGTACGTTATATTCCCTACTACTTTGCCCTGCCCAACGTCTGTCCCATTCTGTAAGGCGACCAGCGCCTCCTCAACGTCTGGAAGCTGGGCGCCTGAAAAGTGATTGTTTTGCCTCGAAAAGAAGTTCGATGTCGTGCAACAGTCTTTCTTTTTTTCATCTGGTGGCCTTTTGTCTTCAATGACTTTTTGTCTTCACTGGAACATAGCAATCCACAAATGTCGACGCAAGATCCGCTGGCTATACAAAGGGGCGATTATGGCAGGAACATCTCGGTAAATCTGCTCTTCACTATTGGTAGGGCGATTACTGGTCCTGCTCAGTGTGTCCTGATTGCTTCTCATCCGCTGTCTTATCTGGGCGTGCCCTCTCCGCCAGCTGGCACTGCTCCTATCACATTGTTTGGACGGACCTTCCCATGCCTCCCATTTCTAGCGGCATTCATGCCGGCAACTCTTTCAATCAAGCATGTACTGTGGATAAATTTCATGGTCCGCGAGCGCATGACGTTAAAGTTCGCCACGTTTGCCGTCCTCTCAGACTTCATGTACGAAAGCATCAGTTCGCTGGTTTTCACCTCCGCATCGATCAATCCAATGTTTTCGGAGCGCTTCTTTTACGCTGGCTTCACTATCTTCATGGCCAGCGCCACGTTCGAATTGCTTGCAGAGCTTCAAAGAATAGCATTCAAGGCGAAGAAAGAAAACCAATCCAAAGTATGCAAGACTGGCTTTTGGGCAATTACTCGACATATCAACTACACTGCCAATGTGCTTTTTGGCTTTGGATATGGCCTTGCTACCGGGGGTCCGCTCTACTCGTTGGCAACTGCCGGAATGTACATTTCGAACTTTGTATTCAATGCGATGCCTGCGATTGAAAAGTATTGTCGGGAGAAGTACGGAGAGCAGTGGATTCAATATGAGTACGAGGTCCCATGGCAGCTGTTCCCCGGAATTTATTGAACCTCGAGGGGCAGACCAATAGACGAGAGGCCTTTCGACAGTAGCCTCGCGTCATCAACAGAAGTATCTGGTCTCTCGTCAATGTCGACGGTATACGTTGTACGTAAAGCGCCAAATTTAACAGCGGTGGGATTGCGGAAGTCTGGGGAATATCCGATAACATGAAATATCAATTTTTTTTTTTGGTTTCTCTCCTTATGCTGCATTTTGTATGCTTTTCTGGTGATGATTGGTCTCTTTCTCCTGCTAATAGTCGACCATGGGAGGAAGGGATAATTTTGGAGCCCATGCACTCTTCTGCTGGATCTTTTGGGCCGGATCATTGCAAGAACATAGCCACGGACACAAGGACTGCCGCAACACCGCCCGGAAGTATGAAATCTCATTGAATATCTATTCTTTCAAAGATTTATTGGTCTAATAAAGGACTAGAAAATGGTCCGCGATACCAATTCAGAAAAGGCCCAGAATCCTTGATTACTAGGTCGCTGCGAAGAGAGACCGTATGAACGTGTTTCCGGCAAGAGCAGAAGCAGCGCCGCAAGATATGGATCGGCATTTAGTCCCAAGGTATTGAGCAAGTTTCATTCACAACCTAAGATATGCGTCAATAACATGCATGATGAGTTGCATGAATTTCGATAAGAGACAGAAGCCAACAAAGACGCCAGCAATTATCAGGAAAATCCAGTGTACTTGCATATGTTTCGGTCCTTCCAAGCTTGCAGAGGACGATTGCGAAGACCAAGCCACGGGTCATAGCTAGAGGGGGTCTCCATTCCGAAAGATGGTTATTGTTGTTGGTCAGATACTTCCGAATCTAATAGCTTTTCATCAAGAGCGATGTAATTCCAGCAACAGTCATACCCGAAGCAATACCTAAAAATGGAAGGCTTCCCACTCTTTTCATCATACCGCGGGGTCCTGGAAAGACCAAAAGACAAGCCGATAATGTAATGTACTTCAATGTGTAATTGAACAAGGGATAGAAGCCGGCCAGGAGAAGAATAGGATCCGTGACGAGCATGCTAGAGGTCTTAGCAGGTTTCCCTTGATTATCTCTTTCATTTCGATCTCGATCTCTTCTTTATTGACATGTATTGCCTATTATTTTGCTTTTCTGCGTTGGAGCTCTCTTTTCAAGGTAAGAACGGCTTGTGGGTGCGTCGCTTTGACATTCAAGCGGATTAGGAGGAATTTTGCGAATCCCATGATCATGGACCAGTATCCGTTCCATCTCCAGGCTGGCAGAGCTGACGTGTGGGCGTAGACAGGTATCGAAGACAATAAAGGCAATAATCTGTCGCTGTGGTCAGCAGATTGGATTGGATCTGCAGTCTATATGACGCACACTCTCCCTTTTCGGCTGAGAACTGGTATTGGTAGTGGTTGGAGACTGCTTCCCGATATGGCCAAGGTACGGACGAGTGAGCACGTCAAACCCCATTAACCATCTAGCCTCGCATGCCGATGCTCATGCATGTTGATACATACCGAGGCAGCGAGGCAGACCACGCCGCGAAAAGCCCCGTTGCACCCAGGCGATCCCTAATGGCAACGGGGGTATTTGGTTTAATGCTGAATGTCTCGAGAGCGATAAGCAAAGTGGATGGCACCGAGACTCCGATGTTGGATGTCGAGTGAAACTGAGGGGATGCTGCTGGACACGAGGTCTTTGAGAGATAGGTTTGCTCTTCTCGCTGTTGGCACACCATAGCAAGCGAAAGAAGGATGTCCCTTTTCATTGTGCTCCCTACCATGCAAATGTAATGCTGAAAAGCATTTCGGATCTAATTCCGTCTGCTTGACGGCGCGATTCCGACGTGGGGTCTTTCCCCGCAGAAACTACTGGGTATGGAATCGTGGAGGTCATCAGGGTCGAAGCCCAGGAACCGTTGTGGTGCATTTAATTGTCTCCCCCGTCGGCCAAGAGGAAATATGTGAGTGAGTTCATTCTGCTTCTCCCGGTATTGCTCATGTCTGCGGACCGACACGTTGAATCATGATGTTTCTCGACCAGATCGTTGCTGATCGGTTGTCACAACAACTGTTTTGGTACCTGGCTGGCGTCATCGCAAGCCTCTGTATCGTTCGCCTTGCAGTCAACAGATATGGCACCGGTATCAATCACATTCCGGGCCCAGTGTTTGCTTCATGCACAAACCTGTGGAGGTTCTTCGTCGTCTGGGGCCGTCGGCCAGAGCTCGAGCATATCCGACTGCATGAAAAGTATGGTCCCTTAGTCAGACTAGGCCCTCGAGTGCTCTCAGTATCTGACCCTGCGGCCATCCCGGTCATATATGCTTTGCATTCTGGATTTGTCAAATCAGGTTTCTACCCGGTCCAGCAAACGATAGCAAAGGGTCGCCGTCTGTACACCATGTTCAGCACCACAGACGAGAAGTTCCATGCTAAACTCAGAAGAGCGGTGTCAAATGCTTATGCGATGAGTACCCTGGTGCAGTTCGAACCGTTGGTAGATTCCACGATATTGGCATTTTTGGAGCAGCTCGAGAAGAGGTTTGCAGACAAACCAGGCCCAGATGGCATATGTGATTTCTCGAGGTGGCTTCAATTCTATGCCTTTGATGTCATCGGCGAGCTTACATACTCCAAGCGCTTGGGTTTCGTGGATCGAGGAGTGGACATCGATGGTATCATTGGGAACCTGGAATGGCTTCTCAATTACGCTGCCATAGTGAGTCCATGTCCACATCCAGACACGGAAATGATAACCAGAAATGATAGGTCGGACAAATACCAATCTTGGATCGAGTCTTTCTCAAGAATCCATTGAGATTGTTTGCGAGCCGGATTGGACTGATAAGTTCGAACACGCCAGTGGCAACTTTCGCAAGAAATCGAATTGCTGATCGACAAGACGTAGAGCAAGGCCAGGAAAAGCCAGCATCGACATCTGATGGAAAGCGAGCAAGGAAAGACTTCTTGTCAAGGTTCACCGAAGCTCATCACAAGGACCCTCAGTTCATCACCCAGGAGCGAGTTCTAGCGCTAACCGTTGCGAATATGTTTGCTGGCAGCGACACGACAGCGATTAGCCTGCGAGCGATCTTCTACTACCTTTTGAAAAGCCCAGATGATATGGAGAGCTTGAAGAGGGAACTCTGGGCGCAGCGGGAGAATGGAACATTCACTGACCTCAGCGGACTGGTAAACTGGAACGATGTGAGGGACTTGCCATACCTGAGTGCTGTTATCAAGGAAACGCTTCGATGCCATCCTGCTGCTGGACTTACGCTTGAACGAATCGTGCCTCGTCAAGGTATCACCATTTGTGGACAATTCATTCCCGGTGGCACCATAGTGGGATGCAGTGCCTGGACTGTGCACAGAGATGCTCTGTTCGGGGCACACCCAGAACAGTTCCGCCCGAAGAGATGGCTTGAGGCATCGCCGGAACAGAAAAGACAAATGGAAAATTCTCTCTTCACTTTCGGAGCCGGATCTCATACGTGCATCGGCAAGAATATCAGTTTGCTCGAAATGTACAAGCTTGTTCCGGCACTGCTGGCGAGATTCGAGGTTTGAAGTCCAATTCTTCCTCTTTTCGACGAACCTCTTAGCTAATGGATCTTTACAGATTGAGTTCGCAGACGCATCTAAACCGTGGAAACTGCACAATGCGTGGTTTGTCAAACAGTCTGAATTCAGGGTGCGGCTGCGAAGGAGGAAGCAAGACGACTAGCGCCGCCAGCGTCGAGATGCGCCACGATACTGGCTCAGGATCAGGATGACTGGGGATGAGCAGGAATGAGATAGAGAAAGAGATGGTCATCGAATGCCGCCCTGAGTTCTCGCCTTGTGGGTGCCGATTCCATTGGCCGTTGGCAGATTTGTGCTGGCCATGAGCCGAGGGTGAGGGAGGCGCGGGATCTTAGAGCCACGCTTCTTATCGATAGAGCTGTGTGTGCATACAATAGTGCTGCTGCTGCGGCTTTCTCAAAGGCGGTATTGAAATACTTATCAATCCTTTGAACAGAAGAGCTGCGAGAAGGACCAAAGGAGCTGAAGACTCAGGCTGCATTTTTTTTTGTGGCGTGGTTCCAAATTCACTTTGAGGCCCAAGCTGCTTCTGACGTAAAGGCCAACAACCCCACTCGTTCTCCAAAGTTATCCATCAATTGAAGTCACTGATTGATCCCAGCAACACCCTCTCACACCACCTCAGTTCTGTCTTTATACTTTCGAGATCAATGACAGGCCGACTCAGACTCTCTGCTCTCTCAAAACAGCTTTCATCTGCCTCCCAATACTTATTCGGCCCTCCTGCAAGAACTCTTGCCAGTATGTCACACACCCAGTCCGCCGCCTGCTGCAATACTCCGGCTGTTGTAAGCAAAGGCTATAAAGAGAAGGGGAACTGGATCACCGTCGACGGATTGAAGACATACACTACGGGTCCTTCGTCTGCAACTCAAGGCATTCTGGTGGTCTATGATATTTTTGGGTTCTTTCCTCAGACGCTGCAAGGCGCCGATATCCTTGCACACTCAGACAAGGACCACCAGTATCAAGTCTACATGCCAGACTTCTTTGAGGGGAAGCCCGCCGACATCTCCTGGTACCCACCAGACACAGAAGAGAAGGGAAAGAAGCTGCGGGCGTTCTTCCAGACCTCGGCTGCGCCTCCAAAGACGGTCGAGCGAGTCCAGAAAGTGATGGAGGAATTGAAGGCGAAGAATCCTGGTGTCAAAAGTTGGGGAATTGTTGGCTACTGCTGGGGCGGCAAGGTTAGTAGTCCCTTTGGATTCTGTTGATCATCCATTGCACGGATGCTGATGACCTCTCAGATTGTGAATCTTGTATCAGGATCCAATACCGTCTTCAAAGCAGCTGCAACCTGCCATCCAGCCATGGTCGACCCGAACGATGCAGCTAACGTCACCATCCCCATGCTTGTGATCCCGTCCAAAGATGAAGATCAGGCCGCGGTTGATCAATACGAGGCAAACCTCAAGGTGCCCCACCAGGTGGAATGGTTCAAGGACCAAATTCACGGGTTTATGGCCGCCAGAAGTGACCTCGAGAAGGATGATGTCAAGGCCGCCTACGAGAAAGCCTATCAGCTCCTGCTCAATTTCTTCCACAAGCAGCTATGAGGTCCGGGATAATTGAGGAGCTTTAAATGCAGATGGATCCTTAATCACATAGTCACAGGCGAATAGCAGCCTCTGTCTGTAAAATACGTACAAATCTCAGAACTTGTCATCGGTCACGGTAACGTATCCTCTACACGTAGATCAAAACGAAGATGGACGGTATTGCCACACCTGAACATGTACCGTCCGCCAACTGACCTGGTGTGAATCGAATGCTCATGCCTATACAGAAAAGCAGGTTCCTTGTAGCAATGCCCAGTTTACGACTCAGACAAGTGTGTTTGCGGTGCACGGAAGTGTTTTCAAGTATCAAATCGCATCTTCGACTCGCGTGCCGGAAAATATTCACCTGGTCTCGTTGAAGAATTGGATTACATTCGACATGTACATTTAAATGTCTTCAATACATGGTTGCTCTCTCGAGAGACATCTCCTCTTACGACAAGCCCGTTCCAAGCATTTACGGGATATCTTCGATACCTAGCTTATTCATCTTAGCGATCACAATGCCATCCCTCTTCGAGAATTCCGAAACAGCTCTCAGCCATACAGAACATGGCAGAATGTGGCGCCCTGCGTTCTTCTGATTTCAATCAGCGGGTTGGCGTTGATGGTTGAGCTCTCCATAGGAAGAATGCAAGAATGATGCAAATTTTCAATGCTGCTGCCGTCCACAATGCACCAGCAAGTCCAACCGGACTATGTGCCCAAAGCCCGCCGAAGATGGCTCCTGCCAGAAGCAACAAGGGAGCCGCAGCCCTTCGATTCCTTTCTGCATTCTGGGAAAGTCCTGCCATGATCAGAGGATCAGAGAACAGGTCACAGTAGATGCTCGTCAAAACGACGCTGGTGAGGCTGTTGTATTGCAGAGCCCGACTGGTCACAGCTTGTCCACTGCTCTGAAACGCGACCAATGCGAGAGGGACAATGACTTCCCAACGCAGGTCATTTCCTTGCTTGCTATCAGCCATGACAACGACAGCAGCCACCACTACCAGGAGCAGCTGTGTGGCGAACGAGGCCAGGAGGACCCAACGTCGCTTTGGCGAGAAGTGGCGGTGGAACCGACTGAAGCAGAAGGAACCAAAACAAAAGAAAGCGATTGAGGTGAGTGACCTAATCCATCGAGTTCCTTTGGTCGGTTCAACCAGACCTAGCCCAAGGTAGACGGTATTGCCGGTCTGCATGCTCACAAACGAGCCCCAGATGAATACTGCCGAGCTGTCGAGGAGCCCCGTGATAACATAAGACAACAACAGCAACAGGTCCGCCCAGCGCCTGTCGATATCTTCCTTCAGGTAGTCCCGAAAGTGAACGAGAGTTGCATGGGAGTCCTTCTTCCCGAGGAGAGGGACGTCCTCATCTTCATAGCCCTGATTTGGCTGACTCCCAGTATATGAGCCTCCGTCTATAGCCCCGTAGCCGTTGGCTGTGGTCATGATTGCGGGTGAGCACTAACAGCTGGTCGGTTTGGTTTGGATTGAATTGCACGGAGAGCATAAAGAGGATAAAATGGCCTGGAGGTTGAGTGACCAGAGGCACCAGAGGCACCAGAGGTACCAGAGGCATGCGACTGCTGACGAAGAAGAGGACACAGGACGAAACGATCTGCCGGGCGACGGGGACATGTTGAGTGCTTTTGCGGAGTTCTGAAACAGGTCATGGGTGGTTGATCGATATGGATGAAAGTCTGCGGGTGGCTGGGCCCGTGATGATCTGAGCTGGATGAACGTTCTGCCATCATCATGACGTTCTCCGCCATTCATTGGCACGGCGGGAGGAGCTCCCCCCTGGACCTTGGGGCAGAATGCACGGCTCGGCGGGTCTGCCTGACAGAGCTCTAGCTAACATACCAGGTATATATATATTGGACAGCTCCGCTTCCAGAGGGTTTCTCAGAGGTTGTACCTTCCTTGAACTGCCCAACATGCATCTTCCCTTGTGGTCTCTGTTCGTGGGCGCCAGCTTGGCAGTGCCAGTCATCGACCGGCAACAACAAGCCTTGCGACCTCTTGATCGAAATGGCCCTTACACACCAGGCAACCGAGATCCCTATGACCACAAAGTTGACTCATATGGTAATGACTGGCAGCCTCTGCCTTGGCGTAACGGTGACGGTGCGACCATGATGGGCCCCCGTAACAAGGACCGCGAGAGGCAAAACCCAGATATGATTCGACCGCCCAGCACTGATCACGGAAGCATGTCCAACTACCATTGGAGTTTTGCCGACTCCCATATCAGGATCGAGGTACGTCTACAATCACTCCACTACCTGGTCATTATATCATTGACACCGCGCAGGAAGGAGGGTGGACGCGTCAGACCACCATCCGAGAACTGGGATCAAGCAAAGAGATTGCTGGTGTCAATATGAGACTCGATTACGGGGTGATTCGAGAGCTTCACTGGCACAAGGAGGCTGAGTGGGCATACGTCCTAGAGGGCAACGTGCGCGTTACTGCTCTAGACACTGAGGGCGGCAACTTTATCGATGACCTTCAGAAGGGAGACTTGTGGTACTTCCCGTCCGGCCATCCTCATTCTCTGCAAGGGTTAAGCCCCAACGGCACTGAATTCTTGATTGTTTTCGACGATGGCAACTTCAACGAAGAGTCGACCTTTTTGTTGACCGACTGGCTGGGTGAGTGCTTGAGTGCACCAGAAAAGACGTATTACTAATTCCATATAGCGCATACTCCCAAGTCGGTCCTTGGGGAGAATTTCCGCCTCTCACCAGAAGTTTTCAAGACCATCCCCAAGTCCGACAAATACATTTTCCAGGGTAGCCTCCCAGGCTCCATCGACGAGGAGAAGCCAGATGGCACTCACGTCAAGAAGTCTAAGCTTCAATTCACCCACAAGATGCTGGATCAAGAGCCTCTCAACACGACCGGAGGTCTTGTTCGCATCACCGATTCGACCAACTTTCCCATCTCCAAGACCATCGCAGCAGCCCATCTCGACATTGCACCTGGTGCTATGCGTGAGATGCATTGGCACCCAAATGCCGACGAGTGGTCATACTTCATTAAGGGTCGTGCTCGTGTCACCATCTTTGGGGCTGAAGGAAATGCCAGAACCTTTGATTACATGGCCGGAGACGTTGGCGTCGTTCCAAGGAACATGGGCCATTTCATTGAGAATCTGAGCGAAGACGAACCCGTTGAGGTCCTAGAAATCTTCCGAGCCGACAAGTTCCAGGACTTCTCGCTCTTCCAATGGTTGGGCGAGACGCCCAAGAAGCTGGTGGCAGATCACATTTTCGCCGACGACGAAGTTGGGGCAGAAAAGTTCTTGAAGGAGATTCATGATGCGGAATACGACCCGATCCGGGGAAAGACCGAGGATTCTTAACCGAGATTGTTGCCAGCATCCGGCGTTTGCAAAATGTGGAGGAAAGGCAAAATTCCAATATGTGCGGAGTCCTCAGCGCCTGTAAAGACCAAATCCTGAGCACCAGGGGAATTTTTTCGGTGGAATGATCAATTCAACAATAGCTTGGCAGCTGGACTGGATTGGGTTTGATAGTGTTGGGGCCACTCCCTGAGTGAACCAAAATCACTTCTCTGGCAGAAAGTTTTACCGACCGCAGATTGCCCTTCAAAACAGGACGTGTAATGCCATCTGCGCCAACTGAGATCTAGAAGCCGTGGATTGTGCAGGATTGTGTTAGATGTCCTTCCGTGCACCTGCGAGTTCCAACGTTGTTGTCGTCCCGTTTCAAATGTGGAGTTGAAGGTTGAAACTAACTGTTGAGAGACAAGCATCCGCTTTGTTGTCGCCAAGACTTGATCAAGCTCTGCCTCCTCCGTACATACCTACTGTACCTAGTACTATACTCTGTATAGCAGGTACCAGGTAGCTCGCGAGCAAACGGGCTACATAAGTCACTCATCACCCGATCACTCCGCTTGATAGGGCGTTAGTGCCATTACCCTGTACTCATCCCATGTGGTATCTAATATCTCAACAGGCGCCGTCAGATTCATTTCAAAATTGGAGCGTTTCAGTCACTGGATTATATCTTGGCCATTCGGAGCTTTGCGGACTCTAATGCTGTCCTCTTCCTTGGCCAAGATGGTTCTCGGCGATTAATGGAACATAGCAGATATCGCATTAGCAAGAAGGAGATGGAATGCACAAATTCGCAAGCACCCAGCTAGTCTCCGGAGGCAGATGAAGCTGGCATGTTTGTGCGACCAATATCCTAGGTGCCGTCAGGTAGCCAAAGCAAATCGTCCCAGATCCAAACTTGAGAAGTGCCATCAAAGGTGTTGGATACCCTACTGTTTGACATCGTAGCAGGGCCTGAGGAAAGTTGAGGGCATGGGCAAGTCCCGGGTGTCGATGACAGACTGATTTGTTCTTGATGTCGGGTGCCATTTCCAAGGCGACCGTTGACACCACTACGGCCATCACGAAACACTGCAGCTCGTTAGAAAAAGAAAGATGAAGACTTGGGGTATCAAACCATCTTGCAGAGAGACGAGAGCGTCACTGAAATTGCCAGAAGCGATGTCTCGAGGGAGGTCTAAACTATGCTGAGAAAACAACTCGAATGCGTCCGTGCCATTCCTGTCGGAGAGCTTTGCGGCCTGTTCTGGCACGTCATTCCCGTCTACTACAGGTTGCTGTTTACCACACACCGAAGCAGGGGAATGTTGATCGACGGTAGTGCGTTCATCCGCGAGCCTGTTCTGTACATAGTCTTGACCAGAGGACTCTGCCTCCGTTAATAAGGCTTTCATCTCCTCCGCAAGAACCAACCGAACAAGCTCTTCCAGAATTGCACCGCATTGGTCGGATACTGTCGTGCGGAACCGGTGAAGCCGGGGAAGCTTAATAATTCTACTCACGGCACGTTTCGCCTGGTGAGCCTGATCTGAAAGAGGATCCGATAGCGCAAAGATGCCGAGGACAACACCAGCAGTGAAGGACTGGATTCCAGCATAAGCCGCTCCATGGGTGTTCTGAGAAGCAGCAAGGATTTCAGCATGTTCTCCGATTTTGGACGTTCTCATCGAGGAAACCCAGCACTGGTACTTGCTTGTCCTGATCATGGTGTCGACTGCATCGTTGGAGACGTTAAGCGTTATCTGGTCGGAATCGTTGCCCGGTTGTGGTACCCCGGGAGGCCATCGAGGCACGCGGTTTATTGTCAACAGTGGCCGGTGCAGAACCAACTGAATGTTGTCATAGGAAAGTTGGAGGGTAAGGGCTTGAAGCTGGAAGGTTCTGATAGTCCTTCTAATTGTCCTATCTCCGCTATTGTATTTCAAATACTTGAGTCGCAATTCCCGCGGTATGCATTTTTCCCACTCAAGCAGGCGATGATTGATTGCCTTGATCTCTCCGACCACTTCAGGAAGAGTTGCCCCACTCCGGAGATAGATATTTCGAGTGATTGTCGAAGCGATTCGATAGAGGCGAAACTTGTATCTCTGATATGATGCTATAGTAACTGGGCCGAATGTTTCATCCTCATAGGTTTCCATAGATTCCAATCCTGGGCAGGTCAATGAAGTGTCGTCGATGTTTCCAGGGAAAGAGACGTCCCAATCGCTGTCATGTACGTTACAGGGCGTCCCAAAGCTGATAGCACTAAATCTACACCCCGAACAATCAGTGACGCACCGCTTAGACACATTTCTTGACTCACACTTCCGCTGTGTAGAGGGCCCAGCATAACCGTCGCCATACCTCTCGCAGAATAGGGTCGTCCATCTTCCAGTTCGACTCCTTTTGCAGGCCCAGAGCTTGCGCGACTTTAAGTGCGCTCCCCATCAAGGCAAAGCTGCGGTTTGGCCGGCTATGGTAGGCATAGTATGAGGAAAGGAGGATTGAGATTTGAACGGCCTCAATATTAGCTTGATCGAAGATATCAAGAAGCCGCTCTTCAACTTTATGGATGAGTGTGTTCCCCAGGCTATCCATATCAAAGCCCGGACATATTTCTTCAGCCTCAGACTTGGTGGTGTACTTGGCGCCGATGCCAATGACCAACAAAAAGAGAACCAAAAAGGAGATTCGATCCGCACGCACAAAACCTGTCGTGGTAAGACCCTGTAGTTCAGCTCTCAAGGACGGTCCATGAAACAATAACATGAACCAGTGCACAGAATCCGAATAACTTTCCAGAGCGTAGTCGATTACATGGGAGGGCGGCAATTCCATCCCAAGCAAATCACTTATGGGGAGATAGTGGCCGCTGGCTTCAGAAGACCTCACGTCCGGGCTACTACCAGGAATCGCATCCGTTGAATGGAATAGCCTCGCTGCCGAGTTGTGTTCTCTGAAGAGCTGGTCCACTACTTCGTATGTTGACGTTCTTTCTCGATATACCTCAGATGACCGCCTCCCAGGCTCTTGTGGACTCCGTGCCGATGAGGAAGATCGATTTTTATGCGACAAGACCGGGACAGGGCTGGACCGACGGCCAAGAGAGATGGAAGTTCGAGGTGATGGAGCGGGTTGCTGACTATCATCAAACTGGCCGATGGTGGATGTGTCAGTGCTCCCTGCAAGTCCTGCGGACGGTTTCACTAGTCCCCTGTTTTCGGGACGCTCCGTGCATTCGACTCCAACGCGCAAGCACAAGGCGCACGGTCTAGTATCATCGCATCTCAACTTCTGCTTCCGACATCTGAGACATGCGTGTCGTGCTCGCGGCAAGGGACGTTTCTTGGATGAGGCGACTGGTGCAGGCGTCATCAGGGAACCTGCGCACGAGCTAAAATATCTGAGTAGGAGACTGCTTGCCCAGCACCGCTATAAAGCTCCGATTGCGATTCGCAGAAACGATAATTCGGCGATGTGGTCTCTGTCCGTGGCAGCACGCAAATAAAGGACAGCACGGATCTGCCTTTCAGCGGTGCCGGAACCTCGGCAATCGCTTACTGTAAAGAGTACAGGGAACGGAGCATCATAATACTCCGTCTTCCTTCTTCTGGCTACCTAGCTCGCTAGATACTTGTGCTAGTTCCACACTCGGTATCCTCCCCAGCTGCCAGTATGCAGGCAGCTGGGGCAAAATCCCTCCATGGTTGTCTATTGCCCGTCAAGAACTAACTTGATAGTTTGAGGCTGCAGCTCTTCTCTCAACGGCAGATATACCCACGTATTAGGTCGTCGTCGTTGCATGACTGGGCCCAAAATCATAACAGCTCTTCCCTTTCCAAAGACCACATCATTCGCATCTACAAGTACACCCACTCGCATGTAGGCCTTGTCAAGTTCCGAAGCATGTTTGCGTTTTCCGTGCCTTGTCTGACTGGCTGCATTCTCATTTCATCTTACCTTGCGAGGCTAAGCAGTCGCCTCAGACGCGGGCTCGAAGACGCGGAGTACCCGGGGCCCCAGAAGCATATTCTGTGTGGAGTGAGTCTCTAGATTTCGCTGTTGGGAATAGTTCCCAGTCTCTACAGGGTTGCGAGGATGGGAATACAAGAACCGGGTATGGTACCCACGAATAACTAGCATCGTCTGACCTGCCAATGGCGCTGCCGGGCGTGGACATATTCCTCAATGAATGGTTCCCGTTTCAGCTGCGTTTCGACCATCAGAAATAATACTGACCCAAGACCAGGCTGTGGTCGGATGCAAGACCGGATCGGCAGTCAGACAAGCGGAAGAAACCAGAAGCCTCAAAAGAAGATCAAAAGGATGCCAAGTCACTCTGTACGAGTACACTCATATTTCCCTGAATCCAGCATATTATTAACATCACGTAGAGGTCCTTGGCAATGCTCATGGTCTGTTGTTGACGCAGAGAGTACCATTGTGACACCCATAGCCACATTGCCTTAAGGCGTCTGATCCGAGAGCGGAATGGGATCTCAAACCAAGGTGTCTTTACAAAACTCGGAGCTTTCCCCGTGACCGGAACCTCTTCCACCGGATGCAGCCTGCATCCCAATCCTATGCGAATACGTAGGGTCTGACTCGCATGATGTGTTATCCCTCATAAAGGAGCTCGAAGGAAGCCCAGTAAGCATTCTCAGCAGGTAAGTCCAAATTCCCTTTGTCCTTAGAACTTGATCCTTGCTTTCTATCCGACGCGCGAATACGTGCTTTTGCTTAGAGCTCTACCCGCCTACCTTGCCCGGGTCAAAGGCCCTCTTTCAGCGGCAACTAGCTTCTGCCATCAGCCGCCTTCCGGCATGGGAGCCCGTGACTCGGAGGTGGTTGTGAGAGTAGGTGGGCTCAGCAAGAGAGCTCCCCGGGCTTGTGAATCATGCCGCTCGAGAAAAGTCCGTTGTGATGTTACCAGGACTAAAACTCCATGTACAAACTGCAGGCTTGACGGCAAGAATTGTGTAGTACCGGCGAGCAAGAGACGACACATCGGAGACCGAATCCTTGGACCATCCTTCTTCGATGGCAAGCAGCATGGGCCCCGAAGCCCAATTTGCGATGCAATCATTGATTTTGGAGACGTAGACAGCCTCTTGTCGGAGAGGAAGGAGTCTGCTGCTACTGCTACTGCTGCTGCCAAGTGCGGTGTTGGAAATGGTTCATTTGATATCTTCGATCTCTCGGGCAACTTCTTCACCGCGTCCGAGACAATTGACACTTCCAACCCTCTCGAAGAGGACATTGCAGTGGGTGACGGACAAGATTTCCAACCAGACTTTCTTGCATCTTATCCATCACCTACTCAAACAGTTTTAGGGGATCATCACCTCCAGCCATCACTCCCAAAATATATCACGCCTCTACCGAAGACCCTATCAACAGAAGACCTACGCCACCTCCAAAGAAAGGGTGCTTTCGACATTCCAGACTCAGCAACGCGTGATTTGCTGTTGACAACTTATGCAAAATGGGTATATCCCTTCGCACCGATGCTAGACCTCGAGGAAATCCTGTTAACAGTGGCGAGCAACGGCAACACCGGAACAACAAGCCTCCTCCTTTTTCAAGCAATGATGTTTGCTGCAACAGCGTACATCAACGCGGATTGCCACCGTGGAAGGCATAAAAGGACAAGAAGCGTGTTCTATGAACGTGCAAGGCTTCTCCACGATTTTGACGTGGAAATGGACAGACTCGCAATCTGTCAAGCCGCCATCTTGCTAAGTTTATGGGACGGGGACCCTGAAGGCGTGAGGGACAGCTATTACTGGGTCGGAATCGCAACACTGCATGCGACCAGTATTGGACTAAACTTTGATCCCACCAGCAGCCTCTCAGATCGGGAACAACGGCGGGCATTCAAGATGACATGGTGGACGCTTGTCATGAGAGACCGCTTGCTTGCCGTGGCCTTGCGGAGGCCAGTGCAAAATAAAGTCTTTCGGTTCGATGTCCCTATGTTGCATCTTGACGACTTTAGGTTGGAACCTCTTTTGAAGATCCTTCAAAACAGCCTACAGATGTACGACGTCGGGTTGGCAGAGTTGGAAACACTCGCTTGTTGTTGCATGGCTCTGGCCCAGCTTTCCGAGTATATTGACAAAGTCTTGACTGTGCAATACACCGTCCAAAGAACACCTCGTGGTGCGGGACAGAGTCCAATCGTTGTATCGCTAGTCCCGAAAGTCAGAGGCTCCAAGTGTTCGGAGATCACGATGTGCGGACAAGAGCTGCAAAACTGGTACGGGTACTTACCAACAGAAGTGCAACAGCTCGAGCTTCAACATCATGACATCGAACATCGGCACGAGAATGAAATCGTGAGGGTACACAGGGCTCTCTTGGCAGGTTATTACTCCATGACATTGATGACTTTGTACCGACCTCTGCTCAATTTGCCGTCATCAAACGCAAACGAGACCAAGCTACGAAATTTATCCATGAAGATGGTTTCGCAAGCAGCAAAAAGTATTACAAGTATATTCAGCGATCTGTATGCCTACCATCTGATCTCATGGTTGCCAGATACTGCGATAGCAGTGTTGGAGCCAGCAGTTGCAACACATCTGCTCTATAGCATGTCAGAGCTGGCCGCGGTGCGAGAGACGAGCTTCCAAAAGTTTTACATCTGTTGGCGAATTCTGCAGCAGTTAGGCGAGGTGTACTATCTAGCAGAGACCACCATGTCTATGCTAAACGCCGCCGCACAGAGGCTAAAGTCGCGTCCAGACCTGCAGGCGGCAAATCTCACCGCTTGTTCACAACTGATTGACACAATCTGCCCGGTTGGCAACGACAATGCAGCGACCCATGTGGCCGTCCCATTTGTCGGAGTGGTTGGAGACCAGAAGAAGGATCGATCCGATGTGACAGTGGATTGGGCCGACCCGAAGAAGATCAGGCATGGGCCCAGAAATCAAATGCAGGTGTTGGACAACTATGACCATAACTTTGACCTGGAAGCGAACTGTGCCTTGGACCCGAGCACCTTTGACCAACTCGTATGTTGGGACGCAGCCGAAGAGGAACTCCAGGCTTAAGATTTTCCGCGGACACAGTGAAACCCCGCTATGTCTTGCCCCTGAGGCTAAAGTGCTAGAAAGATTCGATCAAAAGAACTAGCCGGATCATGTAATATGTATGAAGAGATGCCCGAGTAAGGAACTTTGGTTCGTAAGGCGGGATAATTTTGAATCCTCGTGGTTATGGTGGTAGCCCAACAACTACTCGGTAGCAATATCGAATCTGCATTTCTCCTTTGTGAACACAGCTTCGCACCTTCAACGGCCATCTGTCGCTAAAGCTGTGCGTCTGCCATCCGCGGATCTCTGATTCTCTATCAGCTCAAGAGTCTATCTTAAGAGTCATTGATAGGTAATACAACCGAGCTTGAATATTACATATCTGGTTCCATAGGCTGAGCAGCACCAGGACTTCCGGTTCTACTAGGTAGCCCAGTACGATCATCTCTGTTGTGTCCCAGTCTGCTCAGTGCTCACAGTCGACAGCCTGGTGAGACGAAGACCACCTATGATCACGACGTCATGTGGGGAAAGAGTGCAACGTCCCGCGGGATCCTCTTGGGCCATGAGGACAATAACGATCGACAGCGATCTCAAATTACAAAAGACAGCTGGCTCTTGTTCCTACTACTCTTCTCCTCTCTTCTCGCGCAGATATACTGGAAGAGTTTTGGGACTAAAACGATCATTCTTTTAAAAAAGGAAAAAGAAAAAAAAAAAAAAAAAAAAGCCACTCTACTCATGGCTACTGAGGGCAGCTCGCCTGTGCAAGGCTTCGAGAGTCAAGATCGGAACAACCATCCAGGAACCACCGACTACCAAGCTGTGCGGACAGAAGAGTCCATATTAGAAACTACGAGACAACTACGTCAAGCCAGGTTAGTGCTCTCGAGTCTTGAAGACAATAACAATGTGAAGCGACTCACAAACATCACTCTTTAGGTCTTCGTGGGACTTTCCAGTCAAAATATGTCGTCCTTTGCGCCTTCATCGTCAGGTTGGGCGGCTTCTTGTTTGGCTATGGTATATCCGCAAGCGCATTATCTATTAAGCAAGGATCAAGACTGAATCGCTCCCATAGATCAAGGTGTTGTTTCTGTCGTCCTTGTCATGGATCAATTCCTCGACCAATTTCCTCGTGTCTCGAAGACTGCCAGTGGAGCAGGCTTCTGGAAAGGATTCATGACGGCCATGATCAAACATATCGGTGGGTGCCTACCGAGAGCTATCAGGATCATCTGAGGCCTAACCATTTCTTCACGGGGGCATTCAACCAAGGCTGGGTGGCGGAGAAAATATCCAGAAAGTACTCGATTTGCGTTGCTGTCTGCATTTTTGTGCTTGGGTCAGTCTTGCAGACCGCCGCACAAGACTATGCAATGCTGATCGTTGGTCGACTCATTGGTGGTATCGGTGTTGGAATGTCAGCATGAACCATTTGTCATTGTTCTGTCTCTTGGGCTAATCCAGGTTGATAGGCCGAGCATGGTCGTCCCTATGTATATTGCTGAAGTGTCGCCAACAGAGATCAGAGGTAGGCTGTTCGTGAATCTACCCTCGTCGGGAGTCTGTGGATTACTGACAGCGCCAAAGGGACATTACACGTCCTGGAAGAGTTTTCCATCGTTTTTGTTATCATCTGCGCCTACTGGCTGACTTTCGGCGCGCGGTACATTGGCGGTGAATGGTCATTTCAACTTCCTTTCCTTCTGCAGATCATACCAGCCATACTTCTCGGCATCTCTGTTCTCTTCATCCCTTTCTCGCCCGGGTGGCTTGTGGCGAAAGGACGTGACCAGGAAGCACTGACAGCTCTCGTAAACTCCGACGGGTCCCAGTGGATGACCCGCGAATTCAAGCCGAATGGCTCGATATTCGAGCCGAAGTTGCATTCCACAAAGAGGTTGCCACAGAGAAGTATCCAAATCTCGGCATCAAGGGTCGACAGTCTCGCTGGGCTGCTTTCAAACTGGAGCTTGCAGCTTATGCTGATTGTTTCAAACAAGGCTATTGGCGACGTTCAATGGTCGGAATTGGCTTGATGTTTTGTGAAGCCCACCTTTCTTTCTGATCAACCCCTCTCCTTTTACAGGAAGTTCCGAGTTCCGTCAACAATGTTATAGCTAATGGACATTTGCAGTCCAGCAATTTGTAGGCATCAATGTCCTGATCTATTACTCACCAAGCTTGTTCGAAAGCATGAATGTCGATTACAACATGCGGCTAGTCCTATCGGGTATTCTGAATGTCACCCAACTTGTTGGAGTCACGACGTCTCTATACACAATGGATCGGTTCGGACGACGGCCGCTTCTGCTGCTGGGCAGTGTAATAATGACCATTTCCCACATCATCAATGCGGTCCTGGTCGGCTTGTACTTTGACAGCTGGAACGATCATAAAGACAAAGGCTGGATGGTCGTGGCTTTCCTCTTCCTGTACATGCTGACCTTCGGGATGACCTGGGGTCCCGTTCCATGGGCCATGCCCATCTGAAATCTTTCCAGCTTTCTGCGCGGGAAAGGCGTGGCGTGGAGTACCTGCAGCAACTGGCTCAATAATTTCATCATTGGTCTGATCACGCCGCCTCTGATCCAGAACACACGGCGATTTGGAGCGTATACATTTTTTGCAGTCTTTTGTACCCTGAATTGGATATGGACTTGGTTCTGTGTGCCAGAGACAAAAGGGCGGAGTCTGGAGGATATGGACCGAGTGTTCGGAGATCGGGCTGCAGTTGCAGACAAAGTTCGAAGGAAAGAAATCCTCAAAGAGCTAAAGCAAAATGATGGTCGAATGAAACAAGAGGAAGCAAAGACAGTGTGATTGCAACCCAGGTGGACCGAATTGTTCTCTCTCATTAGGGGGATAACGAGGCCGATAACCGGAGCAGCGGCACTTCTATACCAGAAGGCAAGTCTTCAATGCTCCGCTCAATTGCCGGACTTGATCACGGCAACTCGAATGGCAGCTTCTATTCTGGAATCGAGGCACAGAATAAAATAACCATCCTCGCAGTGTCGCTACCTTCGTAATTGGCCGTCAGAGCAAAGAATCGAAAACAGATGTTTTAGCCTCAACTGGCCGTTTGAAGTTCTTGGAATCAGAGTATGTATCGCAGAGCTTTCCTGCCTTTTCGGCAAGGCTTCATCGGCGAAGTTAAGCCAGATACACTCTCGTTCGCAGATTCTGCGCGGTCTCAATGAGGGATCGCAGGATTGTTCGAGCTGATGCGCGCCATTGTTGCTGATGTACGGTAGATGTCTGACAGTAGCTGTGTAGCATCAACATGGCGACTCGGGTGAACCTCACTGCCAGAAATCGTCATACAGGCCCACCGCGGTGGTGCTGGGAGCAACTTTCATTCATGCGAGAATGATGAGACGCGGCGCCTTAACAGGTTGCTCATCTGGCTTCTCCACTTTTGTCCCGAGTGCGCCCTCATTCAATGCGTACTCCGGGCCACCCAAAGCGAGTGACAATGTTTGTCACCGATGATATACCAGACCTTGATTGTCTAACTTCAAAAGTGAGTACAAAAAAAATGGGATAATAAGATCGTTAGTCCTTCGGACCGGGAGAAAAGAAAGGTCAATCAAGATCCGAAGGATTCCCCGGATGACCTCCTGAAGCCCCACGGAGCCACAATCAACCCCACAGGTCAGCCTCTGCAGTTCGGGGTCACATCGGATCGAGGTCGAGGCTCAAACAACTGCCGGGGAAGAGACGTCTATATTGTTGATGTGCCGAGTAGATAATGTCAGATAAATAACCTTGGGTTTCCATGACAGTTCACCTTTAGCTGCCTATAGTTTTCGCATCTCCAAGTTCGAAACAGATCACCTTCTGCGAGAGTTTGTAAAAGGCCTTTCCGAACCAGGCGCAAGGTGTGGGAAATAACAATGGCAATCCCATCAACTCACAGAGTCGCCATTCTGGTGGTATGAACACTCGATAACCGCCTTCTGCTCAGGGACACTTGCTGATGGTTGGCCAGAGACATGATGGGACATATCACTTTGAAACCAAAAAAGTGCCAGTTCCTGATATCAGCCCAACCGACTTGCTAGTCCGCTTATCGGTAACAGGAGTATGCGGTTCGGACTTCCATCTCGCAGCAGGTCACTTGGGTCCGACTTGCGACATTCTAGGACACGAAGGCGTGGGACGGGTTGTGAAGCTTGGCTCCGCAGTGGATGCTTCCTTTATCAATGTCGGAGCACGAGTAGGTCTTGGCTGGGTACGCGACGTGTGCGAAGAATGTTTCTGCTGCCTGTCTCCAGGCGGCGAGGCCCGTTGCTTGGCAAAGCTATGCTCTGGCTTAAGAAGAGATGGCACCTTTGCAGAGTATGCCGTTGTTCCGTCGCGATATGTTATCCGGATTCCAGAGGACGTGCCAGACGATCTAGTCGCTCCGATTCTTTGTGGTGGCGTGACGGCGTATAAAGCCATCAAGGTCAGTGAGGCAGTTCCGGGTCGATGGATGGTTATATCAGGCGCTGGTGGTGGTGTCGGTGCTTTGGGGATTCAGTTCGCAAAGGCGATGGGATACCGGGTAATTGCGATTGATGTCGGAGACGCGAAGAAAGAGTACTGTCTGAAGCTAGGCGCCGAAGTGTACTATGATGCAAAAGAATTAAACACAGAGACAGTCATGGCCCTCACCGGGGATGGTGCTGCGGCGGTCTTGGTCATGGCTAACTCTGACAAGGCGTACCAGGCGGCATTGGAACTGGTGGCTCCATATGGGACGTTTGTCTGCGTGGGAATCCCGCCAGAGGACCATCGGGTCAGCTTTCACCCAACACTGGGGATTTCCAAGGGCGTGCGTATCATCGGCTCTGCTGTGGGAACTAGGAAGGACATCTGGGAGGCGATTGAGTTTGTGCAACGCGGCGCTGTGAAGCCGGCAGTGGAAATGGCGAGTTTGGCCGATCTGTCTGATATTGCGAAGAACTTTGGCAAGGTGAGCGACCTGCCTCCTCCCTCCCTTCCTTTTCTCTCTTCGTTCATCCCATTCCAGACTGATGAGATTCTGATATATCGAGACAGACTGCTGGCAAATATGTCATCCGACTGAGCGATGAAGCGAGGGGCTCGGTGAATGCTGGTGCCCTGCAAAATGGACACTAGAAGAAGACGGTAGACCCCCTTGAACCGCCCGCCGAGGGTACGTACCCAGGTACCTATTGATCCGCAGAAAGCGAGAAATAGACATAGAGCGTGTTCTAGAGCTTGCGAGCGATGGTAATTTCTGATTCGGCAAGTCAGACATTCACATTCCACTTCCAAGCTCGGATACCACGGAGTCATGATTGATTGGCTTCCGCTCTACAAGACCCTTCGCTTCTTTCGCCCTTTTCGCCTCTCGCGAAGCTTCCCCGCAAATCATGCCCGTTGCTCATGCATGATTTGCCCTTTCAACACTCGCAGTGCTTCGTCAACCACTCGTCCACCTACCTCAGCGTACGGTTTGCGAAGTGATAGTCAGGGCCGTGCAGCTCTGGAATGCCTACCTGGTTGCCATCAGGTGATAAGAAACCCATCCATTCCTCAACCCCTCTTTCGTCATGTACAGGTGACTTGTGAAAGCTGACCTGCTCTCTTTTCTCTTGGATTGTTCGAGCTTCTGGACAGTAATTTCGCCTTCAGTTAACCACTCTAGACCTGGCGTAAATGATGGCAGCACGACCTCTACTCCTTGGTCTAGCTTCAGCAGCCCGATCTGGGGCTCTGGGCCTCCCCCTTCGAAATGCACCCCAACGGGCCCTTCAGCTATCTGCAGCAAACTTCAGACCCACGGCTGCGACCTCGAGCCCTTCAAGATCAACCCCTCTCAATAGCCAGGCACCACCCCCAGGCACTGTACCACCTCAAGCTGAAGTCTTTGCAGACAACAAGCACGCTGCATTCCTGGGCGAAGCTGACAGCAACGAAGGACACGATGCCTTCCGGGAGGCTCATGGAGCACCTCAGCCCGCCCTCGAAGCCGATAACTCGGCATTCTTAGGGGAGGCGGACTCAGATGATCACTTCGAAGTGCGCAAGACTATAGAAGGCGACAACAGTCCGGCTCTCGATGCAGGAAATGCCGCGTTCTTAGGCGAGGCCGATAGTGACGATGGCTTCGAGGCACAACGAGCTGCGGAGGGAGACAAGCAAGAAAGCCTAGACACGACCAACGCCGCATTTCTCGGTGAAGCTGATAGTGATGATGCACGTGAGGCTGACTTTGATATACATCCGGAGAGGCATCGACACAACATTGAGGATACCAGCACCAGTGGGTTGCATGGGCAACAGGGAGAGCAAGACCAGTGAACAACCAGTGGGAAGGGATGCTTGGAGCTGAAATCCCTCATTTACTTGACAAGCAGACCAATATCAAGGAAGCAATTGTGTTCTTGTGCCATTGACACTTATCATTCTTTCTCGAAGTTATCGTAGTCCTCTTTGCTCATGAGACCGTCGAGCTCATTCAAATTCGTCACTTCAATCTTTGCCAGCCAACCCTCGGACTCTGGGCTCTTGTTGATCGTCCCAGGCTTCTCTTCCAACAGCTTGTTATGGTCTGAGATCTTGCCCGACACAGGCGTCATGATATCGGAGGCAGACTTGACGGACTCGACTGCGCCAATTGTGTCACCTTTTGTCACTTCCATGCCGATTTCAGGAAGTTCAACGTAGACAACATCTCCAAGGGCTTTGGCCGCATATTCGGTAATACCTATCGTTCCTGCGCGAGAGAGTAAGGACACTGTAAAAACCCGGAATGGTGAAGATTGTGTCGGGAGGAGTACCCGTTTTGCCGTCGCTGTCAAGCTCTATCCACTCATGATCCTCGGTGTATTTCTTCACAAGTACTACGAGAGAGAGTTAGTGACGTTCGACATTCAGAAAATGGTAACATACAGGCAGGTCTCGCAGAAAATGACCTCCCAGAAAGGTATGCCCATGGACGTAGCTGAGACTTGACAGATAATCGTGGCACGACAACTCCTTTTGTGGCCAGTCTTGAGACTGCCGGTATAAACCGACACAGTGCAGGAGAACTCATCATCTGCTCTAACTTGACGCGGAATATCGAGTATAAAGGAAGGAAGGAGTATTTAAAGGGCGTTCATCCCATCTCCGCAGATGGAACGATGAAGGGACTGGCGGCGACGGAGACAAACCCGTAGCGAAACTGCGCCGGTCAAGTGGAGATCGCCCAGGGAATTTCTCAATTTCAAGCCAATCTAGCAATCAACCCTCATACTTTTATTCATGGTGCCACGGCCTCAGTAAAAATGCTTTACGAGCTGATAGCTGTTGTAAGCTTGTTGAATTCACTTCCCCCTGCGAACCCCAATCGAGATCCAACTGACATTTAACAGGTCCGCCCGGGCAACCTCAGCCATGTCAAAGAGTACTCCTCCTACCGGTTCCTTTCCTCTCATGACTTAACCCGCTAACACGCCTTGTTCCGTGTACAGAATCGCCCGCGTCGCCGGCCAACAGATCCTCGCTTCTAACGGCGTGATACGCGGCATGAAGAACTGGGGTCAATTCGACCTCCCTCGACCAACGACGAAACACCAAACCCAACACCGCCAGGGCCATTACTTCGTGATGCAATTCGATGCCTCGGTCAAGGCGCAACAGGACGTCCGACGATTTTTGAGTCTCGATCCGAGAATGATCAGGTTCAGCGTCATCAAGATTGGTGATAAGCTGGGCGGCATCAACGGCGCAATTGAAGAGGTAGATGGCGAAATACCTTGGAACTCGGGCACCCAAGTTAGGAATCCGTTTGCAGATCCCAGAACAACAAGGACGGGACCTTTGAGATAAGTGAAGAGTTGCCTTGCCAGGAAGCGAACGTAGGAACTGGAGCGGGAGAGGCATGTCCACATGTCATTTCTATCGACACCCAAAACCCAAAAACTAGACGCTACAAATGGTGGTATCATCAGCATGTGTATGTGTTCGTCAAAACAAACTCCACCGCCCTCTCTCCTTGACCAGCGACGATTTCACTTGCTGCGTCTTCGTCCGACCCTCCAATTGCCTCAAGCTCTCAATCTTCTCCAACACCAACTCTAGCATCTCCTTCCGCTTGATGACATCGAGATGCCTTCTGACCTTAGGGTCTTCTCTCGCGAATTGCTCGATTTCGCTCGGCTCCAGATGTCGGCCAAGTCTCAAATCCAACTCGCGGGGGAAATTGTAGTAAAATTCAGAGAGGAGTTCAACGTTGAGGAAGAGCACGGCCGTCGAAGTCAATTTGTCAGCGACCACGTCCAGGAAGACCTCGGGGCAGTAGTATTTATTTTGGAGGTTGGCGCATTGTTTGGATTTGACGGCCATAAGGCGCATCTTGATGATGTCGGCACGGTCGCGGAGGAAGACGGCTTCTCGACCTTTGTACAATAGTGAGCTTGACTTGCCTATCAATTTGTGAAAACATGAGTATACCTTTTTGAAGAAGGGCTGCGGAAAAGCCGCCTGCACCGCCGGATCCATCTCCTTCCAGGACAATGTCTCCTTTCCTCACTCGGTCGATGAAGCCCATCACATCTCTAAGTTTTCTTTTGCCGATGCTGTCTTCCAATTGCCTCTGTGCAGCTTCGCAAGCTTTCAGCTCATTCTTCAACACGCGGCCCACATTTTCGCGTCCCTTGTTCCATTCATTCGGCTCCACTTCGATCTCGAATTTGAACGGTTTGATGCAATTCTCGACCTGGTCACTCGTGCTGTAGAATCGGTCGTTCAATATGCTCGACGAGGCATCGACAATTGACCGCTGAGCATAAGGATGGGAAGCAAACGTTGAAGCGGCTATCAGCTTGTCAACATGGCTCTGAAGTTCAGCCGCTACCACCGTCGTCGCCAGTCTCCCGACACCAAGTTTAGTCAGCTCCGAACTCGAGGCGTCCAGTTTGCGTTGCCAGTATAACGAGCATGGTTCAGCTTTGGGCAACTCCGATAAGGGATCTGCTTCAGGCTGAACAGGCGACAGATCCTCTACTGGTTTATTCCAGTATCGTTTGGCCAGCACGTCCATCACTTTCTGATCAAGGACATCTTTCAACAAGGCCCTAACTTGAGCTCTGCCGAAGTGTTCGCTGAACTCCTTGAAAGAATGTTTGAAGCTGTCCAAGCTTTCGGCCAAGTACGATTCCGCACTAAGCGGTCTGTCGTTATATTGTACTTTGAACTCATATGTTGCTTCTTCCAGCTCCTGCACGATGGCGTCTCTCGTTCCGGCAAGGCTCGCCGCCATTGTTTGTTCGAGAACATGCATGAGCTTGTGTCGTAGCGTGGTTGTGCCGACAGCGAGTTCTGATTGTGGACCAAATTGTAGCGGGTGTGATGAGAAGTATGCATTCTCGTTCTTGATGATGGCATTTGTCACATTGGCGCCAGGTCTGGAGAAAAGACCTGCCGATTGTGGTATCTTACAAACCACGCCAACATAACCTAACCTCAGAGGATATTTTCGGTCTGACAAGATTTCAACGCCTCGACGGGGGTCGACCAGGTCCATTTTTGTAATGACACCAATCGTTCTCTCGCCTCGAGGATCAACCCTTCGACTTGCCCTGAGGGCAGTGGAATTGGCCAAGTCCACGTCCGCGGCCGATATGGCTAGGATGACATTGGGGGGTTGGATATATTTGTCACACAGATCGGAGATCTTCTGCTTCAGCTCAGAAGGTTGGTCTTTGCCCGATACTTGGATATAGCCCGGCAGATCAATCAAGGATAAATCTGGAACGTTGGGAGAGTAAACGGACAATTGGATGGGATCGTCGCTAACACATTGCTCGGGGGGGACAGCGAGGTTGAGGTCCGTTAGGATTTTTTGGATTTGCGAAAAGTCTGTGATTTTGCCCATTCCAAGAGCAGGGAACTCGCCATACTCTGCTTTTGCATCTGGGGTGTTGACGAGAGTGAGTTCGATCGGGCGTCTGGTGACCATATTAGAGCCTTTGGGCAAGAATTCGTGCCCGACAATTGCCTCAAGAACCGAGCTTTTCCCAGATGATTGTGATCCAATAACCACGATAGATGGCAGCGTCAAAGCCCCTCCTTGGCCAATTGTATTGAGAATGCCTCGAATCTCAATCATCTTTCTCGTCAAGACCATCATTTGATCATCTCTTGCCATCACTGCACCCGACCGTTCATCATCTTCGCTCGACTCTTCCACTCCTATTGCGGCGCCTGAAGCTGCAGCGGCTCCTGCAGCAGCTTTACTTGGCCTAGGAGCTTGTGGCTCAGACCCTCCTCCGCCAGACTCTTCTCCCTTATCAAAAAACTGCTGAAGCCATTCCGGTAGATGCGCCTCCTCTTTCGTCCGTTCCCAACCCGCTCCAATTTGACTGACAATTCCCTTCGCACCTTCGAACATATTTGACGAGGTCTCTGCGACAGCATCTCCGGCCTTCTTCAGAACGCTTAAGGTATAAGTTCCAGCCTGGGCGGCTTGGTATTGGATGTAAGCTAGGCCCGCGAGGATGCTCGCTCCAAACATGGCAGGTATGCGAGCCATTTTTAGAGCGAGTTTAGGGAGAATCCTAGCAAAGGAGATGGATCGGACGGCAGGGACATTGTGGATAGAGCTGGATCCGATCGGCCATGCTCGCAGAGGAAGACGTGCATTTGGCCTCAACAGGCCGCCCGCTCTTGTTATGGCATAATTGTTGTGGAGGAGACGCGCTGTGACGCTTCGTTGGCGCAATAAAGGCGCGACCCTCGCAGAGAGGATTCTACCGCTCATCACCGCTCGGTTCGAACATGAAGGTAGATGGAAGACAAATCAAAGAAAAGGTTGTGGAAATGGAGTCGACTGATATGTTCGGGGCGACGAAACGCGAGAGCAGCGAATGACGTTGTACCGAATATTCTTGTATGGAGATGTAGCAGCCACAGATGGCGCCACATCTGCAGCCACCGTTTCCTGATCTCAACCCCAAGCATAGCGGTGAAGTCTGGCGTCTATCAGGGCTCAGCTTGCGCGTGTCACCATGTTCTCTTAAAGGCAATAGTATCTGTCCTTCTGCTTTTCTATCTCCTTTCCGCATCCACCGGGGTCCTGGCGTTGATGGGTTGGAGTCATTGGATGCTTCGCACTTGGACACCACTGATACTATTGCCTCCGGGCCACTCCCAGTCAAAGAAAGATAATGCACCTTATCGAATATATGACTCAAAAACCAACATCACTCCAAAATAGGACTGATATTCGACTTCGACTTGTTTGAAGATGTGCCGGTTTCTTGTACGCATTTGGCCTGGATCTACACTCTCTCCCTAGGTAGTCCATACTCACGTATATTCCAGGTGTACAAAGGCTCTCAGCCGATCATTCTTTCCAAGTTGATTACCGAACCATCACACAGCATTCTCACTCAATCTTATGACAGCCGCCTTCGCCTTGATAGCCGCCGCCCAGTCAACGGAGACGGGTTTGGGGTTGGCTGGTACACGGAGCCAGAACTTGGGCCAGACCCATGTATCTTTACATCAACCCTGCCAGCTTGGAACTGTGTGAACCTCGAACGCCTCGCGCCCAAGACAGCCTCAAGGCTAATCTTTGCCCATGTCAGAGCCACCACCGAAGGATCCTTGGCCGAGAACAATTGCCACCCTTTTCAGCACAACACCCTGATGTGGATGCACAACGGCAACATTGGGGCCTGGAAGTACGTGAAACGGCCTCTCGCCGACAGTCTCTCGGACAAATGGTTCCTTGGCGTGAAAGGCGGCACTGATTCGGAATGGGCATTTGCGTTGTTTCTAGATACTTTGGAGCGTGAAGGAGTGGATCCCAGCTCCGAGCCTGAAGGTGGCTTCGATACGAAGACTCTGCGGCGAGCAATGAAGAAGACGATCGCCCAAATCAATGCGTTTGTAAAGGCTGTCCCTCCAGAATACAAGGTCCCGGACGTTGAAACCAGAAGTCTCCTCAATTTTGCTGTTACAGACGGCCACACTGTCATCGTTACACGATATGTCAGCTCTAAAACCGACGCGGCCGCCAGTTTGTACTACTCATCAGGCACTGCGTGGGTCGAAGGAAAGATGAAAGGGCAATTCAAGATGGAGAGAAGAGACAAAGCCTCCGACGTGGTCCTAGTCGCTAGTGAACCACTCACATTCGAGCGTCACAACTGGCTATCCGTCCCAACGAATACCATCGTCACAATATGCAAACAGACGGTGTACGTCCGGCCGATCAAGGATGAATATTATGATCCAGATCCCTCAACAGAACGCTCGACGGGTTTCGCTAGGTCCAAAGGGCTTGTGTCAAAAGCTCCGGGTGGGGGAGCTGCAACACCCACTCCGCTCGCTGGTACCCCAGTGCCACGCGCCGACGTCGAGAATGCTACTGGGGAATACATTGTAAAGGAAGATCTAGACGCATTCCGTGAGAAGATTGCGAATTTGCAGCTGCAGAAGTGCCGGGAGACCAATAGGTTGACAGACCAGGTGCGGGTTTAGGGATGATGTCTGCGCCTTTCGCCTTCGTTTTCGGGGACGCATCTGATTCGAAGGAGTGCTCTTCTCCTGTGAATTTGAAGATTTGTTATGTGAGCGCAACAATATATTATTAGGATTCGGGGATGGTAAGGAGTCGAGGGGATCCAACAAAATTAATATCAACGCGCGGAGTGTTTATGATGGAAAAGGGGTCCGAGCAAGGTGCTTTGGGGTTTGATACCAGCCACAAATTGTTCAATCAAAGTTGCTCTCACAATGTTTCATGGCGTTAGCCGTCATCTCCTCTGAAATCCGCATGTCTGAAATATTTCATCCCCACCCACGCTACTACCACCCAGACCCAAGCCATGATACACGTCAAGACCATCAGCGCCGGGTAATACCCAACAATGGGTAAGGTGGGATCATCCTCCAGCTCTGGCGGCGCGTATGGTGTTTCTCCCACATCCCAAGCCCATGACCACAATCCGAAGCAAGATCCCATGCCCACGACGAAAACAATCCACGTCACAAACAAAATGACGTAACCCCAAAACGCGGTTTCGGAGTAGTCCCAGACATCTTCGTCAGGCGGCGTGCCGGCGATAGACTGTGGTTGTGTAGCTAGCGGCGAGCGCGTGCGGGAGCCGAACATCCGACGCATCGGATCTTGGATGGGGAAATAGGAATCTGTCCCAAAAGAGGACGGCGATGGGAGTTTCCGCAATGCAGGTATGCCCGGTAACACGAGGTCTTCGTCATCTGTTGAGGCATCGGTAGTGGCCAAGTTTGGGCTGATGATGGAGGCTGTAGACGAGGCTGGATCGACAGATGCTATACTGCTGCGGATCGAGGGTATTGAGACGCGTGATAATGTGCGAAATGGCCATGAAGGGGGAGAGTCGGGCGACGCCGGGCTTGACAGATCTTGTCTGGCACGAGGAGTCGGCGGCGCTTCTTGTTCTTCGTCTGTCGGCTGCACGGAAGGCGAGCTTGCACCGGACAGAGGTGACTTTTTGACATCGGAGGTCTTTCTGTCTCGTCCTTTTCCCAGAACTGTTTTCCTCAATGACCCCTTCCTCTTTCTCTTGCTTTGGGCTTGTGCTTCCGCCATGGCACCTCGCCCTCGATGAGGAAAATCCGAGCCATCTCGATCGCCACCCTCTGTCTTGTCCTGATCGCTGTTTGTTCGGAGGAAGCTCAGACGTGAGAGCAGGTTTCCAGAGACGGATCTCCTGTGGCCTGGGGCGCCGTCATTACGCTTCCTCAGCTTGTTGCTCTCTCGAAACTCTCGCTCCTGTCCACTGTAGCCAAACTCCTCCTCGAGTTTCGGGAATGGGGTAGGTTTATCCTTATCATTGGTTTCAATGGCGCCATTGGCGTACCCATTCATGGCAGGTCCTTAGGTTTTCGCGACGTGCATGTTGTACCCCGCGGTGGTGATTCACCCAGTAGAAGACACAGAAATTGTGCGCCAGCAATGGATACAAGATCTGCAGCCAAGATTTGCCGTAGGATGACACGTGGAAAGCATTGAATTCGTGGTCGAAGTTAATGGGGTAGAGCGAGAGACTGAAATAATCGATGCCCAGAGAGGGAGAGGGCAGGCTGGAAAACAAATTGCGCTGTTTGAAGACGGCAACTTTTGCGATTTCCGGCCCCTTTAAAACTTAGCTCTAGTGTGCCTTGATTACTCGCAAACGAAAAACCTACTCACTAGCCTGCGAATGCAGACATCGACACCCGTTGAGTCGCAGTTCTCTCGAGAGTCGTAATACTCGACGGCGTTTTATCAGCTTGCTGGGCTTGGCCTTGTGTCTACAGAACGTGCGATCAATCTGCGATCGCTTGCTACTTTCTGTCCACATCCAACTCGCTTTCGGAGGCACCCATCGAACATAATGCAGCTCGCCTTACACATCGGCCTCTGCGATATCGAAATCTTAAATGTGTCTGCCATGAAGAGAACGTTTGGGGGCCGAGGATGCGCCGTAGGTGGTCTCTCTCGTCGAGATCGGTCGAGGATGTATTCACCTTGATCGATTCAGGGTGGCTCCCTTTGTAGAGCCTCAAGGCGAAAGCGATGTCAAATATATACCGGTCTTAGTGAAGAAGCAGGTACCGGTGCGATCACACACTGTATAAGCTTACCAACTGAGTTTGAAAGTGGGAAGCCGAAGCGTATCCTACACCAATCGAGTACTGCGCGCCAAGCCTGATCACAAATTGTCCCAGGTGATGCTTATGTTTAGGCACAGTCTTGCCTCTCATCTGGTCAATGGCATCCTAAGATTACCAGCTTACGTACCTAGGTACGGAGCAAGACCAGGCAAGCAACACCGGTCTGACAAGCTCAAAAAAGCTAACAACGACGAGCCTGGGTCAAATATATCTGACGAGAATAGGACAAATGACAAAACACCACTATTTCCAAACGTGAACGAAATACTCATTATTAAACGAATATCACCTTTGATCTATAGACCGTCTTGTCAGGCCGTGCTCGCAGGTAGGTCGCCTTGTGTGAAAGCGACCGATGTTCCGAGACTATTTCTTCCCTCGTTGTCCCTTTGGCAAACTCATCGATCTTTCCAAGCGTTGAATCAAACCCTCTGCACGCCTGGTAGCGATGGCCCAACTTGAGAAGAAGACAGTCGAGACCAAGCGGTCACTCACTTACACATATTATATCTCACCCAAGAGCAAGGCCGATTCCTCCAAGCCAGCGTTGTTCTTCATCCATGGCTTCCCAGACAACGCCCGCATGTGGTCAGAGGTCATTGACCAGCTCTCGGATCCACCATGCCAGATAATCGTCCCAGATTGCCTCGGCTACGCGGGTACTTCCAAGCCCACCGATGTCTCTATGTACAAGTGGTCTGGCCAATGCGTTGACCTTCTGGAAATCCTGCAGGCGGAGGACATCAAGAAGGTCATCATCATCGGTCACGACTGGGGGGCCATGCTGGCCCAGCGCTTCTACAATCGCCATCCAGAAATGGTGTCCGGGGTGATCTTGTGTAACATCTCTTATCGCCCTCCTTCCGGAGAGCAGTTCGACCTTGACGATTTTAACGCCATCACCAAGGAGCGCTTTGGATATCCCCTTTACCAGTATTGGTATTTCTTCACCTCGCCAGACGGCTACCAGATCATCGACAATAACCTTGAAAGATTCTGGGAAGTGTTGCATGGCGCTGAGCCTGACTGGATGAAGAAAATGTTCGCCGGCAAAGACGCAATGACGACTTACATGTCGGGCAACGAGCGGGTGCCTTTGAAGTCTTATGCAAAGGAGCCAAAATGGAGGGATGACTTCATGCACCGCTTCAGCAAGGATAGCTTCCAGGGCCCGACAAACTGGTATAAGGCACATAGCAGCAATGTCCAGTGGGAAGACGACAAGAGCATTCCCAAGGAGAATCATGTTGTCAATGTTCCTTTTTTTCATTGGGTGCACAGGCGACAGCGTGGGTCGAACTGACCTGATTCACATTTCGAGGGGGGCGGGATACTTGCCAGACTTCGAGATGACGGAAATCCAATCTGGTCATTGGTGTGCAATGGAACAGCCTGGAAAGGTGGCCGAAGCCATGAGAGGCTGGGTGACACAGCGGTTCCCCTAAGATAGCTGGAGACTTATGGAGATCATGCAACTTACCGGCTCAAGTTCGCGGTCGCGTCCTCTTCGACTTTCTAGAACCAAGGTAGATATCATCCAGCAAGTGGCTAATATTAAAGAACAATCACTTGATAATACCACTCCAATACTCCATCAGGGTATGCTCTTAGGCTCCTTCTGTGTTCTTTTCTCTACAGATCTAGCACAATTGTCCCAATCCCTCTTGATACACAACTCAGCATTGCCGAGCACTTTTCGTCTTCCATTAACCCCGTCCCTCTGTGCTCTACCTTGCCACTTCTGACACCCACGCGACAAGTGCCACAATTCCCAGCCTCACAGGAAGACGAAATATCCACTCCTGCCTCTTGCAACGCGCTGAGCAGGGTCTCCTCTCCGTCCACGGACAGCGACCTCCCAGAATCAGCCAGCTCCACCACGAATGGGTCTCCAGAAGTCGTGACTTCGAAATTCTCGAAGTGAAGATGATCTGAACAGATACTCATTGAATTAGCAACCTCGAGAATGGCATTCTGGAGTCTCCTGGTCCTCATACTGCTTTTTGAGGCGATTCGCAAAAATGGTACAGGCTTCGGCCCCTAGCTCGCCAACTTCGACCAGTTGTTTCATGGCTTTTTCATTCCGCATATCGTGATAGAGGTAGTGTTGAACTTTGGCTATCGTCCATTCAGGATTCGGTCGTTCAAGAAGAGTCATGTCGTCTCCAGCCTGCACCATGCCTTCCTTTAAAATTCGATACAACCAACCTGTCCGGAAGAGGTCCTGGGAGCGCTTGGATATATCTTTGACCTGAAACCGGTGATTCAGTTTGAAGCACGGCTGACGAGGCAGCGTCACTTGCGCAATGACAGTCCCAATCTGGACGACATCGCCGATGCAAATGTTTCGTTCATTGGCGTACTTTCAACGAGGTTTTCCCCAAACCCGCCCGGGACAAACAAATGTGCGCTCTGGGGGAGCTCCTCCTTCCATCGATGATAGTGGAGGGTGCTGTATTGGAGGAGCGCCATGTCGGGGCCGCCATGAAGCTCGAACGCGTGCTGGTCGCCTTCACATCCCAACTTATTGACTGTGACAGGTCCTGGTCGGACATTCTTGAAGATGGCAGATTGGACATTGATCCCGAAAACAGGCCTTACTCTGCCCGTCCTTACTTCAAGAAGCTTCTCGCCTGACCATAGCCGTTCGAGAAGTTCGATTGCATCGAGATTTTCATCCTGGAAAATCGGCATGTTGGAACGAACAGACTCAGTTGCCTCGACGGTGCACACTTCGCAGGCAGAGATGAAGGGATTTTAATGGCCACCGTCCAGTCTCCTTGCACTTCTCGCTTCACCGTTCTCGCTATTGTCCATGCTGACTGACTGGAATGAAGGGGTTGCATCCCGTCTGACGAGCATCTGTTTCGCATGATAGATCCAGCGTGGGGGTTTAACTTTTCTGCCTTTTAAGACCGAGATCATGGCAAAAGGCTTGAAATAGCTCCGAAGCGATCAGGGCCAAGGTCTTGCATTCAGTCAATCGTTCTGAATATCATATATGTACTGCTTGGTTCGATACATAATAGACGCCCCAGCCTTCCCCAGAGAGAATAATTACGCCTTCTAGAGCTCAGGGTTGTTGCACCAGTCATTTGCCATGCTAGTACCCGTGTGTCACTCGCCCTTCGGAAGGCCCACGTATTCAAGCATTGCGTTAAAATGCACGTAAATTTGGTCTTGTATGCGAAACGAGGTGAGAGCCTTTCAACAGGCAGCATCGACCAAGAGCAGAGATTGCGCCCTCGAGTTCCACCTGCCTCTTCTTTGTGTAATTCCACAAAGAGAGTGAGAGAAATTGCACAGCCACATTCCACATTCTGCATGGTTTGCTTCTCGATTACATACAAACAATTGTCGGACAGTTGATCTCCCGACCCAGTGTAACCTGTAACCTGCAGCAAGGCGCATTACCGATTCTGTCAAATTCTCTTTCCTTACAGTTCAAGGTCCTTCAAGAGGTTCGTTGTCAATTCCGTCCATTACTGGAGTGCATGGGCTACAGTCGACTACAGTGGCACGGGTAGGGAAAATGAAATTTCTCTCGATGTTGCTCGGGTATAAAGGTTGGCAAGGCGAACACGATGCCACATTGTCGCTCTCCCAGCAAAGTTTCTTACAGGCTGGCCGGTCGCCTAAGATGCTACTTGTCACACTCTGGTCAAGTTTGCTGGCCTTGACAGCTCAGGGTGTCGCCCAAGATTATGGCACTTCACCCCCGGTTTATCCCAGTCCCCCAAGCACGGGGATTGGATGGGAAGTAGCCTTTACTCAGGCCCAGGCATTTGTGTCCAACCTGACACTCGAAGAGAAAGCTCAACTGGTGACAGGTACCGAAGGGCCATGTGTCGGCAACATTGGTGGTATCCCACGCGTCGGGTTTGACGGGCTTTGTCTCCAAGACGGCCCCCTCGCCATCAGACAAGCAACATATGCTTCTGTCTTCCCTGCAGGGTTAACGGCTGCGGCGTCATGGGACAGGGGGCTTATTTATCTCCGCGGGTTGTTCTTGGGAGCAGAATTCAAAGGCAAAGGGAGCCATGTCGCCCTTGGGCCCGTTGTTGGACCTTTAGGACGCTCTGCGTATGGTGGACGTGGTTGGGAAAGCTTTTCCCCTGATCCATACCTGACCGGCGTCGCAGCAGAAAACACCATTTGGGGTATGCAACGGAGCGGCGTTCAAGCTTGTCTCAAGCACTACATTGGCAATGAGCAGGAAACGCATCGGAATCCAGCATTATCTCCGAACGGCACCACAATCGAAGCCGTCTCCTCAAACATTGATGATCGCACAATGCACGAGTTGTATCTGTGGCCATTCGCACATGGCGTCCGGGCGGGCACGGCTTCTATCATGTGCTCATACAACCGACTGAATGGGTCCTACGGGTGTCAGAACTCCAAGACGCTGAACGGCCTGCTGAAAACGGAGCTGGGGTTTCAAGGCTATGTGATGTCCGACTGGCAAGCAACGCATGCCGGAGTCCATGCCATCAAGGCAGGATTGGACATGGACATGCCTGGTGAGTACGTCCTCTCGTGCTTTAGGAGCCTTCTGACAAGCATTTCCACAGGGAGCATTGGCGGCTTGCAGAACACCTCGTTCTTTGGTGGGAATGTGACTCGAGCGATCAAAAACGGGACCCTCGACCAGGATCGTCTCGACGACATGGCCAGACGGATCATGACTCCGTACTTCTATCTGAACCAGAACGAATACCCGCCAGTCGACAAAACGGAGCCTACGCTCAACTCAAACTATCCGCCTTATGACCATCCCTTTACATTTGGGGCTTCTAATGTGGATGTTCGGAATGGCCACGGCCAACTTATCCGCGATATTGCTGCTGCTGGTACAGTCCTGCTCAAGAACACAAATGACGCCCTGCCCCTCAAGGCGCCCAAGACCCTTGGTGTATTCGGAAATGATGCCGGTGACTTGGTGAATGGACAATATTTCTTGACTTCTGCCTTCCAGAATCCATTCGGCTATGGTAAGCAGCTCTGACTTCTCTTCCCTGTGAAACACACACTGATAAGAGATATGCCAGAATATGGAACCCTTCCTATTGCTGGTGGCAGTGGGACTGGTCGTCTATCATATCTCGTCTCTCCGCTCGAGGCGCTCAAAGCACGTGCTGCCTTGGATGGGACCCTTGTCCAGTATATCCTCAACAACAACCTGCTTACTCAACCAAGTGGCCTTGGTGCGATTGTGCCTGTCCCAGAAGTCTGCCTCGTGTTTCTCAAATCCTGGGCAAGTGAGGGAAGTGATAGGGCTAGTCTAGAAGCAGACTGGGACAGCTCAGCGGTCGTCAGCTCCGTTGCTGCATACTGCAACAACACCGTGGTCATCACCCACTCAGCCGGTCTGAACGTTATGCCCTGGGCCAATAACCCCAATGTCACAGCCATTCTTGCAGCACATCTTCCGGGACAAGAATCTGGCAACGCTATCGTCGACATACTCTACGGAACGGTCAACCCGAGCGGCAAACTGCCGTATACCATCGCTTTGAGTGAGAGCGATTATAGGTTTAGCGACATCACCAACTCCACCAAGTTGCTGGAGACCGAAGATCCAAACGCATGGCAATCGAACTTCACCGAGGGTTTGCTGATCGATTATCGGCATTTCGACTATTACAACAAGTCCGTGTTGTACGAGTTCGGATTCGGCCTATCGTACACTACCTTCGACATGTTTGATTTGAGCACGGACATGCCCAACACGACTATCAACCCCCTTCCGGACTCTTTGCCCATAGCCCCAGGCGGGAACCCGTCTCTGTGGCAGATAGCCTGCACGGTGAATGTTACGGTGATGAACACCGGCGACGTAGCCGGCGCAGCGGTGCCGCAACTATACCTTTCATTTCCCCCAATTCCCAGCCCCATGCCCACACCCCTGAATGTGCTTCGCGGCTTCGACAAAATATGGCTTGAGCCTAGCGAGTCGCAGACCGCGAGCTTTCTGCTGACGAGGCGGGATTTGAGTTATTGGAACGTCGAGACGCAGGAGTGGGTGATTCCTATTGGGGCATTTGAAGTGACTGTTGGGTTCAGTTCGAGGGATTTGTGGTTGAAAGGGCAGTTGACTGTCACAGAACGAGATTGAAACCACTCGAAGTGTAATTCTGGCCAAGTTTGAGTCACCATAGCATATTGCACGGAGCCAAGGACAGAGGACAGCATCGGCAACTAATGGAAAAAGAAAGTCAGGGGAATGAGAGTTCTGTTTTTGGCGTATGGAGGTCCTCGTCCGCCTCCCACTCAAATGTTCTCCATGCCATTCTCCTAGCAACAGACACGTCTTCAAACCTGATCTTCGACTGCTCCTGCAGCTTCATGCTAGTATCCAATTCACGTAGATACACCTAACCAAGCGTCTTTGTATCAGTACGTCACCGATGTAGTGTGCGAACTGCGCCTGTAGCGGGCGGCAATACTTGGAGCTGATCTGGTTCCATGATATGATAGTTACTTGGGCCCTGTAGACGAGACTGGGGATTCAAGAGTTTGACTAGAAGGCGAGCTGCAAAGCTGCGAACCCCACGACAGCCCAGACTCCGACAAGGGGCGAGTAAAGGCTGGTGCAAGGTGAACTACATAGAGGGAACTCCGCAGGATGTGTGCATTTAACAAAATCCCTTTCAGGGCCACTTAATTCTCAGCACTTCCAATCTCAGGATGGTCGTTGGTTCGCGGTGACGAGAAGTTTGGTTGGTTACTCGACTTTCCCAATTCTGCATTTGCTTCACCCGCATAGCCTCCCATCCCAGATCTCAGTGATCAAGATCACATATCACGGTGCATATACAGGACATGGTAGAGATCGCTTTTGAAATGGTGAAAACACGCACGGCACATTTTATACATGAATCTCTGCCAAATCGGCTTTGGACATGAACCAGTACTTAGAGTGGAGGCAGCCCTTCTCTGCATACAGGGCAAACGAGCCTCATATTCATCCATCCCTCAAGACACTCGGCATGAAATATATGCCTACAAGGAGTCACCATATAGTTTCTCTGCTCAAGCCATGCCACTCCGGTACCCATGCCAAGAGGTCTTACACTTGCATTGTCTGCCTTCGTCAGGACAGGCACATCGATTTCGTTCATGCAAATGGCGCAATCAAACACTTTACGTGTCTTATCCTCTTTGTCTTTGGCTTCAGACGCAGACACGAGCCGCCCAATTGACATTGCATTTGCTTCGACGTCATCCTCACGCAGCAGAGGATGGTAATCGTAAGCCGGCGGGCACCAAGAATCTTGCACGAGAAGACGAGGTCCCAGGAACTGCTGGCTCGCAAGAACGGCAACTTGAAGCCACAACCATGCCAGCAATATGAAAGCTGCGGTCGGACTAGTGTCGATAGAAAGGAGGTTGTGGACCGCGAAATACCAATAGAGGATCGGAACGGCGCGAAGAATACTTGTCCCAAGCACATATTCCCAGCTCAAGGCCTTTCGACAGTTACGCATTGCGTTGCGATAGATCTGTGGCCACCAGTAGGAGAAGTAACAGAAGACCAGAAGGTTGGCATAAGCCGATCGCAAAGTTCTTGGCCATGTTGTGGCCCACAGTGAGAAAAACATAAGCATCACGAGCGAGAAGTAGAATCTGCTGTAGATGGCAGCAAATGACGCACGCGGACTTGGAATTTCTGCCGGCACAGGATTACCCTGATCGGAGGGGATGATCACTGGAGTAGCTCCTTCGGGCCGTGGAGCTGTAGCTGGAAGTGGTAGGCTGACAGTACCTTCATCAGTTGATGCCGGCGCTCCTGTCGAAGCTGGAGCGGGTGCAGCTGCTGTATTGCTAGCAGTCCTCTGTTGCCGTTCATGTTCTGCGCGTGCAGGGTCGCCGGCCTGGACTGTCCATATGTCAAAGACAAACTTCACTTCTAAGAAAGCAACATGTATGCAGGTCAAGTAGGCAGCAGCTGCAACTATTAGAAAAGCCGCATCATCTATCATGAGCAGGGCCATAAGCGCAAACAAGAGCAAGCCATCACCAAGGGCACCAATGACGATGCTCTGATAGGCGATGCGGCTCCGAGTTGAGGGCGTCGAAGCCTTTTCCATCTGCCGTTTGAGAAGAGCGATTTGCATCCCGATGGAAATAACGTACGCAAACAGCAAGCGCTGTGCCAGACCCCAATATGCTTCGATCTTAGGTCCAAAAATTGTGGGAGATGAAAGGATGTAGCCGCAGTCGGGCGAAAAGATGACAGCTGAAAAACTTAGTGGGGGAGGCTTTCCGACCGGAGCGCCGTCTGGCTGAGAGAGTTCCTTTTCAACTTGATGAAGGAACTCGCTGGTCCTTATCAAATCGAGACTCGGAAATCTGTATGGGATCGGCTGCAGCCAGACAATGAGTTCACACTGAGGGGCAAATGCCAGTCCATCGCCTCCGTCATCGAAGACTTTATCCCAAATCTTGTGCATTGTCTCGTTCATCACAGATATTGATGCGTTGAAAGCGCCGGCGTCTAGTGCAAAATGTGGGAGAGCAGGCAGAGAGTCGAATTTGGAACTGGCTGTAGACATGATGATCTGGCCCGAAGCAAGATGAACGCCTTGGACTTTTGCCTGCCAACCATTGCCAGGAGAGGAATCTGTCCAGATGTATATGTCTGCTTTGATCGAAGAGGCTTCATGAACGGGTCTCTCACCGCGATCATAGAGCGAGAGACTAAGCTCGCCTTCACCTTCGGTGACGTTCCTTTCAAATCTGGGCATGAGATAGTCCATTTTCGGGTCCAGGGCGGTCAGGTTGATGACAGGGGAGATGCCTGGAATTTCGTTGTGGTAGAATTTGCCGCGGACCTCGCCCGTGACTCTCTGGAAGATGGGCAAGTTATCGGTCACGTCGATTCCATTCCAGTTGGTTGCAAACTGCCCCCGGCTAAGGTCTTGCGCGAGGGCAAGGGAACCCCAGTCATAGCCATCGACTTCTCGAAAGCCTGTTAGATTCAACCAACTGTTCGCTTTTGGGCTGAGTTGGCCATAAGATGAGTTTGCCAAAACATCATGTCCGGCCCGCCGCTCTTCTTCGATTCGATCCGAGTCGATTTGGCGCAAGCGTCGTGCGGGTTGTTCAGGAGTGAGGAAAACAAATAGGAGTAATACAATCAACAGTGCGACCCGTGGACTCTCCATCCACTGGGTTGTAGCCTTCTGCGACTCATCGCAGAGTTTGACAATGATGGTAATTGAGATGGATTTGAGGAAGACAAGGGTGGATGCGTTGTCGAGAGACAGCCCAACGAACGGCTGGGTTGTTGTCGGATAATCAATTTCTCCACTGCGACTCCGCATGTAAACTTCCCCTGTTGGGCCCATGCTGATCCTCACTCTAGAGAGAAGAATACCCAGTCTCTTGGTATTGCATAGCATTTACACAAGGCACAGACACCTCTCGGCATTCCAAGTCATCCTGGGCACCTGCCTCTCTCAAGGGCGACAGAATCCTTGCAGGCCATGGCCAATTCAATGCCCATTCCCCTACCTCCTCGAACGCCTACACCTCCTCCTGACGAGCCGCCGCCTCAGAAACTCGCAGCATTCGATCCAGACGCTCCATATGACCGGAAGTCACTGTCGCCGCACCAGTTCGAGCCTGAACACATGGCCTCGTCTGGAGTCGCTTACTTCTCTCCTACAACCCCTGAAAAGCAAAGCGCAGGTGGAAATGCAAACGGAAACGGAGCCGGCCCCTTCAACTTCCAGCCATCGACGCTGGCAAAGTCACCCATTATCAAATCTGTTCGTGGCTGCCCCAGAATATCTATAACTCCCCCAACTCATTGGAGCATCGCTAACTTACTCCGTCTCAACTGAATAGAACATCGGTCAAAGGCGCGGCCATAAATACAAGCACAGCAGCGTCTCGCACCAGATCTTCCTGGAGCCTCCTCCACGGGCACCGTTGGCACTGCCCAATTCGCTTCCAATCCCTACCTTCGCGGAATGCCGAGCTAGTATGACTAAAGATCAAAAAGTTCGCTTCTACTGGAGCATATGCCACATGGCTATTGCAGGCTACACGGCGTGGAACTCGCATGGTTCGTCGGCCATGGAAGCTTTATCACACTTGATCTTCTATGATTCCTTAGGGGCATTGCTGTGTGTTTTAGTGGAGGTTCTTTCCAATTTTGAAGTCTGGGGACGATCAAGCCTGCGGCACCCGTTTGGTCTGCAGCGCATGGAAGTCATTGCAGGATTCGCCTTGTCTGTACTGTTGATTTTCTTTGGCTTCGACCTCATCTCACATAGCGCAAAGCACGCCCTGGAAGGCATTGGCCATGAGCCTCACCATCCACACACCCACGAACAAGTCACGGCTGGCACCGTCGATGTGACGGCGATACTGGCCCTAGTGGCGACGTTGATATCTGCAGTCGGCCTGCAGAACCACGCACGAATCGGCAAGGCAATGCGCTTCGCAGCAATGGAGAACCTGCCCTCTCTTCTCAGCAATCCTTGTCATTTTCTGACACTTTCCTGTTCAGCAATTGTCCTGCTACTCCCTCTACTAGACCTCCATACTTATGAATGGATGGACAAGGCACTGTCACTGAGCATTGCATTTTCTATGCTCTTTCTGGGCTTCCACCTTGGCCGCAACGTTGGCTCGATGCTCCTGATGTCTCTTCCCTCGAAATCCGCTTCTGCGCTGTCTGAAGTGGTGGAGGCAATTGAATCTGACCCGTTGGTGCGGGCGGTCGAACAGGCCAAGTTCTGGCAAGCACATTACGGGACCGGAATGGCGAATCTGCGTCTCCGAGTCGTTGGCAGTGAAGAGACCTTGGTGAAGCTCAGGGAGCGAATCACGAGCATTGTCCGCAACAAACTAAGCGGCGGGTATGGATTGGGCAGTAGTGGGCAGAGATGGGAGGTGAGCGTCCAGTTTAAAGTCGAAGTTGAAACGGCCATGAGTGCCAGTCATAACCATTTCATGAGTCCTCAGACATGGGTGGGAATGACCAGTTAGACTGGGACCGAGGGGCTGCTCTTGGTAATATATGTACAGTTATCTGACGACCTTGACGATCTGATTTGCCCAAGCGCAATGGCTCTTGATGCCGTGGGACAATGTATATTAACAGGCTTACCATCATGGTGCCCAAGCTCTTGCAACTGAATTCCATCAGCTGTTGTAGAACGCCAGTCGAAGAACTCCTCGCGAAAGACTTTGGACGTAGAGCAGAAGGTTAGAAAAGGTACACTTTTGCTGAGTTAGGTTATTCGAAGATCGCTGGCTCAGGACGGGTCTCTGGGGTTTCCTTCCAGTGAGCCAGTGCTGGCTTCTTGGTGTTCCCTATAACACGGTCACGTCTAGACCAATGCCAAAGTCTTCGGTGTCCGTGATGACCAACTCGAAGGCTGGTTATGTGCCTCACGGTAGGTGGTTCCTTTTTGGCACCATTGTTCAGGTTCCACGCATCTTGACAGTTAAGAGAGCCTGCCTGAGAATAGCGCCCTCCATAGGCACGACCTCGGCGGCACCGACTTCCTCGATCTTCTCTCGAACGGTCTTGAGCAACGCCTCCGCTTCCGCCTGGGAGGCTTTTCTCTGGTGTCTTTTGTTTGCCAGCAATAGTTCGACCTTCTTTCCCTTTTTAAGAAATTCTTGCATCTGCTTCATCTTGAGCTGGAGGTCGTTGGCGCTAATGGCCCAATTGAGCTCCAACTGTTTCGGTCTTTTCTCCTTTTCCAGTCGTTTCTGGTTCTTCAACATGTCCTCTTGGCGGTTTATTCTTTGGATCAGATCTGCACGGGTGACGATCTGTACAATAGCCATCTCGCCTTGTTCGGGCTTGTTCATTTGTAGCACATACTGGTTGGTCCGGTCAATAGAATCGAGCAGTTTGTAGAGGGGTTGTGGCTCAGAGAGCTTTCCATCAAGCCCTTTGAGCTGGACTTTAGGGGATCGGATCTTTTCATTGAGAGTGAATGCGGCGATTTTGTCGTCGATGGTTTTGATCTCAATTTTCCCAGCGACGCGTCGTTGGTCAATCGCGAAACCGGGAGTTGCAGAGAAGCATCTCGGCAATGCTTGCAGAAGGTGTTGAGCAGGTAGCAGGGCCCGCAGGAGCGGTCGAGCAAACAATCCAGGCCGCCGCATTCAAAAGTCAATCGAGATATCCTGTCGAGGGTCAAGAAGAGTGTTACAAAAAAGCAGCGCAATTCTCGTCATTTGCGACCCCAACTTGTCCAACCTTGAAGAGGGACACCGCCAACACAAGCCTCGCAAATTTCTCCGCATTGACGGCCCCCTGTCCAAAGCCCTTTGACCTCGCCGCATCCTCTACGACAGAAATTCAAAAATACTAGATTGCACACTCTCCTTTCCTTTCTCCTCCCACTCGCTTTGCCGATTTCCATGTCCTCTTTTTCCAAGTCCTTAGACCGAGCCGGCATCTGGTCATACGTTCCTTTCAGTTCCTCTCCCCGCCGTCGTTCCGTTAGTAGCGGACTTCCTCGCGCAGCCGCCGCCCCCTGGGACCCCTTTGAAAAGACAGATCGACAAACAAGTGGCACGGGCGCAAGCCAACTGTCCATCCTGGAGTCGGTTCAGAACGCCTGGATGACTCAAAGTCGTCAGGCTCGTTTCTTAAAGACCGGAGGGGTTCTGGCTCTGATCGTTCTATTATACTGGTTCCTCTCAGGAGGAAATGGGAGCACATATAGCTCTGTCCCCGACTTCTACACCCCCTCCAATTCTCCCACTTCAAGATGCACGAAACCGTATGACTTTTCGAGACCTCTTGTTCAGTATGCCATTATGATCGACGCGGGTAGCACTGGGAGCAGGATTCATGTCTATAAATTCAACAACTGCGGTCCAACCCCGGAACTGGAGAATGAAGAGTTCAAGATGACGGAGAAGAGGCCAGAAGGTTCCGGGTTGAGTTCATACAAGACAGATGTCGAAGGTGCTGCTAGGAGTCTTGACCCCCTCATGGAAGTCGCGATGGCTTCAGTGCCAAACGAGTACAAGTCATGCACGCCCATTGCGGTCAAGGCAACCGCGGGTCTACGGCTGTTGGGAGAAGAGATGAGCGTCAAGATCCTCGAGGCTGTTCGGAATCGCCTGGAAACTCATTACCCTTTTCCCGTAGTGTCTCGAGAAAATGGGGGTGTGGAGATTATGAAAGGCGAGGATGAGGGTGTCTTTGCATGGATTACTACGAACTATCTGTTGGGCAAGATTGGAGGACCCGACGAGACTCCAACGGCGGCCGTCTTCGACCTCGGAGGCGGTTCAACTCAGATTGTCTTCCAGCCGACTTTTAAGAACAGTCCGCATGGAGGCATGCCCCAGAAAATGGAAGAGGGAGATCACAAGTATAACCTCAAGTTCGGTGGGCGGGAATTCGAGCTTTATCAGCATTCACATCTCGGCTACGGCCTCATGTCTGCGCGGAAAGCCTTGCATCAACTGGTCCTTGACCGCATGCATAAGCAGAGTCCGGATTCGAAGGCCTGGCTCAGCAAACCCATCCCGAATAGTTGCATCGCTCCCGGCGCACAGAAAAAGGTCGTCGTCGAAATGCCCGCTGACCACGAACTGTCAGGCGAACACTCGGTGATAATGGAAGGTCCCGCCGACGCCATCCCAGCCCAATGCCGCGCCCTGGCCGAAGCCATCCTGTACAAGGACAAAGAATGCACGCTTGCCCCCTGCTCCTTCAATGGCGTGCACCAACCATCGCTCGAAAAGACCTTCTCTAGGGAGGATGTTTACATCTTCTCGTACTTCTATGATCGCACACACGACTTGGGTATGCCTGAATCGTTCACTTTGCGCGAACTCCAGGATCTCACCGCCAGAGTGTGTGGGGGAGAACAATCATGGGATGCGTTTGCTGGGATGGAGGGCGCTCTGGACGATCTCCGAGAGAGACCCGAGTGGTGTCTGGATTTGAATTTCATGTCTGCGCTGCTGCATACGGGCTATGAGATGCCAATTGATAGAGAGGTCAAGATTGCAAAGAAAATCAAGGGGAACGAGTTGGGATGGTGTTTGGGCGCGAGCTTGCCGCTGTTGGAGAAGGAGAGTGGGTGGCAGTGCCGCATTAAGGAAGTCTCGTAATAATATTACTGCGATGTGGCATAGCTGTGTCTATGACTCTTCGTCATTCATGATCTTGGGGATGGGTGTGCATGGCCGTGATCAGAATGGGTGCGGGAGGACATGGTTTCTGTATGGTTACATCGCATTATGGTCTGAGATTGATGCCTCAACAGTCAGACTAGACATGACTGGGACTGAGCCGAGGTGAAACTCGCTCTTAGGGTATAGAATGATAAAATAAAACTTGATTAATGCCCATAGCTCTTATGCTTTAGTTGCCCATCTATCGGGGCTCAGCTTCAGCGTCTATGCGCCTCCTCCCACTGAGCTTGCATTCTACTTCCGTCTACACAGGGAATCCAGGAACGCCACCGCTAATTGAACACAACCGACGTCGCATCTTACTATCTAACGGTCTCCATAGGCCTGATGCTCTAACATTCAGAACCCACCTTTGCCTAATAGTTCCTCCCCAACCTCTTTCAACAACTTCTCCCCTTTACAATCTTCCCTCTTCCCTAGCTCCTTCAGAACATCCTTGAGCTCCATCGCCGGACCCAGATCCCAAAGCATGTCCTCGGCCGGGGCTGAGTAGAGAAGCACACCAAGGGTAAGTAGGAGAGCGTGAAGCGTGTCTTTGAGATTGCCGCCGCCTGACGGAGTTGGGCTTGCGGGCGGACTGAGTGTTGCGAGGGACGAGGTGCTTTCGAGCAAAGCGGCGGCAAGGTCGTCGCTCACTGCACCTCCTTCTTGTGCGGGTGCCTCAATGGATAACGGTGGGAAGTTATGCGCGTATATCCGAGCATTATGAGTCCAACTGGCAAGGTTGTATATCAACGCTGCAGCCATGGATCTCGAATTCAAATGCTGCGATAGCAGGCACTGCGCCGCAATGACTTCGATCTTCTCTTTCAGGTTGCTGGTGGAGGAGGAAGATGACGACGAGCGCAGATCGAAGATCTGCTCCTGGAAGATATTGGAAGAGAACAAGTTGCAGGCAAGTTGGAGAGTGACAGATTGAATGTTGTAGGGTGCGTTTGCGAAGTCGCCTTGCGAGATCTGGACTGTATTGAAGAGTGTTGAGAGTGTGCGATGTTCGTGTTCAGCGGTCAGAAAACTGGCGACACGGGGGTCAACAGTCGCAACCCGTACGAGATCGATAGCTGCGAAAAGGTTCTCTCCCGGAAGGCTGGTAAACTGTGAAGCAATATGGTCACTGAAGGCGTGCAGATCTGGAAGTGCAGCTTCCGTCATACCCTTCGCGTCGCGTGTCTTGATGTAGCTCACGAGACCCTGCACTGACTTGTCATCTGAGAAGGCCTTGTCCAGTTTCGCGAGCAGCTTTTCTAAAGGCGGCGTCTTCGTGTAGAGAATCGGCGTCTCAATAACTCGTTGAAACGTCGGTAACCTCAGCTTCGAGTGCTGATGCTGCGGCGGCTTTGCCATCTGCAGCAGCAACTGAACATTGCCTCTCAATTGCGCTGGATTGGCACCAGCCCATTCATCTTGCTTCTGCCCCCTGAGGAACGTGATAAATGTCGGTGTCGCGCGGATGCTATATCTTTGCGCGACCGCATGAGCCGAAGGGCATGCCGAAATGTCGATTTTAATTAACTTCGCACCGGAGAGCGTGCCGGCCTCGGAAGCTAAGTCGTCGTACGTAGGATAGACGATCTTACATGGCGGGCATGTCGCCGAGGTGAAGAATACCACGGCGCAGGAGTGTGAGGTTGAGGAGAGCAGGGAGTCCAGTTCAGAAAGTGTGGTTATGTTGTGGACATGGCCTGGATTATCTGTGGGTGGCTGGGCATTGATAATGGTAGGCGTAGCGAATTTGTGGGTTGGTCCTCGGGCAATCGAAGAGGTTTGAATGTCCTTGTGAACGGCGTTCGAAGATTTTTGCCCAGCCGGTTGAGTACAGCTAGCATTCTGACCGGCGACAGCATCGGGGGCCTGAGTCATGGTCCTCATCGACTCGTCAATCTGGCTTCTCAACATCTGCCCAATGGGAGTATTCAGAAAAGTTTCGGGGAGGCTTCGAATCTCGTCAGGAATACTCTTCCCCACGAGAAACATAGCTAGATCTTGGGTGAAGTTGTTGCAATTGTGCAAGAACAGGTCGTACGATTCTGGAGTGTAGATCTGTTCTAATGACTCGATGTACTCGTGGACGACATCAAGCGGGAGGTCCGTCTTGCCCAAACTCACGACTTTCATGGGTCGACCATGGTGTGTTGAACCAGGGACTTTCTTGTGAATCCCTTGGCCGAAGAAATATTCGACATTGTTAAAGACGACTGCCGTGTGATAGATGGCGTCGATGTGAATGCCAGTCAATGTTCGAGAAAACTGACGGGCGAGGCCCTGGATGGCATTAGATTGTTTCAGCGATGGCTGTATATAGGATGGGTGTTATATACCTGTGAGAGGTCGTAGATGTACAGCTGGACTTCCATAGCTGTACGCGAGTGATGTTCAACGACGCTATCACACTATGTGTAGGTGGGAACGATATATAAGCTGGATGTGCGCTGGCGAGTTCATCTCAGGCGGCAAAAGTACGTCAGCTACCGCAGCCTCGCAGCCTCGCGAGGTGTTGGAACGTGTGGCGTCACTAACACGATCTTCCCTCTGCTGTGACAAACTCCAACTGTCCCTCCATCCACTCACAAGATTATTTCTTCAAAGCCCATCTCGATCCAAACTCGGCGCGAAGAGACGACAAGGTCATCTACATATTACCCTGGACAAATGGGTGGGATGCTGGAGTGAGTTTCTCGCTACGCCTCCGTTTCGGCATCCCCCCCCGCAAGATGCCCGCCAAGGGCAAGGCCGCTGTCAAATCTACGCGAGATGGAAACCTATCTTCAACGTCAAAATCACGCCGTTCAAAGCTTGCAAAAGAGAATGACATCACAGCAGAAGAAGAAACCGCGGTCAAAGAAGCATGGAGCCTCTTTCGCCTTGACGAGGTGGAGGAATACGAAGACGAGAAGGAAGGTGTGATTCGGACGAGGGACGTGCAGAATGTGTTGAAGTAAGTTTCGATGCAAGGAGAGACGAAAAATTGGTGAATGAATCCAACGTGACATTCAGTGGCTGACTAGTTTGTCTATTGCCAGAGCACAAGGCCTCGCTCCGAGTAGTCCATCGCAGATGCAGGAATTCATTGATACGCTCGATCCTGAGTCCGAAGGCTACGTGAGGTACCCGCATTATCTGGCCTTGTGTGCCATTCAGCTGAAATCCAAGACCGATGAGACCAAAGCAGAAGAAGTCGAAAGCGCCTTCAATCTCTTCCATCCGGGTCAAGGTAACGGTGGTCAGGAGCAAGTGATTCGACTGCAAGACTTACGTGCAGTGGCAACGACGTTGAAGGAGCAGGTCGACGACGACGTACTGAAAACAATGATATTGGAGGCGAACGGGGGGAAGGGTGTCGGCAGGGGTGTGAACATGGAGGAATTCCAAGCTATCATGACAAGGGCCGGTGTCTTCCAGTAGCTTGCTCTGCTCTGGGAGTAGATATGATTGATATTAGACTGCACAACACGAGACCAGAGATTGATATATCAATGTCTCCACACAAATCAGTCTGCAGCCCATGATACAGCCGCGACAAAAAGAGAGGCGTGGAAGTCTCGCAGCCAGATTTTGTCTTCTGGCCGTGGAATCGAGACCTGGCACTTTTCTAGCTTCCCTGTCCACACTGGCTCGCTTTAGAGCGAAATGAAACGGCCAGCTCTAGCATAGATAGAAGCATTCGAGATAAAGAGTCACCCAAGAAGGCTCAAGACTCCAGATTCTGGGTTGATGGCGGTGACCGCTGGTCAAAGCAAAGGTGCCTTGCTCGAGCGGAATCAAGCCAACATTACACGGGGCCTTCGACTTCAGGGTGAGAAAAATGAATGGCGTTAAGCGACAATCTTTAGTTCACGGTGCCTCTGGAGCGAGTTCTATTCCACTCGGACATGAAGAAGAGGAGCAAAAATTGATCGCGCGAAATTATTATACTCTATATTACGTAGTATTGGTAGTAATTTCGACGCCGAGCATTTTAAGGCGAAATGAGCGAACAGGCTCTAATTCTAATTCCAATTCTGGTTGCATCGTGACACTCTGGGAGCTGGAGCGCTCTGCTTCCTGCTTCCAAGACAGAGCACGAGACCTCATGAGCAAACTAAATCCTTGGAAAGCAGGCTACGGAAGAAGCCTTCTATGCGCGCTAGCGAAGTGACATATCCTCGAGAATCCCCAAAAACAACGACCCATATGCACCAGAGGTTTACTGAGGCGTTTTTTTTATGCTGGCTCGATTTGTGCGGCCACATTCGCCCTGTTGATTGCGTTTGGCGCCAAATGCTGTGCGGTGCTTCCGGATCCCCCAGGTCGGGGCATCATTCTGTATCCTGGAGCGTGTCAGCGCCCATGAGCGCGATTCGCCACAGATTTCTGGTCTACCTTAATGCGGCCTTACGCTCCCAGACTAGGGGATGTGTCTCACGCCTTGTCCCTATACAACAGTCCCAACTACCAGTCCGAGGGCGGATGATATGGGCAAATATGTTCAACACCCTCGACCCTCCAATGGAGTCTTTCCTGACGCCCTTACAGACGGCAGGTTAGGATTCTTCCCCTTTCCTGTCATTCTTACTTCACGGATACAGATATATGAAAAATCCTCTTCCGAAGTGTGGTCCAGCTACCCCTGGTTACGCCCAGAACGACCCAAGCCATCCAATTCTTCATGTATAATCATTATTGTCATCTATTCGAAATAATCATAATCATACAGTTCTTGCTGGATTCGCTTTTCATTGGGTTCTCCTAGGAGAAACCCCTAACCCACAAACACAGTCCAGAGAGGAGAGAAGTCTTTCTTCAGGGCGATCCAACATAATTGACTATCTCCCATATCGGTCCATGTAATCCGACCATCTATTCTCGAAGAGAACCTTTTGTGGTATCGTGATGCGTTAACAAACTCTGTCCGGGCTCAGTTGGGTCAAGTGATATCCAACGTATCCATCCTCCATATCTCAACATGTTGTACATCCTTCTCCTGGATTCTCTTCACTCGCCGCCTATGCACGGTTTCTTCCTTCCACTCGTCTCTCTCACCATGGTACCCATTACTAGCGGCTTTTCGAACATCCTCTCCGTCATCGACTCTCCTTCTGACGACCTCCTCCACAACTCCTCCGATTTCCCAAACCTTGCATCCTAGCCCAATATACTTCAATTTTGGAAAATCCGGCAGCTCGGCTCGCCCTGGGCCAATGTGCTCGGACAGAGCCTCGCTCATCTTCTGCTCATGTACAGAATCCGGAAGACCCACAAAACCCTCATGCGCCTCTCTGCTTTTCCTGCCATCCTCCCCGAGAAAGACATCCGGCGGGTAGGTGGGAGCGAGCACACGGATCGCCCACAACTCGCTTAAAAATGGCATCAATAGCTTCAACATCTCAGCCTGAGACTCCTCAAGACATTCAATTGCGGCGGCGAGCTGTGTAAGATTCGGGCACGAGCGGATAAGGCGGGCGGTGATGGATGTCGGCAAGGGCCAGCGGGAGGGTAGAATTAGGTGTTGAAGCGTAGGGCCGCAGATGGTGCAGATGTTAGTGATATAAAGATCTCTTAAGGAGATTGTGGCTGAATGTGAGGCTGAGCTCGTTGGCGTATTCCTGGCGGAGGCAATTCCACTGCCGCTTCGAGGCGACTGCTCAGCTGAGGTGGGAGCGGAATCTGAGGTGCCATTGCCGTTGCTGGGGCCTTGGACGTTGCAGTCTGCGATAGTAGTGCTGGGTCCGCTCGGTTTGTATCTTGCATTGACAAGATACAATCTCTCCAGCCCAACGAATTGGGCTAGGTCCAACGCATGCCGTTTATGCAACTGATCTAACCTCAGAGATTTGGGTCTCGGTTGATCTTTCTTCGTGTTCACCATCATATGCCATGTGCGGTCGATAAAATGGGTTGAGCTTTCCCTCCCCGATGCAGCAACATCCTCGTCCAACCCAAACGTATTCAACACAGTCACATCCTCGATGGTGCTGGTCTCAAAGGCAGCCAAGCACTCCGATGTATCAGCGTTAGCGAGAAGGTTGTACACGCCCATTTTGCGCAACCGAAGTCTCCGTTTTGCTGCAACATTTTTCCGGAAGAAGTGCGTGAGCACCACAGACGGTTCGCCTTGTTCGCGCATCCGGGGGGAGAAGTGCAAGATAAGGCTCGAGAGGCATGTCGCGTGGAGGAGCAGGGTAGAGATGTCGTCGGGAAAACATAGAGGATCGTAATGTGTTATTGTTAGGGACTTGAGATTGGGCAAAGCTGGGATTTCGTGCGATGGCTGAGGAGAGCGGTTTGTAGGGAAGCGAAGCCAAAGTTTCTCCAATCGAGAGAGCTTCGCTAGTCCAGCGTACATGTTCGGTTGTAATCTGACATCCAAATCCCACCGAAAGCGCTCCAGATAGGCACATTGGTCGATGGCAGCCCGCAAGGCGATGTTCAGCACCATAATACTCTCCGAAACGCGACCAGCTCTTGAATATTCGTGTAGATCGGATGCACTGTATTCTCCATCCAAGCTCAGTGAGCGGACCAAGCTCGACACGTTTCTCGTCACCAAGGCATTCAGACCCATGGAGAAAGGACTTGCGCTGCCAAACCCCTCAGGCACCTCGTCCTTGTAGCGGATAGTGCTGTATGATTTCAGAGTGACATTTTTCCACAGATGCGGTAGTGTCATGTACCAAAGGACGCGTGAGGTGCGACAAAGCCGCGCAAGGGAGGCGACATCGTCGTCCAGGTATGAGATGATGTGGGCAACAGTGGTGAGAGGAAGCGTGTCCACGCCGAATGCGCCTTGTACTTCGGGGCCATTGCAGTACAGATGGTTGGCGCGCAAAGTCATAATGTGGCGTCATTGAGGAAAGCAACAATGACTATGGCGGTCGGTACATGTCCTTGGTCTGGGGGCATGTGTATCCTCAATACATTTACAGAGTTAACAGGCCGAAAATGGCAGTTGAAGTTCACATGGTAATGCTATCAATGCCAGGCAGAACAATTCGCCATGTTGACTAATCTGGGGAGCATATGCTCCGCAGCAGTGCTGAGACTAGTCCGCAGCATAGGCCTCCAACAGCGCAATAACATGTTGTCATGAGTCTTGCCTCCCGACAACGATCGCTCACTGGAGGCATTACTTACGCCTTGTCATCTTCAAACCAGTATGCACGGTCGATTGTGGAGAGACACGAGTTGGAAAGACTATGTATGTCCGGGATTTTTCTCCTCCAAATGCCACGAAAGTCGTCAGCAGACGGAAATATTGTAACTGATTTGTGAATCTAATGTAACCACTAAGTCGAACATGATGCGGTGCCACCCGTATCTCTCTCATCAGCATCCCCACTATCTGGGGTCGGTGATGTACTTCTGCGCAGCTGCTCGATGAGTGGCTGATCTGCCGTAGATGTAGCTGAAGAGGAGTTCCCGACATCGATATCACGAGCAGACGATGCCACATCAGCGCGTGCGCGTTGGCCCGTAGTATCAGCCATCCGAGCTCGATCTGGAGGAGCGTAGGGCTCTGGGCAATGTTGAACTGGGCCCGATACTTCGCTGCCCACTTCATTTGTAGTGTCTTCCGCAATTGGAGCAATGGCCGGAGGCCGGGCGTACGCCGTGGACCTTGACAAACCTGTTTGAAAGGGGTCTGCCGTCCGGCTCGTCCTAGCCTCTGGTTCAGAGATGGTGAGTGAGCCCCGGTGGACGAAGGTTTGCTGAGCTCGCATGGCCTCGCTGGGACTCGCCGAAGAGTTTGGGAAGAGGGCAGCGTCGGGACGCTGAGGCCCCGGAGTGAGCTGAGAGCGGACATGCGGCTCATCTGGAAGCCAGGTTCGATCGTTTATAGAGTCTGGAATAACAATCGCCTGGCTCTGGTCGGGAGCATTCAGGTGTTCCACAGCAGATCCTGACTGCTGGCCCGAAGTATTTGCTGTTTCCATGCGAACAGAATCATCATCGGTTGACCGGTCACGAATATCGTCAGGAGACCATGTCCGATCATTACTTTTCGGTGCCGGAATGACTGTGACTGGCAAGGCAGCTACAGGTGCATTTCCTCGACTGGCAAACCGCTCTCTTTGCGCAGACGCAAATGCCCCGAGTCGATCTCTTAGATTAAGGGTGCGATCGATTGGTGACCGCCGCACCCCATTTGCATTCTGTGCATCAGCCACTTCTGCTGGGGGCTCTGATCTCCGTCGTTTGAAGGGATTGGGCATTGCCTGCCAAATGGTTCGTCCTTGGCGACCTGGTTGCATCGGAAGGACCGTCTCCAATGCGAGCTCCTTTTCAACGTCAGAGGGAGAAGATCCGGCGTCGTCAGACACTTTCGGAACATCGAAACCAATAGGCCCTTCCGGTTGGGACCGAGGTTCGGGCTGCGGTTTGGGCGACGGACTCGACAAGTTGTGATAGCGGACGGCATACACTGTGCTGGCGGCGCTCCCCGTGTCACTTCTGCTGGGGGGCATCATGACCTGCTGAGGAATCACATACCTTGAGTCCGGGATGGTTTGAATGCCCGTGTCAGTCGCGTCCGCACCGGCGGCGATTCCGTCGGCAGGAGGCCTCCTCCGCCTCTTTCTCAGCGGAAGCCGGACACGAAGGCGTTGATATCGGGATGCCATGCCTTCTGCCATCCCCTTCCGTCGACCTACTTCTTGATCAGGTCTGGAATCATCTCCTCGCCAACTTGCATCCTCCGAGGGTGTCATGTTCAACATCTCATCGCCGTCAAAGATCTCCCTCCCAAGAATACCATCCTTTCTTTCATCTCGCTCCAATGATTCAATTCGCTCGACCCATTCCCAAACAACCACACTTGCAGCTGCAGCGCCGACCCACCGAATATATTCACCCCATCCTGCCAAATCTGGTTGCGATATGTCCAGAATGAAAAAGACTACAGGGATCACAACTGAAACCAGTGACAAGAGCGCCACCAAGCAGATATTTTTCATCTTCGGATGCCAAAATGCAAAGCGCCTTTTGCAAAGACAATAATACACCACACAGGATGCGTAAATTAGCGAGATCGCTAACTCGAACAAATAATTGAGAGCGGGGATTGCGTCCGAAAAGCTCCTCGGCCGGGTCCTTGGGTTGCCGCTGACAAAAGAGTCCAAAATACTGAAGATGGTGTCGAAGGATACCATGGCGAATCCAAGCCATTTGATAGTGACTTTCTCTTTATGTCGTGGGAACAGCCGTATCAGTGTTTGCACCTGGGCCAGCCACAAGAACGTGTCTGAGATGACTCGGATGATGCGAATTTCCAAACTATCGACCACGTTGTCGACCAGCTGGCTCGAGTCAATATAGCCCTGGTTATATTGCTTCTCGGCGACGTGGAAAGTGTCTGCCGTAGCGATCGTGAGGGAGATCGCCACGGTGACAGTGGCAATCTTTTGCAGCAGAGGCCTCCGTCCCACGCCAACGATGGACGACGATCCATACGATCCTGTTATCATGCCACGACGGCCCAGGAATCGGGCTCCCCCTCCGCCTCCTGGACTTCCGACATAGAAGGTCCTTGGAGTAATGAAAATGAGGATGACGAGGATATAGCTGATGACGGTTGCCGTGGCAAGGGCGAAAATCTGGGGTGATATTGAGGCATAGAAAGGATTAGAGAAGCCAATGACGGACGAGTTGCCAGTGGTGTCGGGGCTGATGATGGGTTCGGGGTTTTCGCAAGGAAGTTTGAAGGTGACTTGGGCCGAAAGGGTCGTTGTGGTATCGTCATTGAAGATAAAGATGCCTGTCTCTTGAATCAACACATAGTCTTGCATATGAATACAGGATTTGGTTGCCATTGCGCACCTCCGCTTGGCAGTATCAAAGGCGTACACCAGGCGTCGGAAGCCGTGCGGCTGGTGTGGGAAGTACTCGACTGGCCCCATAGTTGGCGAGCTGTAATTGAAGCATCAGTGGACATGCCGTGACTACCGTTGCAGTTGTGTAACGCCAGCAAGCGACTCCGGTTTGCACATTGTCAATGCACCGAGACTTTGAGGGAGTTGCAGGAGGGCAGACGCGCCGCAGGTTTTTGGTCATGCGAGCATAGGCGGAGCGATGCTATTGGGCTCGGTTCGGTCTGATAGAGGAAAAGAGGACGGCGAACTAATAGAATATAAGGTAGAATAAAGCATGCGCTGCAAAATAGAGAGACTTTGGGAGGGAACCGGTGCCCAGACAAAAGACGTACACAGTAGGTGTTGAAGAATGATGGTTCAAGTCGAAGTTCGAGAACGGGCGGCGATAGGTGGCGGGGCCAGTTTGAGCGGCAAAGCTAGATCTAACCAACACTTGCCACCATCGGCTCCGTCAACTTGTCGGTCACATGGCTCCACCCAAAGCCTCCGCGGCGATATGGCGGGATACCGTGAGGTGATAATTCTTGCAAAATTGCCGGACCTGCTATTTGCAATCGCTCTGCATGGGCTAGATCCAAGGATGAACTATGTACGTCATCGCTTTTGGCGCAGGTCTCCAGCCGGTACCCCATTGTCCAAAGGCCATCCAGGTCATCACGAGTATGGTCATGATTACACGTTCTTCATAGCTTGCGAAGGTCATTCCTCTTCTGACAAAAAAAAGATTGAGATTCGTAGACTCGTCTAAAAGGTATTTCCAACGCCGTGTCTGCGGAGCTAGATTAAAGGGGCTCTTGCAAGGAGAAGGAAAATACCCAACGCACATCACCACTTTACATGTTTCCATACCCAAACGTATGGCTGCCCCACTGCATCTGGCTGTAGTTTCGATTGGTGATTGCTTCAAGCAAGTCTCGACCACCCAACGTCGGGCCAATGCCACCAAATCCTTGGTCGACAATGGCTTCGTCACCACCCCAGAGGTTGTCAAGTGGTAGTGCGAGCCAGTCGCCGCCCGTAAGGTCGGCCATCGTCGAGCCCATATTGACATCATCCGGTAAGGGAAAGTCAATGTCATGGTCTCCGCCGAAGTTAGGAGGAGGCACAAATGTCTGCGAATCCAAATCCGCCATTGGTCGGGCTTGAATTCCAGCGAGAGGATCGTTCACGTAGAACTCGAGCTTAGGTTGGATTGAATTGCTGGCTTGAGGCAGCTGTTGTTGTTGTTGTTGCTGCTGCTGTTGCGAGTGATCATTTGCGCCGTCAGGTCCGTGGAGATGTGGAGACTGTGGGCGAGACTGTTCGCGGCTCGGACCTGCAGATCCGGTGCCAGGGTGTTGGACTCGAATCATTGTTTGCTTCACGTTGCGAACTATGTTTTGCACGAGTCGAGACGTTGAAGAGGCTAGGTGCACGTCGTCGACGACTTCTTTGGACAAAAGCTCTGTGATCTGGTCCAGTTGTTGGAGACACTTTCGCACCAGTCCTTCATGGGTGCCCAAGCTGAATCGCTGCGCCAAACAAGGTCAATTGCCAGTACCACATGTAAAAAAGGTAGGGTGGCGTCTTACCTTCAGAGTAAACATCATGCCCGACAAGCTGCGCAGGTATGTGCGGACAGGCGCGTTTCTCAGGAAGCCTTTGGCGGCGATGCCGTCAATGACAAGGCTAAGAATATTGAGGGCAGCCTCAGTGACTTCGTCAATGTAAGGCTTGTTCTCTTCTGAAATCCTGAGCAAGGTGGCTTTCCGCATGGTTGCCCCGCCTTCTACCCATGACTCCACAACCTTTTGGAGGCCAAGTGAGTTGATGTACAGGCGAGCATATTCGTATTCCATGAGTAAGATGCATTGCATGACTGGGTGAATATGATGTTTCACCTTCTCAAACTCGGTTTTCCAATGCTGAAGTAGAGGCGCGATGTTTGCAATGGCCTCCTTGTACCTTCCGGTTGTTGTCAACTCTCTTGTGAATTGATGGGACGAAAAGATTTGCCGATTTGCTTGGTTCATGATCTTGGCCACATGCACCCAGCAACCTTGCATGATGTCAATCGGATGGTCACGCTTGGGGCTGATTTTGTCCCAGACTGCGTCGGTTTCCCATTCGTCGACGTTGAGAGAAGACTGAACGCCCATTCTGCCGCTAGTCTGTGCAACGTAAACAAGGACCAGACGTCGAATGCGTCTCTTCCGTGCACAATCCGACTCGGGTCCATGCTGGTGACGGCAGTAGAAGTGGTTCGTGTCGAAGACACCCAGTTCAAATGCAAGACTCTGAGCAAGACCAAGAAGCATCCAGGACATCCTGTCAGATCGCCACGCAGGTTCGAGCCAGCTCGCATAAGGAAGATTGTCATAGTCCCTCGTGCCTCTCCGCTCATCTTGCTGTACAGACCTCTGGGCATTCGCTTCGTCATTTATAATAAGGCTGTGATCGAGAAGGCCATTTTCTTCGTCTCCGGGAGGAAAATGCAGCGCGCGTGGTTGCCAGTCGGTGAGCAACAGAAGAGCTTCGATGGTGCCCAAAGTGCGCAGGCTACCTTGCCAGGTAATTTGCCCCGTGTTAGACTCATGTATTTTTGCATTATTGCCGCCTCCGCAGAACCCTCCTCCGAATTGTTCTTGGCCCCAGAGAAGGCGTTCCACCTGACGGCGGAGGTGAGTCCAGAGTTTGTCATGGATCTGATATGACCGAGACATTGCGGCGTGACCGGAGAGGGGCATATGACGCGAAGCAATGGCGAGGATAGCCAGAGCTAGAATGGGCTCGTCAGCGAGCAGAATATGGTGTTTAATGGGCGATCTGAAATCTGGAAATACGACTGGAGTCATGGGAGCCAGCTGATCGTAGAAATATTCAACATATTGCATGGCTTCCCAAGCGGTGAACCATCCGTTGCGGACAAAGCGCATCTGTGACCAGGTTTTCAACCCGGCTTCCTGTTCCGCCTGCTCAGTAGGGGATAGGCCGACACCAGGGGGTTCCTCGGGGCCGCCATGACCAAGGCTCGAAATCGTCTTCTTCCGTCCGCCCCGGTCGGAGAGCGGGCTGTCTTTGTCGCCTGGACTGACATCTTCAAAGACGTTTGCAGCATCGACAAGAAGCATGATGCTATCTTGAGTGCTTGACACAGGAGCGCCCAGAGTTGCTGCGGCTACCTGGCTGTGCAACTGAACGTCAGATGCCGGCTTGTTCGCATTTGATCCGGGATATATGGAAGAAATCTGAGAGCGATGTGAGCCGTTGCGCGGTTGTGAAGTGACTGGTGGTCCGGAGTTGTGAGCCATTTGAGGTGACCAAGATTGACGACCAAAAGCAGAGGTCGACGTCCGGGATCCCTGTGGAAGGACATAGGGGGACAGGCCATTATTATTTATAGTCGATCCTTCACCATTGTCAAATGTTTCAGAAACGGCTCTCGCGGTGCCGTCTGACTTCTTCTGCTTCTTCCTGGTCGGCGCAAATTCACACTGCAGACGCTCGCGCAGGCACCGCTTGCAGGGGGGATCCGCTGGGGCATCAACACCTGTGACATAACACCGTCAGTGAATATGAGAGCAACTGTCCTCTGTGTAACATACTGCCTAGGTCACATTTGACCTTGCGCTCGCGACATCGTTGGCAGGCTTGATAGCCTCGTCGATGAGACCTGCCTTCGCGGGGCTGTGCCACATTAAAGTCCGAGGGCTCGGGTGAAGAGCTGCTCTTGAAGGTGTTTGCATGGACCGCGGTGCTGGCAGGCAGTTGAGGATGAGCACTGTAGGCCATAGCAGGCAAGGCACTACTAATAAGTGGACCGACAGGTTCGAACGCTGAGAGTGTTGCGACACCGACACCGAGATAGCCGTCCGGAGGAGCGAGTCCAAGCGGAGGCACCAAAGGCACCACAGGCTGAGGCTGGCTGGGCTGGACAAGCTGGGTAAGCAGCGCAGGCTGGGGTTGCACGAAGCTGGAGCCGCGCCTATGTTCCACCGCGGCTACACCACCAATAGGCGGTGTCACAGCACTATTAACTCCGCTCTCATTGTCCAAAATAGCCGACGACGGCAAGGCTGCGGCTAGCCCAGGGTAACCAGGGGCATCGCTGGCCAACATATCAAAGTCATCAAACCCAGGGACGTCAACAAGCTCTGGTAGCTCTTCATACAGTCTGAACACCTGGTCGTCCATGGCGCGCCAAAATAAGTAGATGAAGAAGTGTTGACTGGACAAGAGAAGCGGCAGCAGCAGAACACCAACACGGGTTTTCTTGGTTTTGGGCATGTGTTGAATGTTACTATAGAACATGTGCTTACACTACGCGTGATAAAACCGTGCCACTGATTCACGCTCCAAGGTCCACCAGCCTCGCCTTGATCGCAGAGGATCGTGTTGAACACGTGAGGTGTAGACACCCTGCTTAGTGAATCCCAAAATGGAGACAGAGCATCGGATTAGAAGCTCATGTCGCTGTTCACACCAGGAGTTTTGTCCAGTCTTTATCATCTGTTCCTTGTTCCAGAGAAGCCTTGTCGGTATGGCAGGCCCACCGCCGGTGATGTTGTTACAAAGGGATCGGCATCTTTTTCTCTGCTGCCAACGACAGTCCCGTCAGTCTTCATGTTATCGGATTCTGGTTTCAGCGGTAGCGGCAGACTCCGGACACTGTCTTCGCTAGCTCGTCGTAGTATTTCTGGTGTCACGCGACCGCTCATTAATCCTCTAACACCACCAGCTTTCCGCGATGGCATGTCTCCTGGACCTGCAGTCAATACGTAAAGTAGGTACTTGAGATTCGGAAGCGTGTGCCGAATATCAAGAACCCTCAGACCTCGTCGGTTCATAAGAAACTCAATATCCTTGTTCAGCAGGAAGACTCCATATTCAAACTTGTATGGGACGGTGGTCGGATGCAGAGGGTATCTTCGTTGGCTGAGCCCGATTGATATCACATCAGAGATGTACGAAGCTGACCCATATGGCTCAATTGGGTATGGTAAAGGAACGGACAGGTAGAGCGCCAACTGATGCACCAATTGCGCAGTATAACCAAGAGCTGCGGCAATCTCATCTCGGTTTGTGTCGTTGTAAACCGAATTGGGCAGGTGGATGCCGCGGATGGTGAATTGAAGTGTCCGATTCTTGAGCGGTTCGATGGGGAAGATTGCAAGGAGCGACTCGCATATTCGTCTAATCTGTCCATTGGAATCTCTTGCAATCTGTTCAAGCCGAGTTTCGAGCTCTTTGGACTCCTTTGCTCTTCCTTCGACCAAAGTCCTGCATCTGAATTCGGCATCACGCCCCACGGCAAGAGCACATCTCCGCTGTTCCAGAGATTCCTGCAATTCTTCTCGCCGTTTCTTTAACTGCCTGAGTTGTTTTTGCTCTGCCGCCAACGCCGCCTTTGCCAAAGGGTTGTCGTTATCGATTTCGGGTTCTTCTTCGTCATCTACCGTGAGAACGCGTGCCTCCGCAAGGACTCTGTTGATGTCCTCCTCAAGTTGCGAGCGTACATTGACAGCATCCTGGATACACTCATCTAAATTCGCGAGCTGCATGAGGGCGTCGAACGTAGAGCCCGGTTTGCTGGTGCCGGCTCTGTGATCAACTGAATGCTCGACGGTGGGATGGGGCTCAGCAGGTAAATCTGTGAAGCTGGTGTAGATTCCATCAGACAGATGTAGCAAGATGCAATTTTGAGGCAACGGGTGATGGAAGTTCTCCAGGCTTCGTCCAATGAATTGCAAAGACCGTAGGTTCAGGTTCAATTCAACAAGCAGGCAATAGTCTTCTGTCTTGGAGGGCCTGGCCCAAATTCGAATGGTACACTCGTCCGATCTTGATATTCGCGGCCCGCTGCTGTCCAAATCGAAGAATGCAAAGCTCGGATTCATGGATTTTTCTATGATCTCGCTGATGTACACAGGTTCGGGGATGCCTGGACAATGAACTGACACCCATGTATCGGCTAGGCGCTTGACAACCATATCTTCCAGCGTCGACTGACGGACACGGGGACTCGTTGTTGCCCAGTGTAGGGTGCTTCTTCTGCGGAGTCTCGCTCCGCCAGGCCTGGCTTGTCCTGTCTCATTTCTCTCGAAGGAAGTGGCAGCCCTCTGGGGCCCGCCGGCCATTGCAGCCTGGTCGATTGCGGTGGGGAGGTTTGTGAATGAACGCGAGTGGGTTAGATGCGACGGATTGGAGTGTTCCTGCAACACGCGCTTGGTTGAGGTAACAAGATTGTAGGGGGCGTCATCGTCGGTAGTCGTCTTGCCCTGCAGCTTAGGGCTGCTTGAGGTTACATGGATATTTCGCAAAGAGATTCCGTGTAGATGACGCAGGCGTCGGTTCTGTGGCAGCGTGAGCTAGAAGAAAGAGACAAGGAAATCTGACAGACCCATGAATACAGGAATGGCCGCCCCTGGACTCTCGACTGGACGACGGGATCATCTCCACGATCAGCCATTGCTTCCGGTGCTGGTGCAACACATTGCTGATGAGATGTAGCGGGAGATCCGTTGCCGTGAGGGACTGCGCAAGACTACATTTGGCAAAATTGACGAGATATGCCATCCATCTATGGCGGTTCAGAAGCACCTTTGCACTTTTGTCTGTAGAAATGGCCGCCGCCCGCGGTTTGCGGGTGAAGCCGGCATGGAGCCAATGAGCGATGGCAAACTGGCCGGTTTTGTGGAGTATAGTTATCCGAGGGTTTTCGTGGCTATTGTATTGACATCTCCTTCACTTTGACTTGCCCCTGAGCTTCCTACGCCATTGCCAAAAGACCTCTTCATACCTAATCATAAACAGATCGCTGGCACTGTGACCATCTCGACAGAGAAATGCCGCAGACATGGCCACTTCGAATCTGACGGGGTCCCCGAGCCTCTCCCTTGCAAATTCGCAAATGAAACCTGCAAATTCCGGTTTCACATCGCGCCACAGCAAGCATTGAGCGCTTCCAACAGACATCGCCATGGACAACCCAGGTATTTGAGTCTGCAAACCCATTCTCCCGTGCGGCTGACATTGGAAACAATGTACGCTCTATACAGATTTGATAACCAGACCCTGACGTCTTTGACAGCCTCGTCCACACCATCAAGTCTGCTGTTACACACCCCACGATATCCTCTATCCACTAGTCCGCAATTTCCCCTTTCATAGGTGTCACGTCCTCGACTTGTCCTGACTGTTTTGGGAATGGTAGGTAAGCTTCAGACCAAGCATTCAGGTGGTACAAGACAGAAAGCCTCTGTCCACACCCAAATGGCTGGAATCCTCCCCTCTCCTCGGTCCGAACCCCTTTTGTAATTTATCTGTATGAGCAGGGTCTGATACCCAATGATAAATACCACGTCTACACCTCTTCGGCACCATTTCTGTCATTGATTTAGAACCTGTTCTCTCTCAAAGGTCGCATTATGGTTTCCTGGGCGACCTGTTCCTCCGCTCCGTTCAGGTTCTCCCAGCATTCCGTTTTGTACAAGCTCTCCAGAGGGAAAAGGCCGAGCCCATTCGAGGACGGAACTTGGGCAGTTGCCATGACAGCAGTCCATTTCAGCAGTCCAATTTCTTTCGACTCACCCACCGGAGGAGGGGTATCGAACGCATCGTTGAACATGGCTCTCATCAGGATGTGCCGGTTTCCCACTTAGTGATTAAAGAGGGTAACCGGGAAAAGATAAACTCTCTGGGCGCCGCAATGATTTCTCAGCTCTCTACCAATTCTCTTTCCATAACCTCACTCTCAAACCAAGAGGTGGACTCGCCGTACTCACTCCTCCTAGTGTGAGTTCCTCCTTTTCTGACCCATTCTCGGACCAGAATTGCCAACAGCATCCCGAACGGCATCATACAACTAAGCATTATTTCTCAAAATGAAGTTTCCAACAACGACGCTAGTTGTGCTAGCCGTCATTGGACAAGCCCTGGGTTCCTGGATTGACTGGTTCGGGGATGTCACTGTGACGGAAACGGCGACAAGGATCATTCAATCCTGCCCCTGCAATGGGGAAGTGAGAGCCACACCTGTTGCTCGTGGGCAAGATATTCAAATATTTCCAAGGCCAGAACCACCGTTTGGACCGATCGGCCCCCATTTTCCTGCACCGGCTGGAAGGACTGTGGCCAAGGCAGGTCCAATCGTGGCTGTCTACGGCATTGCGGACACAATGACGACCAAAACCGGCATCGTTATTGAATTGGAGCCTACTCGCGGGGGTCAAGGTCCTAGACTGACAACTACAATCTGGACGAGCCCTCAGCCCACTGATGATCTGGCCTGGATTGACTGGACCCCTGAGGACGGAAAAGACGCCGGTTCATTGACCCGTACTCGCACAAAATTCACGACTATCTTTGGTCCTGCTCCGACAAATGCAGAGCATGAGCCATGGATCGACTGGCTCGAGCCTCCTCACACCAAAACATCAACTGCACAGTCCTCCAGTTCATCCTCTAACGTTGCTCCTATTGGCAGTTCCATAGGATCGAGTGCACCTGCCTATGGCTATGCGACTCGCCCCAGCGATTCTTCCAGCACCTCTGTGCCAACAACCTCTTACTCGTCTAGTAGCGGCGGTACTGGCCCTACTGAAGGCTCTACGTCCTCGGAGTCTTCTAGCCCCTCTAGTTCTTCGACGAGCGCCTTCAGCAGCAGCATGGGCGGTTCAACAACATCAAGCTCATCCTTCACCTCTGCCTCTCTCAGCACGTCCACTAGCTCAAGTGGTGCAACTAGCAGCATCAATAGCACTACAACATCCAGTCCAAGCAGCAGTGGTGGTGGTCCTGTTGGAGATAGAACCACGACTACTTCCAATACCAGCGGCAGCTCATTCACATCCAGCTCCTCGACCAGTGTTGCAAGCTCCAGCACAACGCCACTCCGCAGTGTTTCTGTTGGTCCCACTGGTGGTACAACGAGCTCGGTGGCAACCTCAGCAACTTCCAGCTCGATTGTTGGCACTTCATCTTCGATCAGCGCTTCTAGCGGTGCCGTTGGCAATACATCCAGCAGCTCAAGTTCGGCCCCCAGTGGCAGTTTCATAAGCAGCTCTTCGTCATCCACAACATATACTTCTTCTACTTCTGGCACAACTCTGTCAACCACCATTTCCACCATTTCCTCAGCAAGCACTTCGGCTTTTTCTAGCACTACCCTGCTCTTCACCACGTCTGTTCTTATCTCCACGACCACAACTGTTGCACAAGGGGCAATCGTGACGGATGATGTTCGCTCTCTGTCCTATAACGATGCAATTCTTCAAGCCCACAATGTCCACCGTCGCAACCACTCCGCAGCTGATTTGACCTGGTCCAACAACCTAGCGACGATTGCCGCTCAGATTGCAGCTAGCTGCGTGTATGCCCATAACACGTGAGTAATTGCATATCTTCTATCTTTTTTGGACCAATAAGAAAACAGGAGCTAAGCTATTCAACCTTTTACAGCACGGCTGGTGGCGGCGGCTACGGTCAAAACATTGGCGCTGGATACACCTCCACGCAGGTGCCAGTCATGATTGGTAACGACATGTACAACAAGGAGATGCCCAACTACCCACTCCCTTACGAAGTAGACAATGTGGAAACCAGCAAATTCGACTCATGGGGCCATTTCTCACAGATTGTGTGGAAGGGCACTCAACAAGTGGGCTGCGCAACGCAGTTCTGTGCTGACGGAGTGGTAAATGCCGATTTCACACAATATTTCACGGTTTGCAACTATTATCCTCCTGGTATGTACCAAGCAACACCACATGTGTTTTGCAGACGTATTTGCCTGTATTTTATCGAGTCATGGAAGGACTGACTAGACAACCAGGAAATATCCAGGGAGCGTACAGCAACGTTGGTGCTCCTCTAGGTCAACCTGTCACAATAGAGTTGACCAATTGAGGAAGATACAAGCGGATGGTGTGCTCTCTATGCATTGTAACATCAAAAGAGCTCGCACAGAACTATTGACTGCCTAAAAGATTGGAGCATCGACGCTGGCAGCCGATGTTCGTCTTGGAAGTGGGCAAGATGGCGAGATGGTAGAATGAAACAGAAGCCATACTCTGAGATTGGACTCGCTGATAGAGCTCCGGTCTATTTATCATGAGATCTATTCATCCATTAACGCGGGGGCACTGTCGTGGTCGCTCACCTATAACAGGATATCATATTCCGGACACGGAAACTTTCTTTTCTAAGTATTTAGCCATTCTCAATGAACCGTTTTAGATCATCAGACGCCCCGACCAAGAGGATCGACAGCGGACGTGTTGTAAAGTCTCTCTCAACGGATTGGATCATAATGATAGAGACTTATCCCCGAAAAAGAAAAAGAACCAAGACTTGTTCCTGTTCCGTCTACTCCGACGCCTGGCGCCGTGCTCAACATGCAACCCTTCTTTCGAGATATTCCTGCTCTCAGTCTTACTTTCGAAGACTATCCAAACGAGCTTGCAAATCATCATCCTGGCCTCCGCCACCTATAGCCTGAGCAACGCGGCCTTCCGGGACTGCCGCCTTCTGTATCCCAGTCGGCGTTTCCCCAAGCTGGAGGGTAGAATTAGTCTCCGGTCGCCCAAATGCAGGATCGATCTTACCGCGTTGTTCAAATCGACACCAATTTCATCCAGCACCTGATTCACCACTTCCTCCCCTTCCTCTTCGTCCTCCAAGCCGGTGACATCGTCAATGGCATCATCCATCATCTCCTGGCGCTGATCCATGATATCGTTCTCGCGTTCAAACTCCATAGCAATTCGCTGTAGGGCCGGCAAGTTCATTTGGCGATTCATGCTCCCAAGTAGCATGGTAGCACCTTTCATGGATTGCATCATCTGTTCATTGCTCCGGACGGTCTGCTCACACACACAGGCTTGGTCAGCGGCCATTCCCACCGTGAAAGAGTTCTAGGAGAATCTACCTGTATCCTCAAACTAATAGCCTGCAACTGCGTCCTCATCTGGTAGAACTTCTGAATATACCTCCTCGTCCTGACCAGATCCTTCGCCTGGATCTTGCAGGCTCCAATTTGCCCACTCTTTGCGCTCTTCTTGATGTCTGCCACAAGCTTTTTCTCTTGATTCTCAAGCTTTACACGCTCACGGTCGAGTTCTCGTTGCGTCTTTTCCAGAGCACGTTGGTGTTTACGTAGCCTCTCGGCCGGGGTCATGCGTTTGCCGAAAGCCCATTCTATGATCTGATATCGGGTAGTTAGCGGGGTAGAGGCGGTTTCGGACAAGAGACGGTAGAGACTCACATTCATGTTGAGATATTCGAGGAGTGACAGGAAGAAAGTGCAAGTTTATGTACGGTCAGTCAGATATAGGAATGTGTTCAAAGAACTGGCGTAATAGAATTTATCATAGTTACTAGGCCCTAATGCACAGGTCGAGGCTGCGATCGTAGAACGGGCAAGAACGGGGAACTGCGAGCCATTGTCACAGCCAGTGATGTTGCCGGAAGAACGTCGGAGCTTGGTCCTCTGGCCACCCCAAAACTGCGACTTGCGACTTTTTCTCCTTCAGCAGACGGGAAACACCCACGGTTCAGTATTTGCAATTTCAGTTACATGCATTATTATTAACCTAGATGACCCATCGAGGCGCTGAACCTCGCAACGGTCGATCAAGGATCCCTGAAGAGCACTTCGAAGATGAACTACGCCGACGAACCCAGCCAGGCATCCTCGCGGGCATCCCTCGATCCTGATCCCAATTCCTTCATGGGCCCGGACGAAATGACATCGCCCAGCCCTATTCGCCCATCTGGCTACAGACCCGACTACATGACTGTCGGCACTGGGTCACAACCGTCTCACGCTGCAGCTCTTATGGAACAACTAGAACGAGACTCCGGCTATGGCAGCATGGCAAGCGACGTACAACAATCCGGTGGCGAGATGCGCGCATGGGAGGACGAACTTCTCAGAGACAGACCGACGCCTGTACATACTCCTCAAATCAGCGGACAACCTACAAGAATGTCAGAAACAGAGAAGCGATCCCTCGCCAGTCATGTGCATCAACTCTATTACAATCAAAACCGCGTCGCCCTTGCAAAAGCAATCTCGCAAACCGTTGAACTGCTGAAACAGTTACAGGAGATGAATACCCAATGGCCCGCGCACTATCCTTACGTCCAGAAAGAAGAGAAAGAGAAGGAGTTGGCTAGACCAGTCCTGCGAGAAGCCAAGTCGACAAGAGAAGCGACAGATCTATCACGGCAAGTATTTCTCAAAAAGGCAGTACAAGATCGGCCAGGAGCCTTGAGAAGAGCGGGAACTTCAGTGGGAGAAGATACGACAGGAGAGTCAAGTTCGCAGGCACAACACAGGCGGACGCCTGAACCACGACTCATCACGCCACAAATCGCTCAAGAGTTTTCCATTTTAAAACTCGACCTCAAAGTCGGCGCGTTGTCTCAAACAGAACTCGTTCATTCTCTGGAGAAGAAGTCAATTGCGTCACTACTGGATGGCAAAATAAGCCAGAGTGTCCGGCACTTACTGGCCCTCCGAGATCGAATAGAGGATACCTCAAGCAAAGTCCTGGTTACTGGTGATCTCAATGCTGGAAAATCGACCTTCTGCAACGCCCTCCTACGCCGGAAGATTCTGCCTGAAGATCAACAACCTTGTACCAGTATTTTCTGTGAGGTGCTGGATGCGAAAGAGAATGGTGGCGTCGAAGAGGTTCATGCTGTTCACAAAGATTCGGTGTACGATCGAAACGATGAAAGCACCTACGACTCATATTCATTGCAAGACCTAGAGAAGATTGTCGTTGACAACGACCGTTACATGCAATGCAAGGTCTACGTCAAGGATATCAGAACGATCGACCAATCCTTACTGAACAACGGCGTTGTCGACATAGCTCTAATTGATGCACCCGGCTTGAATTCGGACTCGGTTAAGACCACAGCTGTGTTTGCCCGACAAGAAGAAATTGACGTGGTTGTTTTCGTGGTTTCAGCAGCAAATCATTTCACTCTCTCCGCCAAGGAATTCATCTGGCAAGCTGCGCATGAGAAAGCTTACATCTTCATGGTGGTCAATGGGTTTGACAACATCCGTGACAAGCAACGATGCCAGAAGATGATTCTGGACCAATTAGCTAAACTAAGCCCCCAGACATTGAAAGAGGCCCAGGAATTGGTCCATTTCGTATCTAGCAATGCCATTCCTATGGTGCCTTCGTTACTTACCAGCGGAGCCGACGGCGGTGGAAGTGGAGGTGGAGGTGGATCAGGCCCTCCTGGGGATGATGATGATGATGGTGGTGGTGGTGGATCAGACAAGGGAAAAGGGAAAGACAAGGAGAAGATTCGAGATTTCGAAGTCCTAGAGAGTGCGCTCCGAAGATTCGTCTTGGAAAAGAGAGCACGCTCGAAGCTCGCACCCGCAAAGACCTATCTCATGAACTGCCTAGGCGACATGAATGTCCTCGCTACCGTGAACCGCGACGTTGCACAATCCGAACTTGACAGGGTATCGAAAGAGCTTTCGGAGATCGAACCCGAATTTGAAGACAAGCAGAAACAGCGTGTCGCCGTTTCGGAACAAGTCGAGAAAGGAATCGACTCTACATCTACCGAGGTGTACAACCACACACGATCAACTCTTACCAGCACTATTGCAAACGTAGGCAAAGAAGACCACGGCATCGAATACCCTGGCATACTCTCAGCATTCCAATACGCAGAAGACCTCCGCATTGCCATGCTAGATCAGATCTCCATGGCAGTCGCCAGTTGCGAGAACTATGGGCGGGCGACAACTGTGCAGGGCGTCAACAACATCAAATCACTTGGTTTGTTGCATGTGGGAGATAGCTATGAGAATCTCAACTTCGCGGCGGACAAGATGTTTCAACGACGGAAAGACGCGTTGGTACGGTCTGTGGATACGGATGTGAATATATGGGATTTCTTCGACATTGCTGGGATGTGGGAGCGACAGGAGAAGACGGTAGGTACAGGACTTGCGCTGACTGTTGCTGGGACACTGGGTACCAGGGCAGTTGGCGGTGTTGGTTGGATCGATGGAGCATTTGGTGCGGCCAAAATTCTTGGGAGCCGGAATCTCAGGAGGTTGATCGTACCAGGCGCTGTTGCTGCTGGTGAGTACTGGTGCTACCCCATCAACTGTTGAACTTCAACTAACGAGGTCTTTTATAGCTATATTGGCAGTGGCCTACATTCTCTCAACCATCCCACAAAGCCTTCCACCACGTCTCGCACAAAAACTCTCGGCCACACTCGCCCAAATGGACTACACGCACAGTAACGCTCACCGAATCGCCTCTGAAGTTCGTCGCGTCCTCCGATACCCGGCCCAGCAATTGACAGCCGACCTTGCCCAGAACGTGGAAGAACTAAGACAGAGGAAAGAAGACGTTACGAAGACAATGAAGGAGAGTGAGGTTGCGAGGAAGTACTTTGGAAACCTCGTGCGGGACAGTGAGGAGGCGAGGAGGCGAGTAGTAGGAATTGATCTGGAGGGAGGGCCTCCTGGATCAGTGGGTGGTTATGCCCTATGACCACGCGTCCCCAATCGCGTGCTTGAAGCCTGATAAGGGATACGATATGCAGATGGAGACGCGATGGAGAAGAGAGACGTAATCCTATGGGGTGGTGGTATACGACTATGATGGGCAGGTATATGAGCGAGCCTGGACGAGCCTGGACTTTCTCCCCTTGGTCTGTCATTGACTAATGTCTTCTTGTACAAATTCAGCTTCCGGCTTAAACGGCAAAATCAGCGATAATATGAAATTTTATCTTCACCCCTCGCTTACTTGTGCGGTTTCTTGCCCGCATACGACAACTACAGTGGCTGAGGAGGCTGATGTGAGGAATGATGGAAGATGATGGGCGGCTGCCTGCGCGTGCAGGCTCGGAAATAGCGGGAAGCACGACGCTAGTAGCGCTAATAGCGCTAGTGAAAGTTGCCCTCGAGATTGACGTCATGTTCGTCGTGAAGCACGTCCCCATCACTCATACCCCAATATACCCAGTACTTAGACTGCACGATGTACGGGACCCATATTAATATCATTACAGAGATTCCCTGGATATATCTGCTCTCTACGCCCATACATGTCCTTAGTAGTCAGAGAACAGTTGATCGAGTCTAGCATGCGATTGTAATGGCGGATCCGTCTCAGAGCCCCAATTGCTATTCCGAACAACAGCCCATCAGCATGAATCATCCTGCTGCTGTATATCAACCACAAGGACAGTATTCGAGTTACCCACCACCTCCCCTTCAACGGCCGCGACCCCACGAAATCACATCACCAAGCTACGATCCTCCGGGCCCGCCACTCCCGCAAAGACCTAGTGCCCAGGCACCAGAGGGAAATTTCGATCTTGAAGCCCAGACTACTCCTTATCCACAGCCTCTTTACAACCCGGTTGCATACGCTCCCGGCGAACAATTCCAGCAATTCCAACCACCGCCCCAGCGCTACAAACAGACGTTTGCCAGTAACGACGACCCATCCAATCTCGTCCACTATATCCGCGATCCGCATAAGCTGATAGGATATTTGGTTCCGTTCCCGCGTCCAGTACTTCCCAATGTTGATCCAGAAACCATACCAGCCCGCTTTATGATCTACACGCCGCCACCTCCTCCACTGCAAAAGCCCGCTGAAGGCGAAAAGGAAGCCAAGTTGCACAAGGTCCAGCGGAAGTGGCAAGAAGAAGTCCGCTCCGCCAAGACCAGCACCGCCAAAACGGCCAGTTGGAAGGGTGTCAAATCTAAAGCGACGCGCGGGATTGATTGGGCCATTCACAAGACCACGTCCTCGAACTTGGATTTCTTAGGCCGTGTATCTCCCGGTCCCCACCCGTCGCATTCTGATGATGAGAAAGACCACCAAGGCGCCGAAACGCATAAGACTGTGGCAGTCGAGGAAATGGTATTCATATACCCACCTACCCTCAACCTGACGGACCAGCAGATGCGCGAAGAGTTCGTCAATACAATGCTGCGCACAAAATCCAAGGCGCAGAGAGACACCATCATCGCGACCGGGCTCATGCCAGTGGCTTACGGAATTGATATCCTAGCCACATTTATCTGGCCGTTCGGTGGGTTGGGCGAGATCGATACGGTTTGGGCATACGCAAGTTTTCGTGGCGCGAAGACCGCAAGATCCGTGACGAAGAGGTTGACCAGCTCGACTCAGTCATCTCCCAACCATGAAGACGAATCCAACAAGTTGAAACTCACATTCACACACTCCCAACGCCTCGAAGTCCTTCGCAGGTATCTCGAAGCAGAATGCCACAAGGCCGATTCCAAGTTGTTCCCGCGCTACGAGCACTCTCCGACAGAAAGCGACATTTTAGAGGCTATAGGGTGGTCGCCCAGCCGTGAGACCGAGGAGAAGAATTGGGAGGATGAACATTGGGAGATACAGGAGGTCAAGGAGGATCTGAAGACAGTGTTCAAGAAGGCAGCGAGTGAATGGAGGAAGTGGTGCCGGCTGTTGGAGAAGAAGTAAGTCTCCTGAAAATCCTGTGGCAGTTTTGAAAGGGGCCAGTTCTTTTTCAGAGTGCTTGGTTGCCCGATACACGTCCTCGATGCTAACGACAAACCAGTCCCCGGAAGGCCATGAAGAAGTAGTCTTGGATGATTGATGCTAGCGGCTTAAGTGTTATGACTCCAGATGCACTTAGTCTGTTACGATGCAGGTAAAGTGATTCATACTTTGGCCCGATACCTGCTGCATATTGCGCTGCGTGTATGAGTCTCTCGCTACGATAATTCTACACATAGACAGCTGCCTCCAGTTCAGGACAGAGCCGGCCGTGTGCCAGGGTCCCTTCCAGGATTCCTTATCGTCTGTACCCCGAAGAATGCGAAGTGAAGTTTGATACGGAGAAATCTGGGAGGTCTCGTACCCGACTTTCCCGACCGCAGTAGGCAGCTCTGCCATCGCTGGCCCACTCCTTCATGGGGCAGGCTCCTCAGTCAGTAGCACAGACGATGAAACAGTCTCGAGTTGAAGAACCAAAAACTAAGGCCCGCATGGCATGATCTAGGATCCGTACGAGTGGGCTCGCTGTTGACGGTGTTCGGGAAGAGCGCGATGCGGCGAACGGACTTAACGCAGTTACTCGTGGTTAGATAGATTGTTTGGTTACCCAGAGCGCCTTTGTTCAACCTTCATAAGCTGTTGGTGATTGTCGCCAAAAGGTGTGGGAGCGACCGTAGATCGGTCAAGGAGCTGGTTGACGATGTGGATCTTGATGGCTTGTCCCTCGTCCCCGGTGGTGTATTTGCAAAGATCGGCACCTATATATTCTCTTGGTCTTTGCAGAGATTGAACAAAGGCGGCCGAGTTGCTCGGCCGAATCATCGTCGCCACTCCCATCGACCAAGCCAGGGGCCAGCCGGACACTGGACAGTTGGTGGGCAAGCCCCTAATGAGATTGACTGACTCACTCGCCAGTGGGCGCCAGCCAGAAACTGGCGGGTGAGCGGGGTCTTGCTTCTCACGGTGTCGGTGATGGGGGTGTTCGGTGTTCCGGGGCGGAGGACAAATAACGACAATAATGGCTGGATGTTGGGCTGTGTATCCTTTGATCCCCCGTTTGTGTGCGTGTGGCGTGTGCATATATGGAGTACAGAGAGTAGACAAAACACAAACACAAACAAATTATGTGCCTTAAAGGGGCAGGCAGAAGGGTTTGTTGGCATAGACGCCTCATGACCTGATCTCTAGGCACCCAGGCACCGACCTCGCTATGTACCTATCTGGGTAAAATTCCTAAGTCCCTAGGTCGCTAGTACCGAGGGCAGGGGCGAGGAGAAATTATTGACGTCGGATGATGTGGTCATTTGCGGCCTCCCGGACCTCTCTGGTTCTCGCCCACCTTTGGTTTTCCCCTCCCCCACAAACTTCAAATCCAACGCAAACACCAGGCGATCTGATTGAGAAAGTCGCAGCAAGAGGTGGAAAGAACAAACAAGCAAACCGAACCAAACCAAACCAACAGCAAGCCACACCCGTCACCCATCGCCGGCGACACCAGGTCATCATATTCTCCTCCTGCTGGACTGCGCACTGCCACCTCCATCTTCCCATCCGTCCATCATCCCTCATCTTTTAACCAATAAATTATTGTACCACTTCCTCGCTCCCTACCTCGCTCCCCCCCCTAAACGAGCGCTATCACTACTGACCTCATACTATCCCGTTCCTCTGCCTGCAACTAGACCGACCAGCTCGTGACCAGGCCTTGCATTGCCTCGAGTCCCTCGGTGTGTTGATCAGCATCGTGCTTCGCCAGTCCATATATACACCTCCTCATCAATCACCTCCCGAACACTGCGGCCCTACTTCTCTCGGCTCGCCGAAACCGCCACTCTCGCTATCCTCGCCACTCCCCTACGACCCAAGCCTCTCGCCTCTCCGCACCTCTCTTCATCCATCCTCAAGCTACCCGGTATTTCTAGCCCTCAGTCGGATATCAGAACGCGGCTTGAAAGCCCTCTGGCTTATACACTCTCTAAGCTCCTCGGCCCTCGTTTACTCCAATTCGTTCGGTCGAGAACTCCTGGCATTTAGTCCGAGGCTCCCAGCGTCTTTTCGTCGTCTTCAAGCTGGCGGGCACAACCGATCGGAGAACCTCCTCTGGAGGGTTTCTCAATCGCGTCTTTGGAGGCAAGAAGGAGAAGGATGCAGATTCCGACAACACACCCACCCGAATCAGCACTGACAGCAACCACAATGGCCCCACCTCACCAGGAGGCAGCATCACCGTCAAGACCAACGACCTGAGCCCCAAATCCGAGTCTCGAAAACCGGGAGAAGAAATCTCTGCTTCGCCTACTGCCGATCCCAAGAAGCGGAGGAGTAGCAGTGCCAAAGCAAAAGAGATCTTTACCCAGGCCAAGAACTCTCTGATCCACGGTGACAAGGACGGACCCCAGACACCCATGCAGAGACTGTCCAAGACTGATGCTGCGCTGAGCGTACCGCAAGGCTCGTTGAACAACTCGGCCGGCGAGTCGCAGCCTACACCTAATTCGTCTTTCCTGGTTGGCGTGACGGAAGACAAGAACAAGAAATGTCGCCGTACCATGGAAGACACACATTCATATCTTTACAACTTTCTTGGCACCCCTGCGCCTGTACTCTCCTCGGACACCTCATTATCCAAGAAAAGCTCCAGAGAAGATCGAAACAGTCTGAGCACCATCCCCTCCAATTCGGGCCAGCATGTGGTAGAGACGGACAATGGCTATTTTGCTATCTTTGACGGGCATGCGGGCACCTTTGCCGCCGAGTGGTGTGGGAAGAAATTGCATGTCATTCTGGAAGAATTAATGCGCAAGTATCCTAACACGCCAGTTCCAGAGTTGCTTGATCAGACATATACTTCGGCCGACAATCAATTAGAGAAATTACCGCTTAAGAACAGTGGTTGTACAGCAATCACTGCGGTCCTGCGGTGGGAAGACCGCGTCCCTACCAACCATTCTGCTACGGGTTCTCAGGCTATTGCATCGTTGGCCGCTGCAGCAGCTAAAGAGGCAGAGAAGAACGAGAAGAACAATGACTCACCGAAAGACGGAAAAGACTCTACCCCCAGATCCAATTCAACGGCTGAAGCGGCGGCAGCAGCGATACAAGAGGCCAAGCAAAAAGCTACGCGACAAAGAGTACTGTACACCGCTAATGTTGGTGACGCCCGAATTGTATTGTGTCGCAATGGGAAGGCGCTTCGTCTGTCGTACGATCACAAAGGAATGGACGAAAATGAGGGACGAAGGATTTCTAAAGCTGGAGGCCTGATACTGAACAACCGGGTGAACGGGGTGCTGGCCGTGACGCGAGCATTGGGGGACTCGTATCTCAAAGACTTGGTAACCGGGCATCCTTATACAACGGAAACCGTGATTCAGCCTGACCAAGATGAGTTCTTGATCTTGGCCTGTGATGGAGTAAGCTCATGAATGGATCCTTTTCTTTTTATTTTCGGCGTACCATACTAACATGGAATAGTTATGGGATGTCTGCTCGGACCAGGAAGCAGTTGACTTGGTCCGCAACGTTAACGACCCACAAGCTGCCTCGAAAATTCTAGTAGACCATGCATTAGCCCGTTTCTCGACAGACAACCTTTCTGTCATGGTTGTTCGGTTCGATCCGCAGAAGCTGCAACAAAACACTAAGATGGACATTGGGGTGGAGACGGAAACGACCAAAGACAAACTCGCGATCAGCGAAGTTGAGATGCTGGTGGGAGAAGCGCGGCGGCATTCCGGACTGGTTCAAGAAGGGCAAATTTCTGATCAGGACTCGGAAGAATTGAGGCAGTCGGTGATCAAGGAACAGGAAGAAGAGGATCAAGAAACGGGACCAGAGTATACACCGGAGGGCCAAACCGAGGCTGAGAAGATATTGTCGGAGAAGAAATCAGAGCAGGAGAAGAGCAGTGAAAGTTGAGTTGGTCTTTGGCGTTTGTCTGGTGTAAAACAATGTGGAGTAGGGGTTTTGCCTGACATGACATGGGGCAACGAACTGCAAAAATGCACAAATTGTGGCGATGTATCACCCGCCGCAAGCCAAATGGAGAGTCTAGACCAGTTAGGACGCGTTGTCGAGACGAGTGTCCAAGGTTACCAGGTGTGTCCATTTCGGGTCTGTGGTTTTGGATAGGCCAAGCTGTGGTCGAAGATGTGCCCAGATCCGAGAGAGTCGAAGCATTCCATGATGCATTCTGTGGTTATGTGGCGGAGGAAGGGCCAGCAGGCCGGCAGGCCGGTGGCGGAGAACTTGGGTGGTGAAGTTGTTTACAACGGCAGAAGAAGCACAGGAAGCATATTGAGATTTTGCCCAAAAATCATTCTTCTAAGATAACGAAAGGGGCTTGATTGAGTGATTGACATGCTGTGTGATGGACGGCCTAGTGATTGAATGATTAATTCTTCGAGTCGAGGGGGTTCTCGATGTTCTTGTCCTACGCAAGACGCGATCACGTAGCGGGTTGCAATTGAGCTGCTCAATGCCGAGACAAGGCTGAGTGAGAGAAACAAGGGGGTTTCGGAGCAAGGGAGCGGGAAGAAGCCATTGGCCCTTCGGATATAGAGCGATCACTGTGGCCGTGAAGGACGCGAGGACGAGCATCGACGGGCGCATCTGCGAGAGAACATGGACCCATTCCATTCAGCCGAGTGGGCGTAGGGAGAGACGGGGACAATAGTCCGCTGAGATGTGGACTCCATATTATGTAAGGAGGATCCGGGACGAAAAGAGGCATGCGGAGCCCGCAAAGGCCCAAGTGTTGTCCAATACGGGAAAACGTGGGTGTCGAAGTGATCGGAGGAGTATCAGATAGTACAGAGTACCATGAAAACAGTCATTCCAATTCCAATTCCAATGGGTGAGTGGATGAGAGAGTGACGAATCTCTCTCCCAGGTCTCTTGAACAACCTCTGCACGAAATACTCGGTACAACACCGAGTACTCTGCTATTATTAAAAGATCTTAGGGATGAAGTAGGCAAATCGTTCTCGTAGCTCCATTGCGTTAGTGCAGCCGTCCGCTAGTGCCTAGGGTCCACTACCCAGTAATAGGCCGGCAGTTCGTCGCCACCATCGCTAGAATTATCCCGGCCGCAACCACAAGCACCGCTTATCATCATGATCATCCTCATCAGCTTGCAGCTCCTGTGGCTCCTGGTACTGGGTAAAAGCAACCACACCAGATCCACTCCAATTGCATTCAGCCCTGACGCTACTAATGCGACCTTGCGACTGCCAGCTGCGACCCCCAAGACCCCCCAATCCAAATCCTTCCTTACGTACTCCGCTTCCGGTTCCCTGGTATTTTTCTCCAAAATAATGATCTCTGGCCTCTCTAACCTATTCTCTATAACCTTCACTCAACATCAACCCTTCTTATACTTAAACTCCCTGCCGCCATTTTTTCCTCGTCGTTTTCGTCTGACCTCCTGATGGGCTTCATGATCTCGCCTTAGTCCCCCACATCTCGACCATCGCGAGCACCATGGCGAGCAAATTCTCCCTGCGCATGATGCCCGGCCTCCCAATGGCGTCACCCAGGCCTTGGTCCATGCGAGCTTTTTCCACCTGTCGCAGTTCAAGTTTCCCAGTTCCAATCGCCTCCAGAACGTCCTCTTTGGTGTCCCGGCCCCTTGTCCAACAATCCTTCCGTCGCAACTACGCCGATGCCCCCCAAGTCAATCTTTCCCCGGAACCCAAACCGAAGAAGCGCTTCCGATTCTTCGTCTGGACCTGGCGCTTGACCTATCTTTCCGTGCTTGCCGCCCTAGGATATGTCACCTACCAGATCTATGAAGGTCGCAATCCAAAGGAGCAATTTGACCCAGATCCAAACAAGAAGACGCTTGTCATTCTCGGTGCGCACGCTTCTCCTTTCCTGTCCACGCAAAGCTGACACTGAATGTTGACACGCTTAGGTACCGGTTGGGGCTCCGTCTCCTTGCTCAAGAACCTGGACACTGAAAACTACAATGTCGTCGTCGTCTCGCCTCGCAACTACTTCCTCTTCACCCCTCTGCTGCCCTCGTGCACCACTGGTACTATTGAGCATCGGTCGATCATGGAGCCCATCCGGAACATTCTGCGACACAAGAAGGCAAAGGTCAAGTACTATGAAGCCGAATGCACAAAGATCGACTATCAAAAGAAGATTGTCTACGCCAAAGATGACTCGGAAATCAAGGGTGACACCATGGAGACTGAGATTCCTTTCGACCTACTTGTTGTGGGTGTAGGAGCCGAAAATGCGACCTTTGGAATCCCTGGTGTCCGTGAACATGCCTGTTTCCTGAAAGAAGTCGGAGATGCTCAAAAGATTCGCAAACAAATCATGGACTGTGTCGAAACTGCAACGTTCAAGGATCAGAGCCCCGAAGAAATCAAGCGTCTTCTTCACATGGTCGTCGTCGGCGGCGGTCCAACTGGTGTCGAATTTGCTGGCGAACTGCAGGATTTCTTCATGGAAGATCTACAAAAATGGGTCCCTCAGATCAAAGACGATTTTCATGTCACTCTGGTTGAAGCTTTGCCCAACGTGCTCCCAATGTTCAGCAAGCAGCTGATCGAGTACACCGAGTCATCCTTCAAGGAAGAGCATATTCAGATCCGCACAAAGACTATGGTCAAGAACGTTACCGACAAGTACATTGAAGCCGAAGTCCAGAATCCCGATGGTTCCAAAGTGGTGGAGAAGATTCCTTATGGACTGCTTGTCTGGGCCACCGGTAATGCTGTTCGTCCCGTTGTCAAGGATCTCATGTCCCAAATCCCAGCTCAAGCGAAGGCTCGCCGTGGCCTTGAAGTTAACGAATACCTCGTTGTTAATGGCACCGAGAATATCTGGGCTGTTGGCGACTGCGCCGTGGCGAATTACGCACCCACCGCTCAAGTTGCTGCTCAAGAAGGAACTTTCCTTGCTCGTCTTTTCAACACCATGGCCAAGACGGATGCCATCGAAGCTGAACTACGTGACTTGTCTGCCAAGCAGGCTACCGCAAACCCAGACCAACGCAAAGTCATCTTAGAAGAAATCAACGAGCGCCAGCGCCAACTCCGTCGCATCAAGCAGATCGGTCCGTTTAGCTATTCACATCAAGGATCACTCGCATACATTGGCGCCGAGAAAGCGGTTGCGGACGTGTCTTGGTTTAGCGGGAACATTGCGAGCGGAGGTACTATGACGTATCTGTTCTGGAAGAGCGCCTATTTGAGCATGTGCTTTAGCAGTGAGTATCTTCCGTCATTTCCCGTCATCTTTCTAGTTGAGTGGGCTTTCGCTGATATTTTGACTTGCTAGCACGCAACCGTATCCTGGTTTTCTTCGACTGGGTCAAGGCCAAATTTTTCGGCAGAGATGTGTCGAGAGAATAGGCAAAGTGTGGCAAATGCTCAACGCTGAAAGGGCATTTGCGGTTCCGAGAAGCCAGAAAGGATTGTATGCACTTGGCGCGTGCGCCTTGCTCTAGGACCATGGAATTTTTGGTGGTATTAATGCTTCTCCAAAGGCAGGCTTGCCCGGACCGAGAAAACGACGATTGTTTAACTTATAGACGGGCCTTTGTATGCGCTAAGCACTGTATTGTTTGTTCCTTTACACTGAGCTATTCATAGCTCGTTTTCGGAGAGGCCAGATGCTCGTCTGCCAACCCGGGTCTCTTTTGAGATTCGAAAGATGTAAACACGACTAATGACCAGCAAGATCTAGCAGTATTTTGCTTTCCAGCCGTTTTGTCAATCTACAAGATGCGTTGAGGGTTGGGAGCTCTCTAGCTCGACGTCTTGTTCCGCTTCACACCCGTCCCGTCATGTGTTTTTACAAGCCCTGCTTCTTCCAACTCGATAAACCAGACCCTGACCAGAAAACGCATTCCAGTGCATAATACATATTCTCCCGTCTTCACCACAGCTTGTCTCCTTCTTTCCTTTTTGCAGCCCTGCCACCCCTTGCACTCTCCCTTTTCAGGGCTTTCAGTTCCGCTTCACTGATTGGTGGTTTGAAATACAGACTTGCGCTCTCGCCTTCCTTCACTAAATGGCTCAAATAGCCGCGGTGCTTCTCGTCCCTATAGTATTCCAGCTCTTTCCGTGAACTCGGATCGGGGAGCCTGTATGGGAAACCCATGCCCCTGGCACGGTTCTCGACCAGCTCGGACCCTTCGACGGCAAGGTGAGGGTTCTTCAGGGCGACCGGATCCCAGCGCAGAGAGAGGAACGGATGTGTTTGACTGCTCTTTATGCGGCGTATCGCTTGAGCGCTATAAAAGCGCGTCGTCACGGTTCCGCCTAGAGCTTCCACTGCGGCAATGGCAGATTGCGATGCCCTCGAGACGACGATATGGACGGGTGTTTTGAGCTCCGAGGCCCCGTTTCCGAGCAGTTTCACGCCATCTTTGATGCGGCCTAAGACGCGCGAGGAGCAGAGTTCTTTGAGAGTGATGGGCCGGGAAGGATCTAGGCGCCCTTGGTCAATCCAGGATTGGATTTTGTCCAGATTGATGGGAGACATTTCATTGGCAAATCTGTGAGTCATGTATCAGTTACCACTTTCTCCCATGTTGGAGGCGAGAGCAGGCAGACAAATTCTTAAACCCGTATTTTCCGTGGACGATGTGTTCAGGTGTTTGTCCACCGTTGAAACCTGCGGGGACTTTGCTATGCTGTTTCTGCCCGTCGGAACCGCGACCAGATTTGCCTCCTTTGCCAGATGCGGGACCTCGTCCACGACGGATCTTCTTGTTGTATGCGCCAGGCCGATCGGACAGGGAGGTTAGGATTGAGGCATATCGGTGTTGGGGATGTGTTTGGGACTCCGTCTGGAGAAGCGGAAGGAGGAACGGGATAGATGAGTTTGCATTTGCGGGTGTTGGTGTGATAATACAGGAGCACAAGGTCTTCGGCGGCGAGAGCCGCAAGGGCAGTCGAGGCGGCATTGGGTTGTAGACGTGAGTTGGCCCTTCAAGACCTATGCTCCTGATGGCTTGATTGAAAGCACTACCTCGTATAAGTTATCTAGCTCACTAGGTACGATTTATGGCCGCCAAGTACAAGATGCCAAGATGGGGTTGGACACCGCTCGCGCCTCGTCCCGAATCGGGACGTGGATCATGCTGCCCTACTATTGTCCAGCCTGTCGTTTCTAGCGATTGGATCCGAGCGACCAGCTTTGCAGCGACAGCAATATCTAACCAAGCTCAGCCTTATTCAGCCCGGCCGAGGAAATGAGGGTGCAGACTCTGGACGGGGATACTTTGTTCACACCTGAGCAACAAGCAAATCATGGTCCACATCTAAATCAATGGTTATATATCATGCCCCTGCAGGTAAGCTAGCGGCTACTTTCTGTACTGCAAAAGGTTATCGATTCAACCGTTTGATTAAATCTCAATGAAAGCGGTAAGGTCAAACAGAAGCGATCCCAACATGGCGAGGGAAGGCACGCAATCGAGGCTTTCTGCTGTCTCATTGCCCCAGTTGACGGCACGCGCTCGCGCTGTATAGCAGTGCAGATATTGTTATGGGCACTCGGAAGGTGGGTCACACCACAGGTGAAAAGCTCTCACGCCAGATCCGCAAACTGAGGAGTCCAGCGAAATTCTTTGGGCCCGAATCCATCCAATCGTGTTATTCCGCGCTCGACAATGAAGCGCGCCTAGATCCCCCGAGAATGAAATTTGCAAAGGTCCAAAGCGTAGGATTGCGTGCTTGCTTGCGTTTTGTGCATCATCAAAGAACGAAAGTCGGGAAATCCAAGAGAGAGAAAAATTGCAAGGAGTGGATTTGACATTCTAATGAACCGCAAGAGATCTGCCATACGTTTGAGGATTGTCATCTTTCAGATTTTTAGCATCCATCAACAGCAGAATGGCGGCAAAAGAAAGTCCTTCATTTGAGGTCAGCGCCTCTCCTGATACAACACGAACAGCTAAGCCAGCCAGCATGAAAAATGGTGACGCTGCTCTGGAACTCCTTATCTCCACTGGCGATCTGAAGCAACCAACAGACCCAAAGCGTATTCAACGGCTTCTGCAACGCATCAAACACCATATAATGCCCCTGATCTGTACCGTCTATTTTCTGCAATACCTCGATAACACCTCCATCTCTTATGCAAGTGTCACTGGGTTTCGGGAGTCGGCCCATCTGGTCGGGGACCAGTTCAAGTGGGTGGCTTCCATATTCTTCTTTGGCCACCTAACCTTCGAGTTTCCCACCATCTATATCTTGCAGATGTTCCCACTAGCCAAATACGTCAGTATCAATGTCGTTATCTGAGGCGGAGTTCTAGCTGCTTGGCGAGATGCAAGTCCTTCGCCAGCTTGATGGTGTGCCGGTTCTTCCTCGGGGCTGCAGAGGCGACGATAGTCCCTGCATGTGTTGTGTTCACCAGCCAGTCGTACAAAAAAGAAGAACAGGCTTTCCGCGTGGGCATCTGGTTGTCCATATGTAGATTTTCCCAAATGTTCGGAGGGCATTTTGCATATGGCGTCGGGAGACATGTTGGGGGAGACGTCCATGCCGCCTTGAAGGGGTGGCAAATAATCTTCTAGTTCCTGGCACTCCTGACCCTCGTGATCGGCGTGCTTTTCTGGTTCATCTTGGTTCATCCTGCCAGATTCCACGGTAGTGGCGGGCTTTCTTTCGCAGGAAGAAAAGGTTCAATATGTGGAGTGTATCCGAGGCAATGAACAGGGAATTGGTTCCGAGACATTCAAGTGGGATCAATTCTGGGAAGCGCTCGCCGATATTAACACATGGCTATATGCGTTTAGGGTCTTTGCCGCCAATCTCAGTTGGATTCACTACCCAGTGATAAGGGCAGTGACAATGGTAGCCACGAGGTCGCGCAACACCTCCAGGGTTTTTATACTCTCTGTTGCTTGACTATCTTCTTTCCTTCATAGACATCACACAATACATCGTTCCCAGGTTCAAGTATATCCCCAATTCTATCGCTACCAACTTCGGCAACATCCTTGTCACCGGGATGGGCTATAGCAAGCTCAACTCTCTCCTGCTGGGTCACACCGCTCGGTGCGTACGAAGTCGTCATCCTTATCGGCGTGACTTACTTGGCCATGAAAAAAAAACAAAGATTGCGGTGCTGCATCATAACCCACATTCCCTGTTTTGTCGGCGCAATCCTCATGGCAACGACCGAAAAGACTCCTGCACAGATCGGCTACTATCTCAGCGGAGGCATGCCTATCGGCTAGACGATCATCCTTGGTCTCCAAGCGAGCAACGTCGCTGGATCTACCAAGAAAATAATAGCCACCTGCTTCGGAACTATCGCGTACACCGTCGGAAAAATCATCTCTCCTCAAACCTTTCAAGCAAAGGACGCCCCACGATGCCTGCCCGCAAAGATCTCGATTGTGATTCTCTATTTCTCGATCACAGTCGACTTGTACCTTATTCGAATCGTGTATGTCACACGTAACAAGAAGCGTGACGAGCAAAAGGCAGCGTTGGGTGACGCTTATGTGGGGGAGAAAAATCACAAGGTCCAGGACGTGACTGACATTCAAAATCAAGAGTTTTGATCCTCGTTATGAGAAGGACTGATGAATAGCTTTTGATCTGGTTAGTTACTACCAGGTCGCCGCCGTTTCAAATACAGCTCATCATATAATTGGGAGACGGGGAGTAACTGCTTTCAACGCACAGTCCCTTTTCCAGGAGAGTATCGAATGTTACATACTTTGCAGCAGAAAAAGACGCTTCATCAGACCGAGCCGCTTCTCCGTTGCTCATCAAGAGACTAAAGTTTGTCTCTATTCACTCGTTGATGTTCCATTCGAGCCAGCCGACGCCTTTGCGACCGTCATTAGTGGTGATTGTCGCCCAAGAGCGAGGAAACTTTGCAACTCGTCCGTCCTTCGCCATGAGGCATAGAGGGGCATGCCCAGTGGGTTTCACGTAGAAGGTGAGCGGAAGCGGAGCCATCGTGATCGTGGTTGAGATGCCCAACCCATTTGCTGCCATTTCTGCTGCTGCTTTGACGTCGGTCATTTCAATCAACGGCTCCCCTTCTCTCTGGACATACCCTACACCAAGGTGAGGATAGTCTCCTCCTCGGGCTTTGGCATGTACAAGGTGGCTGTGCGTCCCGTCGTCGAAGTGGAATGCAGTCCAGACCCAGTCGGCCGACCACCAATCGCGAGGACCCCAAGAATGGTCCCGTTGGCCTCTTGCCTTGGTAAAGGTGAAGGTGTGGTCGTCCCATGAGAACGTACCAGTGACCTTACAAGGAATCTCGTATCTGGTCGCACGGCGCCATTTATAAGGGTGGCCGTCTGTTTCAAAAAGGAGGTCCATCTGGACATCCACTGGCCGGCCACTTCCACCTTGCAAGATTGTCGCTGGCTCATCGAATGCCACTCCTTTTCCCTTCACAGTGATACGATATTCCTTGAGGGGCACTTCTGCTTTGTGTGTGGCTGTGTACTCCGCGCCATGGACTATAAGGTCCTCTCCCGGGTGAGGAGCCTCAAAATCGATGACTCCAACCGTGGGTATCTTTGGTCCGCAGATTAAGGCATGGTACCATGAGCCACTCTGGTTGGGAATGACTCCGAGCCTCACCCATACCCCGACTTCCTGCTCTGCGTCAACCACATCAAAATACCAGCTTTCGTTGTGAAGGGGGTGGTCGCTGAACGGATGCATCTTCTCGTCTAATGCTTCTGGCTCCAAATGTGGGACGGGAACCGGAGGGGGCAGCACCTCAAGCGCCTTCGTATCAGCGACGTGTTCACAGCTGCGCTCGAACATGGTCAGGAACAGGTCGTCTCCTCGGGTTGTTCTTTCCACGAGACTCGCCGCCGTGATGGCTTGACGCATTCCAGTGAAACTGTGCATCTGAACGCCCGCCTTGCATTCATGAATGCTGATCGGGAAAGGCGAGCTCACAGAGAGAGCCTCGTGATAGATTTTCAACAGTTCTTCTCCGTGTTCGCGACGAAATTCAGGGGTTATAGCTAACCCCAAAAAGTATGAGGGATCATGAAGGATGGGCCCCCAATAGCAGGTCTGCCAGTCCACCAAGGTCAATGGCAGGCCTCCACTGTGTCCAAATAGGATATTGTCCAGTCGATAGTCTCCATGTACGAGCCCTGTAGGAGCTGAAGTCGCGTCTAGGGCGGCATGGTACGCGTCAAAGCTGTCGATAAACTTCTGGCAGATGTCGCGGTGTTCTGGTCTCATGCGATCTCCATATCGCTCCTTGAAACGATCCCAGTATTCCAACATCTGTTCTGCTGCCGACCAGGCTTTTGTCCTCTTCATCCATCCGTGCTTCTTCAAAGACACATGGTTCAAAATCAACCCATGGAGTCTACCAAGCTCCGACATGGCCAATCTGGCCTCTTCGAGTGTTGCTCCGCTAATGTCACAGCCAACCCTTCCAGCATTGTCACTCATCAAAATGACAAATTCTCCGGATACTTCATCCCTGTCCACCCTGTAAACTGTTGCAATCGGCCCCGTTGTGAGCAGCGGAGCAATCTCTTTATAAAATCGGACCTCTCGCTCGTACAAACCAGAGTTGACCCCGAAAGATTTGCAATCTGCATCGAGAGAAGCCATTTTTGCCACCACCGAGGCAGGCCCTGCTCGGGTCTTTGTGCCATACTCAAGCTCAACGCGGTACACTTCGCCAATCTGGCCAGTCCCAATTCGGGTAGACTTAGCAATGACAACGTCAAAGCCAAGGGCCTTTGAGAGCCACTGGGACGACAGTTCAAAGAGTGCGGCCACCATGATTGCGAGAAAGAAGTTCGTTTTGGAAAATGTCTCACCGAAGGAAATCTCAGCCACTTTTAGAGTCGGTTTTCCCCGCGAGCCTGGCCTGGGAGTCAGGCGGGGTCGCGATTTTGGAAGTGTTTGATCCCATCGCGAAGCAAGTTGCCTAGGATGTGGTCGTAGGGATTTGCGGGGTTCGTTGTCAATATCATGACCTGCCGAGGCCGAGGTATGCAACCGATTCGACAAGTGAATGTAAGCAGGGTCAGGGAACAGGTCCAATATGGGGTTGTCTCTGACTGATACGTGTTGACTCAGGAAAGGTGGGATGAGCTGCGATTGGCATACATACAGCCCGAGGAGCTCTGAGAATCCGCGAAGCTGAGACTCGGTATACCAAGTGTAAATGGCACGGATGAGTGAATAGAACGTCGTTTATGTGAAATATGGATTAAACGGAGCGAAGCGGCAAAATGGCATCGATACAAAGCCCCGAGATGCACGTGATCATGGTCTTGTACATAACCTGGACGTCGAGTCTCAAGCAGTTTTCCTATCAGTGAACACAAGGTGCAGAGGTGGGCATGCAAGGGTAAACCCATCAGTCATGTCTCGAGTGAATTTGGCTGGATCCTCCCCTTGAGCCAGTGTGAAGTCATACCGATGCACTATAAAAGCTGTCACATATCGAAGCTCCATCAAAGCAAGCTGTTTACCAATACAGCTATAGGGACCTGGTATTGGTAGCGTACTGTCAGCTCACCGTTCTCTGAATGAGTCGTTTCTTCACATGCTGTGATTGCGGGACTGCAATGCCACGACCCTGAACGTACCGTACGAGAAGGGGACAAAAACCGAAGCATCCACGGCCAGTTCAGATTTTGTGGTCCATCGCTCAGGGATAAATTCCTCTGGCCTTTTGAAATTCCTCTTGTCTATAATAAGAATTAGAACGTGTACGTTGGCTCCTGCGTCGGAGTTGTCGTGGGATGGGATTTTACCTCTGAATAAAGTGTAAAAGGGAATATATACAATCGTGTTCCCAGGAACAAAAGTTTGCCCAATCATCATGCCTTCAGGAGGAGTCAACCGCTGGACCCCTGAAGGCACGGGGGGATGAAGGCGCAAGGCCTCGTTGATGACGGCGTCTAAATGCTTGCTCTTGGCCAATGTGACAGAATCGACCTCTCCAGACTCAAACAGTGGGTCAACCTGTTTTCGGAGTGCAGCGAGAACATGCGGTTCCGTTGCAAGATGGAAGAAAAGTGTGGTTAGAGTGGAGGAGGTAGTGTCGCTAAAAGAGTCTCAGTCGGAACAGCCTGATTAAGCGTAGTTGCCGACATTGCAAGGGAGAATTCATCACCTTCCAGCAACGACAATCAGATAAGCATCTGCCTGAAGGTTCATCAGGTTTTGGGCCGTCTTCGGCTCTTGCTTTTCGTATTCTTCTAGTAGATAAGAGAACACATCCGGCTTATCAGGCTTCATCTGATGTGGCTTGTGTTAGGGATAGCACTTTCTCCTGTACGTCGAGAAAGCTCACCTGCATTCTCTCATCAACTTGGCTGTTCACAAATTTCCAGAATCTCTTATGCTCGAAATTCAGGATTGGAATCGATCTCATGATCGGGGCTGTCCAAACAACGTGTTTAAAGTAACCTGCCATGGTCATGTTGGTCTTGAGAGAATTCATGAAGTAATGTTTGACGCCATTTTTGACCATGTCAAAAGACTTTCCGAAAGCGAGGTCTCCCATGACATCGAAGCTGTAAAAGTTGAACCAATCGGTTACATTCATTGGCTTGTCCTTTTGAGCCTCAATAGCTGTCATCAACCCCGTGGTGTATGTGACTACACGGGGCTCGTAATCTCGAAGACCTAGATGTCCCGTGCGTTAGCCTACAGCGGCGCACGTTTCCGGGAGCACTTTAAGCGGGGGAGTACTTTTGGCACCAAATCCTCGATCCCAGACCTTCCTTCGCTGAGAATGTTCTTGCTTATCTCGGCTGTTTTGCAAAGCCACTCGTGGTCGCATTCCATTGTACCAGGGTCCTTTTGTGCAAGGGGTCTGTGCGGAATTGACCGCTTGAACCGCGCGCGGGTCAGCAATAGACAATTCCATCGGCCCTGATAAAATGTTAATGCCGGTTATGTCTTTGATGTTGCGCCGGGAGGGATTGACCAAGTCTCACGAAATCTCCGTACTGTCTATGCAACGCCTGAACTTCTTCATAGAGGTGCAATTTGGACCTGAAGGAAAGTGATGTCGGATATATGGTAGACAGCCGTGCCCAAAACGGACCGGGAAATCTGGAGAGTCGGTGGAAGAATGCGCGATATATCAAGATACTAGTGAAGGTGCCCACCAGAAAGCAAATCCCTAGACCCGATACGTGGAGAACTGCGAATGGAACGGCTTTGAATGATGGCGCATAGGCAGTCCCATATCCAACGAGCAACAGTTGGGTGCTGAAAAAGGCCGCGATTAGAGCTGGCGCAGACATGTCCCATTCGCCATGGCGAAACAGCGTCAGATGGGCAACGACGCCCAACAGTGTTGCCCACAGAAAACTGTGCGGTGACTGCAGCAGTGTAAGGAACTCCATGATCTGAATCGGGTAGAAGAAGGGCTTTCCACTGGGACCACCACAACAAAGGACTGGGATTGATGGATAGGCATCAACAGACATTAATACAGCTTCCCTAAGCCACAGTAAGGGATGCCGAGGTAGCGTATCTATTGCTCAGTTGGTCGACAACGGTTGACATCGTACATCTGACGTCCGCCTGCAGGGCCACCCACCACTATCCTGACATGGCATGGAGCGTCGTTGTCAAAAGGCCAATCATGATGGACTTGTCGTGTCAGCAAGACTGGGGCCCCGGGGCATAAAATGCGGGGGGGAGAGGGGGGAGGCTCAATTTTATCCGAGGATAATACGAGAAGACGAAATCATTAGTTGCCTTGGCAGAAGCCCCATCCCACGCGGCCTAGGGAGCCTGTTCGTGTGTTGAAGCGAACACCGAGCCGGTATCGATGATGTCGGGAGAATGTAGCCCTTGTGATGTTTCTCGTGATGATGCTGCGAGGTGAGATCCCGCACATAGATTTCTTTTGAAAGCATGTTTCTGCAAGCTGGCGAGCATATTATGCATCGTGGCTTAAAAGGTTTCCTCATCTTAGCCGATCCTGTTCCTGGTAAATGGCCAGATCACACAAATCGGGTACGTAAGGGGGTGCAAGGCTGATTGCCCCCTATTCGGCCTCGGCAAACCTTCACAGTACAGCCCAGTGTGGTTGGCGAGTGAAAGTTGGGAAAGGCCAGGGATGCCAGGGAAGGCATCATCCGAGCTCTTCCGAGATCTTCCACGGTGATATCAGAAGGGTGGTGGCAGCATCTGCGTGCACTCGGATGGTAGAGGGGTTCTTGGAGGGCAATATCGATGGCCATTGTGGCTTGATGGTCCGCGCACTCATGGAGAGTACCCAGTATGTGCCAAGACCCATAGTGTATCCTCAACAGAGTAGTCTTGTTCGCAATAGTCTCTTCGTGAAGGCTTGGGAGAAGTGACAGAATTTTGGAGCTGGAGTATTGTGTATCGAGTATCACTATTACATAGCTCGTTCGGAGCATGGGCAAGGATGAGCAGATAGGGCGAGGGGGTACTTACAGGTAGTACCGAGAATTCAATACTGGTACCTCGTACTCTCCGCCAATGGGAATGAGTCGAGATTTTCCCTCCGGCCACGCCACCTGCGCACCCCTTTTGTTCCCAGCTGCGTTTCCCCCCTGCGACCCTCGCGTCCCCTGTGGCACCTCCTGAAGACCCATCATCGTCCTCGTTTGACTCCAACATCTCTTCTCACCAACAATGAGTCGGTGAGAGCTCCCACAGCCGGGTGGCATAACCACTGTGTTGGACTTGCATTGCCTATTCACTTGCTTATCCAAGTCATGACTACGTAGGAGAGCACCACATTTCCATCATCCACCCAAAGTTCAGGCATAATGGGTCCCATTGAGTTGAACAAGCGACGCATCATCTTGCTCCTCGCTAGTATACTCGCATTCTATATTGTTTTCCACGGGCTTTCGTCCTCTAGTGGCGACTTCCGCGATGTCGCTTCCCAGATCCCCATCCCCGGCCATCTAAACCCGACCGAGCATAAACTACCTCCATCAGCGCCCGATCCAGACGCGATATGGGATCTGGAACTCGACCCTTCTCCTGCGCCCACGCCCACGCCGGTGCCGGCGCCCGAATCCGAGCTCGAGCTCGAGCCCGAGCCCGAGAACGCAATCGACACTGAGAAACCTATCCCTCCGACTTCTCAACCTGTCGAGCACTTCGATTTACATCCCATCGCGCAGCTAATGCAAGAAGCCGATGCCGAGTGGCGAGCCTACGAGACGCAGATTTCGACAACATTCAGGCAGACAGTGGAGAAATATAGAAGCAAATATGGCAGACATCCTCCCCCGGGATTCAAGGACTGGTATAAGTTCGCCAGAAAGAGGAACGTGTTCAACATTGATGATTTCCAACAAATCATGGATGATCTGCGCCCCTTTTGGGCTCTCAATGCGTCAGAGATCCGCATTCGTGCGGCGCATATGTGGGAAAACCCTGACTTTGGCGTATCGGTAATTCATATCCGCAATCACAAGGTTGTAAGGGTGGATAACCCCAGTTGGCGATCCGAAACTATGGAGAAAGTCATCGAGAAATGTATCAAATTCCTTCCGGACATGGACATTCCCATGAACAGGTTGGATCAACCGCGCCTGATCGTGCCTTGGGAAGATATGCAAGAGCTACTGCGAAAGGAGTACCAGACGCGCATCATGGCTCCAGAAGTCACCGACAGCTTTACTAAGAATCAACCAGAGCTCCTGGATATAAATATCGAAGACAAGGAACTCGACCACTCCACAAGACTAAGTGATGACTGGTTCTTCGCCCCCGGTCAGCAGTACATGAATCTCGCAGCCAAAGGTTGTCCGCCAGAATCCCCTGCTCGGTCGAACATGACCGTAGCGGACACGGATATGTTGTACAAAGAACCCACCCTTGGGTTTGTGAAGAACTTCAACCTCTCGACAGACCTCTGCACCGTGGGTCCGACTATTCAAGATCTGCATGGCATGTTGTATTCCGCAAGCAGCATCATCGCCTCGCAAAAGCTTGTTCCCATCTTCGGCGAATGCAAGGTTAGTGTCAATAACGATATTCTCTTTCCAGCAAATATGTATTATCAGCATGATGAGCGATATGACTACGACGATGAGGAAGATGTTGATTGGCGGGACAAGCAAGATAATACCATTTGGCGCGGCGTCACTTCTGGTGGTGTCCAGCTTGAGGATAACTGGGACAGGATGCACCGCCAAAGACTCGTTCAACTCTTCAATGGCACCCATTTGTCGGAGACAGGGAAAGAGGTCAAAGTCCTCACAGAAAAAGACGATGGCCCTGGCAAAGTCAACACCACCTACGAACTTTATGGTCGATTCCAGCCCTCACAGTTCGCCGACCGACACAGCGACATCGGATTCACTGAGCCGATGTCCTGTCTGCCGAATTGTTCATTCTACGACAGCGTTTTCTCTTGGAAGCCCCAGGTTTCGCTCACTTCACAATTCAAATCGAGATACTTGATCGACGTCGACGGACACTCTTTCTCAGGCAGATGGCATGCGTTCCTTCAAAGCAAGAGTCTCGGTCTCAAAGCTACTATCTTCCGGGAATGGCACGATAGCCGACTTTTAGCATGGCGACATTTTGTTCCTGTCGACAACCGGTACGATGACATTTATGGTCTTTTGACGTACTTTATTGGGTATGGCAAGCCCTACAAACAACACGTCGACGAAGGCGGAGACTCGAATTCTCGGGTTTTTGTCGCTCGGCATGATAGAGAGGCGCAGAAACTCGCTCGGCAGGGTCGCGAATGGGCAAACAAGGTGCTCAGGCGTGAGGATATCGAGGTGTACATGTTCAGATTACTTCTGGAGTATGGACGATTGATTGACGACAATCGGGACTTTATCGGTTACTCCGGCGATGGCAGTGAGTTGGACAAGTTCGACGCGGGCGAAGATGACGAAGGCCGCTGGGGCTTCGGAGGGTGGTAAAGATTGTTGGAAGCAGATTTTTCAGAAGAATGCCGGAGACCGCATTCTCTGAACGAATGCTCATCTCATCCTCCGCATAGAGGTTTAGATGTGCTGAACAGTGCAAATACCGGCAGCAGTAAAAGGGAGCCTGGAGAACAAAAAACACTGGATTTTCGATCAGGATGAATCTATTGCTGGGAATTGCACCACGCCGCAGCCTCCACGGATGTCCGCCCTTTGGAATAGGTAAAATGCGGACCATGGAAGGACACAGCCAAAGTGTGGACAAGGAGTCCTTGGTGGCGCCCATGCACCACACACCCAATGAGCGCACAACTAGTTTCGTTGCTTCTTTTTGGCTGGCCTGCTCTCAACAGGATAGCGAAGGCATGGGGATAAAGGCCGTTAGATAGACACGAAATGAGCATCTAATAAAACCGTCAGCTAGGCGGATGACGGGCAAGAAGGAATCAGGCTGTGCGAGAACAAGTACGGCGCGCATAGATCATCCTTGACAGAGCATTGAAAGATGCAGGGTAATCAAACAAGAGTCTTCATATGTAGAGGGGGGTGGTTCTTATTGTATCCACCGGTGTCCAGAGTGTAACGATCGGGGCGTGGGCTCTGCTACTTCTTCAACTTCTTCTTCAGCCTCTTCTCGGCCCGCACATCCTTCTTCAACCGCGCGTCCACAATCTTATATTTGCCCTTGACGCCCCTCGGTCGTCCCGCAATACCCCTATTCGCACCCCGCGCCACGACCAGCTTGACCTTCTCCTTGGGTCTCCCTTTCTTGGCCGCCCGGACCATCATTCTCGAAATGGTTGACGCCTTGTCCTTTTCACTGACGCCCTCGTCTTCGAGCAACAGCGCGGATTTCTTGCGGAGCTTCTCCAGACGTTGAGCGGCTTTCATCTTCTTCCGCCCTTTTGCTTCGAGCACCTTCTTGATGGGTCGAGCATTCAACGCCCGCATCTTCTCTTTTATCGCCGCGGCCGCAGCCTTCGTGATCGGTCTCAGGGGGCGAGAGTGTCGGTCTTCATCATCTAGGAACCAATCGGGAAGGCCGTCAGTATCGCGGAAGGTGTATTTGTTAAAATTATCATCGATAAGGTCCTTGGATGTGGTTTGCTTGGTCGCAAGGGAGTGCGCGAGGGTCATGGCTTCAACAGTGATTATATCGATGTCCAGATGACCGGATGGAGTCAATGGGTCTTCGGGACGTGCAAGGTCTGTGGTGGAAGAGATGGTGGTTTTAGGCGTAGTTTCAGGCTCGGACTCCGATTTATCTTTTGCTGTTTGAGGTGAGAGTCGTTGTTTCTTCAAGGTTGAATTAACAGGTTTGCCTCGCTGTCCTTTTGATGCCTGAGCTCTTGCAGCAGCAGAGTCTACTTGATCCGAGGATTCGTCGTCCATCTCAATTGCGCTATCCTTGTCCAAGTCTTCTTGGTCATCTTGATCATCTTCGATGCCCAGGTTCTGAAAGATGTCTTGATCAAAGAACATGGCTGCTTTGGTGGAAAGACCTTCACTTTTTGGCTGTTGTTTCATAGGGTAGCCGTTTTGCTCATCATCGGACCCAGCGTCAGTCGCTATATCGCTTGATATGCCTCCGTCGTCGGAGAGGCCTTCCCATTCATCTGTTTCTCTCTCCTTTCTTGCTCGCTTTGCTCGTGCCTTTGCGTCTGCTTCTTCCCTTTTTTGCTGATAAGATTCGTACATCAAATCGAGTTCCCTTTCAAGCATGTCACCAGTCTCATCCTCGTTGCCATCAGAAGCGACCTCTGATGCTTCCAGCTCCGAATCTTCCTCGTCTGCCATGTCTCCATTGGCTATCTGAACTGGGTTCTGCACCTTATCAGCCGCTTTGATACTAAACATGGATCCTTCAGCACCAGGGCCACTCTGTTGCAATCCAATATCATACGGCGCAGTCATGTGCATCTGCATCCGGACAATCTCTTTTCGCTTCCTTTCATTTTCTTTCCGACGCTCCTTCTTTTTTTCCTTGTTGTCTTGATCCTTCAGCCTCTGTAGTTCTTGTTGGAGTTTGAGCTCTCCGTCCATCGACTCGACCTCGGCCACCTCTTCTCCTTCTTGCCCAATGGCCTGCACTTCCTGATCCTGCTTTTTCGCTTTGCCGGACAGGCCAAACTGATCACGGACTTTCAGCCGCCACCGAAGTAACGTTCTGAATTCCTTCTTTCCTAGAACTTTCAAGTCCGCGCAACATTGTCTGATTTCGGTTGTCGTCTCGGGTAGTCGGCCTATTGTAGCCAATGCAAGATCGCCGTTGGGCGGCTGCTCGAAACTGAGTTTGTTGACGGAGCCTAGAATCGCGATCGGGTCTGTGGTATGAATGAAATCACTGACGGGGATTTCTTTGTGTTGAGTCCAGTCGCCTTCCTCATAACCTTCTCGTTTCCGTTTCTTCTTTTCGGGATTGAAAACCTTAGCTTCGTTATTCGGTGTGGGATCCTGCAACTCCGCGAAAACATGTTTCGGGTCCAGAAACTTGGGGTCCAGTCTCTTGGGCGCTCTGAAGCCTCTGCACACGACAAAGATCTCTGCTGATACATTTCTCGAAGAAGGGGGTTTTGTAGCCTCGACCGATGTAAATAGTTGTTTGAAGACCCAAAGTAGCGCGTTGTAGTCTTTCGACCTGAACACCTTTGTGACAAATGTGCCCCCTTCTTTCAGGAACTCAGTCGCCAACTTCATTGATTGCAGGACCAATTCCGCTTGCGAGAAAGCATCTTGTACCCAGGCAACACCGACATTGGGTGCACCGTCATGCAGCACAGTATCCGCTTTCATATGTTTCAAATGCTGTCGAATAGTCGCTCGACATTTGTCCGTGGTGATATCGCTCTGGAAGGAGATAACGCGAGGGATGGGCTTGATGGGAGCCAAATCGACGCCGACAATCAGACTTTGCGCAGGCATTGTCTCAGCTGCAACTTGACACCAGGATCCCGGTGCGGCGCAGAGATCCAGCAACACTCGACTCTTTTCCAGGAAACCATACTTCTTGTTCAGTTGTATCAACTTGAAGGCTGCTCGAGCTCTGTATCCTTTCTCCTTGGCGAGCTTATACCATTTGTCTGAGAGAAAATCAGTCAATGTTCACGAAAGTGCAGGGTAAATTGAGTGACGGAGCGCATACCAAGCCGTCCTTTACCGTGCTTCTTTTGGATTGCCATGGCGAACGACGATTCAGAAGTGTGTCTCCGGCGCCCCTAGGATTCTTCTCCTGGAACACCTAAATCTCAGTGCACATCCTGTATGGCTGTTGCAGGCACATTCTGAATCAAGGTCAGAAAAATCGAGCCAAGATCGAGTAAATTTAGGGCGGGGCTGATCCTCTTTTGAGTGTGGACTGATGCTGCCCTGTACATTGGTAGACTATGATTGGCCCGCGATGGATGTTACCCGGTATAGCTGAGATCTGTCCAATGGAAGCTTTGTCCTGGCAAAAGCGGCGTTACTAGCCCTACTGCCCCAGCGCACGGAGTACGATTCAACAATACTCCAGACCCCTACACAGGAATGGGAATTTTGTAAATGAATGTACCGAGATGCCTCATCGCTTTGCAGGATAAAACGTGTCGTGTTGTCAGAATGGAAAGTGAAAGTGGAAAACGAAAGGCGAGAGAGATGAACGAGGACACGCCCCACGGAACACAAAAGTCGTTATAGGAACACTCTTTTTGTTCGAATCAAAATCTGCCTCTCTCCAAGGTCTAGTCTCACAAATACTGTACAACCTTCTCAGGCACCTGAAGCCTATTCTCAAGCTTCACATCCCTGAAAGATTTCTCGAAAGTGAACACTGTTCCGTTCTCCTTGAATGTCTGTTCCTTGCAGAGCAAGCTTAACAGGGCAGATCTTTCGATCACGATGCGCCCGCTAGTGAGGAGGTCCTTGACATCCACGTCCTCGATATCTTTGAGCTCGCCGTGTTCGCCGATCACTTCCATCTCTTCGAAGATACGTGATCCGGCCGATTCCAAGGTGCTAGTGACGAGGAGGCTCCGGCCGTATCCCTGGCCCCAGCGATTGGCTTCGAAAACGTTGTTAAGAAACCGGGCACTGTTGCCCTCCGGGAGAGTGATCTTGTCGTTCAGGATAACCAACTCATTCTTCCTAAATCGATAACTTAACGCGATCCGGAACGCCTGGTGATAAACTTTCTTCTGCAATTCGGTCGAAAAGTCCCTCGGTTTCGGACCGAAAGCGACACCACCTCCTCTTCTTATAGGGGACTTTTTGTCTCTCACACGAGCACGACCTGTGCCTTTTTGCTGGTATAGCTTCCGGTTGGACCCATGGACTTCGAAGCGCCATTTTGTGCTCGCCGTACCCTGGCGTGTGGCGTCTGCTTCGTAGATGACAGCGCGGTGAAGTATGTCTCGGCGCAAGGGGGCATCGAGGTACCGAGAGCCATACAGCGCATAGCGAGTAGGTTCGATGTGAGGCCACGAATGCAGTGTTGCGAGGACAGGGTGGTCTAGAACGTGGAGCTCTGTTGTTGATGGAGTCCTTGATAACCACGGCGTTGGAGATGCCGCAGTGGAAGGGGTTCGAATCTGAGAGGAATCACGACCCGGTTCAAACTCCTTAGTGATTTTGGGGATGGGTAGCTGAGTTTGAGAGGCGAATGCTCGACCTAGTCTCGGTGCAAGGCATTGCTATGACCAAGTTAATCGAGGTTAATGCCACAGTTTTCAGGATGTCATACTGTCAATGGATCGGCGACATTAAGCTGGTTGAATCTTCTCACGAGTCCCAGCAGACTGCGCGACGCCGATGTGTGCGGCATCAATGCGACACGCCCAGCCAATGTTCGAGGGCGGCTAATCACAAGTGGCCGTTTTGCTGTATTACACAATGAGAGATGGATACAAGATATCCTAAAACTATGGGAGCCGAAGCTCGCACCTAGTGCGGCCGAAGTTAGCAGGGGGCAACTGTCACGTGGAACAGCCTCGTCGACATAACTGGCGAGCTGGTGAGCTGGGTACGAGGTACGGATATCTCAACCTTGTACCTCGTACTCGGTATGCATAAGCTAGGAAAGCTCAATTCTCGGTCTCGACAACGTGTTCTCCCTTGTCTATTCTCATATCACGGTCTTTCCCTCCATTTCCTCGTTTCCACTCAGCGCTCTCCGACATACTCGACGACCATTCTCATCGCACAGGAGAAACAGGGTCTCTTGTACCTCGTACGATGCAGAGGTCAAAGGGCCGGTCTTCATCCCCGCCGCTTTGAAATGTAAGGGTAGAGCGGCAAGACGTCTCGACCCTTACCGAGGGCCGATGATAAAGAATTTTCTCTGCAACACGAGAAGCGAGCGGATGATCCCTCACCAGTCCTTGGGTATATGCGGATGACTGGTGGGTGACTGCATTGACCAAGGGGCCGTTATTGGGGGCTCGTGGGGCGTGTGGGAGCCCAGTGTTGCTTACCTTCATACCTACCGGGCACTTAGCAGGTGATCCAACCCCCTGGCCTGGTGGCCCGCAAGCCAGCGAGGAGTTAGTGGATGCTACCTGGACACACTCCAGATGGCCAGATGCGACCCCGTATTATTCTATATTAATCGGACGGACTCAGGTGGCTCCTGTACATACTGCCCTGCACTGCCCTACGGGTGGGCGAGTGGGGGGTCGCCCACTATCGTCAGATCCGCTGCTCTTGATCGCCTCATCAAAATTCTCATTGCGATTTGAGTGCATCGAGTCACAGCTGTTATCCATCATATCCATCATATCCATTATAGGCGTATTACCGCTTCTCAGCAAGTTCGCTCGCACTGTGTGTCTCCGCAAACTCCAGCCCAGCGATCCGATATCGCCATAACGTCGCCATCCCGCCACTGCACACACCGGGCGATACCGAGTATATCCCAATGCTTTTTGCCCTGATCGAATCATTTCTTTTCCGTGGACCCCAAAATCCTCGAATCACGTCAATCTGCACTTACAATATCAGACACTCTTCTTCGCTCCTCCTAGAGAGCTTAGCCGCGGGTCGATAATGCTCTTGCGCTGGCCTTATACGACCATCCTACATGTCGCAATAGCGACCGATACGTGAACCACTGTTTCTTTACAATCTATCATGATGGAAGAAGATATCACACCAGAGCAACAACATCCACTGAGTTCTCTGGGGGAAGTCTCAGAGCACCCAGACCCCTCGGCGCAGTCATCGGCTAAGGGCAAGAATAAGAGCAAGGACAAGGATCCAGGTGGTGCCAATACCAAAAGGCGATGCGTGAGCACGGCTTGCATTGCCTGCCGGAAAAGGAAGAGCAAGTGCGATGGCAACCTGCCTAAGTGCGCCGCTTGCGCATCAGTCTACTTGACTGAATGTGAATATGCGCCCCATACCGATCACCGCCGCAAAGGGGTTTACAAGAAGGATGCAGACGCTAACAAGGCCAAGAACTCTACTCTCCAGATTCTTGTCCAAGCCATTCTCAATGCTGATGAGGAGGACGTCATGGATTTGGTCCGCCAGATTAGGACATGCGACAACCTGGAAGAACTTGCAGCTACCATAGACGCCCAGGAGAAAGGTCTGATAGAGGGACCCGACGACTCCCCAATATACAAGGATGAACCTGGTGTACCCAAATTCGAAGCCGAGCTCTCGGGAAAAATGGGCGACTTGATGCTGGATGGATCCGTCAAATTCATTGGGGGAACGTCGAATTTGATCTGGCTGCCCGAGGAATATGATCATCGAGGGTCACATAACTCGTCAGCTTATCAGCAGGTCGTGGTAAGGCCTCAAGAAGAAGCCGTTCTTGCATGGACGACCGTCACCCAAGACAAGGAGGCTATCCTACATTTCATGAATATGTACTTTTGCTGGCATTATGCCTTTTTTACCACCCTGGCCAAGGAACTTTTCTATCGGGATTTCCTGACTGGAACACCCTCCCAATACTGTTCACACCTCCTTGTTAACGTCATGCTAGCGCTTGGATGCCACTTCTCATCACGACCTGCTGCGAGAGCAGATCCAGAGGATTCTGGGACCACAGGCGACCACTTCTTTGCAGAGGCTAAAAGGCTTCTTTATGAGAACGACGAGTTTGCCAACGCGAAACTATGTACCGTCCAGGCTCTAGCATTAATGTCAGTAAGGGAAGCCGGATGCGGCCATGAAAGCAAGGGCTGGGTGTACAGTGGTATGAGTTTTCGAATGGCTTGTGATCTAGGATTGAATGTGGATACGGTGCCTATCAATGAGATGTCACGTTTGACAGACGAGGATATTGATGCAAGACGAATCACTTTCTGGGGCTGTTTCCTCTTCGACAAGTAAGAATTTTTTGCTCTGACGCCCCGTCTTTGCTAATGGGTTTCAGGTGCTGGTCCAACTACTTGGGACGGCAACCTCAGCTTCAAATGCCTAATATCACCGTAAAGAAGCCCGACGTGTTCCCATCGGAAGAAAGTGAAATGTGGTCACCATATACAGATTCTGGTATCATTCAGGCCCATGCACAACCGGCACGCACCAGAGCTGTGGCATTGCAATTGTCAAGACTTGCGGAAATATCCAGTGACCTCCTGACATCATTTTATAACCCGCAGCTGCTCGACAAGCCTCCCCCGAGACAAACAGAATTGAAACGACTGAGCGATCTCCATACTCGGCTGGAAGCTTGGAAGCAAGGTTTACCAGCTGAGATGGAACCCAGAGAGGGACAGCTTCCTCAGGTCTTGCTGATGCAGTAAGTCTTCGAGGTTCAAAAGGTTCAAGACGCGTCCTGACTAGAGACAGTATGTTTTATCAACTGTTATATCTCCATCTGTATCGACCATTTCTGAAGTACACCCGAACGACCTCACCACTTCCAGCACATGTGTCTCCCAGAAAGTACTGCACTCAGGGAGCTGCGGCCATCTCCAAGCTTTTTCGACTCTACAAGCGGACACACGGCCTTCGACAAATATGTAACATCGCAATTTACATTGTACATTCGGCTTGCACAATTCATCTGTTGAATCTGCCGGACAAGAACGCTCGAAGAGACATAATTCATGGAGTCAAACATCTCGAGGAAATGGGAGACTGTTGGACAGCTGCCCGTCGAACACTCAGAGTTTTGCATCTGTGCGCCGACAGATGGAGCATTGAAATGCCCGAAGAAGCAGAGATGGTCTATACGCGGCTCAGAGTTAAATGGGGATTGGCGCCAGGTGCCCCGTCTCCAGTATCGCCCGCAAGTTTAGCCAACATGGCACAGCAGATCGCATCTCAGCCCGTGCCTGACTTGATGGCGAGGAATATTCGGCAGCAGCAACAGCAGTCGCAGGCCCTGCGACAATTTTCAATGTCTCAGTATGCAGGTGGACTCTCCGCGGCTATGGCTGCATCACCGGCGGAAACGATCGATTCTCGACGGACCTCAGGAGGGTTTTCCATGCCCCCACAGTCTGCAGCCGACCTCTCTCGAGACTCTCATCGTGTTCGCCCTTCAACCTACCTTACCAAAGCGCAACAGGATGCTTGGAACGCACACCAAGCCCGCATCGCAGTAAATGCAGCTGCAACGTCCTCGAACAATGCAGGCGCTGCGGGCGAGCAAAATGCTGCTAGATTGTTTGGTGGGGTGGACAGTCTGGTCGAAGAATCCCAAGACTGGTTCTTCAAGGATCAGAACCAATTGGCGATGGGCTTTGAAAACTGGGGGTCTGAGCCGCAAGATTGGGGGACCCTTGACTTGAGTTTCTTTGACACGCCGGATACGGGATCCAGTACGAATGACAATACCAATGGCAACTCACCCTCCTACAACGGGCTGCAGTACTCGTATGATTCAGCGACGGGTACGACAAATACGGGCGGGTTGGGAAACAAGGGCGGGTACGGATTTGGATTCACAGGGGACGGGTACCCAACAACAACCGATACCGACATTAATGGCCTGAACACGAATGGAACGAATGGAATGAATAATTTAATGGGTCCAGGTATAGGCTTGCGATTAGGGATGAATATGGGAACAAGTGGAAATGGTTCAATGGGGGCTGGTATGAGAAATATGGGTATGGGCGCGCCCGGCGGTTCTAAGCGCTCTTCTCAAAATCTGGGTTTCGACGACGAAGTATATTATTGATGTACATCTTTGACTGTATGAGGCGCAAAACTGGATATGGCAAGATCTGAAGACATGAATCTGTGTTAAAGTCGTGAAAACAACACAACAGCCACTGTGGCGTTGCTAAGATGCCATGCACCAGGTGTAAATAGAAGATCTCTTTGCGCCTGCCTCTCTGTAATCCGATACTGGATCGTCAAGCACCCACGCAAGGACAGGGGACTCAGATTCACTGTTAACCAGCCTCGCCAGCTTCCAGGGGAGTCGCAGCCTTGCCAAGACCCAGCCTTGCCAGAGTGTGCAGTCCTGCAGTGACGTAGTTTTCCCAAACAAAAGACACGGCTGGTGACGCCAAATCGTGTCGTGTGTTTCGGCGATAATTACCGAGTACAACACGCTCAGGTTTCCCTCCCCGGCCCTCTGGTGAAGGGGCTGCCGTTCTCTCTCGTCTCCTGAGAAGAACGGAGGATATTTCAATTATGTCACCTCTCCTCGACTGGCTAGTCGAGCATGAACCGTTATTCCGCAAGTCTGCCTCTCCCTCTGTCATTTTCCTGAGTCGCGTTCAGACCATTTGCCCACAAGACGTACTGACTCTGCATTCTTTCATGTGGTAGAACACGCCTGCCCTCGCTATACTCCGACCTCAACCTCCAGCGCATCTCCAACCCTGAAGGCTATACCGCCAACGTCACTGCGTGGGCGTCCGCCCTCTCTCGCAGCGCTCTCGCGGGACAAATTCCCCATGAACAACATCATTTGATTCTGCAAACGAGTGACGAGCTACTCGGTGCACTGGCGAGCCCGATGTATGGTAAGCCTAGTGGGCTTGGGAGTGTTATAGATGAGTGTCTGAGGCAGGGGAAGATGATTGATCTACAGGATTTTATCAACTTGGAGAGCAGCATCTATTCCAAAAGTTGGATACCAAGTCCGTGGGCGGTCCTGCGTTGGAGCTTACAGAAGGCCGGGCTATCGTGGAGCACCGGCAGTTTTGATTTACGCGGTGGGAGGTTAAAAAGAGGGAGCCTAGCGCTGGTTCCGGCATTGGAAGAAGTCTGGAAGAGACTGTGTGCTGCCAGGGAGAAAGATGCAAAGGCACAGACGCTGACTGAGAGAGTGATGACCCGGGAGATGTTTCTGAAGGAGGTTAACAGCGTCCTTCCTCAGGCCGGCGAGATGACAGGGTCACTGTCAAATCAAGACCTCGAAGTGTTGCTACGCTACCTCTCCCGGGACAAACAAATGCTGGCCTACGATGCCGGCACGGTGAAGTTCAAAGCCCCTCCCTCTACAGCCTTACCCGAGCCGATAACTCAAGAAGACCGCTCCATCGCCTCGTTGAAGTCCCTCATTGAGTATCTCCGGCAAAAGACCACGACTCTTTCCACGCGCATCACAACACTGCAAAACAAAGCTTCGTCCGCCGTGAAAGCGGGCAATAAACCTAGCGCTCTCTCGGCTCTTCGCTTGAAGAAACTCGCGGAACGAAACCTCCAACAGCGTCTGGACACACTGCATCAGTTGGAGGAAATATACAGCAAGATCGAGTCTGCGGTGGACCAAGTCGAAATCCTCGCCGTCATGGAATCGTCTGCTTCCGTGCTCAAGACTCTAAATAAGCGGATAGGAGGGGTTGAGCGCGTGGAGGACGTCCTGGAGAGCTTGAGCAAGGAAATTAGCAAAGTCGATGAAGTCTCTGAAGTTTTGGCCGAGCCCGTGGACCAGAAGGTGATTCTCGATGAGGATGAAGTAGACGAGGAATTCGAGGCGATGGAGAGAGAAGAGCGCGAGAAGGCCAGAAAAGTCGAGGAGGAAAAGACCAGGCAGAAGCTCCAAGAGCTAGACGCGCTTGAACAGATCCGGAAGGAGAGGGAGAGGGAGAGAGAAAGGGAAAAAGAAAAGCAACGAGAAGACACGGCGCTGAAGCAAGATGACCAAGCCGAAGACCGGGAGTTGGAACAAGCCCTGTCGACGAGTATAGAACAAATGCAGAGATTGGATATTTATCCGCAAAGAGAACAAGGCAGGCAAGGACAAGATGGGATAGAAACACAGGGCCATGCAGCGCAAATGGCTGAAGAAGCATCATAGTCATATTTAGGAGGATGGCGCAGCCAGGGATGGCCGACGGGACATGGAGTTAAACGGGAACCACCCAATACAGGTTCAACCGAATTCCTATTCTCAGCTTCATAGCTGCCATTCCGTACAACTTCATGAATTTCAGAGCTAGAGAGCGATGTCATCAAATCCCCGAGCTCGCCGCCCCATAATTACGCAGACCTCAGGTCTGTCTAAGATCTCCTCATTTTCGAGGCCGACGTGGGCCACTCCAACATATCGGCGTGTTCATGAATCCCTCTCAGACGAAGAACCTGCCGTGAGGTCTTTCCGGAGCTAATGTCAGGTCAACCTGAACAGCCAACTGTGATTCTGATGGGTCTTCCAACTGTTGGGGTGATGGTATAGCTGTTGCAGTCTCCTCAGGATGAACGGTGGTCGTATCCTCCTTAGACTCGAGCTGCTGTCGCCCTTGTATTTCGACTAAACTTCCAAGACTGGATCTTTCTCCAGCGTCATCTGAGCATTGTGAACCTGCTGGCTCTGCTCCAGAAATATGCCTTGGGGAAGCGCTCTCCGTCGGATCCCATAGAGCGGCGTCTGATGTTGGATTTTCTGCTGCAGGCGACGCCTTTTCTTCGGGGAGTTTTGGTTTCCTCGCCCTAGCCTGCCGGATCAGGTCGTCAAAATTGCTTTTTTGACTCTTCACGTGGCGTTCTCTATCAAAATCCTTCGCCATAAACCCCGTATTTGACGGCTTTTCCGGTTGCCGTCCCAGCGTGTCCTCCCAGATCTTCAATTCCCGCAGTAACTCTCCCTTTGTCACTGGTTTGGTAGAGTCGCAATTGGCGTTCCACAGATTCACCCACTCGGTGTGGCGCCTGCGCATAAGATCTTTTGAGCCGAGATAGGGAATACCCAGGTCTCGCAGCTTTTTCCGTAACGCGTTGTCAGTGAGGAGGGAGTAGTTTATAAAGGGCAGGCGATCATGTTGTTTGGCAGGTTTCCTCTGAGCATAGGCAATCGTGCCAGGCGGTGCGACATGTTGGACATTAGAAAGTGGAGCTGGAGAAGAAGAAGATCCGGCCTCGTCCCCCGGCGCATGGCTGTCTCCTTGTATGCATTTATCTAGGTGCGAATTTATGAGTGCTTCTTTCATTCGCTGGTGGCAACATGGACACTGGACGAGGCTATCCTGTGGTTCCTGATTGCCATTGTCATTGACGAAGTGTGGGCTCTTATAGCATTCTGGGCCCTCATAGACACTTCCATCTTCTTCGCTGTCATATATGGCTTCCTGGGTTGATGCCATGCTCTGTTGACTGGCGATATCCGAGGCAATCTTCCTACTCTGACTTCGGGTGCTCCGTCTTTCAATGCCGTTGCTTGTCGATTCTGGTGCCAATTTCCGCCTCTTCTTCGGTCTCTGAGGCTCGCCATCATCCTCCCGTTCCCTTCCTTTGGCAAGACTGGCCGTCGCAAACGCGAAGAGACCTTTGCGCGACGCAGTGAAATGGGCGACCAATTCTTCGACTGCCCAGTTTCTCCGCAGCTTTATTTCCTGATCAGCGTCTCGACACGCCGGGCATCTTCCTTCCTGAGAAAGACACCTTCGTATACAGAGACTGCAGAAGGTGTGGGAACAGCTGGTCATCATAGGAGTGGTGAAGTAGTCCTTGCAGACTTGACATCGCAGCGAGGAGTCGAGGGGCGCGAGGGCGGCGAGAGGAGTTTCGAGCCAGTCTGTACTGTCTGTGAATTTATCACGATCTGCCATCGTGGCTTTAATAGCCCAGTGCAAGGCCAAGGGCTAGGATGTCGCGGTCGCCCAACTGTTTAAACCAGGCACAGGCGGCATGAGACCTGTGACGACAATAACGAGATAATCGGAAATCGGAATGAATGGCGCGGCAGCTTAGCGTGTTTTTCTTCCCTACAGGTTCTTGTTACGCGTAAAGTGGCAGTCGCGTACCTCGTGACGCCAATTGAAGAGCTAGCGAGCACCACCAGCACAGAGTGCTTTCTGCACAACATTTGCCATCGTCTATCTACAAGCACATCTGGAAGAATAAGAAGTGAGAGCTGCTGCTGACCAAGTTGCTATTTGGCTATTTCTTTGTCGAATACGTACAGAGAACCTCATACTTCGTACGAACAAAGCCTGGTTAGGAGGATCGGGGGAGATTTGGGCTATGACGACGACGACGATGATGGTAAAGTGGACGAGTCTTTGATGAGCGAAGGCTAAACGGCACATTCGGCAATATTTGGGCAAGGCTGACTCTTGGAAAGGGGGTCGAGATAGGCTTTACATTTCCCTCCCTCCACCAAATGATGGTCTACTGCCCGTCTTGGACCAGAAAGAGAATACATGCAACAGCTCCAGAGGGAGGGATTTTTGGAATGTGTCGCGCTGCCAGATGCCCGCTACCACTTGGCTCGTCCATGCAATGTCCGACAATAACCCGTGCCAAAAGTCCCATGTGCTAGAACGGAGGCGATCAATAGACCTCGATTCCACCTCAATGGGTTGTCGCACGAAATCTGGGAGCAAGCTAGTCATGGACATCATCAGCATATCGCCCCGTTATGGTGGCTCGAGTTCGGCGCCCCATTTGCTCGATAGGTCCTCTCTTGAGATACGTGGTCTGGACAGATTGCCCTAACGTTGGACGCACTGGAAGTATCGTGCGAGAAATACTCCCGCAATCACAACGCCCAGTGGATAGCCGAATCTTGGTGCAGGATCTGAGAGTAGACTTGTTGGCAGGGTCTCGCCAGAGTATTATTCCTGTGCAAGCCTCACGGGTCATTCCAACACGATGGTGAGGGTTGCTCGTCGGATCCCATCGATAAGGCACCGTATTTGCCATGCCAATAACATCAACACCCGCTCAGGATGAGGGAGCAATTAGATCAAAGAAAAGCTTGAGCTCTTGTCATCTGGGAAGCCACTGGATCGATGGCTTCTGCTTATTGCATGAGTCTGTAACGTTGAAACCGGTTGCCGGACCATGTTCTCAGCGCTCAATAACCGTATCATATAGCACAAATCTGGACGTTTTTGTTCATTCAAAGTCGTCGTCTGGTCGATATGTGTCGGCTCTGTTCAGCCGGGCTGGACTCAACGGCGTCACAGGCTCCAGCAGACTCGTTCCTGCTCCGGCGCTGCTTCCTAAGAAATTTCTTCTGTGCCCCTTACTGTCGACCTTTTCCAGAGGGTTCATCTCTTCCACCGTTTCGTCTTCCACGTCAGCTTGGACGTCCACCGGGCCCTCCAGTTCAATCTGTCTTGTCGCTCCACTAAAGCCTCTCTTCCTTGCTTCTCCCAACTTCATCCTCACTGCCAGTCGCAGTTGTTCCAGGTATTCGGCCAACTCGTGGAACTGCTTATGTGATCCACTATTCTTGGTTTCACTGTAGAGTTCTTGTGCCTCATCAAGCCTCTCCGCAGCGATTTCTGCTCGGCCGAGTTTCATCCATTCGTCTGCAGCCATAATACTCCATAGCGCGGCTTTTCTTTTGCGCATACCCCAACTCGTATTGCCGATACCGATCCGGTCCGCAAAAGAAGATGCAACTCGCTCACTGACCAAAACGTGTCCGATACTACCGACCAGACCTAGCTCGAGGCTGCGGATCGCCCACTTTGCCGCCAATTCGCCGGCTGCTCGGCCTCGAACCTTTAAAAGCTCGACTCCGAGCAAGATAGAGCGCAATGCAAGGGCAGGCTCAGAACACCGGGTCAAGTATGAATAGCTCGCTGTCTCGAGCATGTTGTCGAAGTTTTCAATCTTGAATTTGGAACTGCCACTGCTCGTGAGAGGATTCAGGAGAGTAGCGGCACAGCACATTTCGTTCGCTCCGGCCAAATGCTTCCAGGCTTTATCGTTTGAATAGTCACTCCGAAGCAGCTCGTAGGTTGATGCCGCCAGCTTGTAATCTCGTAACATGAATGCATAGTCGGCAAGCTTCCGCAACAGACTCTCGGGGACATCATAACGGTACGTCCCCTGCAGGCTGTCGTAATTGCCGCTTCCTCCAACGTTGGTGGTGGAGGATGAGCTTCGAGAAGAGCTTCCAATTCCGGTCCATCGCTTCGAAAGAGACATGAACCTGCCGGAGATACCCCGACGACGTGAGGCAATCTGCTCGTTCCACAAAGCAATTCTTTGCTCCATATGGTAGACTATGGATTGTGCAATAAGCTCGCGGACAAATGCGCGCAGGGCAGCGGCGTCCGAGGAGAAGATGTAGGGAGATGTAGATGTGTTGAGTTCAATGAGATCCGCAGTGTCCTGCAGGAGTGAAAGTTGTTCAGTTGGCGAAAGCCATTCGCTGCTGGGTAGTTCTTCGGTGTCATCGTCGCTTTGTGTGCAGGACGCAGACCTCAGCCGGAGAAGATGGCAATGAAGGCCAAAATGTCGCTTCATCTGATCAAACAGTGCAGATGACTTGCTAAAGTCATCCCGGTCCTCATCGTGGACAAGCACATAATATCTGAGGTATTCCGGATGGGCATAGGCAGGTAGAGCCCGCGAACCCGATGCGGTTTGTTGATAGAGTGTGCGTAAGGTTTCGATAGGTTGTTTCGTGGAAGAACTGATAGCAATGACGGCGCCCGCTGGATGTCGAAACGACTCATGCGGGCTCATGGTTTGAGAGGACATAAGCCGGGCCAGAAACAGGCGATAGAAGGGAGAAGTCTCCCCCCGCCCCAGGATATCTTCCGTCTCGTCAAAGCCGTCTCCCACGAAATGTTCCATCAACTCTTCCAACTTTTCTGTGGAGTTGGACATGGGGTGTGAGGATGTGCCGTCCCTAACTAACTGCCCGAGGTCTGCAAAATGAACACCAAAATCTTCCCATGCACGGCTCGCTCCTGTGCTATCTCTCACCACCACTTTCCCATTGACCTTGTCGCCGAACGGGCGAACCAGTCCGACAAAGCCATTTTTCAACCCTTTGCGAGCGGCGAGTTCGTCTACTTCCAGCGATGCGTAGATTGCAACAGTTGGAGAAAATGCCCGGACGATTAAAGATCTGGTGTCATCATATGACTCTGAGGGATTGCCCAAAGGGCTGTTGGCTCGCGACCTCCCAAACCTCGATAATGATAAGGACAACCTTCCGTTGGGAGAGCTAGAGCGGGATAGGACGCTAGAAAGAGTGCTGGTTCGGGAACCTAAGGCGGGAGGGCTCGAAGTACGGATAGGGAGACTGGTGGTGGATGTCTCGGGTGATTCATTTCTCGCGGGTGGTCTTGTCTTGTGAACCTCGAGGGTTGGGATCGAGGGCGAGAACAGGTTCTCGGGCGACTGAAGAGGGTCTCCATCACTCGGCGAAGAGGTCATGGACAATGATGGAAGAGGGTCTCGTCAATGTCGTCGACTTGCGCGCTGTCATGGAGCGTGTTCCTTTGGGCTTTGAATGACTCGGAGTTATCAGCATGTCAATGAGCGGTCACGAGTTCATGTTCACAGAGCATCTCCCTTTCAGTCCGTCTCCGAGATTTGCACGATCAGCGTCCGAGAATGACAGAACATTGCGGGCCGGAATTGTGTACTAGGGAGAGGACGCAAGCGACGCTTCGCAGCCTCGGGACCAAGTTGATCCGTCGTATTTTAGGTACGGCCAAGGTACGGCGAATCACTACGGCGTCTATGTAGCAGAAGCTTTTCGGTCAGTGATTTATGCTCAGTAATAAAGCAAACATCGATTAACATAGCTAGCTTTTTCATCTGGTGACAACGAAAAGAACTTCTTCATTGAGTCTAGCTTAAACATGCTCCCATAATATTCGTTGCTTGACGCGTCTATTCCCGGCGAGACAAAGTATGGACCCCGTCAATGAAGTCCCATCATCTGCTTACTGTTCTCGTAGACGATATAGCTGATGCTGACCGCCGGCGCTACCTTCAACAGGTTCGGCGTCACCCCTTTGAAAAGTCCTTTCACCCCCTCTCCTTGGACCGTCCTGATCGTGACATCGACAATCCCCTTGTACGTAGGCGGATGCAACACTGTTCCTTGAGCTTGTAACCTCGTCCTTAATAGATTGATGGGGTACACAGCTGTCGCGCTGATCGCCCCCGAGGTTGCTCCAATGACGCCGGTGAGAAGGTTGCTCATCTCAACATCCTCCTCATGGCAGCGATGTTTCTTGGCTTTCCGTGCCAGGACAAAATGCTTGCAGTTTTCAAAGATGAACAGATCGATTGCGCTGTAAGGGAACATGCCGGCGAGGCCCATTCCTAATCCTCGGTAATATGGCATGAGTCCGCCCTGTTTCCACATTTTCCGCGCCGTTTGAGCGATCAAGGCGTTTCCATGTAAGCCGCCCTCGACGGTCTCGCATTGCATGCGGCTGTCGCATCTGTCGTTAGTCCGTGCCCACCGAGCGTAAATAATAGAGATGATCAAGACGTCGCTTACAATTTCAAAGTATCGAGAGGGTAAACCACGCATTGAGCAACTGCGCCACCAATGCCACCTGCCAGGAACTGAGAGGTCGGGTGCAGATGCTTTGGATCTGATCCCTCGAAATCGGCAAACATCTTCTTGGCGGCCTCGTAGGCACCAAACTTGATTGCTGATTCAGGCATAACCTTGACAACATTGAGGCCATTCCCAGCGAATAGGCTTCGCATCCCCCCAGCTCGCCATAGATCCTTGCATGCGTCGACCAGCGGCCGGGCGAAGTTTTTGATCACCTGAAGGGGAGCCCCTCTTTTGGCCGCTTCCACTGCCTCCTGTTTCGTATTTGTTTGGGCAATTAGGTAGACCTTGAGTCGGTCAAGCGGTGCTGTGGCCGTCCGCGAGATCATGCCTGCTAAGCCACCTGCAATAAAATAGCCTAGTGGGATGAGGAGTTCTGTCAGTATCGTCAATTAGGTTAGAGACGATGAACGAGAATTTTGCGCTTGACCATTAATTGTTGCAAGACTGAGTCTGAGCGAACCTGGAACTCTGTTGCCTCAAGGGCCAAAGCAGTATAGAGTAACGCAAGGTCATTCGACATTCAGCTGCGACTGGAATGTAAGTGCCGAGCAAGGGGCCAAATGGTCCTTACCGAATCCTTGGAGGGTATCATTAATGTGAACATCGCCCTCTTGGTTGACATTTGCAGTAGCCGAGTAATATGATATAAGAGATCCAAGAGTGGGTGCGCTGGCAGGTAGGAAGAGGAGAAAATTTCTGCGCGACATGTTAAGAGTTGGTGACATCAAGGATGAACGGGTGCATGTGCGTACCTCCATTCTTCAAAGGATATCTGTCCGTCATGGTTGACGTCAACCTCGTCAAAGAACTGATCCAGCTTCGCATTACTTATTGTCAAGCCCGCCCTGCTAAATGCGGCGCGAAGCTCTGCCTTATCTAGCGCGCCATTGTGGTCTCGATCTATACTTTCGAAAAGTTGCCATAGTTCGCGCTCGGCATGTTCGACAAACACTCTGAACTCGTTATACTGTATGCGTCCATCGCCCGACGTATCAACCGCTTTGAGGACATCGTGAAGTAAAGAATCGGCGTTTTTCAGAGGGTGGTCGATTTTGCGCAAGCCTTTCTTGAGGGCCGAAAGGTCAAGCTGACCTTCATTTCGAGTGTCAAGGTTGCGCCATAGCTCTTGAATCCGCTCATCGCGGCGTTCATGTGACTCTCCGTTCATGCTACATCCGTTGGTGGTGAAGATAAGAGGACTATCTGTGGGGGGGCATGATTGTGTCCTGCTCTTCACCAGGGGAAGCTTCAAGGATGAGTGAAGGAGGAGTGGGCGATGCGGTGGGAATGTCTTGGGGAGCCAGACAAAGCACCCGGGGTCGGAGGTGGCCCAGTCGTGTGCGGCGTGAAAAAAAATGAAGAGAGAAGAAGAATGTAAAGCTTTGTTTGCAAGGAAGGAAACTCACAAGCAGAGCAGTTGGTGAGGGATTGCTGAGGTGTGCAGCGTGTGCTTTTGGACGACGGAGGGTGACGTGCTGTGGGGTTCTACCTCGCACCATTCACCTATGCAGCAGGGAGCAGTTAGCAGGGAGGCAGCTAGCACAAGCGCCACTGACGACGGAACTGTCGGCGGTTCAGGCCCGAACTCCCCCAAGCGTGTCTGGTGGCCACTGGTCAGCCTCGTACAGCCTTGCCAAGCCATGCAATAACTTCAACTTGCCAGCCTCAACGTTCTTCCCAAACCCTGACCTCTTGGGAAGCTGCCAGATACAAACGTCAAGAAGACCAATGGCATCAGGTAGCTGTCTCTTAGCCCTGAGCTCCCAAAAGGATTGCAGTGTGGATCCTTGATGAGGTCGGTGGCCATCAACACCACCTTCAACCAGCAATGGCTGCGAACTACTGGGTCTCGACCCAACGCAAGTTCTGGACATTCACACCCGAAAAACTGCTCGAGATCCGCGACGACCTCGAGAAACAAAACGCCAAAGTCCTCGAACAATGGCCCTATCCTGACAGAAGACTAATGTTCATCTTCCTCAGAGACAAGATTTTGCAATTGGGCAAGAGGCTGCAATTCCGCCAGCAATGCGTTGCTACCGCCATGGTCTACATGCAGCGGTATTTTCTTTCGACCCCCATGCAGAACGTCAACCTGTACTTGCTTGTCGCAACGTCTTTCTACCTTGCCTCTAAGACAGAGGAGTCCTCCCATCATATCCGCCTTGTCGCGGCTGAAGCACGCCAAGCATGGCCCGAGTTTGTGCCGGGGGATGTCTCGAGGCTTGGTGAGATGGAGTTCTGCCTCATCTCCGAGATGCGCTCACAGTTGATTGTCTGGCACCCCTACCGCTCGTTGATCGCGTTCAAGGAGAATCAAGACCTCAAATTGACGAATGACGAACTTGGCCTGGCTTGGTCCATTATCAATGATAGCTACATGACCGACTTGCCGTTGACCTGTCCCCCACATCTTATTGCCATTATTGCCATGTTTCTTGCTGTGGTGTTTTTACCTACTGCCAAAGCGGACGGCACGTTACGCCCTTTACCTCATGAGACCCTATCAAACCCAGACTCCGGCCACTTTTCATCTCTTGGCGTCGGCGGCCGCCAGAGCCTGTCCGCTCCTTTCAATAACGTCCTTGGCAATCTGCAGATGTCGAATCAGATAGTCGCTCAAAGCAACGCCAATGCCAATGGTAAAACGCCGTCCCTCAATCAAAATGATGCAATTTCGCAGCAGCCGTTGGACAAGGAAAAGGCGATAACCTTGGCCAAGGAAAACGAGAAGATGCAGAATACCATCAAATTCCTGGTCGAGTCCGGGATCAACATTGAACAAATGATTGAAGGCACACAAGAGATGATCAGTCTGTACGATATCTGGGAGCAGTACAATGAAAAGGCGGTCAAAGACGTCGTTGCTCGATGTATGAAGACGCGAGGATTGGATAGCTAGTTGCTATGGCAATTTACCGACACATCCGTCCCGGCAAGCTCAGGCCTCTGATCTAGTGGCCCCCCATCCCGGCTGCGCCGACCTGCTTTCGGATTTCGAGAACGACTGGCTTGATGCTGGCTAGAGGTTCGTTCCAGTCGCAAAAAGCCAATTTTTGGCTCGGATAGTCAACGTAAAGAAAGTCAGCCGCAATGTTGCGAATCTTGCACGTCAGTCAATTGGTGAACCAGAAAGGACGAGAGCCGCGGGGGGAGGGGAATGTACCTTTGGCCAGCGATGAAGCAGTTGTCGAGTCAGTTTGTCCAGCGCCCTGGCCCGATACGCATCGATAGCCAACATTCTCGAGTAGACATTTAGAGAAGCTTCAATTCTCTGGAGGCTTGATGAAGGGCCGTGGACTTTTTGCATTACAGCCCATAAGTCTAAACTGGCGTTGTTTGAATGGGAGATGAATTCGTCAGCGTACAGATTTTGGTCAATTATAAGACACAAAAAATCAAGCAAGGGGAGAACTTGGCGGTCATCTTCTTTAGCCCTTAACGCAAGCTCTTCAACAACGATTGTCGAAACTGTTTCTACAACGGTTGCCTGTTTCTTGGGTTCGAGACACTGCATGTGCCAGATAAACGCATTACTTGCAGCACGACAAAGATCTTCGGCGCCAGAGGTTGCTGATGAAACAAGTCCGAGGATGAGACCTTTTTGTGCCCAGGGTACGCAGAGGAGTTCCATCATTTGCTGGAAATATATGACTGATGAGACGTCGGTGGCATAATGGAAAGCGTTGCGAAGGCCTGGTAAGGAAGTATCGGTTTGCCAATAGCTCTCGAGACATTTCCATGCCCGAAAACGCACATTGGTTAGCTTCTCAGCCGCCAATTTGACAACAAGCGGCAACACATCTCTCCAGACTGTGCTTTCTTGTTCACGAGGCCCAAGGTGGATCCGGTATTTGTCGACGGTCTCGAGCGTCTGCAGTCGGAGGATGGAACCGATGTCCCCTCGCTGGTCATTGGTGTAATCCGTCAAACCATATTGGAACACATTATATAGTTGGGTCGTCGCACCTTCACCGGCCTTCGGTATCTCGCTCGAGAGGATAATGCCCAGAGCGTCCATGGCATCAACTCTTGTCTCGATTTTGTATGGACCCTGGATGATGTCCATCGTGTAGGTTACGATCCTCTGGCGTATTCCGTGACTAAATCCTATCCGAGTCAAATATCCGTGGACCAAACTGAGTGTTTTGAGGCGGCCTTTGCTGGTAGAAGCTGCTGATGTTTGTCGTTTGCGGTCGAGCCACTCCTCAACCATCGCAGCATCCGCAGAACGTGGAAGGACTTTGAATAGCTCCACAAATGCTTCGGCGCTTGTTTGAACAGCAATCTCTCTCGTCCCCGCCGTTGTACAATGGTTGAGAACGCCAGCAGCCGCAGAAATCCACGATTTCAGCACTGGTACCGGCGTAGCTTTCACCATTGCACAACATTTGCTGATTCCACAAATGAGCGTAGCGATCGCTTCCATCACAAGCTCAATATCCGATGTTATGCGGCCCTCGATCTTACCGGTTAATATTTTCAACTCAAGAGCCTTGTTGCCTTCTCCCTGGAGCCAAAACAACGCTGTCTCAGGCTCAAGTTCCCTGAAAGAGTCAAGTGCAGACGCGAGCCCCAGGAGTAATCCGTGCCTGGCTGCTGCAGTGCTGCCTATGTTCACTGACTTGAGATCTAGAAGTTGGCGAAGAACAACCTCAGCGAACGGAGAGATTTCCGAGATACGGAGGGGCCTTGTAAGAAGTTGAATAGTCGAAGCAGCCCATCGACGCTGGTTGACATCGACAGCACAGACACCTCGCCATTCTCTCAGTGCCTGCAGCAGGGCTCGGTGATAAACACTACCAAGAACGGCGGCCTCTGGAGCAACTTCAGTCATGGCCCGAGAGAGCCGAGCAACGGCATGGTAGTCAACAACTTGAACCACGGAGATGCCATTGGTAATCATATCTGGGTGCCGACCGATTAGCTCCTGTAGTGCCGCTGATGACCCTCGGCGAATGTTACCCGAAGGGTCCAGGCAAGCAGAGATGATTAGTTTGACGGCTATCAACTGAAGGACACTCTGGCACTCTGCTCCGCTTGCCCCAGCATATTCCAAGAACGTTACGAGATCCAGGTCTGAAGTGCTGTATTTTCGAGCCAGAGCCCAGAGACCGAAGCAAGCCGCATCCCGAACGCCGACCCCAACTGAAGTTCCGACATTCGATCTCTGCTCAAATTCCAAGCCTAGGAGCAAGGCACGGATGATCTTCGAGAGCATTTTGGGTGGAGGAGACCGGCGGAACAGCAGATGGGCGAGAGTTAGCATCAAGCCATGCCATCTCAATGGATCGACCGCACTCATGACCCTTTTCTTTCCCGCAGTATCAGCGGTCGTCTTGTCGTTTATTGCCACGAGCTTATGACTGCGAGGATCTTCCAACAGGATGTTTTCTTCGAGACATCCCAGAACGGCTTCAACAACCTCTGCTGACATATCAGGATCTAGCTTCAAAGTGACAACGCTCAGTGCCTTGGCAGCAGCCATTCTGACCGGGGTATCTTTGTCACTAAGAGCATCAAGATAGTACTGTATACTCTCCTCAAGCATAGTGTTTACCTTTTCCGGTCGCAGCGAAGGATGGGTCGAGCTCAGGGAGATTGCATGCAGCAGGGTGGCCCGTAAAATCTTCAAAATCCATTTCCGTGCAGGGGCAGAATCTCTGGTGGCTGCAAACTGACTGCTCTCAGCTGTGGCAATTTTTAATACGGAGTTGAGGAGGTTTTCGACGTAAGGAGCGACCTCATTATCTGAGCCAGAGTTTGTAACGCCATAAAGGAGCGACAGGAAGCCCAAAGCTTTGTACGGACTGAGGCTGACCAAATCGGTATCATAAAGGAGTTTCTCCGTGGCATAGTTCACGAGCTTTACGGGCAATTTATAGGCTAGCATGTCTCTTCGTAAGGTCAAGCGTACTAGCAGCACACTTGCAGCCTCGCGCTCCTTGCTAGAGCTTTCCAGCTGTTCGAAGGCAAGAGAAGTGACATCGCCCGCAATGCCAGGAAGATTGCCCAGGTCACCTGGAAGAACCATGACTGTGTTGCTTACAGACATAGTGGCCAGCTCGAATGGGGCAAGTATAAGATGAGAGAGCCACAGAAGCATAATATAGCGCTCTTCCCAGGTCATACCTGTGGAGGATGTGTTCCATGCCCTGAAAGTGGACAGCATGGGGGCCAAGTATTTAGGCTCGTTGTTGAGCAAACGAATAATGACTTTGTAGCCCCTAACCTTGCAGAAGGAGTACAAAATTTTGCATATTGCTCGTGGCAAAGGGGAGACTCCAGCCGTGCCATGTCGTTCCGTTGGACCATATTGATCGCTCGATTCTGCGAGATAGCCCACAAAGGCATCGGTGAGGTGCTGGATCAGCGTTGAAAGAGACGGGTCAAGCAATTGAGGCCACTCTTGAAACCGGTCAAGCTAATTCAGAATTAGCTATCAAAATTGGGGACCTACATATTTATGGAGGCGTACCAGGTGTCTCAGGTCCTCGCATTTTGAGTCGAGGACGCGACGACGACGTCTTGGGGGAGTTGTACCGGGGCGATATAATAGTAGTGGCAGTTTATGCTGAAGTTCAGAAAGAAGGATGCCTGAAGCCTTGTAGAGTTTTGCATCGAGATCGTGCTCAGCCGCGTCCATAAAGGCACTGGGTTATGTATTGTTTGACAATGAGTGACTGGAGGGGAGTTGGATGTTAATACCGTCCGTGTTACCTACCGTCCCCTTGCGTCCCCTTGGAGAGGATCGAAAAGGAAATCAGGTTGACACGTGCCTTCGCGTTGGTCTTGGCATGCGCTAGTCCATCTATGGCCAAACTCTGGCGGCCCAACGTGTCTCAGCCAATTGGCAGCGCGCATGTCAACGACATTGACCTGAACCTGAAACCGAAACCGACCCTGCGCTGCCTGCTTCCAACTTTCCTGCTCGCCTGCTACCACTTCACTCCAACAAAGCCAGGACCGCCAAGGGCTATCTTAGGTCGCTGTGTCCAGCACCTGGTCATTGCGACACCCTCTCGATCATGCCCTCTATGTTTGGGCTACGGCGACTCATCCCCCCTGGAGTCAGACCTCTACAGGCTCTTGGCTAGCCGACAACGTCCACTACTGGCACCCACCCGATTCATTTCAGATCTGATTAGCTGCTCCTCACCGCCAGCTCATCGTGGCTCTCCATCTCCCTCAACCACCCTCACAACCTCTGGTACAATATCTGGCAACTCTTTTTTTTCGGCGACCATGGCCAAATCAGCTTTTGCTTCTCCCTTTCGGTACCTTTCCAGCTTGATGAGCTCGCCTTTGGCTCTGATGACCCGCTCTGAGAACCCCACGACCTCATCTCAGGACAACGACCCCGGTTATACCCCAAGCCCCGAAATCCGTGCGGGATCCCATGACTCTGCTAGTTATGCCAAGGGCAAAAGAAAGGCCGAGGAAGAGGACCACTTTGGGCCGCCGAAGACCAAGAGACGTGCGATAAGCATGGATCGGGACGCTTTCATACCATACCGGAATAACAGTGATTCTGATCACAGCCCATCCGCACCAACCAAGAGCATAAGGACAAAGGCGGAGGTGGACCGTACCTTGATGCCGCCTCCAGTGACACCTCACATTCGGATGAGGCCTCTGCTCACTGGGCACCCCTACCCTATTGCCATGCAGGACTTACAGAGTAGGAACCTCGACGACGATTCTATATCCTTCGCGTCAACCGCAATGGCAAGGAGAAAGATGGATAATATAGATGACGACATGATGGAGGAAGCAAGACGACATGCTGCAGCAGTGACTTTGCCCGCGAATTCAGGACTCTGGTCCCAGGCAGAACGGGAACTCTTCTTCCACCTCGCCTATCGTGGTTTCGAAGCTCTTCTTCCGCAGAACTGGATGATCGATTTCGACACGCTACCGATCAGCGTGTTTGCGCACGAAAACTCGACAGACCCCCCGCTTATCCAAAACATCCGAGATAATCAATTCAGGGCGAGCCATGCGCTCCGTCGACTCTTCGAGGCTGGCCACGATATTCGAGATAGAACCCATGTTAGCCCAGGAGCCTCAAGAGAAAGGATACTGGAACAGTCCGTGAAAAGGTATCTCTACTGGGCTCTAACAGATATTGGTCTTCGCCCAATATCAAAGACCAACTACATTCCAGTCCATGTTGTCGTCGCAAGGAAGAAAGGCCGATCTACACTGCAGACGCTCGAGGAGATAACAAACAAGCTACAGAAGCTTTCACGGCGACATCAAACAGCTCAGAATATCCATCTCAGCATCGAGACAAGTTTCACCGACACGGATGAAACTCGAGTAGTCGACGATGATGCATCGTCACCTACCCTCATCGGTTTCGTAATTATCTCCTCGGTTCTCGTCATTGTGACACTCAGCCCTTTCCCCACAATTACGCCAGACAAGCAAAATAAGCAAACGGTTTCTCCATCTATCGGAGAACCCTCACTTCAGGACGGTGTCAGCGTCAGCCCCGATAGGCTCCGCATCATTGCCGAATTGGATTTCAGCCAGAGGGACCAAGATGTATGGAATGCTCTGGGCGTGGCGATTACGGCCATGCAGATACGCAGAGAGGCCCTAAAGGTGAATCAGGGACTCACAATTGATGACTTGAGGAGAGTTAACTGGGACGGGATGTTGGATGCCAGTTCCATGTACCAGGGCGATTTTGAAGGAACGAGTACTCTGTCAAGGTTACAGTTGGATGACAACGATCCTGACATCTAAACATTTGGGCGGCTGTGGCGGGTTTGTCCTCAAGAGATGGATATTATGGCTATATTGGCACTGTAGCAGTTGGAATTCATCGGAGGCTCTCCAGGCTCACTTTAATCTCACAAGTTCCCCCACCCAACATGTCTCTTCATTGATCAATTGATAACTCGCTGCATCAACGTACGTTCTGTTTTCAGTTCCGTGAATGAGATGCTCCAGAATGCAATATAGGTGCCTATTGCAAATGGATGCTTCGGAGGCTATAACTAGGCGACCAGAAGGTGATATGCGGTCTCGAATCTGTGCTTTCTTGTCAGGCTCGTTGTGTGCCCCCATGGATTGCATCGGTGCTCGTGATGTGCTTGCGGAAGTGCCGTCCATTCATTACTTCTCTGTATCGCCAAACGCGGTTCTAAATGCTATGCGATAACACGACTGGTCTCAGACGCCCGCCATTTTGTGTGAGCGGACGGCTCCAGCCCTTCAAAACCCCATCATGTTCCCATCTAGTGCTCTTCGATTTTCTTGTTAGCTGCAGCGAGGGGCTGCAGCTTGTGCGGAGAAGATACCCATCATTCCAGTCAATAGCAGCAAAAGTCAGCGTCAGCAGAACTTGATACACAAGCAGAACCCCACCCCAATCCGCCAGCATCACCGGCTCTACCAAATTGCACCAACGTCCCTATCGAATCTTGCCAACTCCTTTCCTTGCTCTTCCACCTCCTTTCTTGCCTTCATCCTCATATAGAAAATTGGACAATCCCTACTCGAGCATAGCACCTCGGAGTGCATACTACCCTGACACCGTTGACACTGCGTCCACAGCCTTGCAAACCTTACTTCCAATTCACCGACCTTTTTGACTTGTCTGTTGTACAGTTCGCCTATTCGGGGATGGCAATTTTCGCAGACGGCGCCGTTCGCTTCCTCGGCGCTGACAAGGGGTTTTTTGCAGCCCATGCATGTCTGTGTCTTTTTGGCGAATTTCATCAGTCCGCCGAGCGTAGGGGCGGCAACGGAAATGGAGCGTGTATGGTCGCCAGCAAGCAGCGAATTAGCACGTCGTTCACCGAGGATGGGTTCGAAGATTCTTCCCAGAGGGTTGGCGAGCTGATTGTCCAGGTAATATTTTGTGTCGATGGGGACATTGTTTTCGAGCACATACATCGGGTCTTCAGAGTTCTCGTAATTCTTGGATCCACTGGCGCCTTTCACCATGACATACGCAACACGGTCACCCAGTGCTGGGGCTGAGCCGGCGTCGCGTTTCTTCATCCGCTCAGCAAGTTCCACATGCGCCTGTTTGGCGGTGTAATCGCTTTTGCTGAGTGCTTTTGTAATCACAAGCATGCTAAGATCGATCTTGTTTTGCAAAAGGTTCGCAATCGTCTCCTTGACATAGTCCTGCGCTCCATCTAGGTCACGGTCGATCAAGATCTTCTCCAGGACTGTCTCGATGACGACTTGGACAAGGCGACAATTGTCTCGGCGGACAGTTTCAATACCTTTGCTGTCCATCTTGTCATGTTTTTCTGGATTCGTCCAATACAGTCCCGCATATCGCTTCTTATTGATCAGCAGGTAAGGGAAATAAACCTTTTCGAACTCCAGTTTGATTGGTTTGATGAATTTTGAAGAGACAAAGTCGGCGGCCTCTCGCCCAAGTTCCATGGTCTTTTTCAGATCCTTCTCGCCAAACTTGACCATGACTGAATCGGTATCACCGTAAATGACCTGAGCGTCATGTGAATATCCATTTGCCATGGTGTACTTTTGTTCCACCTCAGACTTTGTCTTTTCAATCATTTGACGGCCATATGCTGTAGTACTCGAGGCAATAGCGAGACAGGGCAGTTTTCCCACAGTGGCACCTGTGATACCATAGACGGAGTTTGCAGACACTTTCAGAGCAAGTTGACGACCATTGAGAACTGCTTTCTTAAAAGGATCTTTCTCCACCGCAAGCTCCTTTTTAGCTCGCTTTCGAGCACCCAGCAATTCTTCCAGGATTTGCGTGAGAAGCCCTTTTCGGACTTTGGCTGTGCAGAAGAGATCACCGTTGGGCGTGAGAATATAATCTTCATCCTTTTTCAGGTTGAGTTTCTCAATGATATTTTTGTTCAGCAGTGTGGTGTAGCACAAATTGTGAGCCTGGATGATAGATGGATACAAGGACGCAAAATCCAAAGTAGCCACGGGCACATCATAATAGCCTCGAAGGGGTTCAATGACGGTAGCTCCTTCGTACTGCTCATCCGTCCCCTCATTTCGCAGATTCGGGATGACTAGTTGCTGCTCTAACGCCTTGCGAAAAAGTTGGCTGATGAATTTCACTTGTTGCCCTCGGGCCAGGAGGTAGTTGAAAGGAACTCCCGTAACTCTGGCCATTTCAGTGTAGTTGACGAGGCACATGAGTTTGTCCATAAGCCGTTGTGGAAGGTACGCATCTTTCAGACAATAGACAGCCAATCGTCTTCTTGAATCCGGAGTTCCGTTGTACAGTTCTGTGATCATAGTGTGGTGGACATCCTCCTTCTGCTCTCCCAAAAAATGAGCACAGACCGAGTTCAGAGTGTAGCTTCGAAGTTGATAGTCTCGTTGAACAAGCTGCAGTAAATCCAGTTGAATTCGCCCATTAGTGTTTGTGGCCTTCGTATCACGATTACCCATTTGCTTGCTGGAGAAATTGGTGTCTCTGGCATGGGACGCCACACTCTTCAGTCGAGACCAGTAAGGAAATTTGGTCAGCTTGAGGTGCTTTGCTCTGTCAAGGAGGTAAGGGAAGTCGAAGTTTGCAATGTTGTAGCCAATGATCACGTCCGGGTCGACTTCCTCCAAGAAGTGTCTCCACGCCATGAGCATGTCGGACTCTGATTTATGTTCATATATCTTGGTGTTTACAATCAAGCTGCATGTATCCAGCACAAAGACATTTCGAATGAATGGTTTTGACTCGCCATACTTGGTGACCACGTTTGCGATTTGAATGACCGGATCTTGATTAGCTTCGGGGAAGACGCCTTTGCGACCAGCGCATTCAATGTCAAAGGACAAGATTCGCAGGGGTGCCATTTTCGCCCATTCGCCATCGTGTCCATGTGCAATGAGGTCCCGGTAATGACAGGATGCCTCGATCTGGCAATTTGATTGACGGTCATGCTGAGGCAGGACGTGATACTTCTGTGGAGGGACCTCCACCCACGACATCCCGGTGACACCCGTATCGATCATGAAGCGAAGAACGTATTGGATGTTGTCGAAGGTCAAAATTTTGCTTTCGACGCCCTTCCACATTCCTTTGTAGTTGGCATGCCCATCTTCTATCGCGGTCCGCAGCCGGTTAATATACTTGGGGTCTGTCACCGTAATCTTGAGATACGGGCTCTTTTGGTTTCCTTGGAAACCAAAAAGGTTTTCGCGAAGCACCATCTGAACGGAATGGATGGTGGGTTGATGTTGCGCCAGTTGGCTTTCAAGGTATGCTTTGTAGCCTTCAATATCCGACCGCTGGAAGTTTACGGGGGCTGCGACATAGAGGTAATGAAGGAAGTCAGTGATATGGAGAAGAATGGAGTGGCCAGTCTGCTCTGTGGTTAGCGAATGCCGATCCAGGGCGGTGGTCGACAAACCTCTGATACACCGAACATTTTGAGAGCGATCTTCCCACCATGCAACGTGCCTTCTTCGATTTCGATCTGCTGGAACCGTAAGGGATCTATGTCTGGATTAAAGTCGTCCAGACTCGGTCTCTCCCACTGCTGGTCTTTCTCCGAATTGTTCTCCTTCAAGCCTGCAATGTCCTGTGTCATCTTCTCGAGGACTTCGATCTCAAACTGGCTCTTGGGCTGGGATAAGCCCAGCTTTGATTTAAACCCATTTGGGCCGGGCTGTGATGAGCGGAAGGAGACGATGGGCCCATTGCCGTTGAGTTTCCTCTTCTTTGCGGTTGGCGGGGACTGGAGAGCGTTGTGGGTGTTTGTCGTGTCAGTCAAAACCCTCTTCTTCGGCTGGTCGGCCACACTTCCAGACATGTTCAAAAATCTTGTCGCCAAAGAAAGGATCGTAGCTGAAGAAGAAAGGTGATGGATGCCGTGGTGGTGGTGGTGGTGGTGGTGGTGGTGGGAAGGCAGTCGCGGAGAATGAGTTATCAATCATTCGAGCAGCGAGCCAGTGACGTGAACGCGACGCGCTTTCCTCCTTCTGATCTAGCGTGATATTTTGGGGCCAGACCGCCTTTGCCCTTTGGTGGTTTGGGCTCCAGCCTCAGCTCAGCATTGAAACGGTTTCAAATGTCCTGCCCCTCCAAACACTTCTCACTCACTTTTCAGTCGTCGCCCATTCTTCCAAAGAACGCATTGTCGCAGTACTGAGAACTCTCGACGACAACAATTTTTGCAACCAGGATAGCCGCACAAACAACATCGTCTAATATCAGCAAACATGGCGGACGATCTGCTAGCAGACCAGACACCGGGGTTTAAGGTGGGGGAGAAGAAGACTTTGGAAGAATATCAGAAACTGGGTGAGTCGACCTGCTGTCTGCCGCCGCGACTACCACAACGAGGGTCTGTATTGTCGTCACAATTACGGGGAGAGTGAAGAATGAAGAACGTAATCTTCACAGGAGGTTTCGAGACCAACTACCGCTGTTTCTCTGGGACAGATCCACCTTCTCTTCTCACTCGCACGACCATCATAAACTGACATCTCCACTCCGCCAGACCAAGCCGACGATGCGATGAATCGATGGAAGCAATCGCTCGGCTTAGGCACCGGCACGCCAATTGGCGACCCAAACGACCCTCGCACATGCATCATCAAATCTCTTGCTCTCGTAAGCCTGTCTTAAGGTGCACCTTCTTTACCGTGACTGACCAGGAGCCAAAGGAAGTCGAAGGCCGGCCAGACATAACCATCGATCTCACGCAACCTGGCTCCCTTGAAACCCTCAACAAACACCCATTCACCATCAAAGAAGGATGCAAGTACTGTATGAAGGCCGTGTTCACGGTCCATCACCAGGTTCTCTCTGGCCTCAAGTATATCCAAGTTGTCAAGCGTAAAGGTATTCGCGTGAGTAAGGATCAGGAAATGATTGGCAGCTTTGCGCCCAACACCACCGACAAGCCCACATATGAAAAGAGGTTCTCCGAAGAAGAGGCTCCTTCCGGCATGCTAGCTCGCGGCCATTACGAGGCAAGTACCAGATTTGCTGATGACGACGACCACACACATCTCGAATTCCACTGGTCGTTCGATATTGCCAAGGACTGGAAGTGATGGTGGAGGCCATTTTGAGGCGCTGAACCTTTTTCAGCATGTCCAAGTTTGAACCGAAGCTGCTGCCATGGTCGATATGCCTTTCGGCACTCGGCAAGTGAGAGCAAAAGGGGCCATGAATTCAACGCGCGGGGTCGAGGTATATTGCTATGCATGATGCATTGAGCCTCCAACGTCGTCCAACGATTCACATGATCCAAAGATTAGAGAAAGTACTCAATGTGAGAACCTTGTCCATCTTTTCCCAGCGTCTGTTGCTGCTGCTGCTGCTGCTGCTGCTGCTGCTCATTTCGATGTATATCGTTCTCCGGTGCCGCATCAAAAATGTTGAAGTAGCGATCACCGGCATCACTGACTTCAAGAACACTGGCCAGGTTTCCACACCGATAGCAATAATTCGGAGCACTCCAAACTGTGCTCAGGCGATCATCATACAAGACCTGATACCCTTCCTGACACAGCTGATGGGCGCGAAGGATATGAGACATGCTGTTGACTTGCAAGAACTTCTTGACCACATCACCTCCGAAAGTATACCCGGCTCCCCTCGGCGAAAGCGAAAACTCGTCTCGCTCCGGGTCGGGGTCTGACCATACCAAGTCCGCCATGGGTCCTTCGTGGGGGATTTCTCGGTATCTGTCGATGATTTTGATTTGGTCGATGGAGTGGATGGACGGAGAGAGGCCGCCGTGGACACAAAATATCTGATTGTTGATGACCACACTCAAGGTAAGGAAATCGAACATGTCGGTGAAGTAGTGCCAAACATTGGCATTTCCATACTTTCGCGCGCATTCCGTGTAGAAGCCGTAAGATTGCGTGACGCCTCGTGATTCATGATTGCCGCGAATGAGATGGACGCGCTGGGGGTATCTTAACTTTAAGCAAACAAGAAGAGAAATCGTCTCGACGCTGAACAGACCACGGTCCACATAGTCACCTACTACGGATTAGCGAGGGGGCATTGAACTGCGCAGGCCGAACGCAACTATACCGAGGAAAAGGTAATTGGTATCTGGACAAAAGCCACCGATCTTGAAGATTTCCAGCATGTCAAAGAACTGGCCGTGGATATCACCGACGACGGTGACAGGGGCCGATATATGGACCACATTGCTCTCCTTCATCAACATCTCTTTTGCTTTTGCGCATATTGCCTCGATTAGGGATTCGGCCAGGAGGTTTTTCTTGTATAGTTGGGCGATGCATTCATCGAGATCAATACTGGCTGCACGGCTTCGTCGTCAGCGACATGCTCCCTTTGGGCATCTCAGACCACCTACCAGGTAGACCAGGCATTGCAAAGGGTTGTGTAGACTTTGTCAGTGTTGTCGCCACCCGCGGGTCGAGGCGCCGAAGCGTCGCAGCGTCTGCGCTTAAAACAAATTCCTCGAAATGTTGCAAGAGTCGCTCCGCGCTGTCATGATGCCCAACTCCGGGGAAATGCTAGCAATGCTGCAGAGAGACAGAAAGGAGGAGGCGCCGCATAAGAGTGGAGAGAGGCGAGTGAAAGGAAAAACAATGGAAGCTCGTGCTCCAATTTCGGCGCAGGACGTTGGAATGGTGAAGGTTTGATGGTTAGAGGCGACGACGCGGTGGGCGGGCACGCGGTTTGCGGATTGCGGCTTTCTAAAATGGGCAATTGTCCACACCACCACCACCACCAACACCACGCTTTGTCACTTCGACCTCAACTTCCACCGCTTTCATCGCAACTCATCGTCACTTTGACCCATCATCCAAACTTTCACCGCATTCATTTCCTCCGATCTTTCCATCAAGGGCGACGCATCGGCTGCTTCACAAACCCCCCCAGAGCCTCCAACGAACCGTCGAAGCTCAGTTGCAGACGGATTCCGCCTCGTAGTAGACAACGAACTTATACATATCTTTGCTTTCGGGTATAGCACCAAATGGCAAGTAGCATTCATCCGCGCAAATATTGTGGTCCTCCTGCACCCTTGGATGCATACCCCGACCATATAGCAAGTCCATGGATCGTGTCTATTCTCCATTCTCTCTTCTGTGCAACGCCCGTCCCGCGCTCGCTCTATTCGTGATGCTCAATGTTCTTCACCTTCACCTCATAAAAACCCATTCTCCCCGGGGCTTATGCGGAGGACCAAGTCCTCTAACCCCTTAATGGAACACTATTCTTGAAGGAAATGATCAATTACTTGCCCACCACCACATGCTCAGCTCAAGATATAGGCTGTTCCTTACGAATGCGCACCGCCCATCGCAACGTCACGCCGTGCCAGATCCTGTTTCTGACGCAATCAACACTACGGACAATTACTGCTCCCTCAGAAACCCTATGCTGAGAGACGTTCGCCATGAGGAAAACCTCCACATCAACTACGATGAAAGCTTCGGCCGCCAGTATGCCGGCTATAACATGTAAGTGAAGTCGGAAGTCTCTTGGTCGAGTGAACATGTTGAAACCCCTCCCCATCAAGGCCCTCCATAGAACAAAACAGATCCAAAATGCTGGATATGACAACATGCACTTTCAACCAGAAGCGAGATGCGATCAATACTACGACCAGTTCAGCAGCTCGCGTTCTGGAGCTCAATTGCAATACAGTGATCCTGCTCATCCCGATTTGCCGAACAGCTCAAGGCCTCACGGTCCCTCTGGAGGGCCGTCATATTCCACTTCTCCTTCTCAGCCTCAATCTCACTTACGGCATCCCGTCTCTTCCTTTCCGGTTGCCGAGTCAACGTCGTCGCCGATCAATCCATCTCAGAGCGCGAGTCACGGCCACGAACAACCCGTATATGCGCAGCTGTCGTGGAACTCGTGTCAAGACCTTCCGCCGTCGTCTCAGTCCAGCTCGAAGACGCTCGGGGAATTGCTTAGCAATGGCATTCTAGAATGTCACGCGGAAGACGAGCCGCAAGCACTCGGATATCCATATGATTACGGCCTTCTGGCCGCACAATGGTTCTCGCCAGCTCAGAGAAGGATACAAGCTTTGGGGCCACCATGGGTGAAAACGACTGGACGGAGTCGCATCAACCTGTCATAGTTTCAAAGTATTTTCGCAATACCAAAGACACCACATTCTTCAAATCCGTGCGCGAGACCGGACATTGGGGATTTCGCCAAGTATGATCCTGCCTTTGCAGATATTGCTACTCACGGAGCTACAGTGGCATTTGAGGAACTTCGTCAGCGAAAAGAGGCCACTGGTTCGAGCCACAGCATCTACGAAGCTTACCAGTACCATCCGTATTCGTCAACAACTGACTATCAGCATAATTACCAAAATTCCCCATTACAGCAAGCGAACGAGGTAGGCGTATCTGTCGAGCAGGAGGAGCGCTCGGCGGCCCTTGGGATGACTGGTGATGCAAAATCTGTGGAGCCCCACGTTCCCAAGAAAACACAGATCCGAACAAGGTCGCAGTCACCCAACGCGATGGGCCGGCAGAATGAAGGCCAGAGCTACCGCCAGCGACCATAAGGCCAGAGAGGTCGAGCAAACCAATCCGAGAGGCCGCGACTTTGAATACCTCAGAGTGGTGATGGGCAGGCAGAACGTGAGAAATAGTGGGATGAAATTCCGGTGGGGTAATCAGGAGAACCAGAACATAGGTAAAAGATGCAAGACGAAGGGAAGGAACAAGCAACAGAACATCCACAATCCGTCGAAGAATTCCAATAAGACTCTACATCAACAAGACTCGCGCTCCCAGTCTCCAATGCCTCAACCAAGCAGGCTAGCCCCAGAAGTATCATCTCCATTTTCTCCAACTTTATTTCCGACGGCCAACACGCCGATAGCGACCCAAGTGAGCTCTGAGCAGTGGAATGAACGCAAAGAGCATTCCGTTGTAGCAGCAAAGTGTTAATAAGCTGTGGCACAACGATCGGGGACGACACGATGGCTGGCAAACGAGCATCAGAGCCTTTGTTGTTTTTTTCCTTGACTCTGGTTTCAGAAATTCAACAAAACCGCGACTGCAGAGGGCAAAGATCACGCTGGTCATGGAGCAGTGCTGGCAGGCTTGGGCTGCAAAAAAAACGCGACGTCGATTGCTGAGACGGAATTAGCTCCCCCGAGACATCTGCTCCTGCTTTTGGGAGACAGGGACATCATCCAGGGATGCAGAATGGGCGTTGGAAACAAGATAGGCGAACACAAGCACGAGCTGCTCCTTTCAAATTCCAAGTTCTACACCCTCTTAGCGGAAATCTTGTTGCTCTTCCAGCTCCATTCAACGATATAGGTCTATATTTTGGATTCTGTACAAGTGGCATAATGTTTCTTCTTGTGGACGGCATCCCATATTTCCCAAGCACCGCTGCCAGGCTGCTAGAATTCGAACGTGGCTCCTGGCCATAGAAGTGTGCTCGAGGTAGATGAACACCGTCAACTTCTTATCTTGATGCAAGTTCGAGCGGTGATGTGAGAAGAAGCCGTTGTTTATGTTGATTTTCTATGCATGACCATCGCAGAAGCCTACAATCACATTTGTCAGTACCTTGTACGCCCTAATGCAAATCCTTTTGAAAACATCTCGCAACACCGCACATCAAAATGCATCTCGCCAGCGGAAGCTCAAAACCAAAGCAAAATGTTGGGGTATTCGGATAAAGCCTTACCTGATGGCTCGGAAAGATCAAGGAGTCCGCAAGCACGACATTCTCCCTCCTTCCGGCAGCAAACACAACAATCTCGGCGATATCGTCGGGTGTCAAGGGTTCCACGCCCTTGTAAACGGCATTGGCTTTTGCTTTGTCACCGTAGAAGCGGACGATGGAAAATTCCTATAAGCCACACACCAGTCCAAATTGGACTTATGTCAACAGAGTTCTCTGAAGGCATAGGGGGGATTCAAAGAAGGAAAGGGTGCGACGTACAGTCTCGACCTGCCCTGGATCCACCTCGATCACTCTTATGCGGCTAGCAATCAACTCCTTCCTCAATGCCTCTGTGAACGTCCTCACCGCCGCCTTGGTAGCACAGTAGATACTTCCACCAGGGTAACCCTCTCTTCCCGCAATAGAGCCGATCATAATGACATCTCCTCTGCCTCCGACATCTTCTCCGTTATCTCCCTTTTTGGATTTCATTATGGGCAGGATGGCTTGTGTCATATTGATGAGGCCAGTCACGTTCGTGGCGAACATGACCTCCATGTCTTCTGCTTTAATTTCGGGCGCTTTATCCATGCCCTTGACCAAACCGGCATTATTTACCAAGACGTCAATGCTTCTGAATTCCTCAGGCAGGTTTCCCACGAAACTGCTGACCTCCTCGGGTTTTGAGATGTCCAACTTCACAGGTAAGACTTTCACGCCATCGCCAACTTCCTTGTTAATATCGGCGGCGATTTGCTTGAGCGTGTCGACCCGGCGGGCAGTGATGATGATCTTGAGATTTTGTGGGGATGTACGTGCAAATTCCTGGGCGACGCTGCAGCCGATACCGGAAGAGGCGCCGGTCACAAGGATGGTTTTGCCCGAGAGGCGTTTGCCCATGGCAGAGGAGGAAGACATCTTGCGTAGCGTTTGTATAGAGACCTTGTACCGTAGTCGTGAGAAGGAGGGCGAGATGAGGCGGTGCGGGGAAGTTGTTGTCAAAGGGGTATGCGCAACGGCAGGGAGGAAGCCGCGTGTAAGAGCTGTAAGGTAGGAAGGAAGGTAGGAAGGCATGTACGGAGAGAACTGGGAGGGATGCGTAAGACTAAGCGTGTCAGCGAAGGAAATTCTACGGAGTAGAGATCAAGAGGAACAGAGATCCATTAGGACCGTGAAGTGAGAATTGCGGAGTTGTGGCCGAGGGAGAAGCACCAATGCAGTTTGTACCTGTTATGGAGGACACCAGCCAGACCAGGCTGTATCGGCAAAAAGGCGATCAACGGCCATAAGCGGCACAAGAGCCGGCAGCCTTGCACGAGAATTGGACTTGCTTGCTACGTGTCGATCTGCTCTATACGAAGGGCCGCGTTTGAGAGACAGAGAAAAAAGAACAAAGCCGCCCATATCCAATCCACGAATGGCATCTGTACTCCGTACTTATCCTCTGCAGGTCCGTTATCTCGACCATCGCTTGTTCATGCTTGTTCATGCTTGTTCATGCACCTCCCAACTCCCCTCTTCAGCAAAGCCACGAGACGCCGCGAGCCCTAGGGAAAAGAGAAGACCCTTCGGCACCACAAGCACAAAAGAATCCCCAATGCAGACAGATTTCCATACTCACAAGCATGCAGAGCTTCGTTAACTTGACGTGGTCGCATATCTCCTTGTCCAAATCCAATCCTAGATTTCTCCATCGTAACACCATATGCTTGCGATCATTATCCTCAGGCAATGCGCCAGTTGATTTTCATGTCCTAGAGTGTTCCAGTGGTAGGAAGCAGGACGCAGGGCGAGCATAGCCCGCCACCTATGTACGCCAATCTGTACTGCATTGAGCGATGCTGACCTCGTTTGTGGAGTCCAGCTGTATCGTCCCGAAGGAGGCATACTTTTGTTCCGGACAAAAGTAAATTGGAACAGTGGCCGGGCCCATTGTGTACTCCCAGTTCACAGAAATCCCGATTCGGACAGGAGTCGGGCAATTTTCTCTTCTTCTCGCTCGCGTGGTTCGACCTTGAGACTCTGAGCGAACATGTCGTCATGCGAGTCTCCAGCATTTCTCATGTTCTCCGAAATCCACTCCTGCAATTCGGGAACCGGATGGAGACTATAAGGCACATTCTGATACTGCTGAATATCTCGAATGACTTCGGCGGTTTTGGTCCGTTTAGCGAAATTAATCAACTCTGTATTCTTGGCAAGTGAAGGAATCCCATCTTCAATAAAGGTCAAATCGGTCAAGTAAACACCCAAAAAGGGGATGCAAGGTGGGTTTGCCTGACGCAGTGTTTCGCGATACAGTGCAAAGTTCTTCGAAGATGCTATCAAATTCCGCATCGACTCGAGGATCGCATTCGTCTTAGGGTTGACTCCTTGCCAGGTTCGATTGAGCCGGACTATATGGGCCGTGCCGAGTGCTGAAATGATGGCCGTCACAGCCGAGAAATTGTTCAAGACACGACATTGCTGTGTAGCACATTAGTACCTGTACAAAATCGCAACACGCGCAGCACAACTCACCTCAGCAATCAGCACAAAATGTTTGATGATGACCACTCTTTTCTTCACCTCTGCTTGCCCCAAAATCATCGCAGAAACCCAGTTGGTCAACTGGTTTGAATGAAAGATGAGAGCTTGCACGTTTGGAGCAGTGTCATTGCTGTCAGATTTGCTCTTCCTCTCCCATGTTTTGGCCAGACATTCTACAGGTTTGATCTTGCCATATAGTTTCGATTCAATGATGGTAAGTTGCCTCGCAAACTCTTTGGGATCAATATCCAGAAATTTGAGCTTCTTCATGTTCTTGGGCAAAATAGGAGCAGGGGCAGAATTGGTGAGAGTCAGCACCAGCTTCTTTGACAAAGCTTCTCCTCCTTTCAACCGCTGGTCAATGATTGATGTCAGAGCCTTAGCCAGCGGGATCTTTGTCGTGGTGTATGTACTCTTTGCAAAGGCCAGCATTCGCTCAAGCAATGCTTGACTATTGCCATCGTCGGTCTCCATCCAATACTGCTCCAGCCACGATTTGAGTATGTTCAGCACTCTAAATCTAGCTGGTTTTTGCTTGTGCTCTTCCCAGATGGAATATTCATCTCGATTTAAGCCGGCAGGTGGCTGAAGGTTGAACCGCCTTACCAAAAGTTCAAATAGCTCCGAAGCTGACGTGAACGAACGATAGGTGAGCAAGAAGGTCGTTGTAAAGGTCGTATCCACTCGATCATGCCGGGTAAGCTGTTCGACAAGCGCGGTAAGCGAGCCACTTTTGACTTGAGGAGGTTCGTTTTTGGTATCATATGTTACTTCGTTTGCATGGTCAAGTTGTAGATACCACGGCACTTCGTCCGCAGGGAAGCTTGGTTCAATATTTGTTTTGACAGGGTTCAAATCTGGCGGTATCTGTCCAAAAAATTGCCTCGCCTTGTCCTTGGTCGGAGGTCGGCGCAGCTTGTCTGCCATCGGATCTTCACCAAGCGTGTATGACTTTGACTGACCAAGATCTGCCAAGGCAGGCCGCAGATTAGCACCGTGTTTTGAATCAGATCGAAGGTGGTGAGTCTGATATGTTTCACCTCCGTCTGTCACACGATGCTCCCGCTTGTTAGTAGTGATAGCTGGGGTTAGGCTGGTAGCAGGAAGCAATAGCTCTAATGCATAGCCAACATTGGACACATGAGTGTCAAGCTGTTGACAAGCACTTCGAATGTTGTTGATTCGAGTATCCAGCGATTCGCCACGCGCTTCAGCCCATTCGTCCGGAAGTGGCGTGGTGATAGTCTGGCAAGTTGCGACCAATTCACCAATCGAGTCATAGGCTTTTTGTTTCTGGGATCCAAAATCCACCAGCGATGGTTTCTGGAACACATTTCCCAATGCAGAGAGATCGATAGATTCGACGTGGGAGATCCAAGGTCGAAATTGTTCCAGAACAAAGCCTGCCCCTTGACAGATTGCATCTCCGATGGCAGATTGCCGCGCAGGAGTGACGATCTTCTCGGAGAGCACCAGGGCCTCCTCAAGACGACGGATCGCAGCTGACAAGGTCTTTTTGCAATCTTCGATGCGTCGAAGAAGATTTGCGTCGAGTGGCTCGGATGGCCGCGAGTCAATCTCATCGTTGGAATCCATGAACGAGACTTCATCCAAGTTTGTTTGGCTTTCGATATTGTTGTCTCGCCAGCTCCCCCCGACAGTACTTCCCAAGATAAAACCAGGGACCAACCGTGGAATCTCTTCTCCTCTCTGCTGCCGGGCCACCTCCACATAGCCGTACACTCCGTTCATCACCCCATCGGCTTCTTGCAGACATTTTGTCAGTGCATCGGGTCCTGGCCAGTCGGCGGCAGCGATATGCGAAGACAGGACGAGCTTTGAAAACTTGGACATCATCTCCCGAAAGTGGGGGTACAGAGCCTTGTTTGATGAGATTATGGAAGGATTGCCCGAGTGATTATCCGTTGTTCCTGAGCCTGCGGCAAGCAGCATGCGAAGATGATCTGAGATGTCCTCTGCCCTTCGGAGGTAGTCTGCACGCGCACGGCCGTGAATTGCACGACGATACGCCTCAATGGCAGTGCGCATGTTCTCTACCAAGGTGTTCCATGTGACGGCAGCGACACTTGCGTCGTCCAAGAAAAATCGGGGTGTGGGTGATTTTGACAGTTTCGGTGGCAGCCCTACAGCGAATGAAGTTGAGCTGGTCCCAAGAGGAGGCAGCGCCATTGAGATGTCGGTGTGAGATCCAAAGGTGGTGGTAAAAGGATTGTTCGCTTGGTTCCCAAATTGTCTGGCTGAACTAACGTTGATAGAATCCATGGAGGTTGAGGTTGAGATACTGCCAGAAGTCATAGAACCGGACCCTTTCTTGCGTGAAGACAGGAACGATTGTTCACCATCAGCCTCAGAGGCAGACCCATCATAGTCTTCTTCATCCTGCGCATAACCCCCTGCCATCATCTCGGGCGGCGGTCTTGTTTGCTCTGGTACGTGAAAATTGTTGCGATCGCGAGGTCCGCTCTCATCTGAACTTGCTGGCGTTTCCAACGGCAATTCCATTGTACTGACACCGGTCAGGGTGTTGAAATAGTACAACCGACCATCCGACGTCGCCTGAGGAACCCAAAACGCCGCTTCTTCTTGAGCCTGGGAGTGGCCACCTTCGATCGGCAAGTCCGAGTCCTCAGACTGAGTGTGAACGTCTGAATCTTCCTCCTCTTCATCATAATCTTCCTCAGTGCCTGACCCGGTTTCACTCTCATCATGGCCTCCTATACCCGCTTCGCTCAGTTCGTCCAAATTTGTGATCTCGGCGGTGTAATTGCTGGGGAACCAGCCCCGAACGTCGTTAATGACGCCATCCCACCACCCACTCTCTAATTGAGTCAATACCTGGATTATATCTCCTTGGCGAAAGCTCAGGCTTGTGTGGTCATCGGCTTCATAGTTATACAGGGCACGGACAAAGATGGGTGGGGGAGGTGGAGGAAGGTCTGTGCTGGCGACATAGCTGTTCATAGCAGCCTGCTGAGCACGACGGCGCGGCGAAAGGCCGCTCATGCCCGCGTGGTGAACGCTTGAGGACCTCGAACGGGACGCGGAGTGGGAAGGTCGACTAGGTTCTGTGTATTGGAAAGCAGCGGCAAGGACAGAGCCGGACTTGGCTGAAGCACCTTGCGACGTCGAATCTTGTGTCCCTCTGCGCGACGCTGACATTTCACCGTTGGTTCACCGGCTCTCGAGGAGGGTCTGAAGCGCTAAATGAAGCCTTTCAGAGCGCAGCAAGGCGGGCGGGTTCTGCATATTCGAAAGCTGCAGGCAAAACGTGGGCGAGCGAACAGAAGGCTAGGCAGTCGTGGGCGGAACAATCTAGAGGGCGGTAATGGCGACAGTCTTGTCACACATGAGACTACCTCACTGGCGGAGAAAACGGTCGTTCTGCGGTTGGCAGAGGCTCAATGGTGTACGATTCTGAAGTTCTGCAGTGTGTAGTAGGACGGAGTACACTTGCAGTCTCTGGTTCTATGTGGGCGTGGAGTGCGTGTTGGGTTATTGGGAGGAGTGGGTGGAGAAAGGGCTGGATAGACCGCCCGATTGGATGTCTGCGATGGGTTCAGAGGGGCAAAGGAAAGCCTCACAAGCCTGTGAGCCAGACTCTGAGGTCGCCGAAGAGGTCAGGGCGACAGGCTGACTGGGCAGCTCGCTAGCGGCTATCTGCACGAAGCTGTTGGTCGAGAGAATGCTGTCATCTGGGGGGAGGACGGCGGCGGACGTGGGATGGAGGAGGAGGGTGTCAGCCCACGCACAGCACCTAGACGGAAAAGGAGAAAGGACGAGATGAAAGGACAACGCTGAGGTGGGTGTCGGGGCGGTAATTTGAGTTTGAATGCGTTGAAGAGTGAGGATGAGTGGTGAGGGTGAGAGTGAGCGTAAGTGAGTTGTGTGTATGTAGGTGTAAGTGTAGTAATAGTATGTCTGAGTGTCTTCCTCTGACTCTGAGACTACCTCTCCGACTCTTTCTCTCTCTTGCCTGCGCCCGCATCGACCGACCGACCGCCCTTCGCCGCCCGCAGCCAAACTATTGCACCCGGGACCCTCTTCGCCTCATCCGATATTGACAGTTCCATTCAGTTGCCTTCGCCTCGCCAGCCCTCCAAGTAACTAGTGGCAGCCTTTATCCTCAATCCAGCTAAGCCACTGTTGAACCTAACCGCCGCCCTTCTACCTAATCCACCCACTGCCTCGCCCAAACCAAGCCGGTGCAGTTGCTCGTCACGACAGCATCAGGGAGGGGGAGTTGCGAAGGGCACATGGATAAATACGAGGATAAAACTCTGGCTCGCGTCAATGACGCGTATTATCGTCAATTCACATGCCTTTCATTTCCTCTTCTGTGTCGATCGGAACCTTGTCTTTCCGTTCGTTTCGAGCCTCACAAGTCACGACGCGCAGAAATCTGGAGGTGGCTGAGCCCTTTGGCCGGCCCTGGCATCGCCGTCTCCTCACCCCCTGCCACAGAGCCTGCCACAGAGCATGCCTCAATCAGAAAAGAAGACGGTACCAAGGGCGCCGAACAAGCTTGGGATAAGTTTGGCTCATTAATGGCTTTGCTTGTGTATTTTGGCATTTGCCGTGCGGGCTTGCCGCGCTGCACTGAAGGAGTTTCGCGCGTGTCATCCACCGATGGCATCGACAAGTTACTTACGGAAGCGGGAAGGGGTCCGTTTCATGAAGCCGAGCGAGGCTTTTTCAGGGGCTTCAGTATACAAGTCGCGTGCCACAAAGTTAAACTTAAGCTCGGGAAACAGCATCCAAACTTTGCAATATCAAATCTCTCTATTGCATCCTTCTTCGTGACGGAGTTACACTGGCACATTTTCAACCAAGGATGCTCGTTTGATCGCAATGATGGGGTAGCAGACACAATCCGTATGAATCGAAATTCTCATCTATTCCGTGGTCTACTTGAAGGCGCCGCACGTGCATAGCAAGGTCACTGCTACCATGCGGCATGCCTCTTCGCGGTCGGCAGTACTCGGTATGTAAATAAATAGATCGAACATTGTGAGAGTTCTACTTGTAGGGAGCCAGAAGTGAAAAAGCACGGCTGACAAGGCCTCTTGGTGAGTCGCCTAAATCCGAAAGCCTCGTCGATCTCCTCATACCATCAGGCGTCCTAGAAAAACTCCTTAGCAGAATACCAATGACGGTCATCTCCTCAACTCTCCTTGAAATACCTACGTCCCCGGACCGCTTCTGCCTCATGTTAGCCTGAACGGTGAGATTTGCGGCTCGGTGTGGAGCACAGGCTTGATCACTAACCTCGACAAATCCGCTAACGATGTGTCCCTGTCAAAATTGATATAGGAACGGTGCCAGCAGCGGGAGGGACAAACCGCCCGCCAGGCTGTCTAGGTCTCTCGAGTCATTTGGAGACGAAATATATACCCAGCCGACTCCAATTGTCGCCTAATCTGCGATCTTGGAAATACTCATCCAAAATGCCGCCCGTTGGCCTCCACGTGGGAATAATAGGTGCGGGTATGGGCGGACTTGCTGCGGCTATTGCAATGCGTCGAGGAGGAGTCAAAGTCACTATTCTCGAGGCTGCAATGGAATTAGGCGAGATTGGGGCCGGCATCCAGATATTCTCCAACATATCAAAATACCTCATCCGCTGGGACGTGGACGAGATTATCGGTGAGAACTTGGTTCAAGTGGATGAAGTGCGAACTTGGGGAGTCAACGGCGAAGTTGTAACGAGAGTAGATCCGAAACGAGTCCACAGGATCACTGGCTTTCCTCACTTGATTGCTCGTCGAGACCATTTACATGCCGGCCTTACGGAATCGGCGCGCCGACATGGAGTTGAGATCATTGTTGGGGCTCGAGTCCAGAAAGTCGAGCATTTTGAAAAGTCAGCAACGGTCACCACGGTCAAGGGAATCTCTTACACATTCGATCTGGTGGTCGGTTGCGACGGTATCAAATCAACGGTCCGACAACATCTTTTCCCAGAAGTCAAGCCTCGCGCCCCGTCCAAAGTTGCCGCCTACCGCGGAGTCCTCACATATGAGGAGATCAAGACAAAGGCTCCTGAAGCGGCATCGATATTGACCAACACGATGGATATGTGGACGGGACCAAACGGCTATATAATGACGTATCCACTTTCCGGTGGGAAAGAGCTAAACGTTGTCACTTCGTTCTGCAAGGATTACTACGTTGAGCAAATGGAAGAGGTCAACATTGATGAATTCAGAGGATACTACAAGGATTACAGCCCAGCCATCCAGTCCATCATCAAGCTAGTCAACTACACGCAACGATGGCCCCTACTAGTTATGCCTCTGATGGACCGGTGGTCAAATGACGCCAGGAATGTGGTTCTACTGGGCGACGCCGCCCATTGCATGCAGAACCATATGGGACAGGGAGCAGCCACGGCAGTTGAAGATGGTGTCTTTCTCGGGCGTGTGCTGAGTGAGGTGGTGCGCGGGACGCTCACGGTACCTGAAGCAGTCTCTATCTACGAGCGGAAACGAATACCCAGAGCGTGGACCAAACAACAGGTATCCCTCGTCTCTGGCGAGTTGAACATGTGTTCCGATCCAGAAGACCTTCTCAAGCGGAATGCATCATCGTTACCAGAAGTGCAGGACCTCAGGAACGGCGGAGTCAAGGACAAATTTCCCCCTCTACCGGCGGAGTATCGGTCATGGCAGATGTTCGATTCGCCGGAGAGCGTGCCGGGAATCTTCTACTACGATGCTGAAGGGGATGCGGACAACGCGGTGTGCGAGTTCCTGCAGGCGAGGGATCGAGAGGCAGGGAAGGTGGATGAACTGACGATGGTAAGTGAGGCTTTAAGGAAGAAGTGGTGGGCAGCCGTGGATTTCAACGGGATCGAGTGAGGGTTTTATGGATTCTTTTTCACGTTGTTGCCTCGCACTCAAGCTGGTGGCTACGAGGCTCTCCGTAGCCTGTATCGACTTGCACTCCTTCATTTGCCCGGGCGGCGCTCAACCACGTCTCTCACTTTATTCCCAATATCTACAGCATCCTCGGCCGAGTAGCCGGAAAATATTGCTATACCCGCTGTCGTTAAAAACTTGCGTCTCGAGTGGCATCGTGAATCATTGAATCATAGGGAGAACTGCGGCGGAATGCGGAACCCGGGTCTTGCATTGGCTTTTACAGCCTTTGGCTGGAAGCGCATGCCTTGTGAATGCACTTCTGGGCCCCCCTCGCGGTCGTACCTTAGTTGTCTCTGAAAGCCGCCGATGCTCTCATGAGAGAGGTGTATACTCGCGCGAACTCAAGGTCCACAGGGTGATAGAGGACCGTCTACAAGTCAAGGGGAACAGTGAGGATGGCTGGATCGATACTATCAGGACCTACAAGTCATCCGCTACTAGATAGATCGAAGGAGGCCTTTATTGACAATGAAGCATTTGGTTGATCTTTGGAGATAGCGGTGCCCCCTACGCACCGTTCAATTGCGCCCATGGCCTTGCCAGTTAGTATCAAATAAGGGGTCCGGCCACGGCCTCTGCAGATCAAATTTAGTGGTGCTGTCCTCAGGTACAAGGATTCTACTGTATGTAGGACACAACATACCTATTTTACTCGAGTGCGGCGAGAGCCATCAATGGCAGCATCGTTTTTGCAGTAATTTGCTATCACGAATACAGAATCTCCTGCCTAAATCGAACAGGCGCCGAAATGTCGGGTTTGAGAAGCAGCAGGCAGAACCATGCGCGCCGCACTTCCGACTGCAAAACAAGTATACTGCGCTCCCTATATTGGCTCTTTGCAATTTCTAGGCCGAATCGGAACCGACCGGACAACGAAACATGAAAGTACCCTACAGAAGCAGATACCCACGCTATACAAGTAGCGTATGGGGTTGGATCCACACTTAAGGAAAAGAAAGAAAAAAAAGTTGAATAGAGCATGGCACTGCCACAAAAATCCAAAACAGCCAGAGTGTTCACATCCCGGCAATTCCGTAGGGCATACCAAGTACAAGTTTCTACTTGGCAGTCAAGCAAGGAAACAGATCATGTCAAGATAAAACTCTGGTTATCATTAATTAACTGCTTCTGATCTGCTATTTCCGCCGTGCTCTGCAATATCATGCAGTGCTCTGCTGTGCTCTCCGCAAATAAAACTCAAATGTATCCTACTCCCGCGCACCACATCCACCCATTTCACTAGTATACAGCGGTAAGAATGATCAAATCACACGGTCGGCCGTTTCTCAGTCCTGAAGTGTCAAAAGTTGCAGAGAGATGAATGTTCATAAGGCCAGATAATACCCGCTGGCCGTAATGGACGCTCAAGTCCATCCTGTTGTTTGAGCGAGAAACGTCATCAATAAATGCAAATAGTTGAAGTCTTGCCTCTGTTAAGCGCACAAGGTATCAAGTGGAGAAGATTAGATTTGTATGTGGTTCGTGATGAGATCGAGTAGAAGCAGGTTGCGCGATGAGATGAAAGAGGATTGTCTTGGCCAATCAATGCCACGAATGGCTTCGAGCGTGTATGGTGACGAGTGTCTGGAGGAAAGGCGGTTGCTGTGCTGCAAAACGAGACTTCTAAATCGATTTGATCCTGTAGAAAGGTGAACGCCGTGATTTGCCCGGAGGAGCCGCCTTTCGCCATGCAGAGGATAGAGAGGAGAAATTGTGTCGATGCAGATGACAAAGGAAAAGGTTTAGTATGCTGCTTCCATGCCCATCAGCGCCTGGTCTGACACTTGCGGCATCCCCGTAACCGGGTCCAGATGCAGCTCATCGACATATCCAACGAGAGCTTGAGCGTGGAGCTTGAATGATTCGCCCATGGTCTTCGAGATGCTGTGAAAAACATTAGTACGGCTAGAAAGGTGAGCTGGGAAACTTGGCTTACCCCCAAACAACCACGCCGTCCAACATGGACCCCCAGACTCGAGCGACGGTAGAGCTCAAACGTGAACCATTCGAGTCGACAGCATCGTCGTCAAACAGGCCCCGAACTTTCATGTACATGGAGAGCTCTTCATCTGTAGCTTCTTGATCGTCGTGCTCGATACGATACAGCCATAGACTAAGTATGGTGATCAAATCCAAGCCGCAAAGAGGATGCTCGATGCTCCAGTTTGTTGAAGATGTCTTTGTCACCCAGTTGATGCCTTGCATCGCAACAATCTCCATGCACTCGTAGCATTGCTCGATCACTTTGATCATCTCCTTTGTTCTCTTAACAGCGTCTCGGGATAAGGTCATGGCTCCCGCAATCTCGTACGAGTTGTGATAGCGCAGGGCCTCTTGGACATTCTTCAGGTCCACTTCTAGGAAAGCTCTGGTGTTCCGATACACCGCCATCGAGTTGAAGATCAGCGGGTGACTCTTGTGCGGAGTGCTCAGTGGGACGACGATCGTTTCCGGTTCGCAAAGATCAAGGGATCTCTCCCAAGTTTCCAATGCAATCCGAATCTTCCACTCTAGAACAACGTCCTGCAATGATTCGAAGCTCCTTCTGAGGTTCCAAACCTCCAAAAAGAGCGCATTGATCATCACACGAGTTGCGAAGGCGCTGTACCTGGCGGCATCTCCTTGGAAAAGACTGTCGTGGGCTTCTCTGACAGTGATTGTGGGCGAAGCTGCAAAAATGTCTTGCCAAGAATCCTCATCGTTTGGTTCAATGTTCCATAAGGATTCTGACGAAGGTAGGGGTAACGAATCGAACTCATTGAAACTAATGGCTGGGGTGTGGTTGTAGGTCAAGGTCAACATCCCAAAGAAGATGTAGACGGCGTAGTAGGTTCTCCTGCATCCTTCTTCGTTGACCCATTCTTGGTGCGTGGGTGGTGTGCCAGAACGCGCGTCAATGCGTAGCTTGAGCTCGTATTTGTTGCCGGCAACCATCTATCGTCATTAGCCCTGTATAGATGACAGACTGTGGAAAATACTTACATTTGCAAGCAAACTCTTTATGGAACACGCCCATTCCAAGCCTTGAGAGCCACCACTCCAGCTTTCAAAAACCATGTTGAGAAGCGTGCTCTGCATCGTCCAAAGCGGGCATTTCCGCGAGTCGAAATTGTCCTTGTTCTGAAGGAATTGATTCACGAGCTTCTTAGACCCGTGATGAAGCAGATATGCTTGTTCTTGGTCGAAGTTATACAAAGCGCCGATGGAAAGGATGGCAAGGAGAAGAGCCGGTTCAGTTGTCTCTGGGCGGAAGCTGACAGGGTGAAGGAAGGGCAGATGGTGATGGAATAGGTTGAAGTAAGTGGTAAGGTAGAGGTTAGCGGATCGCAACGAGGGAAGGGTAATGTCTCCGCCTAGTTGATTAGCAATCATTGCTCTCTCATCTTCGTTGTTAAACTGCGGAGCTTTGGGTAAAGAAAGGGGCTGGGCCGGGCCAGGCGACTTGCGATAGTTCACTGGCGAGACCGGACCGGTCATTGATGGAAAAGGCGAGAGCGCATTGGGCGTCGGGGTGCCAGAGACAGGGAAGGTGTCTGCCAGTCCAGGGAAGGCCGAGGGTAGAGAGGCGCTGAGCGAGCTGGTGCGTTCCATGATGGGCGGTAGTTGCGATTGATGGGGTTGTATCGATCCCATGTGGACGTATGGTGGCTGTGACAGGTTATCTTGCGACGACATGCTGGACATGGAATGCGCCTTGGGTTCGGAGGGTCCATGGGGCATAAAGCTGTCCCAGGGCATATGGGGCAAGCTGTTGGCACCACCGAGATAGTCGGACGATTCGAGCAGCGAGCTGCGATCTGGGGAGTAGCCGGGCATGGATCCTTCGCCGTTGTTCAGATGACCGTTCGCTGCTGCAGCCGCCTTGTGTTGGAAGTCTGTCATCAACATGGCGGCAGTTTCAAGGTCGAGCATACCATCGCTGCTTGCCTCTATCTGCTCCAACGTGCCAGGATCGATGGTGATGGAGGGCTTGGACGGAGCGGAAGCCGTTGAGGGCGCCGCTTTCGTCCCTGCACCTGCACCCTTAACTATACCTGTACTTGTACTCGACTTCTTCGGTCTTGCCTCAGACTGAAGAGGGACACCGCCATCCTTTGCGTGTACGGTTCGGTCGTGGCGTAGGAGCAGATCTCGGCGGACGAAGGTGCTACGGCATTTCTGACATTTGAAGGGACGCTCCTTGGTGTCTGTAGAGGGATGAGTTGTTAGCAAAAAGTCGAAGAGTAGATGGATTGTTGATGGCGGGGTTGCTTTCTCCCATTGCCCCACGTCGCAACAGCCGAAAAAAAAAGTTGTAACTTACGCGACCGCTCGTGTCGACTCCTATGTTCACTGCGACTGAAAGCTCGGTTGCAGTACTGGCACTTATACTTCTTTTCGGGCGCAGAGGCAGCTTTTTTGGGTGTGTTGTTTGACGTCGCCGCGGGTGCAGCTTGGGCAATCTCGGCGGCGATGGCAACGTCAGACTGGGCCATGGTGGATGTAAATTGAGTGTTAGAAGTCCTCCGACCAGGCGCAAGCCTTTGGCTCGAAAGTGAGTTGGTTCAGAGGTGTTGATGTCGCCGTGGTCATTCCGTGTGGGATCAGCGCACGTTCGAGTTCGATTGAGGGAAGAGTGAGAGGGAGGATTCGAGGAAGGGTGCAGCTGTGGGCTCGTCTGCAGTAAGTTGTTGGCTGGGTCGCTGGGTTGGTTCGCGCGGTGAATGAATGGATTCGTCTCCGAGTCTCGATTGGCGAAGAGCACCAGCCAAAGTGGATCACGTGTGCATGCGTGAAGTGCGTAGCGAGTATCAACCGACCTGCAGCAACACGCTGCAATGATTGTGAGGGATAGATTATATTACAGGAGCCGGTGAGGGAAGGACGACGACAATGTTGGTACAGCGCAGGGGAGAGAGATGTGTGCGATGGAAAAGAAATGAAAACGGAGGAGGGGCAAAAAGAGGGAGGGAGGGAGGAGGAGGGAAAGGACGGAGGGGAGGGAGAGGGCGCTGTGGGAGGCGTCCAGGTCAGAGAGAGCAAGAGATTCCAGGCGAGGGTCCAGGCATCTGCCCTCAGCCCATGATCCCGCTTGGGGAGAACCCTGAAGCCCCTGAAAATTGCTACAGAGACCAGCTCGTCACTGGGCCACTGGCCGAGGGGCACCCGAGCAGACCTGAACGGATCCGCGCCATTCCCATCTGGCGGGTCCCCGTTCCCTCCCTCTCTCCCCTTCCCACTTGCAGCTTCGAGTGCCACCCTTCGAGAAGAGACATACTTACCATCCATCCACCAAGCCCCCATCCCTCCTTCGACCACTTCCCCGGCAGCCTACAACCCATCAAACCAACCTGGACTCTAACGTTAGGAAACTTAGTACAAAGTATGGGTTTGTCAACACCTGTCATTTCCTGCCGATGACCGCCTTCGAGATACCGCAGTGCCAGCAGCCCACTTCGAGGCATCACCCCCTAGCTCCGAGATGCTCTTCAATTTGGTCACGGAAGCCCAGAGCCGATTCCACGAATGGCAGTCCAGTCATTGGTACCCCTCGATCTGAAAAAGGTGATGGCACCGATGAGAGTTGACTTCGCCGTCACGAGACACCCGCCTAGGCAAAACTGGAAGTTTACGAGGTACTTGGTACGGAGAAGGGGCCAGGTCGTCCTCGTCATCACATCCCCGAATCCCATCCTGCTTGCCGGCTGATGTTCCTCTGGTGCCTCAGGCTTGGACGCTGATTCCCACGGCGACCCCAGCCACTTCACCCTCACCAGCCATTTCTCGAATCTCACGGCCACAAGCTTCGGACCGTACCCACGCTTGCGCTGTTGGCCATTCAGCGTGACGCCCAAAAGCGATGCTCCCACTCACAACAACTCCGACACCCACGCTGCCTCTCCCATTGGATTGACTGAAGCTCCAATTAATTGCTTATGGTGGTCGCAACGGTGAAGACAAGCGGCCACCTGATCGAATCAAACACGGGCATTTGTTGCTACGCGCAGATTAAAGCAATCGTGGCACCAAGCAAAAAATTAGGAAGAGAACAAATGTCGGATCGTCAGCACTTAGAATCTCGCCTTGGCTCCTGTTCCTGCATTTTCCCATGCAACTTGCAGCTCCTTGATCTCATGGGGGAGGCGGTCCTCTACCAAGACGTGGAACCCGCTAACCAAGTCCGTTCGCCGGCTAACGTGTCTGACCGCCCCAGGAAGGCAAGAAACTGGCAAGGTTGCCACTGTCAGACACGCATCCCTTCTCCCTGGCATGGCGGGACCTTTCCAGGGCTAGGAAGCATCACCCCTCCTTCCGCGCGATGGTTCGAGGCATTTCCCATATTTCCGAGTCCCATCCTCGTGGACAAACCCAGACTGGTGGGCCTATGTGGGTAGCATGGCGGGATTCAAAGGGAGTGTAGGCAGAAACAACTCAACCCCAAGAAAGAAAAATTAAGAGCAACTTCTCCTGACAAGAACGAGTCGACCTGGTCAAAGCGAGTCATACATACCTGAGTTTTGGAGATTCATCTGCCTCTCAAACAGGACTAGGCTTGGAGCAATCTCAAGGCTTGCAAAGTCGACTGCAATGAATTATTTCAACTCGATTATACAGCAAACAGCTCTTTTCCCCGAGAAGAATCAACTCTGCACTTTCGTAAAGCCCCGCGAGGGAACCCCTCCCTGAGAATCTGGCTAGCTCGGGCATCTGATTACTTTGCCGGTCATTCCCTCTCTTATCACGCCATCTTCATCTCGAGTTGATCTAACTGGTAGCATTAAAACAGACGGTGAACACATTTCGAACAATGCATTTCCGGAGTACGTTCCCCGCCAACCGACTTCTCCCTCTTGACCCGCTAAAGAGCTTCAAACGTCAAATCAGCCGGTTATTCGCCAATTGTGGACTCGAGCTGTTCCGCCTGGTCGGTCCAAGTTGCAAGGGGACAGCCCACCGAACAGTTTGCTACTTATGATTCAGTCGAGGACTAGCAATGCTCCAGCCCCCCAGGAGCCGCAGCGGACACCGCCTTCTTCGCGTCCGCCGGGATTCCCACAAGCCGTCAGAGCTATCGTGGCACCCTACCCACCCACTTTTCTTCTGGAGACTGCAGACGGCTCGCCCAGTCAGGTTTCGAACAATTTCCGTTTGTGTTGCATCGGTTGTCAAGCTCGCAACATTCCACACCCCCTTGTGCTAGGTCGCCGCGATTCGAGAAACTCCACGGAATCATGAATCTCCTTCCATTGGCTATTATCAATAATATCTACCTCGTATTGCATCGTCAAGTTGGAACATCTAATGAACCGAGGGGCTTGGAGGGGCACGGCTAACTTGGTTTTGCGTCGAAATCTTGCTCCCCTTGCTTTGAAACAAGCTTCGAGAAGGAAAGCAAGCCTGGGTGCTCGCGATATCCCGTCAAGGTCGCCAAAAGAAAGAACCAAAAAGTGTAGGTGTATGAACGAGACGCTGCCAGGGGAAGTTCGATCTCGTCCTAAGAGGGGCATACCGATGCCAGTTGTTTGACCGCCTTGGCTTCCAGCCCACTAGACGAGCTGATTGAACGTCACTTTGTCCAAAAGCATGGCATCCGAAACGCTACTAATTCTTGCATGTCACCGTCACCAAGAATGCTACCTACGAGTACTCCCTACAAAGTCGGGTACGTGGGAATGCGTCGAACTGTCCCATTGGACGCGAGCCGAACGAAAAGGATCTTCCCAGCGGAGGGGAGAGCGTCTGGCACCCAGTCACATTTCCTGACACCCACCAAACTTGGCTGGAAATAGTCGTGGATTCTCGAGGACTTGTCATTGTCAGCCCGATCATCATCACCTGGAGATACCAGGGCTTCTGGTGTTCTAAATGAGCGCTTCAAAGATGATGGTTAGCAGAATGTTTTAGCACACAGCCTTCTGAAGGACACGGCAGAAGAGCGAAGGTACTGAGGGCGTGGCTTTATATCAACACAATGAGTTGGCCTTTCCTATTTCAATGGGTATATGTTAAGGTAAGAACACCGCTTTTACTCCGTACATGTTCTGTTTGGGCCGGACCTTGGCCTTCCTTTTGTTCATCTCTTTCGTCAGAAACGCAACACATTGCGCTTCTCGCTGTCTTAATGCCCGACATTTAAACCCCTCTTCAGCCTTTCCACGAGCGCCTCCAACTCGGCGTTGCGATCCTCCAAAGTCGCCACCTCCCTTTGCAACGCCTCCTTCTCTGATCTTAATTGCTGGACTTTGGTCGCCATCTTCTCGCGATGTCTCAAGCTATCTTCGAATATGGCCTCCACGCGACTTAGCAGCATATCCCCAGTGGAGCCACTGGCCACTGCAATAGCACCGACGCTGGGGGCTGTCATGGATCGAGTGCGCAACTCGGAATTTGCTTTCTCAAGCTCCAAAACCCTTTGCTCCATCGCAGCTGTGCGCGCTTGTTGCCATAGATCGTCTGAATCGGACCTTGAGAGCCTCTGTGGAAGAGGGGTGATCGCCCCACCACCCATCAATGATCGTCTCTCTTGGGGCTGCGAGGTCTGCAGTCTTCCAGACCAGGTCGCTTTCGCAAGCTTCCCTCTCAAAGTCAACACGTTCTCCAGGTCTTCGTCTCTCAGCTTTCTCATGGCGGCATGCACACGCTTTTCTTCGGCGAGCAAATCCCGTACTTTGATCAGATTGGAGAGATCTTCGTTCCTCAGGGACAATAGATCAGCATGGTTTTTGATGATGGCTTGGTTCTCACGTTCAAGCTCGGTGACGCGAATTTGAAGTTGGTCGTAATCCTTGGACATAATTGTTGGGTGAGATCGTTCAACGTCGGCGACGCGGAGGAGGATGGAGTGAAGAAGGACAGACATAGGACCAGCGGATTCGAATGGAGGGGCAGGGCTACTGATAAGCAGCTCGTCTGTGTCGTCGGATAGCTTCATGCCAGTCACAGTTGGCGTTTTGAGATCCATATCCCCTTGGTCCGTCGCCGAGGTGTCCTCAGCAAGGGTGGCGTGCGAATCATCTGTCACCACAGATTCACTACGTTTTCTCTGCGTCTCCAGGTTCTGGTGCACTTCGCGGTGCTGTTTTGCTGCAACGAGGAAATGCTCCCGTGAATTCAAGGTGAGTGTTCGCTTCTTGGGCTGCCAGAGGGGCATGTCACCCAGATTGAACGTTAAGGCCTGTGGCTGGAGTTGTGGTTGAAGCGACGGGTCGTGATACTGCTTCTCGTCCTGGTATGCTGATAAGATACTGTCATCCTCGTTCTCGCCGTAGTTGGTGTCCGGGCTTGATGCCAGCTGGGATGACTTCTGGCTCGACGTGGACGTTGCCATGGAGGCCACAGACACGGCGATAGAATGGCTAGAGGGTGTACGTGTAATGCGGCTGGGTGACCACATTGTCGCAGGAGTCGGTGATGGAGGATGCTGTTTTGAAGATATGGGGCTGCAAGACCAGGTGAACAGTGCTTCACAACGGATTGCCCTTGCAAGGGTTACGCAGCGAAGAGCAATTGCAATGCAAATATATGGAGAAGAGGAAAATAAGGCGAAGATATGACCAGACTCCGCCCAGATCAAGCGATCTATCAACTTTTTAAGGATTGGTGATATTGGTACTCGGTCCTCTACAGTCAAGATGAAAAGGGGGAGCTTGTGCCTGAGGCAGCGTGAAACATGCCCCTTGCTTCGGCTTGACGAGGCTGTGACCAAGTTGAGACGATGCCGTTTCTGCGATGCCATAGGACAAGGCTGCGGTGGCTGCCACCAATAGCAGTGCATGTCACATCCCACTTTTCACCTGGACTAACCGCATCAAACGAGAAGAAGATGCAAAGGGTGTTCGTGCTGCTGGGAATCCCTCAGAATGGTCCAAACTATGCGCCACCACGGACGAGTTGCAAGTTATTTCTTGTTTAGCGAATATCCCCTTTCCCGCTTGGACCCTTCAGGTCCCGTCCATTGCACCCGGCAATGACTCCAAGGACGATTCACAAGCACCATAACCCCTATCAAGATTCAAAATGGGGGTCATAGCTCCCTGCGGGCAGCATATATGGGAATTTCACCTCGCCTACCCCTCGGATTGGACGCTTTTCGGAGCCCAATCACCTGCACTCTCTTCGCGACTGGAATACACCACGGCCTCTGTCGACACTGTCCTCTCGTTCAACTTTGGCCCTCTAGGATTGCCTTCTTTACTTAACCCTGGCGTCACCAGGAATTCAGGTTTGCCTATGGAGGCTTACCCTTCACTGCTCGGATTCATGTCCTTGATGGCGCCAGGGCCGAGTGGCATGTGTTTGCCGAGGAGGCTAGGCAGGAAGAGGCGTACTCGACAACGCTCAACAGACACGAGGACGAATTCGACCGCTTGGGTGAGTAATTTGTTGATAGCAGTGATGGCTCCCGGGTCAAGGGTACTCAAGGATGAGGCAAAAATCATTGCGAGCTTCGAGTGAACGGTTAAGATGTTGTTCTGATAACTGGTCTGGATCTCCCGGTCCCGAGGGGTCGAGTCGTCAGGCAATTCTAAAGCACGACTGAGATGCTCAACGGTTGTGTAACAGTATTTTTCTCCCAGAGGATCCGCTGTTGGCCAACGGAAGAGTTCGTTATGGCTGTTGCTGTTGGCAAGACCGCCTAACAACGTCCCGATTTGTTAGCACCAGTTTCAGTGGCCTAGTTTGCGTACATGGGATCGCCATATGCTCCGACTACCCGGAACGGCATGCAAAAGATACCTTCCCAAACAAATGTCCATAAGGCATTCTGAATCAGGTATCTGTGGACTCTTCGTTCGCCATTTAGAGGTATTTTGGCGTTAATCTCAGCCTGAGCCTGGTGGCATTAAGTCGGACGATGATGAGAGTCGAGAGAGGGACTGAATGTCACTTCTGAGCTCGGGGAATCGTTCCGTCAGCTCGGCATCCTGGGGTGCTTGGAAATCATCGATACTGCTGCGCATGACTTCCTGTACTTTGTGCGTTCTGTGCATTAGACCTCGAATCTCCGATGAGTGCTCCAACTTTAAGTTTGGGATCTCCTCTGCCGGCAGCTTCAACCCTACATGATTGCTGCTGAACCCAAACCCACCAGCTTGGGGCACATGCCAGTACAGAAACATTGGTCATTACCTAGGTACCAAGACAAGTAATTCAACTGTATAGTATAGAGTATCTTGGTAGAATGATAGAGCCGTAAAGATATGGAGTCTGACAAGGCAGAATTGCCAAGACATTAATGCCTGCGACGGGCGCCCTGTGCCTCCCCTCCGAGTCCTGAACGACCTTTCCAGCTCTATGACAACCACCAGAAAACGAAGAAGATATTCATCAGGCAATAATGCTGCCATGCCTCTGGCATGTGAAGCTCAATCAAAATGCTCATGTGGGCTGCATCTCCGATTCGGGCCAGAGAGCGGCGTCCCGTGTTAGTCTCGTCTACACAACACCAGGAGAATGACAAGGGGCAGCGACTTCTGATAATCAGCATCCCAAACCAACCACACGATAAATATAAATAGTGTATATTGCGCTATATTTTCCTCGATTCATTGGAGCTGGAAGGTAGATTCCCAAGGTTTGAGGCTTTAACCAGAATTGCACAGTGCCTTTGCATTTTCTCTCCCTCTGGCCTTGGGCTCTATAGCCCAGTATATGGCGAGGCTCGACACCACTATTCGCACCCACTCGAGTTGATTGCAAAAACATATCACCCAACTCGCTGTTTGGCCTGACCAGCGCCTTGGATCGAAGTTTGTTGCTTGTTCACGATGGCGGTCCAGTGAAACCGAATTATCATTGGCCTTGACTACGGCATAACCTATTCCGGTGTGTTTCCAAGCACTCGATCCTACTTGGCAATGGGTACTGAGCGAAATAGGTGTTTTATTCGTAATGGTTGGAAACAATCAGCACAATATCAACCTCAATAATGACGATGATGCTATTGGACTTGGGATTCAAGATGTCTTGAGTGGCCGGGATCGGTGGGCACGGCTGCTCCCAAAGTTCCAAGCGTCATCTCTTATGATGCGGCTGAAGGTAGGGAATCGCAATGGGGTTACGAGATCAGTGAAAGAGCAATCAAGATAATTTGGACAAAACTCGAACACGAAGAACAGGACCGGCCACGCGAGCTTGATCTGCCCTTGAAAGCTCTCGATGGTATGGCAAACTTGGATCTCAGTGAAATAGATGGCATTAGCGGTTTATCGGCTTATCCCGCGAAGGAGCCTGTCCAAATCGTCACGGACTACCGTTCCCGGATGACCTTGTCTAACATGTCCAATTGTGAGGTCGCGCCCTTGTCTCCTATGTCACCGAGGATGCTCACATAAACCACAGCAGTAGACCCACTCCGCGATATTGAAGACCTTTCGAGCTATCACAGCTTCAGGTTTCAATAAGCGCTATCTTCCGAAATTGAACAACATCATACTGGTATCCGAGGCAGAAGCCGCAGCTCGTTTTGTCATCAAATCGACCCAGCAAGTTGGAGACCTTCTGGCCCTGAGAGTGAGTTTCCTCGTGTTCAAAAAGGAGTAAGGGATCTGTTTCGTTCATTGCGACGCAGGTGGTGGGACTACGGTACGTAATCGCCCCATTTCGACACTCATTCGATTGACCAGGCGTGCTGCAGAATGTGGCCTCTTTTCAGGTCAAACAAGTTGTTCCGGATCTGATCTTTGAGCATATTGGCATAGGACACCCGTTAGTAGGATCTAATCTAGTGCGGTATCCTGAGTATTGCTGATGGCACAGTAGGCAAGAAGTGCGAGGTCATCTTTGTCAATTAACAGTTCCTCGATATACTCCGAAGAAAAATTGGCGCTGAGAATTTTCAGATATTGGAAAAGAGACCATGGCTGATTGACATTTGTGGTCACACTGTCTGGAGTCCCAAACTTTCCGAGCTTAAGGGAGAGCACTGGGATCTCGCAAAGAAGGCTTTCGCTGGTGAAACCGACTTCAACAGGTTCATTCAGTTGACAGGAGTAGCTCAACAGGAGATTCCAGAACATGATATTATAGGGGGAGAGGTGCCGATGACAGCGTCCAAACGTCTTTCGCGCTCAAGCAAGGATACTGTTTACGCCAGCGCAGCGATGATCTTCGAGAAGCATTCGACTTTCCGTGCGAAATACCACCAAGTTGGTCACGCGCCGGATTGGCCAAGTCGAGCGTCTAAGCAGGCATGTCTAAGGAGGTATCCCAACTGTCCGGTCAGAGAGGCTCTCTACGTTGTGATATGCTAATGAGTAGAGTTTGTTACCTTATCAGGAGGATTCGCTTGTTCGGACTATTTATAAAACGTGATCAGCAAATATGTACTCCGAACTCAAGGCATACCAACTAGAAGGCCCTTGAATAAGTATGGGGACCCGTCTACCAAGCTCTCTAGTTTGCTAACGTGCAATATTTTAGATACAACTGTTGGTCCGCAGTTGCCCGAGGAGCCGTCTGATACAATCTTCAATATGACACTTCACGGCTTGTCTACATGCGCGCATGTCGTTGGAACTATGGTGTGACAACGTCGCAACCATTCACCCTCTTCAAAACAATCACAGCGGGGCAACGACGTACCAAGATCCTTTTGATGGGGACACCAAAGCAGAACATCAACTAACATGGCTCGTTAGGAAGGGCGATCTGGTTCTATCGAACAAAGCCAATTATTCGTCTGCCCTCATCTGTCACAAATTTGGCAGCGATGACAGCAGATACTTTTGCACTTATTTAATGGCAAACGAAGATGACAAAGCTCCTGAAGGACGCTTGCACAATGGTAAGCACACCCTTTGCTGTGGCTACCCTGACAGTTTGGGAGATAATCTGACATCTTCTCAGAAATGTACAAACTCGCCATGCTGAAGTGCAGCCTTGGAAGTGTCCCGAACGAAGAGTTTGAAAGGAGAAGAATGCCCGACTCCAGGAGATCATACTTTCTCGCCAATCTCAGACTCCATCTCATGATCAAGGATGATGTGCGATTCTGGATCACCTTCGAAGAAAGAGAGTTGGATAGGGTAGCGATTGCATACACCTGAAGATGGCTAGCCTTCGTTAGGCAGCCTAACGCAAAGATCGACATCATAAAGTGCAGTTACCAGATTCTCCTCCTCAGGTTAATCTTTGAAACCAATAGTGGCCTCTCATCTATCATCCTGTTAGCTGCATCTGGCACTGTGACCACTGAAGTCATCGAGTACTCTTGGCCTGCATCTTGAAGTGTATATTATGTCTCAGACTGGCCACTTGTTTTGGGTCCTGTGTCGCAGGAATAGTCCGCCTCTAGGCCTAGTCCCCGTGTATTAAGTTGACGACTACCACGTCCATATACAGTTGCTGGCCCCAGGACAGATCATAGAAACATCGAACCTGACTACAGACAACATTAAAACAGGTGTCAAATAGGAAATCACATGCCATTATCATGACGACCCATTACGCAGAAGCCTTCTTCCGCCTATTGGACTAGCACTGTGCCTGGTGAGACCTTAGCGCCCGGGCGGTGTTGGACTCAGCTCCAACGCACTGTTTGTTGGACGGTTCCTCATGTATGAGGCTGCTTGTGTCTAGGCCACTGCATCCAGGCCTTTGCGAAGCTCTCAACATGAACACGAGGAATTTTTATCTGCATGCAAGCCTCCTTTTTGCTTGCTAACCTCTTTAGGCAGTCTGCGCCAAGCCAAAGGGTCGAAATGTGGGTCCCCGACAACCAGAAATGGCGACTCACAGTCCTATTAATACTTGTCCTCTAGAGCGACCAGCTGGACACTTTATCACATAGTGTATTCTCTATTGAGCTATTGGGCGCTCGGCTGGCAGCCTGAGAATGCAAACCAACCAGTATGACCACCCATTAGGTTCTTTCTAGTTAGCTGTCACCAACCCTACCGAGGATTCAAGGTCCCTTTGCCTTGAACATGAAGTTAGGCAACTTTGGGATACAGCAGCTACACACAGGACCTTGAACATCGTCTAAGAACAAGAGAGTGCTTTTTGGTTTCCAGTCAAACAATCATCTACGCGAATTTGTCGACTTCTTCGACTTCGTCGAATTTTGAAGAATAGTAAATTATCCGCAACAGAAACTTCTTACCAGGCGATTTAGGAGACAGGAGGATTTCCAGGCGATGTAGCTCTCATTTTATGAATCAACCACCAGTCCAAATCGGCAAAAGCATTAGTGAAGAACCCAATACAAAATTGGATGCAGGAGAAAGCTGCCTCAAACTCCTTCTGCGGTCATGCAAAGCTGTTCCGTATCTTCTGGTCCGCAAGCTGAACTTGGCAAAATCACGCCATTGCTTGACCAGCTTGCTCTGTATGCCGAGTCGGACAACCCTGTTGTTCTTGACTGCCTAAGACGAACAACAAACATATATTTGGAAACGAAGAAAACGACACATACTGTGGACGGCCAAGAAAGCGGGTTTGTTCCCTCTTGGTTTTCTGGACGCTCTCCTCGACAGACTCTACATCGATTTCGTCGCACGGCTGGAAGGGTTCAAAGAGTGATGCCAGGGGGAAGCCGCATACAGTGCCGTTGGCTCACTACAGAGAGCATGCGGTGTCTCACAGGCGCTGGATATACTTCTCAATCGAACAATCAGGAACCTGAGAGCATGGACTTTGTGGGCGCCGGCTCATCACCGCCTGCTTGACTGCGTCTTTAAGAGAACCCAAAGATATCGGTGGCTTTCTGGCATTTTCTTGACGTCCAAGCGTTCCGCCCGCACTCCTGCAGTTTTAAAGTTGCTGACGTTGACACACGGCAGTAGCAACCCTTGTCTGCTCGAGTGCCTGTCTGGATGTACAATAGAGCCACCAGGCTGCAGGCCAGAAAGACTTCACTAACATGCAGATCAGATTGATCGATTTGATGGAAAGTCAAAGCCAGAGGAACCCTCAGCCAACGAGATCTCCGTTGCAGAGTCTGGGATAGAGTCTCAAGGACTCTCCTGCACTGGGAAGTACTCTCTACCAGCAAATTCTACTATCGCTTCAGGAATGGCCCGTCAGAAAAGGAGGTCGAGGCCCGCTTTCAGCTTCACACAGAGGTATTGCGGACCAAAATTAGCCGACTCCTTGGAATGCTCATTCGGTACATTCTGTCTGATCCGCCTTGCAGGCCGCACAGCGCTCGACGTCCCTACGCAATGCTCCATAAATGTGGCATTGGCAGGAACGGCATGATGTTCCAACACGGACGCTGGCGTTGGCAATTACGTCGCGCACCACCCTTCCGCTCGATGTGCAGACCCAGTGCTTGCTGCACATCCGGAGCATGGATTGTGACTACCTGAAGGAATTCAACATTATTATGAGCCGTATTAGTGAGATGGTTTGCCGTCGTCTCGCGCGCCTGATCTGCTTATGACAATTCTGGCAACATCAAAGGCAGGAATGTTGGGAAAACGTCCTGGCTTGGATGATGGAACAGCGGAAATCGACGTTGCTGGATTATACAGCCAGCCATATGGACGTCACAGCTTGGTTTGAGTGGCTCAGACATCTAAGAGATGTATTTGACATTCATGATGTATCTTTCACTCGCGGACGACCCTTCTAATCCCTCAGCCACAGTTTTGGTCTCAACCCCCGAAGGAACGGTATCTCGCTATCTTATGCCAGTTAGAAACCAAGCGGGAAACGCGGTCTCCGGTGCAGTCCACTCCCAGAGAATGGAAGTATAAGCCGTTGATGGTCAAAGTTTTGGAGCGCTTCCTAAAAAAAACAGCCACATTGACCAACAACGGTTGCTTCTTGAAGAGGTCACACGCGTCAGTAATGAGAACGGTAGCTTTGACGGCCGAGTGTGGGCAAAGCTCTCTGTTTTAGCTTCGACAAACCTAGAATGGCTTTCTGTCGTCTACCGTGTGTTGTGGTTCACCGGCCGAATGCAAGCGGAGCTCTTCCAGAGTGTGTATGGATAACTGTTTTCAGAAACGGAGCCTTCTGTGAGATCCATATCGTATCTTGACTCGGTCTCTTTGATCAGAGTCTATACATGTATTTCATACCTTGACTAGAGTGAATAAATGACAAAGGGCAAGCAAAGGGGTGGCACTCCGTACATATATCTTCTCAGCCTGATAAAAGAACCCCTTAAAGCGGCCAGTCCGTGCCGCAAATCACGAGGCTGAGAAGGCGGCGAATGCGGCGAGCTTTACGGAGCACGTACGTATGTACCCTATGTAAATGCCACTTACTATCAATCCGTTGACGCTCACTGCGCTCCCAACTTGATCTTCAGGCACTTGCTTTGACAATTGTTCCCCTATCGACCTTGCCGGCAGCCAACAATCAATTTATCCTTCACCAAACACCTTCTCGTCCTAAAAATTCCCTCGGACAGCCTCTGCTGACACGTCTCTTGTCCTCGCCCATGACCTCATCCTGAGCCTTGCTTGCGACTCCCCTTGGCCTGCAACCAGCATCTCACGAGAATGGCTCCCTCTCCGACGATCCGACGCCTCCTCAAAGAGACTGCCGAACTCTCCTCCCCTTCTTCCAATCCCAATCCCGCTTTCTTTGCGGGCCCTGTCTCCGATTCCGACCTGCATGAATGGCATTTCACCCTCCTGGGTCCTCCGTCGCCCTCCCCATACGCCGGGGGAATGTACCACGGCCGCATCACACTACCCGCCACGTACCCGCTGAAACCGCCGAATTTTAGATTTCTGACGCCGTCGGGAAGGTTTGAAGTGAACCGCGAGATCTGCCTGAGTATATCTGGGTTTCACGAAGAGACGTGGATGCCTGCCTGGGGCGTACGGACTGCATTGACAGCTCTCCGGACGTTCATGGCGGAAAAGGGCTCAGCAGGCCAAGTCGGAGGGCTGGAAGCGCCTGCGGACGTGAGGAAGAGACTTGCGAAGGAGAGTCGGAGCTGGAGATGTGAGGCATGTAGGAAAACGAATGAGATCATTATGCGCGAGTGGTGGGATGTTTGTCGGGAAGCCGGGGTCAACGTCTCGGCAGAAGAGGATCTAGGATTAGAGAGTCTGCCAGAGGGAATGACGCTGGAGGCGAGGGATCCGAATGCACAGGCTAATGCTTCGTCGCATGCGACGGCCGCCACGAGCAAAGGGAGCGATGCTGGTGCACAGGAAGCGCCGGACGTGACGACATCGGGACCACAAGAACGGCGGCAGCTATCATCTACAAATCCAAAACCCAGTCCGTCTACTCCATCGGCATCAGTACCGCCATCTCAGCAACCTCAACCTTCCTCATCATCGCACTCATCACGATCGAACTCGTCCAACCTCCAGGCGCAGAGATGCATTCCCATGATCCCTACTCCTTCAGCAGAAGCCGCCCAAGCCTCCGCCGAGGCGATCCTTACGCCCGGCGACTTTGTTCAGCCGCCGAATGGCTCTACGACATCCAACACAGCCTCTGCTACCGCAACCCATCGACGACCATTTTTCTCAGGCCTGCACAACCCCCCGCTAGCCGCCGCAAATGCAGCGATTGCGCAGAGCGCTCAGCCTTTGACTCTCCAGCGTGACCGAGGAAGGGATAGAGAGCCGACAATCACGATCGACCGGGCGATCGCGGGCGTCTTTCTCGCACTGTGTCTGATGGTACTGAAAAAGATCTTCTACCCGGCTGGGGGACCCGGGGCCCGGTATAATGGCGTGGACGAATTTTACCTCCAGCGAGAGTAAGGGTTCATTTCGTCTATCTGCTGATGGACACATGCTTGGATGCGCATGATTCGAGCTTTGGAATATGTCGGGATCCTGGGATCTTTCTTGGGACCCGGATTATGATCATGATGATATGGGGTGGTTCGGCATCAGACCAGAGGGCAAGAGCGAGAGCAGACTTGCTTTTTGGATTGTCTGCAAGTGTTTTGGCTTTCGAGCATGCGAACAAGCGAACAAGCAAGCAAGCAAGCAAGCAAACAACCTAAATAGAAAGCTCAGCTGAGTCCGAGACTAGGCCTCGGCTATCTTTTTGTATATATACTGGGACACTGAAGGAAGTCGATGGCCCACGAATGAGAAAGGACGTTCATTTTTCGTCCCTCTTCACGTCGACCCCTTTCTCTGTTAACCTTTTGTCCTGTGCTGTTCTGGGTTGGCCTCCCGTTGCCGTTGGGAGAAGGTATCATATGGCTGGTGCTGACCAATTTGGTTCTTAAATCACTCGAAAAAGGGCAGGTTTCTTTGGCCGCCTGCTTCATTTTTTGCCTCGCTACAGAATGGGCTATCCAATCCAATCCAACCCAACCGATGTCAGGAGTCCTGTCCTGTCCCACATTGCACCTATGATTGATACTATGATACATAGACACAACCGAACCCCTCCGTGTATGCATGGGTCGTGTATGTATCCAAAGGGATCGAGCGACTCGTAGTGGCCTAGACAAGGTTACTTGAAGAGATACATAAGATGAACGCCTTGGCCAAAATTTGTCCAGCTCATCTTACTCTGCCTGCACGATTCCTCCTGATCCAACCCCTCTCCGCGTCATCTTCGTTCTCTCTAATGTCATATCCAACATCCGAATCGCTGTCTTCGTCAGCACTACTGACTTCGAAAGGTTCGTTTTGGTCAAAGTCCCTCTTTTGTCTTGTCTTGCTTTGATCCGTCGTCGAGGACAAGTTGATTTGATTTGGAGGTAGATGCTTCATGGACATGTCGCTGCGGGAATACATGTCGTCGTTTCTAACCTGTGGGACGGTAGTTTCGTGGGTTTCGTTATAATTGTTGGCATAATCGCGGTTTCGGTCTCGCTCATGCCGTTGATACGCATACTCACGATCGCCGCTTCCACCCATAGCTCCTGCATTATGATCATGATCCATCATCGCCGCCAGCCTTTGCTCTTTTCTCTTCGCCGCTTCCTCCTGCGCGGCGATCCATTTCGGGCTGACTTCCCACCGCCATCCATCACCCACGGTATTGCATATTGGCAAGGCCCAGAGGAACCGATTAGGTCCGAACAAGTGACTAAGATTCTGACGCCAGCCAAGATCGAATGCATTAGGCATTTTCTCGGACTCTTGGTCGTCTAGATATTGTGCATATCTTTCACGCTCGCGAGTGGCTTCCATATGGGAGTAAGTCCTTCGCAGTGCACGAATGGCGGGCGTGTCGTTGGAACTGGCGTGATGGTGGTGATCATCGGCGGACAGACCTTGACCTTGAGAATATGGGGCTCCATGATGTGTCGTGTTATAGACACTCGGGACGGGGGAAGTATGTTCTTCGCCTTCCTCGTACCGTGACGCCCCAGGGACGGCATTGGCGTTCCATTCAAGAAACTGCTCCCCGGCTCGCTGCAACCTTCCAGCAACACCTTCGGAGCTGCGTCTCCTATGGTTCAATTGCTGCTCCTGGCGATTTCGTTCCACGAGAGTTCTGACACCACTAAGATATCTCGTCTTCTCGAGCCTTTCAATGGTAGTTTGGCCTTTCATGCAGAGATAGATGTGCCAACCGGTGAACGCACTCAGTACCAGACCAATGATCCCGGCAATGACGGAAAGAAGTATAATGTTGACAGGTGCCACTTCGTCGAGGTAGCCGCTTTGCTCGAACAATTCCTTCCACATCCACCATGCTGCGTTGATAAAACATACCCAACAGAACAGAGACGTATAGATGAGAAAGAGTACAAAGGCTTTGTAGTTCCGCAGGCCCAGGCAGGTGGACAGCCAAGGGCAGTGATGGTCCATCTTCAACACACATCTTTTGCAAGTAGAGCAATGATGCGTCCGGTCAGGCTTCGGAGAATGGCACTTTTTGCAGAATCTGGGCGCACCCGTCGACGAAACCGTGATGGCCTGGATCTGGCTTACGTCGGGATGAGGTTCATGAGTAGGAAGTATTGAGTATCTCCCCTGACTCCTGTCCGAGGATTTTGCCGGAGATTTCAAGGGCGAGCCGGGATCTGTAAAGGCGGCGACCGTGTATGACCAGTTCGCCAATGCGTATAGGGTGATTCCCAACAATGAGATGGCTTGTATCAACCACCAGACATGTTTTGATCTGTGAGATCCAAAACCAATTGATGCCACCACCCATACAGCCCATGTTGTTATACTATATACAAAAGCGAGAGGGAAGAAAGTGGCGATGGCGCAGCAGGCACGCTCGCATGTCCGGGCGCATGATCGTAAGCGGCGGCGCGAAGGAGTTGGAGGAGGTGAGGAGGACGGACTCGAGTAGCGGGGCATGGGAAGAGACCAGGCGGAAAAGATCTATATCAGGGCTGATCGAAGGAGTCGTAGGCGTGCAATCACTCAGGTGGTCGAGTCCAGTGTCGCTGACGAGGGATCATCTCGAGGGAGTCGACTGCATGGTTGCGGCAAGGGGGTGAGGTGAGCAATTCTTTATCCAGGTACGCAGGCTCATGAATCTATAGAAAATAAAAAGAATGGGATTGGAGCACTCTGTAGTGTCAATGTTGAGGGACTGGGAATACAATACGTAAGGGGTGCGTCTACTACTCGGTGTTGAAAGCAAGAGGAATTCGAAACGGCGCAGTTGAATTCTGGTGACAGAGTAACGGAGTGACGCGGGCTCAAGGCTCCTGCTCAGCCTTGCTCGGCCCTGCGCTCTCTGCAATAACATGTTCCGCTGCCTCCGCTGTCAGCCTCGCCGCCTCTTCGCCCCTCCCATTCCTCCGCCTCCGATACATCTTTCGTAATTGCAAAATGTGTAAGCGAGCCACTTGTGTATGAGAGTGCTGATATTGCATTTTTTGTGTCTAAAAGAGTGTGGTAATAGTTGGACATCTCATGCCAATCCGCCATGCGTTCCGATGCAACCAGTCTCTGCCACCACCACCTGGTTGCTTCTCTAGTCCTTCAATGGGACCCCGTTGCAACTTGCCTCAGCATATGCCCATCTTCAGCCCGACTTCACTGGTTCTGTGTTTGCATTCTCCTCCTTCTTTTCTGGATCAACCGGCTCTCTAACCATCACATCCATTCTCAGCTCCTTCCCCGCAGCGCGTTGCAAGTAAATGTTCCTGCGAAGCTCAAAGCCCAACTTGCCATAGATGATGATATTGATATCATGAGAGCTCTCCAAGTAGCAGGGCAACCCTTCGGCGTCAGCCTGTTCAAGTCAACCTTGGAATCAGGAAATCTTCAGTGTGCAACTCCTTACCATCTTCGTAACATGTTCAATCAGCTTCCGGGCATAACCACGGCCACGTGCCTCAGGTTTGGTACCGATATAGTTCAGATACCAGGAGTTGTTGTCCCTCTCTCCCAAAATTTCCTGCTTAGTATGGTGCAACAGGGGCAGGAACTCATCGAAGAACCGCACCTTTCCTTCCTTGGACAGCTTCCAGCTCAATCGCCACATGCCGCTGCGGAGGATGGTGAACCAGTCATCAATATTTTTGCCTGGTGGCAACCACAAGGCAACGCAATCGAAGTTCTCACCAACCGTCAAAACCAGTCCCTGGAGGCAGTGAGCATAAGTGACATACTCCATGGAGGCCTTGTGCAATTCGAAGCGCTCCTCTTCAGACAGATGCATGCGGTCCGGGGTATCGATGGCGTAGCGGACGATATTGTCGAGTCGAAACGCCTCAGCGAGACATGCGGCGGCCTGTTTGTGCTCGTGGGGAGCGACCACGCGAACTTCGTCCTTGTTCACGGCGGTGGGGACGACTTTTGCAGCGGTCGGAGTTGGTTTCTCGTGGATGATGGCGGCGTCCAGAATCGGGACAGCAGCATTAGGAAGAGCCATACTGAATGGATTTGGATTTAGCAGCTTCTAGTCTTTGACTCTCTCTTTCTTTTGGTCCTTTCTTTTACTTTAGTCGGAAGGTCAAACATAGTCGGTCAACCTACTCTTTGATCAACCTCGATCAATGGGTCTTGTAGAATGGCCTGTATGCTCGGAACACAGCTGAGCAGTAGAGACAGTATTGCTTCTAAATGGGAAGCGGAGGCTAGGACAAGATGTGCGTAGATCAACCGACATCAGCGTACGATACGTCTGAGGGGTTAAACTTTGCAGAAGAGACGTAGAGATGAATAACCAGGAGAGCAGTGTAGATAGTTCTGTTTGATCTCGCGGGTTGCACGAGCGTTTGATGCGTGGCACGACGGGTCGACGGTCGAGCTGAGTATCGAACGTGAGAGGCCTGCCAACGGTTGTTTAGCTTCAAGGTCACGACAGGCAACTGATATGTCGAAATCGACACTTCAGTGATCTTGTACGAGTCCTCGAGGCTGGGAGCAAAGCAGAAGAAGGGCCGAGGTGTCTCCTGGGGAGGAGGATGTGAGTTTATCAACCTGCAAGCTTCCTGGGTGCCACTTGGCGGGAAGGATGTGGTGAGAAGCCAATGGCTAGGGTAGGACGAGGAGGTTAAAGTCGACGTAACTCAGTCAGCACCCGCGGCTCGTCGGATTGCTGGAATCCATCGCAATGGCGACTCCCCACGCTATTGATTGTTGAATTGCAGGCTAGACGCTTCACATCAGCAGCTGTGGATGTCAGTCGGTGCCAGGTCTCCCTTCTTGCGGCAGCACGTCTGTACGGTGCTTTGTATCAGCTCCACCTTGTAACCAGTGAATGGAGGACAAAGGACATGAGCGAGGAGAAAGGGTCACGGGGTCCAACGCTTCGACATGCTCGTTGGGGTTTAGGCAGGAAACTGGGTTGCAGACGGAGTGAGGCGAAAGTTGGGGGCGTCGAGGGGGCCATGATTGGCTCACCATCTCATTCCTTCTTGATCCGAGAGAGCATGGTCCAAGGGATGAGTGGTCAGCCTACGTGGGATATTTTTTGAACTTGATCTTTTCCGCGAACCCGCCCTTGTGACCAACACTCAATTGGGTATAGATGGGTGGTCGAATCGAGCTCTGGGTCGGTGGGATAGGAGGCAAAGGATTTGCGCGTATTGAACAAACTTACCCGTAACCCTCGATGATATACATGGGTCTGTATGTATATATCATGGCCAGCTCGTGAAGAAAACACCGTAAAGGCGCGGTCTGACGGCTAAAGGGAACGGCACGCCGCACCACAGGCGACATCAATGTGGTGAACAAACAATGACCCAGTTGCCGCTGTTCCGACAGAGCCAACCACAACGATATGGAGATGGGGGAGCCCACCGCTGCCATAGATAAGATAACCTCCATTTTATAACAAATAAATATCTCCTTCGATAGGAACTCGTCATTCTTGTATATATATTTATTGGATAGACGTGGAGGCCGAGAACTGAGGATATCAGAGCTCCAACTCAGAGATAGGCCGCTATATCCTCTGTATTGTCATGGTCTTGACCTTCTGTGGATGGCGCCATAGATAGTACCAGCCTGGATCTGGGAAGAGTACACAAGGTGAGCGACGGTTGAGCAATGCGATGATTAAAATACTCTGCAGCAATCCTTATGCAAGGGAGTGAGACCTGTGCACTAACAACAAAGTGAGTGACTTTGAGTGTTGTGATGGGATTTCGCCCCGCGGTTGAGGTCAGTGTTGGGTCGACTGGCCTCTGGTTCGTTACGCCCAGTTGCCTCACTTGACCTCGACGTGGATGGCTTCGACATCATGCTTATGGGAGGCTACTCCAACATCCTCAATTCCGCTGAAGTCGGTCATTCCGAACAATTCATCCATTCGCTCCAAAGAGATCTTGCCATATTGTTAGCCCTCCGAAGCCCGAAAAGCACACGGGGAAGACGACCACTTACCCCTTTGGTCTCGGGCACCAAGAAATATGCTCCTACCGCAATGGTGAAGCAGAAGCAGCCGTATATAAAGTATGTGCCATACCCGCCGGCGCCCACAGTATCCAGCATAACGGGGGTAGCCCGAGCAACGGCCAGGTTGAAAACCCATTGTGTTGCCGCAGCATACGATACGATTAATCCTCGGAGTCGTTGAGTACTGATTTCTGAGGAATAGATCCCTGCGGAGAAGTTTAGCTTCACTCACGGCATGTTGAGTCATTAGACTTACAACAAACAGGACCCCAGCCAAATTGAAAGGCTGCAGCATAGAGATAGACCATGACCAACGCCCCATATCCCGCGCCGGATATGGGAGCGCCTTTCTTCGGGGCGTCAAACCGGACGAAAAAGCCCAAGTAGAACATACAGAACCACATGAATAGTCCCGTCCAGACCAAGGACCATCTGCGACCAAGAGTATCGGCAAGGAAAGTGATGAAGATGGCGCAGGAGCTCATCTTGACAATGCCGTAAACCCCAGTAGCGAACAGGCTCTGTGTGTTTCCGGTCACGCCTAGATCGGTGAAGATGGTTGGGGCGTAGTAGTTCTGCAATCCCGTTAGCCCGCCCAGGTCGTATTGGTAGACCCAAAACACCTACGATGGCATTAGTTCCAGTCCATTGTTGAGCAGTCATGAGTACGATCACCATGATGGATCGTCTGCGATTGCCGGGGATTGTCCACGCTTCCTTTGTCAATGCCCAGTAACTGTTGCCACCAGCACGACCTCTCTCAGCTTCCAGCTGAGTCTGCATTTCGAGAAGCTCGGCTTGGAGGTAGGGATGTGTAGGTGGTAGGTTTCGAACTTTCGCAAGAATTCTGGAGGCTTCGTCCCAGTTGTCTTGGGAAGCAAGCCACCGAGGGCTCTCGGGACAGAATAAGATGGAGATGAAGAGGAGGAATGGAGGCAGAGACTGCATCGACAGAGGGACTATCCAGGTGGCATGGCCTTTCAAGTGAAGAAGGCTGCCATAGTTGATGAAAAAAGCCACCATGGCACCCATGGTTTCGAAAAGTTGATAGAATCCGACGAGCAGACCTCGAATGCCACGGGGAGCATTCTCAGCAACGTAGGTAGGTGCGACCATGGTGGCTCCGCCCAGACCCAAACCTTCAACAAATCTAATATTGTTAGTTTCCAGCCCCAATCGGTAGAGCCTCCATTGCCGACGTACCGTCCAATGTAGAAGCAGGATAAATGCCCATATGAGAGGGCCTGAAGCAGACCACCGACGAAAGCGAACGACGCGACAGTATAAATGGTAATCTTTCGACCCCATTTGTCGGCCAATGGATTGGCAGCGAGGGCACCGACGATGGCGCCTGCTTGCATGACCGATACCAAGTTGGCTGAGAGATTGGACTGGGCAATCTTCGACTTGTGGGTGAGTCCGAATTCGCTTGCAACATGTCAGTTGTCATCACAGCAAGTTGTAGAGGGCATTTCCATACTCTTTGAAATCGGGTAATGTCAAAACCCCTCCAATGATACCAATATCCATGCCAAAGAGTGTCCCTCCAAAACAAGCCTGGTTGATCTCAGTAAAAATTATTTTACCTTGTACAACTGTCATGACTTACGGCTGCTGCCAAAGCGAAGACTCTCCAGTTGTAGACCTCTGGGGGGTCCAACTTGACCGCATCATTGTGGACGATTCTTCTGAGGAACGACATAGCAGCCAGATGAAAGGTGGTCTCCGGATAGTCCGAGTAGTTGAGCGGTCGAGGCCAGAGGACAGGACGAGCGCGGCGCGAGGAGGACAGGTATTAAATGGCACTCTCGATCGGTATTCTCAAGCTGCCACATGTTGGACAAGGATTCTCTTCAAGTGAAGGGACATTGTCGATTGACTGCCGTGTCAGCGGATCTCCATCTCTACCTGAGGAGAGACACTGGAGACTCCATAGCACATGGGGCAAAAACACCGGGTCTTTGCACCGAGCGTGCCCATATGGATTGATAGAGGCCGGGCATTTGCCAGATGTCGAATAGTTCAGCCGTTGGAGCGCCACCTAGTCGCGAACACCAGTCTAGATGAAGACAAGATGTGCAAGCATTGACAAGCATTGGACGTCGTATGGTAGGGTGCCGGCCTGTTGTAACGTTCTGTCGCCACTCTCGGTGAGTTGTAGGTGTCATTAAACTGCGGGGACAGGCTGGGCAACGAGCTTGTCTCCAAGAGGGGTCGGCGTTTTCAGCCTGAAATCAAGCTGTTGTAGATGTGAAGCTGGGGGAGCTGGAGGGAGCTGGGGGAAACGGAATCCCTTCACCAGTTCGAACCCGAATGTGATGCGGAGAGAGGCCGGAAAGATGCTTACCTGGAGGTCGACACTCCACCTGGGGTACGGGACGACGGCAATCCATCCGCAAAATCTGGATAATTTGATGGTTAAATGGCGAAAACTGGGGCAAAGCAGGATGTCCACCAACTCCACCAGCCTTCGGTACAATCATCTGCCGAGTAGGGAGTAAAGCCCAGTCTGGTGCAAAAGTGTACTCCGTCAACAGTGCACAGCTTTGTTTTGGCTGAGCGAGGGATGCCAGCTGTCGAACCATCCGACATGTGAGGGGGAGAGCCATCGTGATACCTCGCCGAAAACAAGATTATATATCCGCAGAAGGAAGCTTCGGAGCCGTAGCCTCCTTCAATGTTGAAGAAGTATTATATCATCTCTCCCTTCCCGTATCGTCCCAAAGCTCCCGAGGTGATGTGATATTGCCTATACCATTCTGTTTCTCAGCCAGTCTGGAATCTGTGGTCGTTGCATCCAGCTTTTTTGCCATTTCCTCTTATAGTTCGAAACACTTGATGGCATAGCAAACACGCCAGTCGCTACCCAAACACCCGCATTTGCAGCTATATCCATCGCCAGGCTGGGTAGGACGGATCTGCTCTCCATCAGGTTACTGTTCGCGTCCTCGTCCAGCACACGGCCAGCACGAGCTCCGGGTTGATGCAGCTCAACAATACCAACAGCACCACCTCGAGTCACAGCAACAGCCTCCCCATTGTCTGCTAGTCTCCCTTCGGACTTGTCTGTGTCCATCTGCTGTAATTCGCGTTCGTCTTTCTCTGAGACGCCGTTCAGGGCAAAGGAGCCTTCGCTCGTCTTCAAGTTTCTGCTGCCTGTCCTGATATGGTGTACGCGGAGATGCCAATTCGGCGTGGCTTCGGTCGGGGGAAGCAGATAGGTCTCGACTTTGGTGTCGGCCCACGGTTTCCACTCAGAAATCAACACTGGCGTGCCATCGACAGTCTCCAGCCTTGCATTGAGTGGCATCCTCCGCACCTTCCACGACTCGCCTTGATCGTCTGAGACTGCGAGGATATTGTCGCCCCCAATGGCTTCCACAAAGTAGCCGCCAGTGGGGACAGAATATCCGAATGCCGTACTGTATGCAAACTTTCCGTATTTGCTTTCCGCAGCTCTCATTGGGTAGTGGCACATCTGCCCCGAAGACAAGAGAAAAGTATGTCCACCTCTTCTCACCATAATGTGTTTGGGATGCTTCAACGCCACAATCTGCGGTATTGAGTGGCAGGGATATGGTTCTTCTCTGCACTGCCAGAACTCATGAGACTCAGGTAAGGCCAACGCCGCAAAAGAGAGCATGAACCAGTAGGTCGAGCCGGGCGAATTGTAGTTCTCAGATATAAATTGGTTGGGATAGCCATAGCCGATGGTTAATATCCCTGCTCCATTGAGTGTGTCCTTTTGTTGAGACCAGTACCGCAGATTGCGCAGGAGAATACCTTTGATCACTCCACAACTCAGAGGTGGCTCGAGGTGCAGATCTGCAAAAGCAACAGCCGCCCAGAAGCCGGCCATTGCAAACCGATAGGTGAGAGAACGGCCAAAGGTCATCGCTCGGCCTGACACAGTTAGATACAAAGCCTCTGTTTCTACAGGGGCATCCTGACCTTGCTCGTCAAAGTAGTGGAGGAAATCCTTCGCGTACATTCTCGCTCGATCTCTGTATATGTCTGCTCTTTTTGGATCCCGATCACCATTTAGCTTTGCATACAGCAATTGAAGGTACTGAATTGCAAATGAACCAGAGTAGTAGTCCATTTGAAGCGTGTCAGGCGGACCGTCGTTGCTCCAACCGCCAGACAAGTGGAAATTGTCAAGGTGGTTGAGGTCGGCTTCGAGTCGCTCGGCATCATACTCTGCACCATTCTTCATCAATGCTAGGTTAGCAAAGACACGAAACCAGAGCCAATTTGTGTTCGGCATCTCCTTCTTGTTGATATCCAGCCATCTCCGAACATTCTCGCGCTCTCTCTCATTCAGCGGCTTCCAGAAATGGCCTGGAGCGACGCAGAGCGCAAAGCCGAGAGGACACATTTCGACCATTCTTTGGTCCAAATCCTTCGACCAGCCCCAGAACTCGGGATGATCAGGGTTTGTCCCATTTCTTATTCCTTCCAACCAGAGCTCAGAACCCTCGAACGACTCACCACCAGCGAGCAAGGCTCCAAGACCCCACATGGGACGTGTAAAACCTTCGAGCTGCGCACCTGCTTCATCATAGCGAGTCGCTGTAGCCCCCAATCGTAGCCTTGTCTTCCCAGGTGAAAAGAAAGGTAGCAGAGGGGTCAAAAGTGATTTGCACGCTTGCACAATCTCAGACCGGGTGGCGAGGGCGCTATTCAGAGATGTGAAGAAAGATGGTGATGTCCCAGCGGCCATGGTGTCGGGTTATGAAGTGTACCCCCTAGAAAGTTGTTGAACCAGGTCTATTGATGCCGCCTGCCTTACTCTGTACCAAATACCGGAAAAGCTCAGAGGCTTCAGGTAAAACAGAAGCTCGTGATTCCCTGGGCTTATATTGATTGAATGCCAGGTCCGCCCGAGCGTTCCCGTGGAAGATAACTTACCAAATGACGTCGAAACAAGTCGTGTCGCTTGCTTGCCGGTCTCATACTGTTGCAACCCAGACGTCGGGACCGTAGACACTGGAATTTAGCCGTAAAGCAGGAAAGACGTGGCAAGAAAGCATGGTTTCAGTGGGTACGTTGGCGGGGCCATATGGCCTTTTGCGATTTGGAGTCCATTGTCTCCTTACTCAAGGCCATCTCTCCGAGCTCGGGCAATATCCCCATAGTTCGTTCCGTCCCATGTGCGTTGATCATGCTAAAAGCTCGCATTCATGAACTCCTTGGGCCACTAATCAGTGACCTAGAATTGCCATGTCTCATATCATTGTATTGTACAACGTCGTGTTGGTTCCCTTTCCCGCTCTGCTGCAGACGACCCCGTCCAGACCCAGTGAAACCCCCGCTTCTCCCTCTTTCACCCGTCCAAAATTGCCCAGGTATTATCATCGACCGTCGTGAATATCTTGCCGGCAGCCACAAGTTCTTCAGCGCCCTTGTACACTTCACTAGTTGACAGGCCCATTGTTGCGGCAATCATCTGAACGTGCAAACCCTCGTTACTCTGCGGGGTGTTCTTCAGGGTCGCGAATATCCTCCGTGCCAACGGCGAGCACTGGCCGAGTTGTCCGTCTGTTGCACCAGCAAAGTCTTGACGCATCCCATTCCCCATCATTCCAGCTGCTGCCGTATCTCTCTGCTGTCCATTCGACTGCGCGGTTGCTGGTCCTCTCGTGAAGAACAGGTGTACAGCAGTTGCTTCGAGCAAGTGGTAATTGATCTCGTTGTAATCTGTTATAGGACGAATAACATGTGCCCCGACATGTCTCTTGTTGTTGAATGCCTTTAATCTCCCCCATACTCGACAATAGCCGTCTTCCACCAATTTGGGTTTATTTGAGTCAAGATCCATCTTCTCTGCGTGGGTTGACTCCCCGTCAATCCATTGCTTTGCTTCGATGAGACCTGTACCGTCGTCGATTTTGTAGGTAATGTTCGTTGGTTGGGTGCTTATACTGCGGATCTGGCCCACGAATGTGACCTGCAAGAGATATCATTAGTCTTATCCTCGCAGGATCTCCTGTAAGCTTGATCTACCTGACTGAACGGCTCTCCGTCACACCGAAAATCTGCATCCGGATGGGGTTGTTCTGCGTCGAGAATTTGTTTGATGGTCATCGGTCGGACGGTGTCTCTCCCATAACCTCCCTGAAGACGACCGATTAATTTTGAATATTAAGTCTGAAATCCTGTCCATGTGCCTACCCTTCCAGCAGCAGGGCTACTCTGCGGCTCTCCAGCCACGAAGCCGCCACCATCTGCGCCACCGTGGGCGCCGTAGGTGGTATACTGATTATCGTAGCCGTAATCTGAGAGTGTTAGAGATCTTCTTAGCTCATTGAACCCTGGTCTACATACTCATTGTATTGTGTTCAGGATGCTCAAGCTGTGAGATGTAGTGCGAAAAATTCCTCGAGAACTGATTGATTCCAAACACCGACGCGTTCTAAACGCGTAAAGTGATTTACTCTGGGGTGAATGTATGATCAACCGTAGCTGCCCCTCTACAGGTGAGTATAGCTGTGTCTGACGTAAATCGTAAATTTAACAACTTTTAGATTCACCGAACGCAGGCAAACCCACATTTTGCCTGCGTGAGTGCCACGACTGGTGATGGTGCAGCCTGCTAGGGATATCCCTAGATAATACCAATTGTTACAGAACCGAGATCTCTGAGATGCCTCCTAGATTGGGTTCGCCTGCCCGTTCGGAGAATGAATTTGACATCAGCAGCGCATTGTTCGGAGAAGACACCGAAATTAATCACGACAGCCCAGACAAACACAATGGGGGCCTGCGAGGAGACGACGTGGATATCATGGCGGAGGAATCTGAGGTTGATGAAGAGGCTATTATCGCCGCTCAACAAGCCGCATCGAATCGCAAAGGAGCCAATCTGAAAGGGCGGACTGTGAAAAAAGGTGGTGGCTTTCAAGCCATGGGCCTCAATGCCAATCTTCTGAAGGCCATAACGAGGAAGGGTTTCTCTGTCCCTACGCCTATTCAGCGCAAAACGATACCTCTCCTACTCGGCGAAAAGGACGTGGTTGGTATGGCACGAACCGGATCTGGAAAGACCGCAGCCTTTGTCATTCCCATGATTGAAAAGCTCAAGGCACACAGCACGAAAGTCGGAGCTAGGGCTTTGGTTCTGGCTCCATCTAGGGAGCTGGCCTTGCAGACATTAAAAGTGGTCAAGGAGCTAGGCAGGGGCACGGATCTCCGGTCAATCCTCCTTGTGGGAGGTGACAGCTTGGAGGACCAGTTTTCCGCCATGTCCAACAACCCGGATATCATCATTGCCACCCCGGGCAGATTTCTCCATCTCAAAGTCGAAATGAATCTGGATCTCCTGAACATCAAATATGTTGTTTTCGACGAGGCTGATCGACTCTTCGAAATGGGATTTGCAGCCCAACTAACAGAGATTCTCCACGCCTTGCCTGCATCACGTCAAACTTTGCTTTTTTCTGCTACTTTGCCAAAATCATTGGTTGAGTTCGCCAGAGCAGGATTGCAGGAACCCATGTTGGTCAGGCTTGATGCAGACAGCAAGATCTCTCCCGATCTACAGAGTGCATTCTTCACTTTGAAGTCATCTGAGAAAGAAGGTGCCCTGCTTCATATCCTCCAAGAAATCGTCCAAATGCCTACCAGGTCCCAGTTAATCACGTCAACCATGGCTTCTCGCACGGCAGACAAATCGAACAACAAGAAGAGGAAACACCATGAAACAGAAGAGAACAGCAGCAACATATCTGGCCCCAATCCATATTCAACCATAGTTTTCACTGCCACGAAGCACCACGTTGAATATATCGCAAGCTTACTCCGTCTAGCTGGCTACGCCGTCTCCTACGTCTACGGATCGCTCGATCAGACTGCCCGAAAATCCCAGGTCCACGCTTTTCGAAGCAGTCAGACGAATATACTTGTCGTCACTGATGTTGCAGCCCGGGGTATCGATATTCCCGTATTGGCAAACGTGATTAACTATGATTTCCCCTCACAACCCAAAATATTTGTTCATCGGGTGGGACGGACTGCTCGAGCGGGCCAGAGAGGCTGGAGCTACAGTCTTGTCAGAGACGCTGATGCGCCATACCTACTGGATCTGCAACTCTTCCTCGGTCGGAAATTGGTCCTTGGCCGAGCAGCAAGCAGTGATATCGTGAACTTCGCACAGGATGTCGTGGTGGGTAGCTTTCGACGGGAGGAAATCCAGACGAGTTGCGAATGGGTGACAAAGACATTAGAAAGCGATTCCGATCTTTCGACTCTCCGAAACGTGGCGTTGAAGGGCGAGAAGCTATATCAGCGTACCAGGAACTCTGCTTCCTCAGAAAGTGCGAAGAGGTCGAAAGTAATTGTGTCGTCACCATCGTGGTCAGAACTGCACTCCTTGTTCAATGATGAAACAGATGACGTGGAAGTCGAAAGAGAGAAAATGCTCGCACGAGTAGGCGGGTTCCGACCTCAAGAATCGATCTTTGAGATTGGTGCTCGGCGTGGTGGGCGAAAGAATAACGAGGATGCGGTGGACGCAATACGAAAGATCCGATCGGGCTTTGAGTGTAGGAAACAGAAGATTGCAGATGTGGTTCAAGCACGGACAGAAGTTGATGATGACGCCCTCGCCCAAAATGGCAGTACGCACGGCCCAGTCGACGAAGACGCTGAGCCAGATTCCAATGATGACCGAAACGACATCGATGGTATGTCCGAAGCCTCTTTAACTGACCTGGAAATCACCTTCTCTCAACCATACTCAAAGAAATCTAAACCATCAAAATCATCGAAGGCCGGATTGCGCAACACGGATGAAGACTTTCGTGACCCTGAGAATTTCATGTCATACCACCCCACCACTCACGATCTTACTTCCGACCGCGCCTATGGCGTTCATTCTGGCTCTAACACCAATGCCAGCGCTAGCTTTGTGGAATCTGCACGTACAGCCACCATGGATCTCGGTGCGGATGAATCTTCTAAGACTTTTGGCGAGAATAGAGGGATTATGCGGTGGGATAAGAGGCATAAAAAGTACGTGCGACGTGATAATGATGAGGATGGATCGAAGACCGGCAAAAGGCTTGTAAAGGGCGAGTCTGGAGCCAAGATTGCGGCGAGTTTTAGAAGCGGGCGTTTTGAAAGGTGGATGAAGGCCAATCGAATGAGCAGGCTGGGGAGAATTGGTGAGGAGGAGAAAACCTTCAACATCAACACTGGCGGTTTAAGTGTTGGCGGTGCGAGGGGAAAGAAATTCCAGCATAGATCGCAGAAGACACCGAAACAGCCGGATAAGTTGAGAGGGGATTATGAGAAACAAGTGAAAAAGGTCAGGGGCGCGAAGGAGAGAGAAGAACAATCAGCTGGCAAGGCTAAAGGAGAGCTGAGAAACGTGGACCGGATAGTCAAGGAGAGGAGGTTGAAGGAGAAGAGAAGGGAGAAGAATGCACGGCCGCGGCGACGAAAGGTCTGAGGAATATCAAAATGGAAGTGGTGGTTGTGACTGAGCATGTGAGGCTCATAGATGATGGTAGCCCACAGCGTAGAGTTGGCATGTTGCTGAGCCGCTTTATTACGAGGCTGAGAAGCCAAGTAAAAGGATAAGGCTGACCGTGCTGTAGCTCTTGGCAGCTAGAAGCGAGAAATCAAACCGTCCCCGTTCCCGCCCTTTCTCATCTGTTTACGCCACGTAGGTAGGTACCTGCTTGGTATGCAGGAATGGTACGGGGGTACACCACCTTCTGATGTTACAGCAATCTGCACTAGCCGCAATAGGCGGTGGTTCTAGCTGATAATATTCTCTAAGACGGCGCGAGCAGTGCCCGCACGGAGTAATTCTGCAAACAACACCCTAGCAGTTAGCAACGGGCCAAAGCCAACAATTTCGTCGTACTGCGGCGCTACGTACCGCCACGAAGCGAGGAAGAATAGAGAAGAATCAGCCAGAAGAAGAAAAACTACTGTACGTCAAGCTATGAATCGCAAGCAGCGGCGGGCCAAGGAGACAGCAGGCAAAACGACCACAAGCGCGGATGACATCCCGCTCGCACAACCCGACAGGGCCACCACACCGACTGTGGGAGGACACGGCCGAGAGGGAAAGACGAAGACGCTGCTCGAAATCGCCGCCGAGCGACAAGCTCAACTAGGGGCTGGCGCGAAGGGCATTGACGCCCGCTCGATCAAGCCGGAGAACATGGTGCTGGTGAAGATCGGGAAGGGCGGAGAAATCATCCCGGAGGAGCCGGGCTCGTCGGGGGCCCTGTGGTCGCCATCATCAACACAACAGGAGCCCGAATATCCCTGGCTCGACACGTTGCTCCTCTCATCGTCACTCAGCGCCGTCCACTTCACCCTCTCGGTGCTCGCCATGCACCAGTACGCCGAACAGGTCCGGCTCCGGCCGTTGATCATGCAGACCGCCTTTGTCGCGTTCCCCACGCTCGCCGTCTTCATCGCCCTCTTTCGCGGGCACCTTCTCCCTGCATCGGTCGCGAATGTCCCTACCTCTGTGAAGAACGGGATTGTCCTTCTCCGCTCAGTGGTCTATTTGGCCACGGCGAACGTGGCGGGATGCTACTTGATCCAATTGACGAACGATAAGGGATACTACGCGGTCATGAAGGACGCGCCAGGAGTAGGCACCATCTGGGTCTGGGCGGTTCTGGAAATGGGACTGTTGGGTGCACTGGCTGGAGTGGTTGGGCCAGGGATTTATGCTTGGTGGTTTGGGTATGGGATTTGGTGATTAATATAGTAGAGGAGGGAGGGGGGAGGAGGAAAGCGATACGATTGATTCCAATCGTGGGTTCCAAAACCAAGTCTGGGTTCTGGCTACGAGACTAGGGTTTGTCACACTGATAGACATGTCCGTGTCGATGCCCCGGAGATGGCGGAGAAGCTGAGAAATGTTCCTCTCTTCGAGTGACCGAGACATGTGGAAAAGTTTGCCTTGGGCTGGTGGTACAAGGACAAGACCTGCCGCGGAAGCCCTTGAACCGTGCTCAAGGGAGCGCAGAAGGAGTCAGAGGGCGCGCGCCAAGGTTCTTCTAGAATCCACCTGGTAGGCTGGTTCGGAATCACGACATAATAGTCCTAGGTGATGGAAAATATGGACGACCTGCTGCCCCCAGAATTGCGCCGAATCCATGTATGGACTTCGGGCCGCCGCATTGCCCATTTGCGCGGGTCTGACTGGCGCCGGAGAAGCCCGACGGTACCGCTGGAGTGAAATATTGAAATTTTCTGTGTTCCAAAAAAGTGGTACGAACAAATAGTTGGGGACTCGCTGGCCCAAATAGAGCATCAGAGAAGGATTTTCCGGTGGATTCTATCGAGTAATAATGGAGTAATAACGGCGAAAAAACAGTGGTGACAGCAGAGTGAGATCCAGCGGAAGTCTGTGTCCGTCGACACGTGGGAAAAAATTTTCTGTAGCAAGGCGCGCCCACCGGACACAATGGCGACATGGTCTGAGTCAGTCCAGGAATGTCACCTTAGGGGGGATTCACCATCTGTTTCTGGCACCTCGCAATGGCTGTGTACGCATTCATCGAAACATGGGACACACAACCTCGCTCAGGTCCTGTCTCTTTCAAAAAGCCCACTTGAATGCTCCGTGTGATCCGCGCATTCCAGGCAAAGTTTGGGGATCGAAGCTTTGCGGCCAAGTCAAAGAGGGGGGTGATGTAAAGTCAGCGAAGGGAAACGAAAGAATCGATCAGGTTCTCGTCCAAGTTTGCGGGGTACAGCAAGAGTGGCGTTTTCTGGCTGCCATTATTGGATCCTTGCTGGTCTGGGAACTTGGACGCGATTTGCTTGGGACGATGGTGGGTTTGTTGGCGGACCTCGTACGATGTTTTGGTCCTGTACCTTGCCTGGAGGAAGTCAGCTGGGCCGTGATCACAAGGATAGCAACAAAGAAGTCGAGCTCCAGCGCTGGGATTGCGTGTCTACCGAGAGACAACGGCTCCAATCGGCGATGAAACTGCGCTGTTTGGCGGAACAAGTCTCCCAGAGAGAAGGGTGAGAAGTGTCGGCGGCTGTTGGTGATGTCAGCTTTGGCTCGTCCATCCATGATCTCTTGAAGAGGGCAAATGGTGAAATGATGCAGGCGGTGGGCCACAGTCGTACCAGCAGTGGCATGAGAAAAGAGGACGGTAGAGAGGAGTTGCAGTAGTTGCGGATGCTGAGTTGACTTTGCCCTGATCGAGTTTCCATTATTCATAGCCATCCTCTTTGGGTCTCCGAGCGCCCAACGCGGCTGAACATACAAAGACGGGCGCGCATGGCTCATGACTTGAAGGAAAAAAAATATTTCTCTCGCAGTCCTTCGTTCAATTCTTTCACCAGTTTCTTTCGCTCTCTCACCCCAGACACTTGAAGTGGTATATCACCAGATCGAGTCGGAAGATATCGAAGCCTGCGTCGAATATTCCATCGAGCCACCCTGCACATCCCCCGGACGTTTGGCGGCGACAAGACTTTTAGGGCAAGTCGCGCAGGCACATGTGCCTTTTGGTGCCTGTAGGTGTTTGGGTCTAGTTAAAAGGCACCCACTGAGCAACCACTCGACACCCACTGAAAGCTGGTTCTTCCCTCACTGTCGGCCGCCCCCCTCCCCCTCCCAGAGTGCCTAAACCACCTCGCTACCGCGTCCCCCACCTCCCCCGGTCTCGCCTATTCGCCAGTTCCTGCCCGCTGCGTCACCCAATTGCTTAGTACAACTATTTTTTTCGTGTCTTAGTAACAGCATCATGCCATCGCGCATTCAAATCCACCACGGCACCTCGACCTCCTCCCCACGACAGGCTCCCAGTACTGTCAACGACGTTGTCAATGCCCTTCACCGCAAGTTGACTGCAAACCACCTCGAAATCTCCTCCAACCCACCTTCAAGAAGACCCTCTTTCTCCATGGATTCGCTACTCCATCCCAAGAAAGACAAGAAGCATGATGAAGCCAAAGATGGCGACTCGCGAAATCAGAAGCGTCTGTCGCTGGCCGGCCGCCATGCCAGCAAATCCAAAGACAGAGTATCCAGTCACTCTCCAAGAGTCGTGGCCGCTCAGCCGGGCCGATTTGAAATGGTCATAGAGTCACCTCCTCTGGTGCTGTATGGCACTCCTACCACCTCCACTGGTGCATTGCTCTCGGGTCGGCTGAAGTTGCTCATCGACGATCCGACCCGTGAGGTCCGTCTGGAGAAGTTTACCATGGTGCTACGGGCGACCATCATTACCAAGAAGCCTGTGGGCAAAGACTGCAAAGATTGTAGTGAGAAAATCGACGATATCAAGAAGTGGGAGTTTCTCTCCGAGCCAAAGACCTTTTATGCAGACGAAGACAACCAATTCCCTTACTCGTATCTTTTCCCCGGTCATCTGCCTGCCTCCACACAGTCCCAGCTGGCCGCAATCCAGTACTCACTTGTGGCTACGGCAACGACTTCTCACGGCGAGAAGATTGTCCTGAGTCATCCACTCACACTTCAGCGAGCGATCCAGCCCGGCCCTGACAAGTCAAGCATCCGGATCTTCCCCCCGACCAATCTCACTGGTCGCGTTCAGCTACCTCCCATCGTCCATCCCATTGGTGTCTTCCCAGTCACCATGTCGATGAGCGGCGTTGTCGAGAAACGAGCCGAAAGTCAGGTTCGATGGCGGTTGAGGAAGATGGCTTGGCGGATTGAAGAGCACTCCAAGGTCATCTCAACCCCGTGCGCCAAGCACGCTCACAAGGTCAGCGAAGGGAAATCAATTTTACATTCGGAGACAAGAGTGCTGGGGAATGACGAGTTGAAAGGCGGCTGGAAGACTGATTTCGACACTATTGGAGGGGAGATCAACATGGAGTTCGAAGCGTCTCTGGCCACCAAATCGCATCACAAGGCCAGCTGTGACGTCGAGTCGGCCACAGGGATTGAAGTCAAGCACAACCTGGTACTTGAATTGATCGTCGCCGAAGAATTTTGCCCGAACAAGAATCCCTCCTTGGTCACTCCTACCGGCGCCGCGCGTGTGTTAAGAATGCAGTTCGGCTTGGTTGTCACCGAGCGTGCAGGCATGGGCATCAGCTGGGACGAAGAAATGCCGCCTGTCTACGAAGATGTTCCTCCAAGTCCACCCGGCTATGGCAGTTCCGATAGAAACGACGGAGCATGGGGCGGCGCTGTTATGGAAGACTACGACGGCCCGGAGTTGGAATATGAAGACCTCGAAACAATGCACAGTCATAATCCCCATGCGCCGCCATCACCGCGGACCAGTAACACGGGCCCCCCCATGCGCGATCGACCCCACAATATGATGAGAGATAGTTCCAGCGGCGAGGGACCGTCGAGGCGACTCAGTCCTGTGAGACGACCGCTGGCGGGGTTGACGAATGATGAGTTGGGTGCGGAACCACCTCAGTATGCGCTGCGACCAACAGGCGAGGCTCAGGATCAGCAAAACAATGATCCGGTCGATGATTACGGGGAAGGGACTTCGTCGAATGCGCATCGGGGATAAAAAAGAGTTTGACAGGAACTGGGACAGCAGCGAGTAGATCTCGCCCTACGATCTATCATTATTGATTCACCGGAGTGCTACACACTTCGGCTCTGACGATACGAATTGGAACGAAACGAAACGAAACGAACATTTTTCATTCTCGTCACTTTTGCCGAAACGCTTTACGGGGCACAGCTTATAGGCGGCTGCTTGTTTCTGGACCTTTTTTTTTTCGATACGCAGAAAGCATTGATGATACCCAGCATGATTCAACAGCGACAGCGAGCGTTTTTTGATTGAAGGGACAAGCGGACCCGGAACATTGCAGCGAGCGTGCATGTGTGGTATGATCCAGTGATCAAAATTATGGGTGTAATGGGGTTTCATTGCGGTTTCTCTACTCTTGTCGTTCTATAAGGATAAGTTGCAAGGCTGCAGCAGCGGCAGCAGGAGCACCTGACTACCTAGGATGCGCTTTGCCTCTTTTGCCCCTCCCCTTTACATCATTGCCGGATGCTTATATAATATGGCTTTTAACGGCTTCTCGCCACAAGGAACGCGGCTGTGGGGCCGCGAGGTTGCATCGCTTTTTTTCTTATGACGTCCAGCGACAGGAAAAGATCGACCTGGACGATTTGCTCGAGCGGAATAGAGCGTTATAATACAGTATGACGAAAAACAGACTTTGGATCACTTCTCCCACTCTCCTGGAATTTCGTCTGCCTCTGAAGGCTCCAGGGTTCGGTTCGTTTCTCCTGAATGATTTGCCGCTTTGGTATCTCTGGTATCCTTCGCGATTGTAATATATGTAGATCAAGGGGGGAAAAAAAAACTTGAAAACAGAAATTATAAAACGGCGGACATTGCGCGATACGGAGGGGGAGAATGTTTTGCGAGCCGGAACTTTCCCCGGTCGATCAATGGATGCGATGAATATCCAGGATGCCTCAAGCTCCTCCCGTCTTAGGTACTCTGTACTTAGCGAGTTAATAGGTAGCGATGGAGATGTTAGTTGCTGCACTGTACTATAACTAATACATAGATATGATACGTGAGGAGGAGGAGGAGGAGGAGGATGCTACTGCAATGTCACTCTGTAATGATGATGAACTCGAACTTGAATTTGAACTTGAAGTAGTGCTGCATTACTGTCGTCATTGCTGCTCCTGGCCTGTCTCTGTCTCCTTGTCGGCGCCGTCGCTGTCACCGTCAACCGTCCCAAGCAAGCTAGATAGATGATACTTCCGAGGCTAAAGACGCCTAGGGACTATAGGTAGTCGCTAAATTGTTCATGTGGCATCCTATAGATAAGCATCGGCATGTAAATAGCACATTGTTCACCCGCGCAGGTGTAGATTATTTGTCCATTACATCCCTTGCACAACGAGCAGGCTCATTCATCCACGTCTCTAGGATCGTGTTTTGACCACCACTCGTCATACTCCTCAGGCGTCATGGTCTGGAACTCGGTCGGCCGGGTAATGGGGACCAGCGACTCGCCTCTCTTGGCAAAATCCTCGATCCTCTTCCTCGTCTGCTCCCGGCTCTTGTTGACGCTGTAGATCTTGACCCGGTGGCACGACGACGTCACATGGAGACCCCAATTCCACGAGTTCCGCACCTCGAGGGGCTGCGTGTTGAGGCTGTTGTCCCAGCAGCGCACCACGATCTCGATCCATCCCTCGACATCGCAGGGTAGGTCGTATTCCCAGGTACGCCACGCCCATTTGTGTTTGGTGGAGAGGTTTTCGTTGGGCACCGAATACCACGAGAAGCCGCCGTCGGCAGAGAGCTCAACCCGCTCAGGCCAGCGACCGCCGCCCGAGTAGGCCCAGCCCTTGCATGCAATCTTGCCTTCGTGCACCACCACCTGCTTGGCCCAGGGTGACATGATGGCGCTGGAGACGGGCATTTCTTGGATCTGGATCCCCATCACCGGCAGCTGGTTATGCTTGCCCACCTGCTGGTTGAAGTACAGGTACTCTTTGCTCTGCACCGGGGCATGGGTGGGGTGGGGAAGCGCCCGAATGCGGTACACCCATTTCACGGAGCGGGCCCCAATGTAGCCCATGACAACCAGGCGGACAGGATATCCGTGGATCTTGGGGAGTGGCTCACCGTTCATTTCCCAGGCGAGCATGACCTCGTTGGCCTTGACTTTAGACCAGGGCACGCTGACCAGGTAATTCATCACCTCGTTCTGCTTGAAGTAGGTGTCCGCCCCGTGGAACTCGAGGTGCTTGCCGCCCTCGGCCATGCCGCCACACTGCTTGATGACCTTTTTGAGCGAGACGCCCACATAGCGAGCGGTGCCGATTGCTCCTTCCGCCCAGGGTGCATTGATCATCTCGTCACCTTCGCCTGCATACATCTGAATCTGTTCGATACGACGCGTGCCGCTGCATTGAATAGTCACGAGTTTCTCCATGCGCGGGAAGATTTCTTCGTTCTGCAAGTCCTTCAACGTAAAAGTACGGGGATGCTTGACCAGACCGTCGAGTCGGAGCTCCCACGCGTCCGCATCAATATCGGGAATTCCCCCGTGGTTTCTGATGAAATGCAAGGGGTTTGGAGTGATGGGTTTGGCGGTGACCAGACGTTTAGGGGGTTCGCCGTTGTAGGGGAACTGCAAGAGGTGGAGCATTTCCGGGTGCTTCTCTTGGATGACTCGAAGCCAAGATTCTTCAGGGACCGCGGTCAGGGGCCCTCCAATGGCCTTGTGCCACTGTTTCCAGCGGACACCTTCCAGAACAGGATTCGTGTCGGGAATATGACCGAGCTGGAACTCCGGTGGATGGGGGAATTTGTGCGTGATCATGATCTTGTGCGCAATCGCCTTCTTTTCGGGATACTGTTCCCATTCGATATAGCTGGTGCCTCGTGTTAGTAGAGCAGATTGTGGGGCAGAAATTGGGCTCCAGGTATCTCACCCGCGCCATCCTTCGCGTTCTTCGGCAAATACCACATTTGGATCGATATCTTCTTTATCAAGGTACTCTCGAGCCTGCTCAACCTCCTTGATGACTTCTTCATCGAGTGCTACCTCTTCGATATATCGGCCCACTTGGAGAGTCTGGTCGCGGATGGGCAGCTCGGCGGCCGCGAGACCCTGCTCGAGCTTCCACTCGTCTTCCGGCTGGAGACAGATCATGGTCAGTTCTGATATATCCTCTTCGGATGTGAAAGACGGAGAAGCTCAACCTGGATGGGATGTTGCGGCTCTCTTGCCCGAACGTCGGTGTGCATTCTGGCGGAGGGGAAATTGCGGGTAATTTCTAGATTTCAGACGTTGCCACCGCAAGGGAGATTGTATGTCGTAATAACGGTGCTCGACCGTGGAATAGGTATGAGAGAGGGACTACAAACTTGAAACCAGGAAGAACGTTGAGTAGAAAAAGTGAGAAGAAAAACGAGCGGAGCGGCTGGGGCAAAACTTATCAGTCAGTCAGTTGGACAGGCGGACAACTGGTCACCCTCGGCTTCGGGGCGACAGCCTCATATATGGTATTCAGCAGCGAGCCTCAGCGACCATGTAGGGTGCTGCGTGGTGAAGTTTTTACCCATTGGCAGCTCTTCCACTCCCGTCCTCATTGGGGAGGTCATGGCCTGGGTCTTCCGCTATCTCATCCACCTATCAGCTCAGCGGATCGAAACTTGTCCTGCAGCATGCCCGATGGTTTTTGACATCATCCCGGGAGGGGGGGAGTTTCAACAACTTGGACCACTCAGCAAACCATTTGCCGAACACGAGCCCTGACGCAGAGTTTGTATTCCACTGAGGGCCTTGCTGACGGAGTAGCTCCAGAGCCTACCTAGAGATCGAAGGGCCAGGGCGAAGCGGACGAAGAAACCGGAGGGGCGTATGCAAGGCTAAAACGAAACCTGGAAACTGGCAACGAGGTCGAGGAAGGAGGAGGAGGAGAGGGCGCGAGGGCGAGAGGAATGGCATTCTATCGTCGGTGTCTGGTACATATTCCCGGATAAAGTCATGGAGCGCGATCGCGCGAGATTCCAATGAAGCTAGGCTGAACAAAGGAAATTAGTTCCTCGGTCTGACAGGCGGCGGTTTCTCTCTACTCTATAGGTTCCGAGGCCCGATGCTAGCAGGGAACAGCAGGTATTTTGATGGTCAGACTGAATGTCATTTGATTTTCATTTACCCCCTTTTGCCCCTTTGGCACGGGCTCGAAGCTCGCACGAGGCTCAACTATTTTCCACTTCCGGCTCCCACCTTCAGCTTCACTTTCGGCTTCTCTCTGGCAACGCAATGGCGCCTATCAACTACAGTACTTACTACAACTCGATCTAAATCTCTACAAGCTCCCATATTACCGTGCCTCGTGTCCCCTATTCCGATCTCGATCTCGATCTCGATCTCAATCTCAATCTCAATCTCGAAACCCCCCCCCCCACACACACACACCAATCCTGCGCCTTTAACTCATCCCGGCTCACAACTTACAAATCCTGCATAAAACCCGTTTAGGAAAATCTACTAAGCAACTTGTATCGTGGAATGTTGCCATCTGCGGACCAACATCACCTAACTAGTTTGACCCGAACTGGAATGAAAATTCAGTGACAGTCTGACACTTGTGTTGAACCAAGAGGGAAGACCTGCGCGACGATCAGGTGGCCGCTGCTCCGAGTAAGAGGTAATCAATGCCGAGCATAAACGAAGACATAGGCAGTCTCTGCCGTCAAAAGAAAGATAACCTAGGTTGCCTACATAACAACGAATAGATATCTTTGGGCTGCCTGGACCCTGAACAAACCACCTATCCGCCGTTAACAGAAGGACTCTCAAGAAAACCAAATGACACAATGCTCATGTTTCAAATCAAGCCCAACTTCTTGACAGCGTCCCAGGTGTCCTCGACCGTCTTCTGGAACGGCGTAAACCCTAATTTCAGCATCTCCTCCGCCCTGCTCCTGTCGATGCTGAAATGCCTGCCGGGCACGCAATGCGCCCCTTCTTCTTCTAATCCCTTCTCTCCTTTTGCCCTCAATCCGGCGAGGCCGTCTTCAAAGTAGTCGACTCCGCCGCAGAGGAGGAACCTCTCGCTCACGCCCTTCTCTAACTGCAGACTCCTCAAGTGCGCCTCGGCCACATTTCTGACATCCACCCATGCAGGCAACCCCGAGGTTGCAACCTGGGGCGCAAAGTTTGGATCCTTGCCTTGAACGGAGGTAACGAGCCTCTTGAGACTGGTATTCAACCCTTCCACCCCCTTCGCAACATCCACCTCTTGAATTGGTGGGCCATACACCATTGGCGGACAGAACGTGACCAGGTCCCAGCTGATGTCCCCTTTCTCCTTTGCACTTCGCCAGATGTCCCACGCGGCGCGCTCGGCAAATGTCTTGGAAGCGTGGTAGCCGTAATATCCATCCCTGGCCGCTTCTTCCATCGTGACCGGATCCCAGTCGTCAGAGGTATACACATATCCCGGCCGCGGGTTTTTGGAAAGATCGACCACGCTCGCGAAGGAGCTGATGATGGTCATTCTCTTCAGTGTCTTCGACTTCAACGCCGACGACATGACATTCCGTGTACCGTTCACGGCCGGCTCCACCAGCTCTTTGATCGGGTCGTTTGACGAGATGAAATAGGGACTCGCGACGTGACAGATATAATCCACCCCGTCAACAGCCTGGTCCAGCGCACCAGGGGCTTGAATGTCTGGCACTTCGACAAAGGTGAGGTCTCCAGATTTGGTGGCTTCGGGGTATTTTTGTGCGAGAAAGGTGGATTTGGACAGAGAGCGTAGGGTGCCTCGCACACGGTAGTCCTGGGCGATGAGCGTTGAGAGAACGTGAGCTCCCACATAGCCGTTGAGCCCCGTCAAGAGGACGAAAGGCTTAAGACTCGACATCTTGTGCTAGGTATTCGAAAAGGCTTTTGGATGGTGAAGCGGGTTGTTGGCGACGGTGGTCGATGTCTCGAGACCGCCGAGAGAGCGTCTTCCTCCCTTCTTATAGCATAACAAGATGTTTGAGATTCTTCCATCTTGATATGATGCGTAAGCAAAAGCCTCCTTCAGGGTCACAGTTTGCTGGAATCAGCCTTTCGATTCGGCGAGCCTGTTGAATGGTCTCCAACAACCTGCCGCGGCAACCCACCCGTGATGGGTGTTAAGAAACAGGATCCCCATTTTCTTCCTGGGACTTCGCGTTACCCATCATGCTCACGGTTGCTGACCAAATCATGGTGTACCTGCATTAGCCAAGCCGTGCCACTTGTCAGACCGGAGTCAAGTTCGAAGGAGACAGGGCTTCTCAGTGGAGAGCGTGAGGATGACGTCATATTTATCTCCCATTTCTTCTGTCTTTCTCCCCGCTTCCCACAGCTCGCCAGCCAGCACCAGCCAGCACCAGCCAGCGCCAGCCAGCACGCCGTTCTTCTACCAAGGCCTTGCGCCGGAATCCTCAGTCCATTTCCGGCCTTTTTGCAGACCCAAATACTTGTCTGCTCAGTAGTCGTCTATTGAGCGTCACCTGCCCGGTCCAGCGAATGGATCCTTTCGTTGCTACAGACAATGTAATGTGCACCAAACCCCAGTTGGAAAGATAGCGCGATCCAACCAGCAGTGCTACTGTGCGAGCAGCGAAGCGGCTGTTGTGAGGACCTTCGTGGAAACCCTCATTCCCTATCGCTCGGCTGCTGCACGTTGCCGTCGCCTCGGGTTCCAGTATGTAAGAGACAATGCTGTTTTGGGTGAGGCTCCACCAGTCTTGACCGGTTTGCCTCCTCGCGCCCGCGGCTTTATGACTACACATGCATACAAGCATATTCCCATGTCGACGCCATGCTTGGGACGAGCGCCTCTTCCAAGATCTCATGGGCCTTAATTCCACTAACCCAGCAGCATTTCCAGCTCTTCGATCCGTCTCTGCTTCCTCTCCTCTTCGCTCTCTCCCGCCCCCGACTGGCCGACGCCTAGGCTTCCGGCAACCGCCATCTTCCTTTCTTGCACGCGCAGCATCCTTCCTTCAATGCTCTCCTTCGTCACAAACCTAATTACCTCGACTTTCTGCGTCTGTCCCATACGGTGTACTCGATCAATCGCCTGTGCCTCCACGGCAAAACTCCACCAGGGGTCCATCATGTAGCACCGACTTGCCGCTGTGAGGTTTAACCCCACCCCGCCAGCCCTGAGAGAAAGCAGCAAGATGCGAGGCGCTTTCGGGTCGGACGTGTTCTCCGCGTTGAATGCCCGAATGACCTGTGCTCGGGCCTTCTGTGACATGGTGCCATCGAACCGAAGGTGCGAAAAGCCGTGTGTGGTAAGTTGCGGTGCGATAAGATCGAGAAAAGATGTGAACTGCGAGAACACCACGGATTTGGTAGCTCGCGGCAAGGCGGATAGGTGCTTCAGCAATGCTGCTATCTTTGCTGACGTCGACGCAGTCGGTGAGTACGGGTGTATCCGTCGTAACGAGATTCTGGTAGGTTTCGTAACGCCATCATCCGCAGAATACATGTCCCCCTCCGAATCAGAAGATGCAGAAGGGCTGTTGTGCCTAACAACTTCAAAGACATCTCTCGGGTTGATGGCTTCTCTGCATGAAAAGCAGCGAGGAATTTCCCCCTTGTCCGTCTGGACCACAATCGATTTCTCCAGACACTCCTTGCAGGCGCTATGCCAACAAGTGGTAACGGCAGGGTTGACCATTGGCTCTTCGTAACACAATGGACACTCGCCACTCGAATCCTCTTGGATTTGGCGCAATGCATTGGTGGTGAATGTGGTAATAGGGTCCTTCGAAGCCGGGTTTTCCTTTTCTGCGAGGTCGCTGTCTTTGGTGAACCGGTCTATGAGTTCTTGCAGATCCATGTCGTCGGCGAACCCATTGTCATCAGCTGCAGCTGCAACGGCAGCGTCTTCTTCATCTGCCACAATCTCCTTGTTACGGGTCAGGACAGGATGACAGCAAGACTGCCGTAAGCGCAGGATCTGCGCAAAAATTGTCGTGTATGACTTCAAGAGAGTACCAGCAGCGACGGATTCATTAAAAGCGCGCTTAGCCCGCGTAAAAATCAGATCGTAAACTTCGCGTTCTGTCTTTGAGAGCTCGACTTCTTCGACTATGACAGACTTCGGAGGAAGCGGCACGAGCGCTCCGCCTTCGGGGGTTTTCATGTCTTTCGTCCTTCTCAACACCAGAGGCTCCAGGACAGTCTGAACCACGTTGAGGGCTCGCGCAATCTCCTTTGACTCAAAAGGCACCGTAATGAACGTTTTCCAGAACGAGAAGTTGCTCCACGGCTCGACTTTCAGGAATCTGACCAAGCTGAATAAGTCTTCTAAACGATTGACGATGGGTGTTCCGGTCAAGACCCATCTATGTTTCGCTTTGATCTCATAACACGCCTTGGACGTCTTTGCCTGCCTGTTTTTAATGGTGTGGGCCTCGTCAAGAATAACCCGATGAAAATCCACGGAGAACAGGCCGCCCTGAGATGCACGATCGCCTCCAGCAGCTGATACTTGTCCGAATTCAGAGAGAACGGTGCCGTAACTTGTGATGATGACGTTGGGAGCAGAGGTGGCATTCGTGACGGAGCACAAGGTCTGTAGATTGACCGATTTCTCGCTGCCATAGTAGACCATAGTTCTCAAAGAGCCGGGCTCCGAACATTTGGCAGCTTCGCTCTCCCACTGTGCCAACAGGGACATGGGTGCCACGACCAACGTCGTACATGGTGCTGGTTCGACCGACGTTGAAGATTGAGGCAGTCTAGGAAGATGATTGACGGATGTCATGGCCTGGGGGGCGGCTTCCAGATCGATTTGTGAGCGGTGGGAATGAATCAAGCTGTAGATTTCGATGGTCTTGCCTAGGCCCATTTCATCGGCCAAAATACCTCCCAGACAGTTTTGTTCTTGGACAGGGAAGTCTAGACTGATTTCTCCAGAGTAGAGATTGACATAAAACTTGTCTTGTCCTTCAATAATAGGAAGTACTTCGTCATTTGCGTCCTTCGTGGGCCAGGTATATTCTTCCCATAGCGGGTGCATAGACTGTTGCTTGTCGGGCTTTTCATCTCGTTCTTTGCCAATCATCCAATGCAGGGCTTGTTTTTGATATTTTCGTAGTTCCAATCGGAAAGTTGAGGCCGGCTCGGCTTCAGGCGTATTGAAGTCAAACGACTGCGCCTTCCGGTAGAGTGTATCTAGTTGGTCTTCTTCCAGCTCTTCACCCTCCTCTTCTTCAGAGAAGGGTGTCGATATGCCGGATTTGCCCTTGGCTTCCTTGTCTTTGTCGTATTGTTCCGCCATTTCAGCAGCTCTTAGTAGACCTTGCTTCCTGTGCTTGGTGGTCGTCTCACTTGTTGTTGTTGGATTGAGGCTAACTTCCTCAAAGAGTTTGACTAGAGCCACTTGTCGTAGTCGAAGGTCCTTCTCTTCGCTGCTCTCTTTCTCTTCAAAGAAGCCTGTCGCGCGGTTGTCATCTTTTGGTTTCACAAAGACGTTTGCCTCAAAGGCTGTCTTGAGGAGGTATGCACGAAGCTGCAGGTAGATTGTGTCGTTGACTCGGACACGGTCGGGTGCAAAAACGCAGGTCCCCTCGAAGCGGCAGATCTTCTGGTCCAGCAAAGATGACACCCAAGAGGCCGTCTCCTCAGGAAGACGGCCAAGTTCCTCGCCCCTTGTGTTTGTAAAGCGTGTGATCACATCTCCCTTTTGATTCCTGCCTACCACTGGTACTAGTTTGCCGCTTCTCCCAATTTTCGTCTTTGGAGAGATTTTTGATCGTTCTATCCGCACTGGTTCACCATGAGCCAAGAGTCCTGTACCACTTTTTGTCATCCAGGCCGCCACGCCAAATGATCCAACATATCGTTCAGCGGGCATCGAATCCAGGGTAACCGTCTTCGATGCTGCGGCTTTTAGGCTTGCTTGTGGTGGCTCGGCGGGAGTCCTGCTGAAGGCAGCAGGTGTGCTCAGCCATGAACTTACACCCCTTGAAGGAAGCGATGTCCTCGTCTGGGATACTGCAGCATTTTTCCACGATCCATCAAAGTACATGTTAATTGCTCGCTCGAGGTTACCATTGGAAGCAGCCTCCACCCTTTCCACGACATCTTGAGAGACGTCTTCTCCAACAAATGCGCGAAATAGGTCAATGTCGAAGGCTTGAGGCTTCTCATCGTCATGTGGGCTTTGGGAATCGGCTCGGTTCACTGGACAGGACTCGTGGTCAGGGCCGGCAGACGAGGTGGCGGAAGTTGGTCTGCTAGACGCATTTACAGACGAGGAGACATGGTCGCGAGGATCTTCAGGATCGTCAACGAAAAAGCGTCGCTTCTTTTTGGGACGCACGTCGACGTCCATGGGAGCGGCGAGTATCTCGCGGTCAGTGATCGAGGGAAAGACCTTGTTGAAATGAACGCGTTAATTGATTGAACGCGTTCACACGTGACGTGGTTCCGGGGGTTCACGTCATTAACAACCCAATTTCTTTCTCTAGAAGCTTGAACACTCAGATCGGGCTTCGGGCCAGTATACAGACTATTTACTTTTTCATGGTGAAGCCTTGGAACATGGAAGCAGAATGCTACCCCTAACTTTCTCGCTCGTGAACGTGGGTGTTGCGCAAGCCTAAGCAGTTGATGCGAGAAGACTGGAGAGTGGTAGGAAAACAAAACAAACCGTCAAGATGTCTCTTGTGAGAGAACAAGGCCGAGGGCTATCGTCAACGCGACAATTAGCTCGAGGAGTCCTTGGCCCGAAGCACCGCGCTTTCACAGCAAGTACAAGGGCGTCACTTTCTCTTGATCGAGACTCGCCAGATGTGAAGAAAGCGCAAGGCTACTGCTCAAATCTCGTTCGGTAAGGTGAAACACTGTCTGCAGTCTGGGGTTTGCTTCTCACTGAGTGACCAGAAACTATGACTCGCCCTCATACACTCTGGCCCATTTTGTCCGACCGCATGTGCTTCCAGCATATCTCGCTATCCGCGCCTTCAACATTGAGCTGGCCAGGATACCCGACGTGGTGTCAATGCCACAGATCGGTGCCATGAGAATGCAATTCTGGCGGGAAACCATCGACAAGACTTTCAATCTCGCTCCTCCATTAGAACCTGTTGCCATTCTGCTGGCTTCATATCTAAACCAAGGGTATAAACTCAACAAAACTTGGTTCCATCGCATCATTACAGCCAGAGATCGGAAACTGACGCATCCCACCTTCACGAACATGGCTGAGCTCGAGTCCTATGCTGAATCGACCTATTCCACGCTTCTTTATCTAACATTATCAGCGCTTCCTTTGAACTCTCTGACTATGGATCATTTGGCTTCCCACATCGGGAAAGCGGCCGGGATAGCAGCTGTGCTTCGTGGAGTGCCATTGCTCGCCTTTCCACCTCCTCCCACCCTACATTCTAGCACTTCGCCTGGTATGAGGGCCGCTCCTACCCGAGAACGGCAGGGTATCATCACACTTCCCTTAGATGCTATGTCTCAGTGTAGCGTCAGAGAAGAAGATATCTTCCGAAATGGCGCAAACGCTGCGGGCATCTGTGATGCCGTTTTCATGGTCGCCACCCGTGCTTCTGACCATCTCATAACCGCTCGGTCCATGCTCAGAAGTGTCCGAGAGAATCAGGATCCTGGCCACGAGTTCGAGCACATGCACGATGAGGGCCATCAGTACAGCAAGTATGACACTGGTGTCAGGATCTCCACCGACAAGAGCAAAGAAGAGCTCGACAACGGTTTCGGTATTGTGATGGGCCCTGCCATCAGCACTCAGTTGTGGCTCGATCGTCTGCAGAAAGTAGACTTTGATATCTTTCATGAAAGTCTCCGAAGAGTTGAATGGAAGCTGCCTTTTGTTGCATGGCTGCGCAATAGGAGTGGCAAGCTGTGAATTTCTGGGCCCGAATGCATCTCACGGAGTCTTAAGGGCTTCTATTCGAGCATTCACCCTTGCTTCTTGCAACTGAGTCAAGGCATTTGCATCGACGGTGTTTCTTCGACTTCTGCTCAGGGCCATGGCATCTCCCTTTTTGCCGACAATCGCTTCGATGGCTCCGGTCAGGGCTTGTGGATCGTAGAACATTTCGCCCTTGGAACTCTTGCGACCATACAACTTCAGACAGTCGATTCCAAGAGAAGCAAGATGGTTTCGATCGACACGTGGAGTACCTTCACCAGTCAAGTGAATTACGTGCGTCACATATTTACGGTAAATCGAGTCTCGAGCAGTATCATGAGAATGGTGGTTTGTCGCCGGGAAAAGGAATTCGCCGTGTCGAACAGCTGCAGGAGATGATGGCGCCGATGACTTCAATGTGTCATCTGATCGTGAAGTGTGAAGCTTGGGTCTCCATAAACATCCCTGGGACTGTTCACAAGCGCGAGCGATTGCCTCCACAAAGTCAAACGCAGAAAAGGGATTTGAACTTGGGCCAGTCTCACGATCTAAAGAGCCATTCAGGATGAGAATCTTGTGGCGGGCAGGAGTCGTGCGTAAGGCCTCTCCGACGCCTTTAAGGACAATGGAAGGAATGATAGATGTGTATAGGGAACCGATAGAGTATATGACAACCTGGGATTGCTTGATCGCCGAGATCACTCGTGGATTGGCCGGGGGAAGCATTTCTTGTCCGTAGGGATTGATGTACCATATTCGCTCGATTCGAGCCAGGAGGTCTTGGTCGAGATCTTTGCTGAATTTGATATTTCGCTGTCTGAGCGTCGGAAGTGTCCCTGGCAAATGAGCGTCCTCGATGTCCTCAGAGTGGTCGACACTGTGACGGACACGGAACTCGGCCGGTTTAGTTGATGGAGATACTGTGGGCATTTCCAGCGCGGTCTTGGCCGCAGGATGCGAGATGTTGTTCTGCCCAACGATAATCTCGCCATTCGCCAGTCCGGCCGCAATATGGTGGGAGAAGTTGGAATTGATGCTCGGGATGACTCGCACCTCTCCGTCAGGGATGGCACATATGCTGCTCAACAAGTAGATTGCAGATTCGAAGCTGCCGCTGAAGAGTCGTGCACCGGTCAAGAACAGATTCCCAACACTCGCCGACGTGAAGTCGAACGTCGAAGAAGGTCTTGCTCGCTTCATGATCTCCAGATTCAGGAGATTGAGAAACGAGCGGATCAGCTCTTTCTTCGCCGAGGGGATGCCGTTCCAAAGCTCAGACGTGCCCCAGACTATGCTCTGCCATTGATTCGCCGCATCCGTTGAGGAAGACGACGACAACCGGTGATTAAACAAGTTGGAGATGGCCGACCTCTCGGTCGAAGGCGGATCGGTGGGAATCAACCTGACCAGTCGACTGCGCACGTCCCCGATTCCCGGTCCCCCAAAGACACGTATCAGCTCGGACGAGGAACCGCCGTTATCGCTTATAGGGATGATGTAGGATAGAGGGCAGTTTTTGGTTTCGCGGACGGCTTCGAAGACGTCGACAAGAGAGTTGGCGGCGCTACCGCCGGAGAAGACAACGATGCCCCTGGCGCTGAGCATGGTAGTACCGGCGTAGAATTTTGAGCAACGGAGGCGTTGCAGTACATCGGCTTTAAAGGGTCCCTGATATTGTTGGCGCAGGCAAGGCTACTATGGATTGATTGATATCAGGTATGAACACTGTGTCCAGGATATCTTTGTGAGGCGGGTGACTCAGCCTTGCGATAGCTCGTATCCATTGTGCGGAACGGCTGGTTCGGGAAATGCAGCCGCCCGGAAGACAGTAAATCCGCCCCCACCCCCTGATACAATTTCAATGCTATCAATAGCAAGATGGGTGTTACAAACTCATCTGTTAGGGAGTTGGAATCGAAAAATCTCTCCATCAGGAGAGTTGGCCTTTCTTTGACAAAGTGTGATCCATTGGGATCTCAAGTTGACATGTGGCACAGGTAAGGGTAGGGGACAAGGGGAAAGAAGAGGGAGTCCCACCCACTGCCAGTTGAACGTCATTGTTCCTGAAACGTGCCCTTCTCGTCCAAGTATTCCCCGCCGATAGCAGGCCAGACTCACCCATTGGATGCTCTGGGGCTTGCCTCGCCCCTAAGGGGCAGCTAAGGGCACCTCTGTTGCCAAAATGGTTGGATTTTTAGGGGCGATCTAGGTATACTTAGTGACCCTAGAGAGCCTACCATTGGCGCCAATGGCATCTTGCCTTGGTTAAGCTTCTCTCCTAATATGTACAGTAGGTGGTTTTAGGTGCTCTGAGGTGCCCCAAGTGCCCCTCGCTCCCGATTCTGGTGCTTCTGCATCCTTGTCGCGTCATGGGAATTTGATTTCTGGGAGCGCATTTCTGTTCAGTTGATCCTTCAGCTCCCACACATCATGTAGCCGACATCCCCCTATTGATCTCAGCTTTTGGTCTCTGCCTCTCTTGACGATGCCGCATACTGCTCTCGCGGCCTGCTAAATGTCCCGCGCACTGATTCAGGGACCTTCTATCCTTACCTCAAAATGGTGACCCATCCCGCCCATATCGTGGCCTCGTCGAAGCGCACATCCCTCGAGTCTACAGGTGAATCTGAAGCTTCCTTGACCCGCCACGCTCGAGAGCATGGCCACCGTGGGCATCGTGAGGAGGACCTAGAAGCCCAGAACTCGGTTGTCATTGAAAGTCTTCACCCTCATATCCGCATCCGGGAGAGTACGGAACACAATCACAATCACCATGAAGGAGACGCGGGACCGCACTCGCCGAACCTTCATCGCAGCGAAACCGGTGCTTCGATAAAGTCACTGCGGAGGAGAGGGCGGCAAGAAACCGCCAATGTCATATATGGAGCGGGGGAAATGGGCAGAACAACGGGTTGGACACCAGGGCAAGAGCCAGGAATAGACACGAGCGACCCAGCTCCTCCCTACAGCTTGGGTGCTGCAACGCCTGCAGATGCTGCGCATCTGGAGGAAGAGCTGAATCAACGGTGTGAAATTACAGTGGTAGACTTCAGCGACGAGCTCGTCTCCACGACGGATCTGGACAATGACAACCTCGAAGAATTTCTTCAGAAAGGTCCCCAGGAGTGGGCCGACGTCCGGTGGATCAATGTCAATGGCCTCTCTTGGGACGTGATTCGGATACTGGGGAACCACAAACGCCTCCACCGGCTTGCCATTGAGGATTTATTCAACACCAAGAATCGGACAAAGGTCGATTGGTACAGTGACCACACCTACATGATCCTTCCCCTACAAAAGCTTATCTACCTCGAAGAGAATGAGTCCGACTATGGGTCTGATGCCGATGATCACGACGACTCCAAGTCTGCTGATGCTGAGTCCGAATTTCGGACCAGGATCATTTCAGAACGCCAGAGAAGACGCCGGCAGCGGAAACGGAGAAAAGGCGCCATCCTCTCTCTGATTGAGGATCTGCGAAGACCTTTGCATAAGCGGAATAAGAAGAAGCAGCCGCCCGGACATCCAGACATCATAGGTGACGGCCTCCAACCCTCCAACAGCTTCAGACATTCGAGCAAAGTGGAAACACCATGGGCGCCTAGGGAAATCCGCACTATGCAGCGCTACCACGCAGGGCCAAATCAAGACCGCATTGAATACATGGAGCGCCACGCCGTACTTGCGCACTTTGGTATCGGTGTCTCTATGGAACAGGTCTCTATTTTCCTGTGTGCGGACAATACCGTCATCTCCTTTTTCGAGTACTCTGCGCACGATGTCCAGACACCTATTATCCGACGATTGCAGTCCCCCGGGACGATTCTCCGCCAGTGCTCTGACGCTAGTATGCTCTGTCAGGCGATCCTCGATGCCATTATTGATCTTGCCATCCCTGTGACAGCGGCTTATCAAGACGCAATAGGGGATTTGGAACTCAACGTCCTCACCGATCCGAACATCCATCAATCCGCCACCTTGTACATTTTGACATCTGAGATCGCCATCCTACGCAACGCGATCGCTCCAGTGGTGCAACTGATCGGCGCACTCAAGGACCACAAAACCAGCGCCCAGCCTGTAACGGTACCCCATTCGCGCATTGCTAGTCCCGCTGTGCTCGACCAACAGGATAAGGACCCTATGAACAAACCTTCGGCGTATCGGGCCCAAAGCAATGGCCTCCGAAAGCAGTACAGTGCTCCGCCATTGATGAGCGGCGTAGAAATCTCCCCTCTTACAATCACCTACTTAGGCGACGTCGAGGACCATGCGCTCCTCATTCAGGACGGCTATGACCAGATGCGCCGCAACGCCGACAACCTCGTCGACCTAATTTTCAACACCGTCTCCGCGTATCAAAACGAGTCCATGAAGCAACTCACCATAGTAACCTGCTTTTTCCTGCCACTGACCTTCTTGACCGGGTATTTCGGACAGAACTTTGCGCATTTCGCAGGCGTGGAGGACCACAGTGACGCGTTCTTCTGGGTCATTGCGACGCCCGTGTCGGTGGTGGTGTTCTTGTTGCTGATGAGGGATGTCATGATTCGCTGGCTGGGGCGATGGGCGAATAAAGCGTTGATTGCGAGAGGAAGAAGGAGGCGGTTAGCACAGAGTGGGCACCAGGAATGAACTGCCATAGTCCCAGCGACGGGATTTACGGAACAGAGCAAAATCAGACCAGATGAGACGGGATCGTCCTCAATCAAGATCAAGTGCGAAAGGTGCGTGTGCATTTGGATATGCACGATCTTGAACTAGTCTTACAGCTGTTTGGGGCTCTGTTCTTTTCGCTCGCGTGCATCAGTCACGTGCATACAAAGAGAATCTTTCCACCCGATTGGACTCCCTAGGTATATATATATATATATATATGCTTCCGTATATATATGCTCTTTGCGTTGATTTGATTGAAGTTCCCTCTACGTTACCTTTGCTTTGGTACATAGGTATGTTCCGCCCTGCTCTGCCCAGGATGGACGGGACTTTGCTTGCGGTACCGTAAGTGGTGCCTTGCTTGCTTGTCCATCTCTTGGTTTATCTGGCTACATACGTTTGAAGGACATTCCATCTATCAGTTGGTCGGTTTACATACATGTCTGTCAATGTGTCTCTCTGTTGTCTGTCCCGGGAGAGTGCGCCGTGCTCCTGAGCCTGGTCTGGCCAATACACATCGATGTACTCTGTAGTCGGTGCCTTGAATTACACAATCAATCAATCAATGAGGTCTATTGGAAGTGCTTGGTATTGTTTCCGGCCATGTCAATGATTCTGGCGTCTCCGATCCGTTTCTCTGTCTATGCTGAAACCTAGAGATGAACCCCCTTCCATTCTACAGGGCAAGTCGTTAAAATCATTTCGTGGGTATCGTCAGAAGAAAAGCTACAAAACACAAGACGGTGTAGAGTTTCTCATCCAATAAAATGCAATGCACTTCATGATACCAGGCCTCAGTTGCTCCGTACCAAGCCCGTCCCGGTGCATAAACAATATCCTCATGGCCGTCCCTCAGCAATACAAAAACCAAATAACCTCCGTCTGGATCTGTGTTTAAGCCAGCTAGGCTTGTTCATCAATGAACGCCCCCCAGATCGCCTCGTCCGAGGTGTCGTTTTCTTGTTTTGCTACCCTCGGGTCAGTGCCCCTGCTATTCCCATTCTCCTCGTCATCGCTTAGCGTCTCCGCCTTGGTCAATGATTTCCCCTTGCCTTTTCGTTTCCTCTGGCCCTTCTCATCCGGGTCGTCTTCTCGCTTTCGCTTCTTCACCATTAACTTCAACTCAAGAGGGATCAAACCTCTTGCTGGTCCTGGGGTGTCTTTCATGTCCAGAGTTTTACGGCACACAGGACACACGCCTTTGGTCTTCCGAGAGGCCGGCACATTTTCCCTTCGTGTTTCGATGGACCACTTGAGAGTATCGACAATACAACGGTGACAAAACACATGGCCGCATGCCGTAGACGTGGCATCGGTGGGTGTATCCATGCACACGGGACATTTATACGCGGTAAGCGGTGTGCGGCCCGCTTCTGTCCCCGGGGTTTGAGCCAAGATGGCATCTTGACGCTGCTTTGCTAGAGCGGCGGAAAGCGTTTCATTGTCGTTGACGGCGGTGAGATCAACAGATTCGATCGGGGGGTCATCTTCTTCGGCGCTTGCCGTGGACGGACGCCGCCGCTGAGAAGATTGATTGGTGCTCCTTGAGGATGAGGAGGGGGGTGACATGGTGACTTGTGGAGGATCCTGGTTCTGGTTTTGTTCCTGCTCGACACGCCGACGGTGTCTGCTTCTGGCTTGAGTTCGTTCCCAATTTTGGTGGTTCTCTCTTTGACGGTTTATGGCCTCTTGCTCGAAGGCTGGCGGCAGCCGGCCGTCAACCAATGGGTAATTTGGGTCCAGGCGGTTCAGGTACACTCCAGGACCGGCCGGCCAAAACCTGAATCTCGCAGAGAGACCAGGAAACTGGTGGTCGGAGCTGGGCGGCGGAGGCCCGTAGACGGGCTCGTCGAGGGCGTTGAGCCTCCTTGGTCGAGAGGCCGAGGGAGAATCGTGCGGGTGTGTGGTTTGGGAGATGTAGTGGCTTTCGGCTGAAAGTGAACTGTCCGATGTTTGTGGTGAGGTGCTAGTCTGCGTTGTCAAGTCTACTAGATGACTGGGTGTCTCGCTGTCTGTCCGCAGTCTTCTAGCCTCATTCCCGGTCGCCGGTCTTCTAGCTTGGTGGAAGGCCTCTTGGGCGTTTTGGAGGGCGCGATTTGCGTTTTCTAGTGCGCGGTTGACGTCGTGAAAGGTGTCTCGGTGACTCAGGTGACTGCGCCTGGGACGAGGGAGCGTTACTTGCCTGCGGGAGGAACCATCTGACATAGCATCAAAGAAGTCGCGGAAGAGCCTGGGCGAAGATCGGGGCAAGGGCTGTGCGGGTCGCTGTTGAGAACGGTCGTGTGGCGAGGAGCGGTGTGGTTGTGGTTGTGGTTGTGGGAGAGGGAGAAGGAGAGCAGGCTCGGCAGAAGAGAAGGGAGTCGAATGATAGGAAGAGGAAGAACTCATGGTTGAAACCAGACTAAATCGCTCGAGTAGTCTACGACCTCACATAGCCAGGACATGATCCACTGAGACTGATGGTGAAGAAATGGGAGTGAAGGGGCAGTCAGTTCCTAAATGGCAAGTCTGTGTTCGGTGCGGAAACGATGAATTCATGGCGCATTTTTGCCGCAGTTTGTCTTGCCGCTTTACGCGATACTTATGCACTAGTACCCAGTAGGCGCTGCAGCCTCGTCAAAATTCCAGACAAGGCTGACAACTATAAAGTCACCGCTGACTCGTAATCTTTCTAACCACTACAAAAGGACCGTGATATACTGTGCTGGAGAGTGTCCAGAGTCACACTGAATACGTATCTATAGCCTAGGAAGTCAACTTCAGCGACAACGCCTGAGACTTACTGTGACTAGACTAGGGAGGACTTCAATGCCGGGAATGGCGAATGCTCTTGGCGAAGTAGCTGTGGCACCTGAGTCAGAGGAGTTGCAAGCAGGAGACTGATGCTCTGCAGGTCTCAGGGACTTTTGTAAAGGGTGTAGGGGGTGGTTGACTTGATCGCCAAGGCAGAGCCAGACTTTACCCTGTCCTCTTGGCTGGCCACATAACAAACCGAGGTGTTCGAATCTCGTGGCGAGCAAAAAGAGTTTTTGTACACACACTTCATCAGCAAAATCCGCAAAACTCTAACCTGAAGCCCAACTTCCCGGTGGAAGGTGAGGTTCAGGTCGAGGAAAACCCTTCATGTGTATGGGAGGATTTTTTTCTGGTCATTTTCGTCAGGATCTCTCCGGCCTCGGACAACCCACGAGCTGGGAGCCATATTTGGACGTGGAACCCCAGTCGAAATATCATTTTGACTGACTGACTCCAGCGCAGCTTACAGGGTCAGGGAGTTACCTTCTAGGCTTCTCATAATTCCCAAGGGACACTGTCCCATGCCCGGTGGCCACATCCTTACGCCCTAACTATCTCATCATCTGGCTCACTCGGTGTGTGCCATCAGAGGTCGAGACCTGGGATAGACATGGGAATTGTTGGAGGGAATTGCGCGGAAACAAAGTATGTAATCAAAACGCTGGCCCCGTCGAAGTTACTGGCTAGCCAATAATGTGGCCGAGAGTTTTCTCGCCTTGGCGTAGTCATGTCGTTGTTTGCAGCCTCAGTCGCAAGCTCTTCACTTGGCCTGCCACATCGAGACATGTTCTTCTTTTTCTTCTTCTTACTCCTCTTCTTCTAGGGGTTTCACAATAGCGTGGGCAAGGCTGTCGGCCCCTTGGTGCAAGAGGGGGCGGTGCGAAAAGAAGGACTATGCATTCGTCATCTCAACCAACGATTTCCTCCGCGGTACTGTGATCTGGAGAAGGATATCACAAAGTAAGCAAGACCACATTCTGGTGTTCCTCCATCGTGCGATTTACCCATTGGAATCCGCGGTCGGCAGTCAAAGCCGAGGGACGTACTGTCGACGGTTGGCATTCTTTGCAGACGCGCACACATCAAGGGGTTTTGGTATGTTATACGCTGCCCTGCCATTGTCAGGACAGGTCGGCCACTTCCGCAAGATCATTGATATTCTGGATCCCTCGTGGCAAGGATGATGTGTTCGAGCGATGTTGGTATCTGAATCTATAGGACTTGCGGAGTCCAACGATGAGGTCGGAACAAGGATTCTCACAAATTCTTGGCTTCGGATCGAGTCATCCGAGATCGGCCCCTATTCTCTACCTTTCACACCAGCTGCTATGGACGGCTTTGCAGTTGTTTTTATTGGATGCACGGCCAAACGATGTCTTTTCCAGAGGCAAGATCACTTGTATGATACTGCGTGGAAAACTCGCTACTATTTCAACAGCATCCCACGTATGACAAGATACGATCGTCATCAGAGTTGTTGAAAGCCACACACAAAGCGAGAAAGTATCCAGCCAGGCGCGATAAAAGAGCGTCGCCCATCAGCACCCTCGACCCGGTGCTTCAAGACCTCGTGTTTGGCTGGAAATCAAAACATCTGGATCGCAGCTGTAAATTCTTGTGCCGGCCTTGAGCCTGATATCTCTCTTTCGACCATCTTTACTGTCTGTTTGCGATGCCGACATTTCTGCAGTTAGTGTTCGTTCTAAACGACCTATCGACAGCCCATTGCCGATTCTTTTTACCGATCCAGCCGCTCCTAATAATTCAACAAGCGAAGCTGAAATCCTTGTCTAAGATCTAATGAGTTTTTGCCCATTCCCTGTACCAATCCAAACAGCCACTGTTAGCTACGCTTGCGCTTGTCTTGATATGCATGCCACTTAGAATCTGCTTGACGGCACCTTCAACCTTCTTGCCATTTGTCGTGATTGGGATTTCGGGACACTCGTCTACGATCTTTGGCACATGGCGGGCGCTCAATTCCTTCCTCACTACAGACTGGATCTTGCGCACCAGGTCCTTTGAGAAGGATTGTCCTTGCGCCATTTTGAGGAATAGGACGACAGCTTCATCGGTGTCCTGTTCGCGCTTCCGGCCGATGCATAATCCATCTTCGACTTCTGCGCTAAAATGCTTGAGCAGGATGTTATAGATCTCGCTAGAGCCGAAACGAACGCCCATGGGGTTGAGCACGCCATCCGATCGGCCAAGCATCCAAATGCCACCCGTCGAAGGGTTGAAGCGTACGAAATCGCCATGGTGCCAGATTGGATGGCCTGTTTTGGGATCAGTGAAGACTTCAAAATATGACGACTTGTATCGTTTTTCGCCACTTGGGCCCGGAGGCCAGAACATGCATGGCTGGCAAGGAAACGGAACAGTGCAGACGAGTTCTCCTGGTTCGCCGGTCGATGTTATGTCTTGGCCATCCACAGAGAAGGCTTTGATCGCCATACCGAGACCACGACATTGGATTTCACCTGAATGGACCGGTAATATCGGACACGGAGCGCCGAACAGGGAGATGATGTCCGTCCCGCCTGTGATAGAACCAAGAAGTATTCCTGGGTGAGGGGCTGGTGGGGACAGGTTCTTATAGACATATTCGAAAGTACTCGGCGCTAGGGGTGAGCCAGTAGAGTAAATGGACTTCAGAGAGTTGAGTGTGGCGCTTTGAGGGAAGGCTTCTCTGGGCAGTGTCTGGGATTGTTCCAAGATGGAAAGGTATTTGGCGGACGTGCCAAAATGGGTGATTTCAAGTTCATCGATAAGAAGTGGCATGCTCATCTCCTTGTGTGGATGAAATGGAGAGCCATCGTACAACACAATAGTTGCCCCACTAGCTAAGCCCGACACCAACCAGTGCCACATCCTAGCATTCACCACATTAGTATCGGGATGCCTGGGGAGACAGAGCAGAGCTCTGTAAAGCCTGAACACGGTCGCAAACGTCAAGGGTAGGACTTACATCCAGGTCACCGTAGAAAAGTAGAATACCTTCTCCAAAGGTCTGACATCACAGTGGATCTGGTGCTCTTTCTTATGCTGTAGGAGAGTCCCCAGAGAAGCGTGAACAATAGGTTTGGGCACGCCGGTGGTACCGGAAGAGTACAAGATGTAGACAGGGTGCTCCGGAGAAAGATACGTAAAGCAGAGCGGTCTCGACGCATCACCCTTGGCCAGGAAGGAAGTATATGTCTCGACGACTTTGTTTGGGTCCTCGTTTAGAGATGAGATGTCAAAGTGGTGGCCGGGAACGCTTTCGAATATGACAATGTTCTTAACTGAAGGCAACTCTGAGATAACCTGCGACACTTTGGCATGTGTTTCATGGGCCTTGCCATTGTATGTGACTGCATTGTCGGCAAACAAGATGACGGGTTCAATTTGACGGAGTCGGTCGAGAACGGCGTATACGCCCGTATCAGGACTGACGCCCGACCATATTGCACCCAACGAAGTCGCTGCCAGCATAGCAACCACTGAATTAGAGTGGTTGGCCAGATACCCCGCGACTCTGTCTCCTTTCTTGAGTCCATGCATTTCCATTGCAGCAGCACATTTCCGAACGCGTTCTCGCAGCTCCGACCACGTCACATGTTCGCGCGTGGTCTCTGTGGCAGCAATAATAGCAAGGGCATCATCGGGAGGGCTCATCTGAGGAAATAGCAAGTTCTCGGCGAAGTTCAATTCGCAGCCAGGGAAGAAGGCAGGCTTAGGGAACATGGGAGCAGACTCGTCGAGGACCTTGCAAGCATGTCAGCAGGCGTCGACCGGCTTGTCCTGCGAGGCCTTGACGTACAGAATCATACAGCTTGTTAGCCTTTATCCCAGTACGGCGCCAGACTTCCTCCCAGAAAGCACCGGGGTGGTCGACGCTCCATTGCCAAAGGTCATGGTAGGAGGACGTAGAAACGTCGAACTTCTTCGCGACGTGCTGCTGAAAAGCGTACAACTCTGTCGACTCGGGCCGAGGATGCCTCCAGAGCTCAACAGAGTCTTTAGACTCACCTTGTACACCGTTGGTCGCCATCACTGCCACTACTGTCGAGGTTGTGGGGGAGAGAAGGAAATGTTGTGAAGAGCCATCGAAAAGGGACTAGGGCCTGCGATTTTGTTTGGGGAAACGAATCGCCGCCAAAACTCCGATTTTCTACGAGTCCCGGAGGACAGCGACAATTCAGTTAGCCATGGACGGAATTCTGTCCGGCCTTCAAATCCAACACGATGGGGATCGCTTACATTGTCGAGGCAATTCATTCGAACGGTGTCTACGAGTAGCCTTATCACCGAAAACCGAAAGTACGAGGTACAAAGTAGGTAGATGAACAGAGCTGGAAAAGAATGGTCAGTGGATAAGTCTGTGGGAAGAGAGTTCCCTGACCCCTAGGAGATGGCGAGCATGGCCAATTCACTCCGACCCCTGTTGCATTCAACTCAATACCTGTGCTCCGTAATAATTGCGCGAGAACAATTGGAAAAGGGCAGTTATATCTGACTACGGAGGACCGAGTGTCTCCCTACGGGCAGCACGGAGCAAGCACGGAGTCAAAGGATCGGTACCTCGTACCCAGTAAATGCAAGAGAATTGAGATGTGAGATTTCTGCATGATGAGTGCCAAGCAGCGATGCTCGAGCTAGTGTGGGCCCAGCCAGATCTTTCAACCAATCAGACCTGGCTTCAATCCGACTGCAATCTGTCTGCAAATTCTACCGGGCTCCCCGGGCTCCGGGGGGCACCTCCCCCCTTTCAACTTTAAGTTTAGCCTTCTATTACCCCTGATGCCCCTATTCATTCCGCCGTATTGTGCCCATGAGGCTCCCTAGGCTTCCCTCTCCCCCCCCCCCTGTGCCCTCCAAGTAATTCATTGAAAGGACGCCCACAGGTGTCCAGCAGCAATTTCACGCCAGCCCCCCCCAAAGGCTCCAATTTGTTTCAATCAACCCTCTTGGTCTTGTCCGCAAAATCTTCTGTTTCGAGCTTCGCGTCCTTTTCGTGTCGTGTGCGCATCTCCTGGACTCGGCGGCGTCTCTCTTCTTCTTGTTCTGCATCTTTTCTCCTCAACTTTATACCGCATGCTTCTGGCATTCCGATCATCGCTGCTCTCCGCAAAGAGGCATTGGATGTGCGGCTGAGGGCGGGCGGTTCCTGCAAGGAACAGGCTTCTCGTGTCCAACCACAGCGCGGCGGATCAGGACGGAATATCTCAGTCATCCGGTCAAACCGGCGCTGAAGGTCGCTCTTCGTCATACAGTCGACACCTCCTAATCGCATGATTCCCTATTGCATGCGCAGTGGAAAAAATCAGAGCGGCATTCTGAGCTTCGTACAAGCACTGGCAGTCAAATTTCAACTGCGCCATCCTTCCAGTCACTTCCCCTCAGTTCACCTCTTGTCGACCTCCTACCTCGTCGACCGACCTCCCTTTGTCCGCAGACTGCTGTACAAGTACCTAATATCAAAGATTGTTGCCGAGCCCCCTTCGAAAACCTTTCGTTTTTCTCCGTCCTACACCGCCACACCGTCCGCGCCCTCTATCGGAAAAAGGAACTCGACAACTTTACGGACCTCTTGCGCTTGCACAAAGCGTCAGCGTCGTCTGTCACAAGGAAATTCTCTGTCCTGAACATACTGAGCAATCCCTGAAGCGATCCTTTTGGCCATGCCTCGTCGAGTGTCCAGCTCCCTCCTAAGCAGCTCACCTCCGACTCCCTGGCCGTCCTTTTCGCCGTCAGAAAAGGGCGGCAGCCTCGTCAACAAGACATCTCAAAAAGCAAGCAAAATCGCACAATTTTTCTCGACTTCGCCAAAGACAAAAGAGGCCCAGTCGGCTGCTGCTGCGCTGCTGGCAGCTAGCAAGGCTCAAGAGCAGGCATTTCTGGCTTCTGGGTCTCCTCCCATAAGCACACCCTCGCTTTCATTACCTAGTATTTCCTTATCGACTGCGCAAGCAGATTCGGCAAATATGGACGAGCCGCCCACCACTCTTTTCCAGCCACCTTCTCCGGCCGAGACGCGAAAGTTGGCGCGACAACATGCCCAGTTCGGCCCGTTAAATTCCCAGTCTCACAGATACACAAGTCGGCACCAAGGGGGTGAATTTCCAGAACCAGTCATGGACGAGCCTCCCTACTACTATCTTTTGACGACCTATATCTCCTATCTGATTCTTATAATATTCGGACACGTGAGAGACTTTTTTGGCATGAAGCTGAAAGAGGACAACTACCGGCACCTCAAAGCACGGAATGGCTATGCGGCCCTCAACAATGATTTTGATAATTTCTACGTCCGGCGATTGAAGATGCGCATCAATGATTGTTTCAACAGACCTACCACCGGAGTGCCCGGAAGATTCATTAATTTGCTGGATCGGACATCGGATGATGGGAACGTCCATTTCACTATGACTGGCACGACGACCGAAACTTTGAATATGAGCTCTTACAACTATCTAGGCTTTGCGCAATCCGAAGGTCCCTGTGCCGATTCGGTCGAAGAGACAATCAGGAGATGTGGACTGTCAACCGCCAGCCCGCGAAGCGAGGTGGGCACTTCTGAACTAGCCGTCGAATGCGAGACTCTTATTGCCGATTTTGTTGGCAAGGAATCTGCAATGGTCTTCTCAATGGGGTTTGGTACCAACGCCTCCATTTTCCCTGCCCTGGTGGGAAAGGGTGACTTGATTATCTCCGACGAACTCAACCACGCATCCATCCGATTCGGCTCACGGCTTTCTGGTGCCATGATCTCATCGTTCAAGCACAACGACATGAAGGATCTCGAGGGCAGGCTCCGCGAGGCAATTTCTCAAGGACAACCACGTACGCATCGCCCCTGGAAGAAGATCCTCGTTGTGGTGGAAGGCTTGTATTCGATGGAAGGCACGATGTGCAATCTTCCAGGGCTGGTCAGGTTGAAGAAGAGATATAAGTTCAACCTCTTTGTTGACGAAGCCCACTCAGTCGGCGCGTTGGGACCACGCGGAAGAGGTGTCTGCGACTACTTTGGAATCGACCCCTCAGAAGTGGATATTCTTATGGGTACTCTGACCAAGTCCTTTGGTGCGAATGGGGGATATGTAGCTGGTGAGAAGGCTGCCATCGACAAACTGCGACTATCCAACGCAGGCACCGTCTATGGCGAAACTCCGAGCCCCGCGGTCCTGGCCCAGATTATTGCCGCTCTCAGAATCATCAACGGCGAGCTGGTACCGGGTCAGGGTGAGGAGAGATTGCAGAGGATTGCGTTCAACTCTCGGTATCTTCGCCTGGGTCTCAAGCGTCTCGGGTTCATTGTCTACGGTCACGACGATTCCCCCATTATCCCCCTCATGCTCTACAACCCGGCCAAGATGCCCGCCTTCTCTCATGAGATGCTAAAGCGCAAGATTTCGGTCGTCGTTGTCGGATACCCAGCCACCCCCCTTATCTCCTCACGAGCTCGATTTTGCGTTTCGGCTGCGCATAACAAGGACGATCTCGACCGGCTCCTTGCAGCATGCGACGAGATTGGAAATGTGCTCCAGCTCAAGTTTGCGAGTGGCATCGCTGGCGGTGCTCCTCCTCTACCCGAGGGCGTGACGTGGGAGATGGAACAAAGCCGGAAGCGACTGGAAAAGCACGACAAAGTCGCCAAGTCGTTGGTAGTCTCGCCTCGATGGAGCCTGGACGAAGTCATTAAGCGTGGCGTTCAGGATGTCAAGGTCCCGCTGCGGTAACGTCTCGACCGCAGGACAGCTCTCATCAGTCAACTCGGTCTGGCACATAGACATATATGTGTACACCTAATGGGTAGGAATGCATGCAAGCGATTGCAAGATTTTCAGATTTGAAATTTGGGGAATTAATGTTCGACCAAACCGACGCGACAGAGCCGATTGTACATAGAACTTGGGTCTCTGAGAAGGGCGTGGGTGGGGTGTCTGGAGCCACTGGAGCGGTCAGGCCGAGCAAAGCATTTCAATGTCCGCAAAGAGTATGGAGTTTTGACAGCGACGATTACTGTGGTCGTGTTCGGCCAAAAAAGAGGCTCGACTCAGCTGACCGATACATTTTATCAATAGCCAAAGCCTAATAATGTCAACCATGATGCACATTCAACCCTGTTCTGTGTTGTTTCCGTATCTCTCCTTCCACCAACATGGTCTGCCGCAGCAAATTGATATGCACAGTACGAAAGTGAGTCGAGAGATCTGCTAACGTGCTCCGTAGCAATCGGGCGGAACAACGAAGTCCTTGCATGAACCCCTTCCACTCTGGTTCGTCCGCCTGCGAACTGATCTTCGGCCTGCGATGTCGCGCAGGATACCCAGCACAGGACGTTACCCCATCACAGAGGCGAAGAACAGATGATTGCCAAGCTCAAGCAAGGGACTTTGCTGGCGACGTATCCTGGTAGAGACGAGTATTTGTCCCATCTCACGCACCTCAAACACGGGATGAGGTTCGGTGTGCCAGCGCATTTCACACCACTACGGTGACTTTGTTATGTACTCGGACAATCAATTAGCGGGACATGTACTGTACAGACGGCAAGGACAGGCCATCCAAGCAAGTCAGCACTATTGAGTCAAGTCTGTCGCCCGAACAAGCTAGTAGCCTTGTCATTATGAAGAAATCGTTTGGACAAAGGGGAGGGTCGTGTCACGTGATGGAACTTTAGGTCCTGGGGTGCAGGGAGTTGAGTTCTCTCTGCAGTTTCATCTCAGCATCTCAGCCCATCTCAGCCATGGCCACCACCTTTTGCGCCCCTTGTTGTCTGATTCCATTCTTAAGTACCCAGCACGCGCCCGACTGCATGATGACCGAACAAGGCCCGGACCCTGCTTTGATCACAATCCACGGCTGCGATGACAGCCAGCCGTGATTCGTTCTCACCCTCCTCCAGGTTAATCTCTCCCTTACCGCGCTACTGCACCTCCTGCATCCTGCCAACGAAAGAATAGCGACACCGCCGTTTCAACCACTGACTCTGTCCTCTCTCGTCCTCTCTCGTTTATTCCTCTGCCTGCTGCCTTCCATGGGCCCCGCAAATCACATCCCGCACGTTCCCGTCCAGAAGAGCGACTGCCACCGAGAGGGGCATGGCTCTCAAACAGCGTCTGAAGGACGGGCCAATGCAATCCTTTTTCACCTGCAAGGCAACCGTCGAGGCCAGTCCCTCTTCTCTTCTCCCTCTGTTGCTAAGAAAAAGGGCGCATCGTCCACACCGGTCGGGGATATCTTGATTTCCTCCACCTACGAATCCCTCCTCCCTTGACTCAGACACAGGTTGGAGCCACATATCTGGCCGACCCAATCGTTGAACATTCTACAAACTTTGACTTGGTTCGCAGGGTCAATTGAAGCTACACATACCAGGCATTCTTCTGGCGTTTCGTTTACCGTGGGTTTCCGTCGAATATCATTGACCCATTTCCCGCTGTGTTGCCCCACCAAACTTCCGTTCCTCCTACTATCTGCTACACACCGTCTGTTTACCCAGTACTGTACTTGTTTATCTTTACAAGACGCATCCTCACCAGCATCAGACTGCGCCTGGCTTGTCCAGCTTTGCGGCTTCCTTACCCGCAGCCATGGAACCACCAATACCTCCTGATCACCATTTTGCTCCGGTTGATCCAGATATTCGTGTTATGAACGACCGCTTTGAAGATCGCTTCGATGACCGCTTCGATGACCGCTTCGTCGAAGAGCCTGCCTTTTTTGAGGAGCGGGCACCGAGTGTCCAACAACGCTTTGACAGAATGTCTCTGCAAGATGATGACCTTGAAGAGATCCGCCCTCACGCCGAGCGAGTTCGATCTACTGACACTGTACCTACGTCGCAAGATTATTTTTACTACCGTCTGTCCAAGCGCGGTGACGACTGGAGCTCATGTGTCAAAAAACCAATCAATGCCCCAGTCGACGAAATTGAGAGAAAAGCCAGGAGAGGCAGAGGTGGCGATGGCCCGGTGTTGGACCAGCTTACTCGCATGCCCACACTCCGCCGAAGCATGCTTGATGAAGTGGTTCGGAAGGCTAATGACCAAGAGACAGGAGATGCCCATTGGGAAGTTGTCTATATCAAGTCCAAGAGAGTACAGACGCGGAAGGGTAAGATGGAAGTTCCGGAGATGGATGTCATTCTTGCCCGAACTAGAGACAGGTCACGATCAAGGGCCAAGTCTTTCGGTGGAGAGAAGGTGAGAAAAGTCGAAGTCGTCCGCGAGAAGAGATACACCAACGACAGTTACGGTCGTGCAAGGAAAGACTCGGTTCTCGACAAATTAGAGGATCCTGTCGCCAATCTGCCACTTTTTGAGGCAGACGGGACACCGCGAGACGAGCTCGGCCCAATGCATTTCAATAACGCCAACCTCCCTCCATATATTGCAAGAGAGACGCCACTCGGGCACAAACCCGAGAAAAAGAAGGACAAGGCGGAGAAGAAGCGCAGCAAGTCTCGGAGCAAGTCGCGAGACAGGGGCGCTGCTCATGATGAAGATGGTGTTTACGTCGTGCCTGAAGTGCAGGACTTTGCCACCGACGCCGTGGACCCTGCTCCTGTCGACGCCGTGTGTGTTGAAGGCCCAACTGACCGTCGCGGCCGTCGAGGACAATCGCCACACGAGCACCCTGTGGTCGTTGTTGAGGGTGATGCTCGGAGATCCCACTCTCGACACCGGGTGCAGCCAGAGGCACGTTCCAAATCTCGTCGCCGAGAGTCTGTGCATTTCCCCAATCAGCACACTCAGCAGTATTTTGATGCAGGCTATGCCTCTTCGGAAAACAGCGATACTAGCCATTATGGGTTTGTTGGTGAGTATGCAGAAAGCTCCAACACGTCCCTCAGCACGCCTGGTGGTGTTCCTCGTCGAGGAAGTCTTGTGTATGCTCAGGGCCGCCCGGACGTTGTGTATAAGAAGCACCACCCTGGACCTAGCAGGAGACAGTCCTATGTGGAAAGGCCATATCATGGTGAGCAACAACAGGTTGTCGTGCCGGCAGTTCCACGGCGGAACTCGTATGTTGTCTATGACCGACAGCCAGCCGAGCCGCGCCAGGAACGACATCCACGGCTCATGAGGCAGGCCACAGCGCCCATCCCAGAGGATCGACAAATAGTCTACCGTGATTTACCTCGACGGTCGCGGGAACAAGATGTCATACCCCTACGTCGCTACACCACTCATGAATCCGCCATGCCAATTGTTCACTATCATCATGGAGATGATGAACGTGATGGTTACTTCCGCGACGAACTTGACCGCCAAAGTATCCGCGTTGAAGACTACCAGCGCGATCGGGTCCTAGAGGATCATTTGAGTCGGCGTGAGCAACAGCTAACTGCCCGCGAGAGGGAATTGGAAATCCGCGAAGATGAGCTTAGGCGAGTGAAGAGGCAGCGTGAACTGGAAGGCGAACGAGAGTACTACGACGACAGAGATTTGAGGAGGGAGAGGAGGGAGACAAGGAAGCTCTATTATGACGCGAGGACAGGGGAGCATTTCTTCTACAACGATTAGGTCAGAGAAGATGAATACGGAGTATTCCCCCTCGCGATGCGATGCGGGGGGGATTTACAGACCTCGTTTTCTGGATCCGCGGGACAATGTCATTTTATAAATGGACTTGTGGTCGTGACATGGGGATCTACACAGCCTGGGAGAATATTGCCACGAACCAGCAATGCTACGAACCACCCCTTTTTTTTCATTTGTTGTTTATCTCAGAGAGAAGACATCCTTGGCAGATATGGAACACGGCTCGCGGCTACCTTGGGAAGGAAGAGAAATCTACCACCTGCCATGTGGGACAAAAGAACAAAGAACCATGGAAGATTTGTACGAATGATGCTGGCGATCTCAGGGGCGATAGTTGCATTGGAACGAAGCGGATCGCTGTGGGATGAGCGCATGAACCAATTGAGACCCGGACTGCAGGTTGACGACACTCTTTGGCCCCTTCAACAATGTTTTGTGGGATGACTCTAAGATGATTGGGATTTGATGGTTTTCCTTGCTTTTCACTTCTTGCCGTCTCTTCTGGAAGATACCCCCGCTCTTTTTGGCGAGCAGATTGGAGAGTCGATTTACGCCTTGTCTACTCTTTGTGTGTTGGAGTTGTTTGACGGATTGAAATGGAACGTGATGAAATGAGATGGGATGCAATGCGACGAGATGATGATTTGGCTTGTGGCGTCTGCCCTCTCTAGTGTTGTTGATGTGTCTTCTTCCCTCGAGGGATTCTTGATCGGGAAGCATGAGAGAGCGAGCGTTGATTGAGCACCTGGAACATCTTGGAATCTTGATATCTTTCTGCGGGATACTAGGTGGCTGGGTCCCCTGGCTCCTTGGAATGGGGGATAATGCGCATGTGACGAGCTGATGCCACTGAGATCGGGACTGAGACTGAGATGGAAACTGTGACTCTGACGAGAACGAGACTGAGCATGAGCATGGGTACGAGCATGAGATCAAAACTGAGACTGGAACTAGGACTGAGAGAGCAAAGACGAAAGTCGTGCCCTCCAAAAGCTTTGATTAAATCACAATGTCACTGTCCTTTTTTTTTCACCTCTCTAGTATTCTCCCGCAACTCTCTCCCCATTTTTATATTCTTTTCCTTTCACAAAAACCCGCGCAGGGCTGTCGTCACGGTGCCGACGTCTTCAGTGACATGCCAATGGCCCACACCCTCGAGGACTTTCAATTTTGCATCCGGCAGCCGCTTGGCGTACGACTCGGCCAGGACCATTGACGAGACCTTGTCGTCTTGCCCTGCGACCAGCAGCGCGGGCATGATCAGGCTCTCCACGTGAATGGTCGTGTTCTTCGACTTGGCTAGAGCAATGCACACTTTCGCATATCCCTCAGGGAAAGGGTTTGGGGCCGGGGCCGAGGAGAGCCAGCTTCTCAACGGCAGCAGCGTTCCGTTCGGAAAAGAGCATCGCGATCAGTCCGCCCAGTGACCAGCCCACGACGGTGGCTTTGGCGATTTCTTTGGCGGTGAAGAGATTCTCCAGGTCGGCGACGTACGACTCCACGCTGACGATCGAGGACGCCGCTGTGGGTGTCAGTCCGTGTGCCTCCGGATCGTACAGAATGATGTGATGGGTCGCTTCCAGACCAGCTTCGTGGATCAGCGGCATGTAGTATTCCAATGAAGCACCCAGGCCATGGATGAAGACGATCGTGTTACTAGGCGGTGATCCGATCTCTCGCACGTTCATCATCTTGTCCCCCACGCGCGTCAAGCCAGCTGCACCCCACGTGCGCTCCAGATTGTATATTGGAAGACTGGACCTGGGCCGCGTTGCTAGGGCATTCGGCCTTGTGTCTGAGACCCGATTCCTGAGCTTTCCCAGTCCAGTCACGGATACCTCGACTGGAAAGAGAAAATCAGTTACTTGAAGAGAAGAGCCATTGAAAAGGAGCGCAAAAGGGCGGACTCACCTAAATCCCCTGGCTTGAGAAACTTCGGTGGGTGGAAGCCGACGCCCACGCCGGCGGGTGTTCCTGTCGCGATCACATCGCCTGCTTGGAGGGTCAAGCTGGCTGAGATGATCTCGACCAGCTTGGGAATCGACGTGATCAAGTCCGCGGTCGTCCCGTCCTGGCGTTTTTCACCATTCACAAATGTCTGGACGTGCAGCGTCTTTGGCAAAGCGTCCTTGGGAACAGCTATGGGTCCCTAGGCGGAACGTCAGCCCCCCCAAGAAAAGAACAAACAAACCCTCTTCAACGACGCATCGTCGCATGACAACTGGGACTGACCATTGGACAAAAGGTGTCTGGCGACTTGCCCATCAGGAATTGGCCGTGATCACTCTGATTTTCTCGCGCCGTCACATCTGAGAGGGTCCATTTTTTAGCACCGGAGGATGATATTCGCAAAAGGGGAGCACGGTTTTCTCTTTTTACGTACCATTGATGATGGTATAGCCCCAGACATGCTCCATCGCGACCTTCTCCCTGATGCCGAATCCCGGCTTGCCGATGATGACGCCGACTTCACCTTCGTAGTCGAGACAGTCGGTGAAACCCCGGTTAGATCTCCTCGTCCGCAGCGATGACGCTTGTACTTCGCTTCGTGAAGATTGTCGGGAAGGAAGCTTGGGAGAAATACCACCACCGAGTCAGTCATGTTTCCTTGCTGTACACATGAACTGTCGAAGAAATTTGCTACATACCTTTCTGTTGGATCATCTGCGCGTCGCACCCGCTCTCGCTGTACTCTTTGACATGGTCTGCGTAGTTGTTTCCGACACACACGATGTCCCTGTCAGCGATCGGAGCCAGCAACTTGACTGAGGACAGCGGAAATGAATCTCCTGTCTGCACGACGGCGTCGTGACCTAGCTCGATTACTTGTTGTAGGCTGCTCAGAGGGGATCCCGAAGGCATCGGGAAAGCATGCACGACCGACGGCTCTAGGTCTAGATGGCCGACACGGGCCCTGCCTAGCTCGTCTTTGAAAGTGACAAAGTTGTACGGATTCTTCACCTGCAGTGGCTGGGCAGGAGAGGGAGGCTGTTCGGTCACCAAATCGGACAGGTACGACTTGTGGATCCTTCCATTGATCATGATAACGTCCAACTTGCTATGGTCCTGGAGCACGGCGATGTCCTGGAGCGGATCGCCGTCGACGAGGATGCAGTCGGCATAGTACCCAGGTAGGATCTTGCCCAGTTCATTCTCCTGCATGAACGGCTTGGCCACGCCGGCTGTTGCGGCGATGATGGACTCCATGGGCGTAAAGTCCAGCAGCTTGACAAAATGCTCGAGATCGCGGGCGTATGTGCCGTGAGGACACCATGCAAACCCATAGTCACCGCCGCTGGCCAGTTCCTGCGTCAGTTTGGACTGTACATCAACGCTCATCTTGGGGACAAAATACTTACGGAAGGACTGTGATGCCTCTCTTGTTCATCTCTTTCAACGCCTTGATAGCGATCTCCAACTCCTTCTTGTAGCCGACCTGCTCGGCTTTCTCAAAGGTGTATCCAAACGGCTCGGCCTCGTGGACCGTGGTGTATAGCCAGTTGATCGCCGGCGCCACAACGTGCTTGTGTTTTGCCTTTGTAAGCATGTTCATTCCCACATCGTCCGTATAGGATGCTGTCTTCTGTCATAGTTGAAAAGTCCACGTTTCGGGGATGCCTTCCTAGCGCGAACCGTGGTAGATCACATCAACACCATGCTCAACGCATTGGATGACCGAGTCCCGTGCTCGAGCATGAGAACAGACTCGCAAACCGTTCCGATGGGCTTTCAAATGGTCAGCCGAACGGGAATCAGTGCGGGTTTTGGGGACCTTACCTTCATCCACACATGCAGCTGTCTCTTCGTCACTGAAGAAACATTCTTCCGCAGACCTTGTTTCGGTGATCTGGTTGACACAATGTTGCTTAGGAGACTGTTGTGCATGCTCAGCTTGATCTGGTCGACCCCGATCCAAGCATGATGCCTGATGACTTCCCGCATCTCCAGCGGCCCTGGGAGGAATAAGTATTTGGATTGGATGGTACAAGTCATGGGCTAACTAACCGTCAGCAAAAGCAGTAATGCCGGCTGCTAGTTCGCCGTCTCTTCGAGCAATCTCTCGCCCATTGGCGAGATAGCGAGGACCAGGAATGTTGCCCCTATTGATGGCGTCCCTGGCCACACAGTCCAGCCGGTCTTTCGCAGACGCGGCTCCATAACACCTGGTGGCATTCAGAATGCAGCCGCAAATGTTTTCACCATGTTCTGCTTACATTGTGTAGCTAAAGTCGAGATAACATAGCGCAGACTTGACTGTGATTAACACGTGCTCTTCCACGCTGATATCGCCCAGCAGTTCAAGTTCGTTGTTGTTCCAAGTCAAATGAGTATGTGAGTCGCCCAGTCCCGACATTAGAGTACGCCCTCGCCCTTGAATTACCCGCACGTCAGGCTGGGTTTGAAGATGTTCAACTCGAGTCACGGATCCGACAGCGACGATACGCTCGCCTAGTCTCTTTATAAGCAACATCATAACATGGTTTCAAATGAGGTACCTTCAATGTAGACATCTCCTCGGTATGGCTCCTTGCCCGTAGAGTCCAGACTGTCCTATATCAGCTCGCTCCGAATACAACGTACAACCAGACAGAAAGCATACATATTCACATCAAGGAACAATATCTTCGAAGATGGAGATGTTCCTTTAGAACCTTGCTCAGAGCGACGTCTCTTTGAGGAGGAACATGATTAACTCACCTGCTATTTCATATCTCTTTGGTTGTAGTTTTGGATCAAAGCGAAGGTTTTCGTAAGGTTAGCGAGTTTGCGTCGGCTTCGAGGTGATGGCGACGTCGTTGTGCCAACCATTGGCCAGTACTCCAGGGGCCATCGCGGATGAGGTCAAGCCCTGATTCTGTAGAGTAATGCCGAGGGAAAAGCCGAATAGAAAGTTCTCCAGCACGTTCACTTCTGCTGCATTTAGTATTTAATCCTCCTGGCCCCAGTTGAAAGTCACTCCTTGATCCCTTGTACCACCCGCACCACCCGCCCTCCTCGGAGAGTTACGTTAGGTTTGGTTGCATAGCCTTTCACTGTCAGTCGAGATTTGCATTTGATCTCTAACCCTTTGTTGTGGGACTGCGGCTCAGTTGTGGTACCTCTATCACAGAGGCGGATCTGCTGAATTTGGGCAGCCGCAATACCCGCAACAGCCGCAGTGGAGGAGATTGGAGAGGATGGCAGTCGAGAACCTTTGGTTGACTGCTGTAAGAAGCGGGGTTGGTCTTATTATACAATGCCCAGCGCTTTCATTCTCGGGTAGGAGGAAGAGTTGGTCCTGAAAACTCAAGCGGTTCGATCCAGAATTGGTCCCAATTCACGTCGCCTAGAGCAGGCGTGTTCCAGAGGAGTCCGTTAGACCACTGATCAGGAGGATCGTCCTCGGCTCCTGCGATGCCATGTTTGTTCCTGACTAAAGCCAACACCTAGGCAGTTTTGGAGCACTGCAATATCCTGTTCGTTTCGGTTCTGTGCAATCCGAACCAGTTGTTCGATCGTTGTCAGGGCTTTCTGGGCAATTGGAGTCTTGAAATGGTTCACCACAGTCCTCAAGGTCAATCTCGCTTGACGAACGTGTGAGAGTGACTCTTGCGTATCCATTGCCAGAAGGATGCAGGCAAATTGGAAAGGGACGTTCGATACGTGCCACCAGGGCACGTTGCTTCGTGTCGCTCGATTGAAGCTTCGAGGCCTTTGCGACCGACGGCAATGACCTGTTCTAGGAGCTTGCTTTTGACGTTGGTAGTCGCAAGACGTAGTCGTCGGTAGAGAGTGAAGCACAGATTGCTCTGTGAAAGGACAAGCGGATTCAGTGTGAACTGAAAGCCTGCTACTTGCATCAGGCAGTTTTCCAGTTCCGATGGTTCGCTTGGTTTTGACGGATCGAGGACCTCGGAGAGCCGAAACATGTCTATAAGATCTGTGGTGAAGTCTCCTGAGACTGGGGTTGGCAATTGGCAGGATGCCCCTTGCAGAGAAACTCTTGATCGACCATACTCAAAACTGATCCATGACTTCAACAGCTTAGCCACCCAAAAGAGCCTTCTCCTTCTCTCTACATCATGCTCTGATGGTTCGGCGTCCGAGTAGACCAGTGACACACCGGCTGACTCCCTGTGCAGACCAGCAGCCTCGATGATGTGCATCGTGGTACAGCTGGCCATCCACGCTGCGTGCGGGGGGCTGTTGCATTGCAAGTAAAGAGTCCTCAACAGCCATGCTTCTGCGTCGTGGACGGTCGGGTCTCTCAGAAGACTTGTCGATTCCAGAATCTCTTTTGCACAATTCACAAGCAGACCTTCGCAGTTGTCTGTTCTTTCGGGGGAGAAGAGCGTCGCGAGTGCTGCAATTCCGCAAAGAACGTGGTCGTATGCATTGGTTGCATGGGGATCTTGCCATCTCCTGGACGCTTTGGAGAGAACGGTTTCAGTGTCCAGGAACCCGTACAAGCAGTGCATCTCCCGAAGATAGACATCAAACAGGCTATGCCATTCGTCTCTGGTTATGATCCACGTCATGCTCTTTTCAGAGCGGGAGTTATGATAATGAATCCCCAAATTCCAGCCAGAACCTTACACCTTTGGGGCGCTAATAGGCTTCAACTTCATGCCTAGGATATGTGGGAAGACAACTCCAGAGTTGGCCTCCATTGACTGTTCGTCATGCCCATTGTATTTGATTTCCTTCTCTGGGGATATGGGAATGGCAAAGACGGTCTGCGAAGTGTCTGGCAAGGGTTCGAGAGGCGGATGTGCCTCAGGTGATGGTATTCTTGCTGCTCTCTTTCTGGAATGGGTAGTGTAGTAGCATTGGTACTCGTACCTGGTGCATGAGACACATGGTTCAGTGCCATTACATCGACGTTTTTCGAGCTTTACAAGGTTCACACGCCCTCCTTGTCCTTCGTCGGCCCTCGTCTTCTGCTCCACGAGGGGCCTGCGGACGTGATTCCACGTGCTCTTGAACCATCGCCTCTCATCATCTATGGCAGGGCTTAGGCTCTAGTGTTAGAAGACTGAGCCATCTTCGAGTTGATACCGGCTGGGAGAAGAAATGTAGATGGTTGGCAGAGAGATGGGAAAGGGAGACGGGGACCAATAAGCCAAGCAGTAGTCTGTACATATATAGCGAGAATAGTCGCTATTTAAGCGTCGCTCCCCAAACTTTCAACCCCACAAAATTTGTCTGGGGCTGCAGAATGCGGGCAATGCAGGCTGAAAACCGAGCTTGCTAGGTATAGCATAGCTCAGCGTTCTGGGCGAGATAAAGACCGTCGAATGTGTTTCGGAGTCTCCTTCTGCTCCAGTCCTGCCTCCTTCTCCAGTTGCATAGCGGTATGGTTCGTGAAGTAGGGAGATGTGTCCTGCACAAATATTGCCAGACCACATACAATGATTCCAAAAGGAATGGTGGCCAGCCAAGTGATTCGAAAAGCATCTGCCCAACCCAGCCGGTAGCCTTCTGTCGCTTTGCTGAGTATCTCAGAACTAAGGTCCAGAAATCTCGTCGTGTCGTGGGCAATTGCAGAAACGAGAGAGGAGACCTTGTCTGCGGGATATCCCATAGGTACCACAGCCGAAGCCACTCTAGAATTTGTGCTGCTAAATGCCCAGTTGCTCAAAATCGTAGAGAATACTGTCGTCCCCACGGCACTTCCAAGAAACCGAAACGTACCAATCAGGCCTAGAGCCCACCCCAGGTCTTCCTGCGGCACGTGGAGAGACGCTGTGATATAACAAGAAAGGGTGATCCAGGCGAACGGTGCATTGGCAAAAAGTTGAAAGACCAACAGCTTGGCAACCTGCCCAGGCCTGTAAATCGATTGCAATGCAGTGAACAATGTTTGAACCGCAATAGCAAATGTCAGTTGCCAGTGAACATGCTTGATCTTGGAGATGAGTCCACCCCAGGAAAACGCCACCCGCTGCTCCGCCAAATCCTCCGGGAATGTTGTAGACGCCGGCCAAGGTTGCATCGCTTGTCAAGGTGTAGATAATCTGCTGCGGCATCAAAGTCGTGAGAGTGAAGGAGACAACATCCGTCACAAAAATAATGAAGAGCAGAAAAGTATATTCCCTGACCATTGCGAATAGCCAGCGTGTGAATGGAGGTAGGTCTTGGAGGCTTCCCACTGAAATCCCAGACGCAAGTACATAGGAATAACATACCTCCTAACAGAAGAGGGGCTAGGACATGAGGGCTGTTCCAGGGATATGAAGTGCCAGCTCAACCAAGGCCAAGAAGGAAGAGAGTCAGTCCTGAAACGTAGAAGAACAGTCCGATATAGTCTAGTTGAGCCAGAATTTGCCTGCGCGAATACTCCCTAATGGGCCGAGCTGGAGGAAAGTAGAAGACGCCAGTACCTGCCAATGAGATAACCCCGGTGATAATCCCAAGGTAGAAAATCCATCTCCAGGTTGCTCGAGCGACGAACTCCCTGGCGATCAGTGGCGCCAACGTTGTGAATGGAAGCAGGTTGAGCTCAGTCCAGGCCAAGCCATACGGTCGGTATTTGTTGGGAAGTATTTCTGATATTCCGGGGTAGAGGATGAATGTGGTTCCTGTGCCAAACCCCAAGATCACCATGGCCGCGATACATTGCTCGAGGCTCTGGGCTGTGGCACCAACGATATGGCCCAACACTAAGAGACCCTGACCAAACATCAAGAGGTATCTCCGCCCGAAGTAGTCGCTCATCTGTCTCGCAAGTGCAAAGGCAATGCTTACGGCGAGAGACCGGCTCGATGCCAGCCAGTTGGAATTGTAAGTGGATCCTTGTAGCTCCATTGCTATTGGGACGATGACCGAGAACACAAATAGACAAGTGAAGGTAAGAGATGGCTGGAGAGTAAACCCTAGGAAGAAACCGGCAAGGTAGGTAGGTTTTGTGACATGGATCTCGACGTCGGCGTCTCTCAATGCTGCTTCGTGCGCATCTTGCTTCTTTGAGGCGACAGACCGATGAGGGGTTTGTTGGTCTTCAAGATGATCAGCCGTGGCGCTGGACTTGGACACTAGCTGCAGCTCCATTTTTTTTTTGGCGATATGGTTGAGAAGACTCTCGACAGCGCATGTGAGAGAAGTATGGTCTCAATATACCACAATCCACGATTGATTCCGTTGTTGGACTCGCCTCTGAATCAACTCGGCCACCGAGAACAACGGTTGATGCGGGAGTTGCGGATAGCCACTATGACCACCTTGCGTGGAAGTTGGATTGATTTAGAAGGCTCTAGCTGCCTCTTCGTAGATGTGCGGCTGCTAGAGGCCGGAGGCCAGTCGCGCCCAACCTGAACCGTTCTTTGTTTTGGGCCTGCGTGTTCAACTCTTTGGCTTGGGGTAAGGATTTTCGACACCTTTAGTCTGCCCAACTCTCAAGCCAGGAAGCCATTTTCGGTTCTTCTGGAAGCCATGGACCCTGTGAAATTGCCCTAGTCATCGTTGGTGTGAGTTGGCGAAGCTCCAGTCTGCTTGTGAGGGTTGGCCGACACGAACAATCTTTGCCAGCAAATGACCGAATGACCGTGTCTCCGCCGGGATGTTCGTTCACGAAAATTGTACAGTCATAGACTATATCGTCAATGACAATCCCTTAGACATGTCAGCTTGCATGGTGGCCCCTTGGATATTCGGACTTGAACCTACAGATGTCTGGGCAGGATTTCCCATTCCTCCTCCTGACCTCATTCGCAGGTATTGCTGGTAGATCCTGGTTTGGCAATCCATTTTGGACAACGTGATATTCACCAGTGGCAGAGCCCAGCTCTTCGCCCGATCGCAAGGTCTCCTCCTTAGCCATGCCCACTCGAGAAAACATATCTTGTTGACAGTGAGGAAGCTTGATTGTCCGGATGTTGCCAGACGACTATGCTCCTCTGAACAGGGGAAAAAGACAGATGGTTGGACGTATTCTAGCAAAGCCTCGCGTTCCTATTTGGGTCAAACCTCTCAAAAATTTGAAGAACATGCATGGCCCGCTGCAAAGGAAATCAGAATTGAGCGGAAATGGCGGCTATTGCTGCTATTGCGCTAATTGCCAACTCTTGAGACCCGATTCACGGCGCTATCAATATTGGACTAGTGTCTCTCTTTTATGAATGCTATGCCTACGGCTGCATTGGAACTACAAGTTCCTTACAATGAGAATTGTTGCCATAGGAAGCTAGATGTGGCAGTCTGGCATGCAATGTCTTCGTGACGCACATGGCAAAAGCTCATGGCCTTTTATTCTTTGTGTAAGGATTTCCGGGAATTCGCTAGCCGGCAACCAGTTGTTGTCGCGGGAGTTGTCTCAGCCCAAGTATAGAAGCTGCCCCAAGTAGTGGCGGCAAGGAGGAGATCAAATGCGAGCCAGACGAGACACGTCGAAGTGTTGATGGACGTCTCGACGTTTCCTAGAAGCGGCGGGAGGCGATTGAATGCGCCACTAGCCACCAGGCACTTTTTGCCCTGTCACCGTACTCACTCTATCTTCGCAATTTGATCACACACCCCTTTTCTCTTCACATCACACATTGAAGCTCCTCCTCGCCTAGGACCCGAAGCTACTCATCTGGACATGGTTTGTTCTCATTGACGCCGTCTGCCACGTGGGGCCTGCACCGTTCCTCGGCTCGACCAAACCGCTAGGTCTCCTCGCGGAGTAATTATATGGTGCAGAACCCAAACCCAAACCTTGCGTTCCCCTATGATTCCGACATATGCCCTTCTTCCCACCCAGAATCCGACGGGTGTAGCTCGGAAATCATTCAATAAGAGGGGCTTCGCGTAATGACCGGTGGCCTCGCGGCGGCAGCCTTGTCAGGCACGGAACTCGGTTTTCGACTGCTGACAACAATGAATCGGACTCTGCGTAAGCAGCAAAAGCCAGCTCGCCAAGTTGGCGACAGAGACGATCCGGATAAGTAATGCGTTTGCGAAATCAAGAGAGGGAGGGCAAAAGCCGGATAGAGTTTACATTATCCAAGTCGGCGTTGCAAAGATCACAAGCCTTGCACCGGCGATTTGTATTTTATGCTCATCTCTCTGAGCTCTGTTTGAATTTCGACACAAACGTACACACAGTTCCGCCGGAGGTACATCCAACCGATGTCTTCACCCGTCAGATTCGCACTGGAACGACTCGCTCACGCCAGAGCTGTTCTTGGTGGACAGATGATCCAATCCATTAACGTCTGTTCCTCGGGTCGAAGACCAATGTCAAATTACGTTGCTGTCTTCTGCGGCTGCTCCAAATCCACTGCTTTGTCATTGTGCTGGCTTTCTCCGAGAACATTCTTCTCCATGTGTACAGCAGTGTGATTTGTCAAGTATTCCGAGGCATCTTTGATGAAGAGTGCCGTGATAATCGCAATCACACCAAATGGAATCGTGCTGAAGAAGACCCGCTGATAAGCGTAGCCGTATGCTGACTTGTAGGCTTCTGCTGTTGCAGAGATGAGAGCGGGGGTGGCACCTTGGACTTTGGCAAACGCGTCCGGAATCCCTCTTGCATTATTTGAGACAGCTGTCACTAGACCTTCGACGGCGTCTGCATCACCATGAAAACCGTTGGCTGTTGCTGCCTTCAAGATGCGAGGCACGAGCTGGCTGCTGAGGACGCCATTGCGAATGGTGTTGAAGATGGCAATGCCAACACTGCCTCCAGTATTGCGGAAAGTTCCCACCAATCCTGATGCAATTCCCAGATCCTTGTGTGGCACGTGGAGCCCAGCGACGACGTATGAACAGAGGGTGATCCACGAGAAGCACATCATGCCGAAAAGCTGGAAGATGACCCATGCGGTCTTGTGGTGCGGGATGATTCCGTAAGCGTACAAGGCCGAGAACAGAGTCTGGAGGGAAAGGGCAAATACAATTTGAGCCCGAATGTGCTTGATTTTGTGGATTAAGGCGGGGAGGACCGCTCCTCCGATGAATTGGCCGACACCATTCGGAATCAGGGCAACGCCGAGCTTGATCGGATTGCTGTCGTAGACAGACTCGGTGGCTTGAGGCAGCAGAGAAACCATGGCAAAGAAGACCATTCCGGACACGAAAAGCGCAACCAGCAGGATGGTAAATTCCCGGACCATGCGGAATATGTGGAGCGGCATCAATGGAAGCTTGGGCTTCATAGTCCAGTCGTAGACGAAGGTACCAATGAAGACCAAGGCTCCAAGGACGATTGGCACAACCACAGAGGCTGAATGCCATGGGTGACCCTGTTCACCAGCCCAACTCAATCCAATGAGGAAAACAGTCAAGCCTCCAGCGTAGAGGACGTAGCCCACAAAATCCAGCTCCAGGAACTCCTCCCAACGTGTCTTGTCGTAGTCTCGGCGTGGTCGAGCAGGGGGGAAGTAGAAGATGGCTGTTCCAACCAGGCAGACCGCCGCATATATGATGGATAGATAGTATACCCATCTCCACGTCGCGTGCTCGTTGAGCTGATTGGCGATGAGAGTGGCGAGAAGACCCCATGGGATAGTAATGCAGAATTCAGTCCATGCCAAACCCATTCCACTATATGCCAGAGTCAGCAAATACTCGAGGACTCGTTCTGGAAGAAGGAAAAGGCGGAGTGGACGTCTGCAAATGAGGACTTACCGATATTTGTTAGGCAGAATTTCCGGGATACCTGCGTAAGCAACAAAAATGAGACCGGCACCGAAGCCAATGATGGCAGACCCAGCAATCACATGTTGAGTAGTTTGAGCGGTGGCAGAGACAATTGCACCAACAATGTTGAGACCTTGTCCAGCCATGATGACATATCGACGGCCGAATATATCGCTCAGACCGCCTCCAAGAGACATACTGACTGCCGATGTCACTGCCCAGGATGAAGCTATCCAGCTGATCGGTTCCAAATTTCCCAACGCACTTCCAATCGGGACTAAAATGGACGACGCCAGAAGAAAAGCAGTCGAAATGCATCCTGAGAAGGACAAGCCCATGAACTAAATTACGCGTTTTTCTCAGCCAGAGTCGGAAAATATAGCAACAAGGAGAACGGAGGGTTCCTTCTTTTTTGCAACTTACAAAGACTGCCATGATCGTGGACCAGGTGACACGTTGCGGAACCTCAGGGTTGTCTTCGAGAGCAGCCCGATGGGGGTCATCCTCAATGTCCTCGCTGTCCTCCATGGGCGCCACCACTGCCACCTCCCTCTGTCTGGGGACAGCCTCAATCTCCTCCGTCTTATTAGTCATCTCTTTCTGCGCAGCTTCTTCGGCCATGATGCTCAAAGGGCAATGCTACCTCACTGATACGACTGGAGATCTTCTCAGAAGTAGAAGGTCAGACCACATATTATGCGGACATGGCATGTTTTTGCATTTGAAACCCCAGACCCCAGAGCCTGAGTCCGGGGAAAGGACGGGGACGGCCCACGACCTGGCAGAGCATGGGTCTGGATATTTTCGGACGGCCTGGATCCGTGGCGCGTGCGATAAGAAGGACTACTTGGGACGGTACGGAGAGTGACCGGACGTAGTTGATTTCCTCCCATAAGGCTTTTCTCGGGGTGGACGCCATGTGCGGAGAGGATTTGTCGGGGCCCCAATCAGCTGCTGTTTCTCCGCATACTGAACTGGCGAGCGAGCCGCAATTTGATTACTTGCCGCCGATGGTAGAGGCTGGATAAGGGGCATTGGTGAGGGGCTCGTTTATGCTATTCCGCGATAACACCCGCGTTTTGGAGCATTTGCCAGACTTGCAGCTTTTGCATCTAATGGATTCGCAGCATGCAGAACGAATCTGTACGAGCGGGAATCGAAAGTTCTTCAGATATGTTCGAGGCCAAAACCTGCAGTTGTGCCAAGGCGCCAATGCAGCGGAAGCATCCGGAAGCTTGCAACCTTAAACTGGGCACAGCAGCCACTCAACACCATTAAGCACCATCAAAATACCTAGTAACAAATACTCGGTATGAGCCGCCCAGTACCGCCCGCTCTGTCCCCGGCATCTTCTTGCAAGTACACAAGCACAAGAGACCTCCATCGGATCCTGCACCTCATAATTATTGGTAACCGGCCATGAGGGAAGTTGATTTCAACCTCGGAGACCATCGCCGATCTAACAATCTTGTCTTCCTTTCGAGGCCCTATTCATCAATTCTCTTACTAAGCTCTCGGGTAGGGACTGGCATTCGGAGAAGCCGACATAATTGAACGCTTTTGTGGATCAAAATGCCTTAGCAGAAACCACGCCCCAGATCCCTATCGTATATGTGTCGCCAGTCGTCTCCGGTTACCCTTTACACCTGAGTACTCTGCATATCAGGAGAAGTATGGAGTACACAAATTTAATTGCTCCCTCGAGAAAGAGCCTCCCCTTCGTGTCGACCCGGCAAATCTTCGGTGCTGAGGAGAACAATATTAAGGCAGACCCTTTCATTCCAAGAGAACAATAATAAGCACCGGCCTTTGTTCCGAGCCTTGGACGAACCCCCAAATTCCTACAATCCTCAGACATTATCCAGTGTTGTCGTCTTAAGAACCAATCTCAAGGACTTCTTGGCTCTTCGAAAACGGTAGGCGACTTTTGTTCGAAGCGTCTGTTAGACTATTCAAACAAAGCCCTGATCTGGAGAGGCTCTGGTGGCTTTGCTGCCAGGCATCTACATAAATTGCAATAATGGATTCTGAATTTTTTATTTATTTCTGAAAGTACTACCAGACTCAAGGTATTTTACTGGCTTCTACACTGACGCTCTAGAAAAAATGGTCGTTCTCAAACACGCAGCGATCCTATTGGCTTCCCTCGCTACTTTGGCTACTGCTTCACCTGCCTCCGCCCAATGGGGTAAACCCGACGTCTCCGCTATGGGTGTTGCGCACCGTGGTAACCCTAGTGACGCTGCCACAAACGGTGACGGGAAGGCTCACGAGCACGGCAACTGGCAACACTCGGCAGCAGGGAATGACGAGGAAGAAGAAAACAAAAACCCTCCAGAAAAGGGAAAAGATGGTGGAAAAGAAAATTACCATCCAGCCCGTGGAGAGGGCGCTCCGCCTGAGCACCGGACCTTTGCTGAGCACAAGGGGGGTGACGCCTCCAAGAGCAAGCCCTCAGTGAAGGATAGAGAGGATGAGACCCACAAGCACCATCAAGCCCGTGAAGAAGATGCGCCGCCTGGGCATCGCACACTTGCCAAGCACAAAGGAGATGATAGCTCCAAGGACAAGTCCTTAAGAAAGGATAGAGAGCATGGTACATACAAGCAGCATCATGCTCGCACAGAAGATGTGCTCGAGACACTCCGAAGACTAGCCCGGCAAGAAGATACAGTCGACAAGCAGCCACAAGGCGGTGGTCACGATCATCACGCCCACGGCCACGATCAAACGATGGAGCATGGGTCGCATAATCACACGGAAACTGGTGGGCACACAAAGGGCGAACTCCACGAGGCCCGGGCGGCAAGTCAAAAAGGTGTCTATGAGTGTGCAAACGCAAACTGGCTCCATCCATGTGTATGGACACCACTAAAGGATGGGCAGTGCTATAACAGGTAAGTATCACACTAGTAGCGCAGCTAAACAGGTTAGGGTTGAAGAAACCACGTTGACATCCGCTGGGAATAGGTTATATGGACGCTACGGCTCCATGGGCCCTGATAACGGCCTATCCTGCACTATCTACGAAGCCCCAGATTGCAATGACCACGGCTGGAACACATGCGGGCCGTTTGTATGGCCAGGGATCGCGGACTACCAGAAGAGCCACCTGCTGCTTTACCACGGGATGGCCGATGATGGTCCGTTCAGCATCAAGTGCAAGGTATGTGTTAACTTTCCGTTGAAGTCGGCAATGGGTACTGACATATAGTAGTCTACTTAGTCGGGCTGGAGTTGTCGTTGATCCTGTAGCAACAGGGAGGCCCAGGATTAGACTGCATCAAGGATACGTTGCCGTGGACGCATAGCAACAACCTCTGGTCAGATGGGTGATTGTTTGCTGCTTTGATGCCGTCAAGCCGACCTGGCATTCAGATGGCCTCTCACCAATGTATGTATCTAGAGACGTAATGAGATATAGGACGCAGAGAAATTGATGGGGATCAGTGGGGATTTCGTTTCTTCAGCTTGATGGGATTTTAGTCCAATCGGTGGCTTCCGACAGTCCCGTATTAATGCAAGGCTGATATTAACGCCACGAACAGCGCCACATATTATGACGTCGATCAACCCACCGATCTCTCTTTTTCGATCCTCGACCATCTTTCTCATTCTCTCAGACCCTGTTCAAGCCACCGATCTGCAATGGCATCCGTCATCGGTAAGCAGGTCGAACCCGACGAGGGAACCAGAAACAGGTTTTTGGACATGGAGAGCGTATTGCCATTGGGTGTGTATCTTTGACCTAGCTGTTTCTCTGCATCGGTCTTTGCAGGCCCACGATCTCGAGGCTGTGTCCACCACAATTGCAGACTGGGGGGACCCCTTTATGACATCGTTGTTCGTGGCTCCTGTCGCCGCTTCTATCTTACTCGAGTAGATGGAAGCCGCAGTTCGATCCACACTGGTGGGTATATATTCACGGATTCTTCTTCCCAAACACCTGCATTACTCCACGAGCGACCAAATATCCACCCCCTAGTCAAAATATTGAATCCACAAAACCTTACACAGAACACGTATTTCGGATCACCACCTAGGTACCAACGAAACCCACAATCATGAACTCTATCAGATCAGCCGGCCACTGGATCTCCAACAAGACAAAGGGCGGCGCTCACTCCGCCAGCAAGGAGACAAACAAGTCGTACGTCTTTCCTAACCCTTTCTTGTCCACACCTAGTTCAATTAGTGCTCACACTATTTGCAGAATCGCCAAGGATCCCAATGTCCGGACGTCTACTCGCCTGCGAGCCGCTGGTAATGCCATGAAGGATAAAGTGCACGAGACGAATTACAATCGACAGGCAGATGTGCACAGGCATGCGGCAAAACACAACTACTGAACCGCACCACCCATCATCGGTACTGAGTCCGAATACTATCGGAATGTCAATGGACGACGAGGAGAGAACGAAAGAAACCCTTGAGGACGAAGACTGCTTATCGATTACCAGGACAGTCTGCAAGAAACATGCGGCTGTCAAGAGTGACGATGCTGATGAGACGATATCCTTGTATTATTATGATTGCCCGGGTTGGTGCTCGATAAACCAAGACTGATGATTGATTAGCGGAAACTCTCCATCTAGACCTTCGTCATCTGCCTTCACGATTCATTGCCTTTTTATTCCACATACAATTCGTGGGTCCAGATATACAGCAATCGTTGCCCAAACCGGACCATGTTGCTTGAAACCCAATTATGGTAGATGCTCAGCAACGCAGAAAATCGGCCACTGAAAGGTAGCATGGCACTACATATCTTGCAGGATAACCACGCGAAGAGTGCAAAGACCGAGAAGTTATGGTGCGCTCTTTTTTTCTTTCTCTCTTTTTGGATGAATTGTCGTAGTGTTGTCGATATATATATATGCTGCCCAGTCGCCTCCATTCGCAAAACCCGGCAGGCAAAGCTTTACATTTGTTTGACAGCTTTCCTCCCTTGCTCCTTGGTATGATCATCTCATGACTCTGGACTAATCTTTCTTGTCTCCACAGCTTGTTTGCAGTCTCCGGCGGCAATCATCTATCGCTTATTTCGTCTTGATATGCTTCAACCTCGGTCCGGATTCGTGCAAGAAGTTATTTGCATACGCTTTTGGCACAAATCTCCTCTCTTGCGGTTCCTGCAAGTACCACTCATAGCCTTGTTTCTCCGCAAACGCGATCGCGTCCTCTTTCGTCTTGAAGTTCATTTTTGTGCCTTGCATGAAGTCGGCCGATGACTGCCAGCCCATCAGCGGGTTTTCCCAGCGGTGGCCTTTTCCAAGAACGTCCCAGTCCATCCGCCAGGCGTGGGAGCCCCAGGTGCCGGACTGGGTTGCGGGTTTGACGGGTTTATAGATTCTGGGTAGAGGCGCACATTAATTTCAGCTGTATCAGGAAGCTGCGCGACTTGATCCCCTCACCTGACTGTGCGAGCTTGTAGATCCACAGGAGCACCAGACAAGACTGCTGCGGGAGTCACATGTCCGGGTTCACTGCCGTTCATAACCCTCTTCGGCACTGGAGAGTATGTCGAGGTTCCGTGATCGACCATCGCTGTGTAGTCGGGCTGGTGATCGGGATGGTATTTCTCGACAGCGGGCTCAGGGCTATGGTCGATTTCGACCATCGAGGCTTGATCTTCGGTCATGTGCATAGCTTGGACGTCCGGGACAGCTCGAGGGTCGGGCTCGCCCAGCCGTCGCTGTGGAGTCTGCGATAGGCATCTCGTCAACCTTGGGACTTGGGTATATGTCCGTGAGAGCCGTATTGAGCTCTGCGTCCGTAGGAGCGACATCTTGGATTGTCTATGTGAAATGGCGAGCAAACAATGGAGGTCGACGTCGAACATGGAAGCGCAATCACGAAATGCCAAGCCTGAGCTGCCCAAAAAGGCCTAGCAAGTTGTTTGATCAACACAACCTTCATTGGTCAGCCTGAAGGAGCTCCTTCTACCGTTACAGGTGTGATTGTCTGCCTCGTCACCTACTCCTCCTGCGCGACAATAATCTGTACGGTGTAGGATACAAGGTAGGTAATTGCACCTCGACTTCGATTGGCCATTCAGCCAGTTACCGGAGACCTAAATGGATTGCCGTCACTGCGGTGTTCGATTGTCGCCAGTTAAAGCTGGCCGCACCTTAGAGGACGTCGATTGCAACACCTCGTGTACCCAGTCAGCCTGTAACCTCTAGCGCTTCCACTTCGACGAGCACTGGATATTATCTACTCACGAACATGGCGGAGAGCTCAGGAATCACAGCTTCACATGGTTTAGGTGAATACGGCCTAGAACCGCCACTCCTGAACCCCTCAGTTCAGCCGCATCGCTGCCTCAGGAGTTTTGGTGCGGACTTTGGCCTGACACGTTCACTGGAAAATGAAGGAGCATTCTTAGCCCCTACTCACCTTCTACCTGGAGCTCTCCTCGTGAGCATGCTCATATTGTGTCTTCCAAGTAAGCATGGCCGAATTGAATGATGCCCATCAGGAACTCATGCGTCATTGCGACTTCAGATTTGAATATACTTGCAAAATGGCTTGTGGTTCCTTGATACAAATTGTGAATAACACGATCCAGCTTTGCCATCCAACCGCACGGGAATTCCTCTTGAAGCAGAGTCTCGATCAAGGGTTGCTGGGCGTCGACTAGACCGTTGGCCGCGCCCTACTAGCCGAGATCTGCTTAGGATACTTGATGCTGGAGGACATTGAGATACCTCAAGGAGACGAAGAGGCAGATGCTCAAAAGTACCCCCTCCTTACTTATGCCCTTGCATATTGGCCGTTGCACGTCCTCTCTTCCTCCAACAGAATTCAAAATTATGAAAAAACGGTACGCCTTTTTTTTTTTTGGACAATTCAAATATCGCACGGTTTCACTCATGTCTCCGACCTACTAAGGATTTGGACTACTGGTTCCCTAGTAATACTCTCGGCGAAGATCTTGTTGTCTACGCTATAGTGTACTTGGGTCTAAACAACTTACTGCAGAGCATGAGACATGGAGGCAATGGTTCCGAGATAACGGACTCAGCAGCTGGGGGCAACGGGATGATCCTGGACTTGAACACTACCGTTGACGCTAGAAACTCGCTTGGCCATACCGCGTTACCCATCACATCGAGTCTAGGACCGTTAGAAATGGTACACGTTTTGCTAAGGCGGGGAGCTGACCCGAATGCTACGAATTGCAATGGCTTGAAATCTGTGCACTTCGCTGCGCAAGGAGATGACATTGATGTACTCAATACATTGTCAGTGCTGACGGAGGACATTGAGTCCCAGGCCTTAGAAGGAGAGACACCACTGCTTTTGGCAACTGATCCTGGCATAATCAATGCGCTTCTCGACGCTGGTGCCAACATCAACTGAACCCAAAATTCCGGCCTCACTTTGCTGCACTTCGCTGCAAAAGAGTCAAGCGAGCAAGTTGTTAAGGTTTTGATTGAGAGGGGGGCAGATGTTAACGCAATTTCCGATACAGGCGCGACACCACTTTGGTTAGCTGCAGACGCCAGCATCGCTCCCAATGTAAGGCTGCTGCTCTATGCCCGAGCAAAAGTGTTGCCAGAATCAGGTCTTGGTTGGAATCCTCTACATGCTGCTGCCAGAAGTGACTCTCTCGAATGCATAAAACTCCTTCTTGATTATGGTGTCTTCCCCATGACAAACCGACGGATGGAAGCACCGCAATGCATACTGCAGCGCTCTTCGGTTGCTGCAGTGCATGCAAAGGTCTTTTAGAAGCTGGTTGCAGACCCAACGATCAAGATGAGGATGGACCTACGGCCTTGATTTTAGCGGCTGAGGACGGATATGATTCCATCGTCAATCTACTTCTAGCTGCAGGTGCGTCGGTGAAGATTGTGTCGTCGACGGGCGTGAGAGCATTGTCAATTGCCGCTGGGAATGGCCACGCTGAAGCCGTCCGGCTTCTCTTGAGTCATGGAGCGGACAAGAACTTCGTGATGGAAGAGAGGGTACCTATGTTGCTCACCGCAATATACCGCGGACATCGTGATGTGGTGAATCTGCCGATTGAAAGTGGCATCAATCTTGAGTCTAGGTGGAAATCGTGGACGCCGTTATACCTCGCAGCAGTCGGGGACGATATCACAACAGTGAATGAGTGGCTTGAGAAAGACGTGGACATCCACTGCCCTGGACCAGATGGCATGACGATACTGCATCACGCCATCCGTCATGGCAGACATGAACTGATCAATCATTTATTAGATATGGGCTTCGATGTTAATGCCTGCATGAAGCCGCAAATGCCGGACAACTGGAGATTTCGACTCGATTGATAAGTTCGGGGGCTCTTGTCAACACATCAACTGTGTCGGGTTGGACTGCGCTGCATGTTTGCTGCTTGAAAGGCGATCTGGATTTGGTGAACATATTCCTGAAAGAGGGGGGCCAACATCGCTTCCCGCTCAAACAGTGGATTCACTCCTTTGGGCCTTGCCGCATATAACGGCCATTTAAAGGTCGCGGACCGCCTCATGAAAGAATCACATGAGCAACAGGTGCCGGTTGAGACCTGGAACTCTGCTTTAGTCCTCGCAGCAGGAGGCGGGCATTTGGAAATCGTCAAACGTCTTCTCCAAGAGGGCCTCGATGTGGAATTCAAGACTTCATTCGGCTCCACCAGCCTGATGCGCGCAACTGCCAACAACCATTAACTTGTCACCGAGTTCTTGATCAGCCACAGGTCAGACACAACTCGAGACTGTGGCCTCGGTGGCGATCTCGTTCATGATGCATGTGCAGACGGCAATATTGTGATTTTGGATCTTCTCCTTCAAGCCGGATGCGATGTTCATGCTCTGGACGGGTTCGAGAGGTCGGCAGCATACATGGCTGCAAGGGATGGCCATAATGACGTTTTGAATTTTTGTTTGAGAAACACGTCGATGCATCTCAGCCTGACTGATGGGGCCTCACGCCGCTCCATGAAGCTGCTGAAAGAGGTTATAAAATGTCGTCGACGACCTAGTTCATCACCGAGTTTCCATCGACCACATGTTTGAGTTTGGCGGGACACCACTCCTATCGGCTACAATAGCGCGGCGATTTGAATGCTCCGATCTGTTGATAAATGCTGGAGCAGACGCAACCATCAAGGATATATTTGGATGATCTGCTCTGGACATAACTGCGTTTCACCGTCCCTTTTGGCAAGATTGGGCACTTGGAGCCAATCAGTCGAGCCAACGGATCAAATAGAAACGACACAAACAAGAGCTGTGCGAAAGATATTTCAGTACCTTTGCAAATCGGGTTCTCATGATTCTACAGAAGCATGCACTGCTATGGGACCCTTGGTGACCGGCCTAGTCCTTCTGAAGGGCTATGAGCAACAAGGGGTTGGCCTACCCCGACACTTCAGGGACGATCTGGGTACAATATAGGCATCACCGCAGAATATTCAGGCATGAAAACTGTCGAAAGATTTGTCGGGATCTATTGCTTTCTCTCTGATCGACGCTGAAGCAGATGGCAAATATGGAATATCAACTGGCATTCCGTTCCGGGTCGTTGCACGGCACCTCTCGGACTAGCATGAGGCATCGCAGCTTGGAGCCTCATCTAAGTAGCTAGAGGGAGGTTCTAGATGGCGGTACTACTACTCTAATCGCATTTCGAAACAGCAAATATCTCCGACTACAGCTCCACCGAGGTCCGTCCAAACCTGTTATGTGCGGGTGTAGCGAGGTGTGAGTCATATTAACGCGGACGAGGTATTCGTATTAGTGATTATACAGATCCCCTATATCTATCTGCCATTTCTCCAATCCTCACATAGCAGTGGTATTCTCAATAGTTTGCCGTCACTCCCGAAAATATTGTGTGCGGGACAGAAGCGAAGATGTCCACACAACTCTCCTTCGTGACGCTCGACGTCTTCACCTCGACGCGGTACACAGGCAACCCGCTGGCGCTGGTCAAGGTGCCACGGATCCTCGCGCTTTCTCAGAGCCAGAAGCAGCGCATTGCCCGCGAGTTCAACCTGTCGGAGACGGTCTTCCTGCACGAGCAGACGCAGATGGACCTCGACGACCGGTCCGTGCGCATCGACATCTTCACCGCCCAAGCGGAGGTGCCCTTCGCGGGCCATCCCACCGTCGGGACGGCAAACTATCTTCTCCGGCTGCTCGGAAACGAGTCGGCGCGCAGCAACAATGTGAAAGCTCTGCAGGCAAAGGCAGGCCGCATCGGCATCGCTTTGAACCCGGCCGTGGATGGGGTCCGGATCTCCGTCGCGCACAACCTGCACGTCCACGCCGCTCCCTATGCAGACAGGCCGTTCGGGGAGTACCCTGTGGTTAGCATCGTCAAGGGCATGACCTTCATCCTCGCGCAGCTGCCGGACCTCGCCGCCCTGGCCGCGCAGACGGAGAACCTGATCGGGCGCGACGCGACGTACACGTCGGCCTTGGAGGTCCTCGACGCAGGCTGGCGCGAGGGCATCGTCATGACATACTCCTTCGTCGACCTAGGCTTTGCGGAGGAACACCATTCCTCATCCCTGCACGTATCTGGCGGCGCAAAAGTCCGCGCCCTGCGCACCCGCAGTCTCGGATCGCGCGAGGATCCCGCCACAGGCAGCGCCGCCAGCGCGCTGGCCGCGTATCTGGCCCTGCAGGAGGGCAGGGCCGGGCGGTTCAGATACGCGATCGTGCAGGGCGTCGAGATGGGCCAGCGGAGCGAGATTTTTGTCGATGTCGCCGTCAAAGCGGCGGCGGGTATTGAGGGGTTGGAAATCGAAGAGGTCCTCTTGAGCGGCAGTGCCGTGCAGGTCATGCAGGGTACGTTGGAGGTACCCACGCCGGAGCCCGAGCCGGAGGCCTGAGTTGATAGTTGCATGAGTGAAAACGGTGCTCACGCACCAGCTTGATACACATGTGTGGCCTATGACACGCCGGAAGGCAGTCCGACTCTGCCTTGGTCTATTTCGCATGACATTAGGACTCGAAAATGTGGAATATGAAAATGTGGAATACGCCAAACAAGTGATGCGTGCATTAGTTGATCGATCAATTCCTTATTGTTCTCTCGTCGTTAGAGCTACATATGTCCTGGAGGAGAACCAGATAGACAATCTGGGCACGCTCTTCATATCCGTCAACGGCCAGCCACGGCCTGCCGATCTCTTTCTCACACACGGCCCAGAGAATCGTACAATTTTGTCAATGAGATTAGCCTAGATCGACACCTGCTCCGCGTAGCCGTCTAGTTCTCGCTCGAAATTCCGGTGCTGGGAAATATTCCAGAAAAACTTGCCCGTAAAGTCCTTTGCCTCCTTCATCATGTTGACACCTTCCTTGACACTGCCTCCTGTGTCAGGTTTCTGCGCTGTGACGACACCGTACCAATCCACCACATCGTCGCTTTCTTCAGAAGCCAACTTCACATTCTGGACCTCAGTAAGCGCGGCGTGGACGAGTTTGACAGCCTCACCCACGGCGCCAATGGCTTTGAGATGCCCGAAAGCTTCTTTGACCCAGAAGCGTGCTAGACCAATCTCCTTCAGAGTGTTGATGGACTCGGCGCCACCGGGGATGAACAATGCGTCAAACATGGTGGATCGCTGACCGTTCAGGAAATGGTCGGGCTTCACCTGCGTCGAACCATCTGAAGCAGCTATAGGCTGCCGTTTGGTCCCGATTGTCCATGGGACAGCGCTTTGTGCGAAGACGGCTGCCTTCATGGCCTCGTACGCCTTATTGTCGAACCCGTCAGCAATCAAGATGGCTACGCGGCGGCCTTTGATCGTTGGTTCTTTGGGCATGTAGTCAAACTGGCTGAGACCCTTGGCTTTCTTGCCATGGTTCGGAACAGTCTGTTTTTCAGGGGTCTTTGCGCCGACGTTCTTGGCTACGCCCTGGGCGAGCGAGAGGTCAATCTCCGCCAAGCGGGTGACGAGGCGTTCATAGACGATGTCATCGTCGCAGTGATCCAATTCAAAGGAAAAGGCCTCAATCATGTGCTTCTTCTCGATATCGGACATGGAGTTGAAGAATAGTTGCGCTTGCGACAGATAGTCCTTCCATTTATGTGTGAGCATACGCGCTTTGATGCCAGGGTAGTGTGCTGGGTATGATTCAAAGCCGCCCTTGCCGCTGTGGCTAGTTGGTGGGTTGGCTTCCCATCTGTTTGGCCAGTAGTTGGCTTTACCCTTGGTTATGGTATGGCGGAGTTGGCCGTCTCGGTTGAAATTCAAAACTGGACAGACTGGGCGGTTGATGGGCAGTTCTTCCCAGTTCACACCCAAGCGGGTAATTTGAGTGTCTTGGTAAGAGAAGTTCCGGCCCTGAAGAAGCGGATCTTCGCTGAAGTCGATGCCAGGGACAATATGACTGGTGCAGAAAGCGACCTGTTCGGTCTCTGCAAAGTACTCATCAACATTGCGGTTGAGTTCCAGTTCACCGATGTAACGAATAGGCACTTGCTCCTCAGGCCAGACCTTTGTCGAATCGAGAATGTCAAAGTCGAATTTATCCTGGTCACCATCCTTGATGCATTGAAGTCCAAACTTCCATTTTGGGTATGCTCCGTTCTCGATGGCCTCCCAGAGATCCTTACGATGGAAGTCTGGGTCTTGACCAGCCAGTTTGAGGGCTTCGTCCCAAACCAACGAATGGACGCCCAGCTCGGGTGTCCATATGAACTTGCAATACGTCCTTTCTCCTTTGGCATTGACGAGGGCAAAGGTGTTGACACCAAAGCCTTGGATCATGCGGTACGAGCGGGGTATGCCTCTGTCGGACATGGCCCAGCAAAACATATGGGTTGCCTCCCTATGCAGAAACATGAAATCCCAGAAGTTGTTGTGAGCTGTTTGCCCCTGTGGGACTTCATTATCCGGCTCCGGTTTCAGGGAGTGGACAAGATCCGGGAACTGTCCAAAGCTGGTTAGACGACGCTGTGGAATATGAGGTAACTTCCACTCACCTTGATGGCGTCTTGGATGAAGAATACTGGAATCTTGCGAATTGAATCAGCTAATGCCTCTTTACACCGGCAGAGTCTGCTTACATCGTTGGCCACGATATCCCAATTTCCCTCGTCTGTGTAGAACTTGACAGCAAAACCTCTGACATCACGAACGGTATCTGCGCTGCCTCGACTACCCTGCACGGTCGAGAATCGGACAAAGATGGGAGTGGTCCGTGAGGTGTCTGTCAGAACGCCGGCGGTGGTGACATCTTCGGCACTCTCGCAAAGTCTGAAGTGGCCGTGGGCAGCAGCGCCTCTCGCATGGACGACTCGCTCGGGGATACGCTCATGGTCGAAGCGATGAATCTGTCACGGTTTAAAATCTTTGGACTGACAGCAACGTGGGACAACTTGCGCGTTCTCGGGCCACCGCGTCTTCGAGGAAAGACGGTCCAATCCTCCCGCTCTTGTCATCGGCAATCTTCAGCCAGTGGTCGACATCTGAGACTTTGACACCCCAGTCAGTGGTGGTGTTCTGCTTGGTGTCCTGTTGATCCCTCTTGTTCTGCTCGAGGTCGGCGATTTTCTTATTGTGAGCCATGCTTTGGACGGATTCTGCGGCTGAATTTCCAATGTCTCGCACGGTATTAGCGATTGACGAGGCCATTGTCTGCATTCGTGAGGAAGTCGAAAGAGAAGGAGGGAAAAGCGATGGGGGCAAGATTAAAAGAAAAGCGAGAGAGGGAATGAGCGGGGTTTCAGTTGAGTGTTGACGCGTTGTTGCACGTTTGCTACGACGGGTCAAGGGGTCTGTTCTCTACCAATGGCACCTATGCCGATTGAAGTGCTATGGGTACACTTTGTTCAGCACTCGAAGCGAGCAGCTGTTGCATCATAAGCAGAGGGGGGGGGTTTGCGAGAGCATGGCGAAACTGTCCCGTTGGGCCATTTGACGTAGGCAGATTCACGCATGGTTCCACATTGTCCTTTTAATGGTGGTGATGAAAGGCAACATTTCGTCACGGTGGGAATGTATTCGGAATATTGGATCCTCATGTAGAAAGTCGTTGCATGAGCCTCGTCAGGACGTGATATTCGGAATTGGGACCCGGATGAGAGGTTGTTGCATCATGACGCTGATCATGAAGTAACGATTGGTCCGGAATAGAACTGGGGAGCCAGGATGACAATCCGTCATAGCTTTGTGCTTGTGAACGGAGGAGTCTTGATTGGCGTGGCGGCGGCGACCTTTGTGATGGTGGTAGAATGGACAAATGCGTGACGTGGTGGCAGCGGAAAAGTGATCCAGGAGACGCAGTTGAAGATTGTCCGGAATAATGCTGTTCCTGCCGAGGTTTGGACGGGGTATGATTATGTGAGCAAGGCTGCGAGAATTGGCGAGGCTAGATCCAGGAATGGAGGCATGGCGGATGCGGATATGAGATCCATAGCCGGTTACATTCTTGTCTGGAGCAGGATACTTCCCTGAGACCAGCTGACCAGTCTCTTCTCCGGGGTTTCCCACAAATCGTGCCCAAAACGTCTACCAGGATTACAGTCTAGACTTCTTGCACAGCGGGTGTCATCAGCATGTTTCAGCAGCCAACTTCACTTCTTCTTGAAAGGGCGGTCTGATTTATAATTTCGTGGTTGCTGCTGTGCTGGTGGACACGGGGATAATTGGAGGGCGAGGGAGAACGAGGGAGGGCGAGGGAGGCCATCTTGTTTCACGCAGAGAAGTGATGCTTCGACCATCGTGACCATGTGTCGGATGCAGGAACAATTTATCATGTAATAGCCTCGGACTCTGTGGTGTCTGCTGGACGTGCGGCAAACTCAATCATGTATGAAATGGAGAAGGGAGAAATAGGGTTGGACAAGCGAGAGCTGCCAGTGCCGATGGTGTCGCAAAGTGTTGGCGCTTGTTGGTTGCTGTTGGTACAGTACGTACAGTAGTACCCAGTAGTGCCGAGTCGGCCATCTCCTCCCACGCCCAGAGATGCGCCTGCAACCAATCAACCTGGCGTCCGGGGCTCGCCAGATGCTTATCAGTTCGCGTTCCTTCGCCTGCGCCTGTGACAGTCGCGTGCAGATCCGCCCAGCAGCCTGTCCGCATCTCGTTCGACCCTCCTTCGCCTCCACCCATCGCTATCGTCACCCATCATCAACCCTCACTCATGCCGCACTGCCTGGGGGTTTGGGGCTTGTTGACCTCCCGATCCAAGCCCATCTGACCTATTCATGCCTAATCTCACAGTCATTCCCCCATGTCATCTGCACACAATCGCCCTCCGCCCCAAATTCTACTTTCTTCGGCTCGTCCCTTTGCCCGCGCCCGAATCAGCCTCGATCCCCAGGCTGATCCCAAGGGTTCAGGCTCCTATCAGAGATTCCCTTTTCTGCCTGTACTAATAGTATTGGGGGTGTGACTGCCTTATCGGGCCCTTTGTCTTCGTCCAGCATCTCCCTCGTCTTGGGGACACGCCTGCGCTACGCTCACACTCCTTTCACACTGCCACACCAGGCCGCATCGCCTTTACAGCGCATTCGTGTTTCTGCACTGTTTCTTCCTCTCATTTCTTTTTGGTCTTTCATGATCACGCTCACGATTTCATAGATCGACTTTTTTCCCCCAACAGGACCTCTCGATTCGAAGCCTAACCAATAGTATTGTTGCGCAGTGCTCGTTTCATTGACAGCACAAGCCGCGACGGCGATCGAACGGAGCCTCATATACCCTCGGGCTCATTACCATACATACGAGCAGAATCTGGACGGTTCTGAGACCGGGGCGAAACATATCCAACGTTGTCTCGAGCTTACCACGCCGGTACTTCGACCGACGTTTCAACAGCGATGATAAGCAGGTTACAGCTTGGATAGCTGTTGATACCCCTCAAGCGCTCTACTCCAGAGTCGATAAGCAATGGCTTTCTCTCATATCCCGTTCTGGACGGCGTCCTCTCTACCAAACCACTGCACGCCGACCTCTCCCCTCTTGTCCGAAGTATCCTTATATCTTGGTTTTTGCATACCTACCCCTCTGGCCGCGCTCTCTACTCTCCTCGGCACCCTGTCAATAGTATCATGGCTATTCGCGCAGATGCCACAGATTTTCAAAAACTATTATATCAAATCCACTGCAGGTCTCTCGATTTTCTTCCTGGGCGAGTGGTTACTAGGCGATTTGGCCAACCTTCTGGGAGCGATATTCACCAAGCAAGCAGGCTGGCAGATCATAATCGCAACCTACTACGTCTTCGTTGATATGTGCCTAGTGGTTCAGTACTTCTGGTACAGCTACGCCGCAAAGTGGATGTATGAGGAAAGCCTCCATTCCACAGGGAGCAGCGATATCGACGACGCCGATAGTGCTATTATAAATGGGCTGTCTCCCATCAACTCCAATTTCGCCAGTGAGGGCCCGGAGCTCAGGGACTCCGACGACTATGCTCCTAAACGATCAGAGCCCACAGATGTCACTGCTCCTCAATTTTCTGCTGTAAATTATGGCGAAAAGAAAGGAACTCCGCCTCAAGATATTGTCTACGGGGACAAATTTGGGTCGAGTTGGATGGCTTCACCCTCACCACGCACTCTTCTCTATGCAGCTACCATGGCTTCCTTGGCCTCCAATGTGGCAGCTGCTCCGGTACCTTTTCCTTCCGACCACCATGTGCATGGAATTCATCTCTTCCGCGTCGACACCCCTCTCGAGATTACCGGCACTATCTTGTCGTGGTGCTCGACCTTCCTATACCTTGGGTCAAGATTACCTCAGCTGTACAAGAACTGGCGCCGGCAGTCAACTGCTGGCCTCTCACCGCTTTTATTTATCGCTGCGTTTTGCGGCAACTTCTTTGTATGTCCCCCTTTTGCTTGAAAAGCTGTGTGGTATTTGGACGAGTTGTTCGTTTGAACCACATCAATTTCTGTTACTCTGCTAACTGGGCGCATCAGTACTCTGCCTCCTTGATCACCAACCCGAACGCATGGAGCGATTACGAGCCATACGGACATCACGGTTGGGTGGATGCGGACGGGAACCAGAGATGGGCATGGGTGGCCCGAGCAGCGCCATTCTTTCTGGGGGCTGCAGGAGTGCTCATGATGGATGCCTTGATGGGTGTTCAGTTTATCATGTATGGGGAGCGAGAAGACAGAATCGTGAAGGTAAGAGATTCGCACGGGTATAGTCATTGGGAGCGAGTCAATGGATGGATGAGAGGCTGGATTCCGGCCATGGTCGGAAAGGATAGAGTCGTGGATATGGCCCAAAGTCAGCGACTCCTGCATGAGAGCGGACATTTGAGTTTGAGTCGGCGACGGAGTCACCATCACGTCGACTACGGTACAGTAGCGTGATACTGTTAGACATGATTAGACGTATAGAATATGTGTTTCCCCATGAATTCCGTGTTATTGGGGAGAACATGAGAGCGATGAAGAATGCCAATACCGCAGGCCCAAAGCGATGTTGATTTGTATTTGACGTTAGCTCCAACAAAACGCGGTGGTGACGGCATTTTGTCCGCTTCCGAATCTCCGCATCTAACAGTTAATACGAGGTACTCCATGAGCCGCTCACCATCACTGCACCAGACTTGCACGAAATCTCCCTTTCTTACCACCTGGGTTGAGCTTCGAGTTCGGTTTCTCATGATCACAGCACGCCTCGTCCGCCCGATCCTCTCTACCACCGCCGCATTTGCCGCGTTCATCCGTCCTGCGAATACCCCGCACTTGGGAATTTCATTGAATTTACTAGCATTCGCGCAGCAGCCCGCGAGAAAGATGCATGTCTTGAGTATTCCTATGTGTATGTCTACCCACATCATTACACTTGTGCTAGTATCTGTCAATATTGGAGAGAACGCTTCAAAGGAGGACTGTTGATACCATCTGACCCCCGGGGCGCAATTGTGCTGCGATGGGGAACTGCTGAAGAGAATGCTAATAAGCTGTGCTATTCAGGGGTTGGCTCGTCCAACAATTATGCGTACTTGGTCAGCGATGACGAGACCAAGGATGCTGTGATCATTGATCCAGCAAATCCTCCAGAGTACGTTTCAAGCTTTCCCAGATATCGCGGTCTAATAGGGATGAAAGCTGACGCCCATCCTTTCTGCTTCTCCAGAGTCCTTCCTGTCCTCGAGGAGAAATCCAAGTCTCTAAACCTAACTGCAATCATGAACACACACCATCACTGGGACCATGCTGGCGGAAACAAAAAGATGCTGTCCGCCTTGCCCTCCCAATTACCCGTTATCGGAGGCAAGGACTGCGAATGCGTCACAAAGACTCCTCCCCATGGGTCAACATTCTCGATAGGCAAGAATATTGAAGTCACCGCCCTGCACACGCCCTGCCATACACAGGACAGTATCTGTTGGTACATGCAAGATAAGTCCACAAACGAACGAGTGGTGTTTACTGGTGACACGTTGTTTATCGGCGGCTGCGGTAAATTCTTTGAGGGCAATGGTACAGAGATGAATACAGCCCTCAACGAGATCTTGGCTGCGTTACCGGATGATACAAAGATCTACCCCGGCCACGAGTACACAAAATCCAATGTTAAGTTCTTGAAGAAAGTCGACGGGAACAACCCGGCGGTGAAAATGCTGGAGAAGTTTGTGGAGGAGAACCGGGAAACACAAGGAAAGTTTACCATCGGCCAGGAAAAGGAATATAATGTATTTATGCGAGTAATGACGGAGGATATGAAGAAGGCCACGGGGAAGACGGAGCCTAGCGAGGTGATGGCTAAATTGAGGGACATGAAGAACGCAAGTTAAGCCGCTGATGACACGGAGATAGTCATGGACTTCAAGTTCAGAAACTGCTCTTTGAAATCATGTAAAGACACTATGCTACCATATTCTCCTGCACACCGGCTCGGTGTTCTTTGAACCGAATAGATCAGGCCTGATCAAAAGACAGTCTCACAAAATATTCTCACAGTAGATATATATTGAAATTGTTGAAGTTCTTTTGCAATCGACCATAGGATGTGGAAAACAGGGCTTCCCGTTCGCTCAGCTGTACTTAAGCCACATGCCGGTCAGTTAGTACTAAGGTGGGTGACCACTTGGGAATCCTGACTGTTGATTGTTTTTGCTCTATATTGTTTTGCTTTTTGCCTCAATTCTATAGAATAACTGAGGAGAAGTACGAGATATATTGTCATCCTTTTTATTTTGTCGAGATGTGGCCGTTTTTGCAGCCATGTACGGCGGACCAATGTGGCAGTGTAGAAATATGCCTTATTGAACCTAGGTCGATCAAGGTCGATCTGACAATTCCCTTGGTACACGTCGTGGCGGGTGGCTGGCGCCTGTGGCGCCTATTGCACGGAGTCCTGGGCATCACTAGCAACTTCTCCCAAACAGCATAACAGCGGAGTACCCAGTACTGCACTGCCCTCTTACCTCTTCCGGGGCTGTATCTTGACCTTTTCGGCAGACCATCTAAACGGCATTTCGACGTCACATATCAAACCCTGCACCACAGCTTTGAGCGAGATTCTCCCTGCAGCCCACAGGCAAACCCAGAAACGATCCCAGAAACGGTCGTCCAGCCGTTCGCCGTCGCCTTCTTTGTCCTGAATGTACAATATCCTCGCCATCGCCCCTCTCCACAGTCTAATTTCCTGCGCATGAGACAAAATCTCCAGCCGACAAACCACACCGACCCTTTCCTCTGAGACGCAAGACCTCGCCTGCGCCGACGAGACCCCCTCTCTTGTTGTCTCGAGTTCTTCTTGCTAGATCCGCATTGCAACGCCTCCTCTGCTCTCGACGTCGTGTTTTTGCAGTCTCCTTTGCCACCCTCGAAACCGATGCGAGAACCACTCCTTGACCGCCTTGAAACATGTCTGGAAAATACTCTGTCGAAGATCTGTTGAAGCTGCGAGCATCGCCGCTAATATGCAAACCTCCAAATTTACCACCTATAGAGGAATGGATGGGGTATGGAATACATGTTAATTTCGTGGCTGAAGCAGGATCAAGACAACTGACGTTTGCCAGTGCACAAGAACTCAGTGGCAGAAGACCTATAACTCGAGGAGTTAAAGATGAACAACCTGTCCAAAGTGAACCCTTTCAAAAGAGACCAACTTTAATTGACTCTCACCGTCGGACAGCGACAGGTACGCTTCCAATATATATCCTTCAGCTGGCCCGACTGACTGAGACTTTGCAGATCCCGATCGCATAGTTCTTGGTCCTCCTCGCCGCTCTTTTGCTTCTTCTAATGCCCGTGCTGTTGGCAAGACGCAGGATCTAGCAGAGGAAGCGGGAAATCATAAAGACCGATCAGCGTTCAACGACAGATCTAGAAATGGCGACGAGTCCGAGCCTCGACACCATGAGCGAAGATATACCCAAACAAATGGTCGCTACAGTAGTCGTCAAGAGGGCGAGGATCTAGAGACCGAAGGTCGTCGTGACTACGACCGCAGACCGAAATGGGCAGGAAGAGACAGGAACGATGACCAAGAGAATGATCAAACACAGGACGATTCATCACGTGGTTTCAGAAGGGACACGCAGTCGAGGGCGAAGCTGTCGCAGTCATGGTTTAAGAAAGATACCGGAGACGCTGAGGACGACAAGACACCTGACTGGCGTCGCGATCGAGGAAGAGACCGTGATTGGGACAAGGATCGCCCTGCCAAAGTGGAGGCGGAGCCCGAATGGATGGACTCGACTGAGCCAGAAGAATCGTTTCAAGCCCGTACTCAGGAGGACTTCCAACGATGGAAAGAGCGGATGAAAGCCGGCAGCACAGCAACTGTTGACAAAGTCGAAACAGCCGCCACCAGTCCACCACCAGAAGAGAAACCGGCCAGGAGAGTCGTTTCCGCCGAGCCGGATGACTCAATGGACAAATTCTTTGCCAGATTTGAGTCCAAGGCGACTGAACAGAAGGCCGGGCCAGCAAAGTCACATGGGAAAACGCGCTTTGCGTCGCTCTTCAGCCCTGCAACCGAACAAAACAGGCAGATTGAACCTCCTACTCAACCACCGCCCTCGGAGAGACCTTCATCGGCGCAAGCGACAGGCTCGGCGACGGATGCTGACCAAGCTGGATTCGCTCGCATCCTCGAAATGTTGCAGACACGAAGTAACAATCCTACTCCTCAAAACCAAGAAGCACTGAAACCGCGAACACCATTATACGCAAGAGCCAACGAGCAGAAGTCCGAACCAGAAGCGAAGCCTCCAACGCCTACACTGTATGCATTGTTATCTGGCCAACTGGCAGGTCAACTGCAACAGCCTGAACAAATTCAACCGGCTGCACCTCAGGAAAGATATACAGAGAGCAAATCTCCAAGCGAGCAACACACGCATACACGGCAGCAATCCAGCATCACTAAAGACGAGGTTCTTCTGAGCTTGCTTCGGCAGGCCTCTCTGGCGCCAAAACCTCAACCACCACCTCCTGCTGGAGGAGGAATGTTTGGATTACCACCTGACCCGGGCAATCGTGCGGTCCAGCCAAGGGGGCCGGTGACTTCTCCAATTCAGGCTCAGCAAGATCCGACAATAGCACAACGAAGGGAACCAAGAGGGCCAATGTTCGAAGAGTCGCCCATTTCCATGTACCAAAGCGAACAGGCGCCGCGCGAACAACCCGGTAGAAGGCCGACCAACGGCACGCAGTCTTTGTATTCGGAAGATCCGCTGATTGCAATGCTCCGTGGCCAAGCGCCTCCACAAAGACCAATGCAGCCTCCTCGACCGCCTCAAGCACTTCCACCTGGTCTTCAGCGGCCTCCTGGACTTGATCAAATGCCACGACAGAATCCAAGCTGGCCTCCTCAGCAGCCACAGCAGCCACAGCCTTCGCGTCAGCTCTCACTCCCACCTGGCTTGCCGAACCTCCCCCGAGGGATGTCAGGAGCACCGTATGGTCAACCTCAGCAGATTCCGAGTCAACAGACTCTGCCTCAACAGCAGCGTCCGCAGCAGCCACAACCGCAGCGGAAATACACTGCAGATTCGTCTGGGATGCCCCCGAACCTTCCTCCCGGCATGTATCCCCCGCCTGGCTTCATGAATGCAGGACCTCCGCCGGGCTTTCCAGGTGCACTGGCAAATCATCCCGCTTCTAGGTTCGGTGGTGATCCGGGTGCGCAGCAACGAGCTTTCATGGAGATGTACGGTGATGTTGGCGGAAGAGGATTGGGGTTGAGGGGTGGTGCTGGAAGTTCTGGGATGCCGCCGTACCGATGAACAGGAAAGGCGGTGATGGAGATATGTTTATGAACGTAGGTTCTTTGCAAGGGACGGAGGCGCAAGCGATGGTTGAAGCGGTGAGCGTTGCGGATGCGGAAGACGTACCACATTCCAGGTTGCAGGAGCATGGAATGGGCCCGGTTCAAGTGGTGGACATCAACGACGCAACAAATCCTTGCGGGGATTGTTTGTCGCCAGTTCCACTCGACGAGGCTTTCGGTGGCATGGATGCAAGCACAATAAGTGTGCCATGAAAGCCACCAGTGCGGCAGGGAATGTAGATCGAGCATTCGTTCTGGACTCACGGAACACGCAGGGGAGGCAAATTTGGACTGCGACAAGAACGAGAGAACGATGAGTGCCCAGTACTTCAAAGGGACAAAGCGAGTGATATCCACGGAAGGGGGAGAATCACAATGCAAGCGAGAATCGACCAAATAGCAATGCAGTTGTTCTTCTGCTTCTGCTTCTGCTTCTGCTTCTGCTTCTGCTTCTGCTTCTGCTTCTGCTACCCATTTAGTACTTTAGGGAAAACTTCTGGACCGTTTGCGGGTAGTGTGGACTCGGCCAGTTTGTCAATCCGTGTTTCGACACACCCAACAGCCCACCGGTTGAACCACTCACTCTTGGACTTGGACTTGCTAGCGGGAGCATCTGTCCCTGAAGTGAACCCTGCCTGTGCACTGCGTATGAGGACTTGTTGTAGCTATGCAGGAACTGATATCGCGGCTCGCTCAAAAAGACCCGACTCGTCGATGGATGTATGTACAAAGTATGCGCGTAGGTACACATGTATGGACCTCAGCTTTTGTGGCGGCGTTTAATCTTCTCAACAAGCCTCTTCACATCACTGACTCCATCATCGGGTTTGTTCGCACCGCCATCGCTCTTGCTCTGTATAATCCGACCATGAGCATCATCACCGATGGGCGGCTCTGGACGAGAGTGTTTCTCGTCTGGTTCGCCTTTGTCTTTGTGCTTTCGCCTGCGTCCTTCCTCCAACAGCGCGCGCATGGCTTTCGTGCCCTTGAATTTCGGATTCGTCGGATCGATGGCGTACTCATGGCTCTCAAACAGTCGAGAAAAACGAGGATCGGAGGTGTCCACTTTGAACCCGTCTTGTTCATCTTCTGGGTTGTCACTGTCGTTTCTGCCGTTGGCTTTGCCCTTCTTAGCTTTGAGTTTCTTCTTGTTCTTCTTCCGCTCCTCCTTCTCAGCCTTCTGGATCTCGCGCATGTCGAAGTGCCTGATCCTCTTTCCTGCTCCGTCGGCGCCGTCTTGGGCAACGCCGTCGTCGTCGGCCATCAACAATTCAAGCTCCGCTCGCTGCTTGCGCTCTACCTCCTCTTCGGCCTCACGTTCCTTCTTTTTCTTCAGACGCTCTTCCTTTCTCAATTTTTTGGAGGCAGCTTTCTCGGATGCCGCTGACGGTTCCGCAAAGAACGGGTCCTCGAAACCCAAATCTTCCTGGTCGTTCCCAGCTAGAACTACCTGTTCTTCACCGCTGTCGTTGTCGTTGTCGTCGGCATCGGCCTCGGCCTCGGGAACGCGACCCTCACGAACATTCTTCATTTTCTCCTTACGCTTCTGCTTCCTCTCTCTCTCCTTCCTGACGTATTTCTCCAGCGTTGTCTCCTCGGGTTCGGGTGAGTTTTCGAACACTGATTTCTTACTCGTCTCCTTCGACCCACCACTCAACCCAGAAGTGAACGTGATCTGCACACCTCCGACCGGCCCTTTATCCTTCTTAGAGGCCTTCTTCTCCGGCTCGAGCGGGAGGCCAAGGAGCGTGCGCATGCGTTGCCTTTCTTCTTCTTTCTTACTATTCGAAAGAGCCTCGTACTCCTCTTCGTCATCATCCGAACCGTCCGAAGCCAGATACGCTTTCAGATCATTCTCAAGAATTTCGTGCCTCCCACCTTTGAAGGCTCTTGCCACTGCTTCTTTCCGACTGCCATCCTCGGCGTCCCACGTCAATTTTACCTTGGAATGCTGCAATGCATCTGTAACAAACTCATTCGGCCGGTAATCGTCAGGGATTGTATGACACTCTTCACGAGGAATATCGGTGGAGAAATCGGTGTCCTCAGGCACGAAACGGAGGTCAAAGAAATTTGCTGTGTGCAAATATTCAGTCCCATCGACGGCATCATAGATCTGTTTTGCCACAGTCGCCGAAGAGAATGTCAAGACGGCGTAGAAATAGCGCAGACGTTCAAGTTGGTAGCGGCGCAAGGCAGTGGAGTCGAAATCGGTGGTGCCGTCGTCGGGTTTCAGCAAGGAGTTTTTGATGTCTTCATCTGCCTGTTCTTCGTCCTCGGAGAAGCCTTCATTCGCGTCTTCCTTTGCAGGATTCACAAAGATATCTTTGGGTGGACCTTCCATTTCTTCACGTTCCAGGCGCTCTTTGCCGAACTCACTGGGGTAGATGGATACCTTGAGCAACGAGCCTGAAGATGGGAGGAAACTGGTGAAGACGGCCATTAGATCGGCGGCACGTATATTGTCCCAATCGAGGTTGACAATGGCAATGCGAGAGGTCACCTCGCCTGTCGGGACGTCTGTTGGCTGCGTCGGACCGACGCCAACCTCCTCCTCCAAAGTTGCTGCTTCTCCCTCTTCGGACTCCTCGTCACTTGTGGTCTCATCTGAGGAAGACTCCGAGCCAGAGTCTCTACCTTCCCGCAACGGATCACGCGTCTTCTTCTCAATCCTGCCCAGTTCCTGTTGCACTTCGCCATCGTCGTCCGGCGCATCGCTCTGTTCATCATCTTTGCCCTCTTCATCACTATCAAACTCATATTTTCGCTTCAACCGCTTCCGCTCCGCGTGGGATTCGAGTGGGCGGCCATACCGGTCAACCTTGGCTCGCTTTACAAAGTCCTCATCTTCAAGGACTCGAGCAAAACGTTTGTCGACCTTGACCTTGCTTTTCTTTCCGGGGAGGCGGTAACGTGGGTCGAACTGGATATTTGCGAATCGAGGATCGGTGATACGAGGGCCGGTTGAGGTCTTCGGGGACTTCGCTGTTGTCTTTAACTTTTTCCTCGAAGGTTCCTCCATCCTGACTGTGGCCTGCGTTGAGCAGCCTGCGGTAATGGTACAATTGCGACAAAGCACACGGATGGTGAAAAACGTTCTCCGACTGCCAAAAAATTGGTGACTTGGTGGGGGGGAAATGGTTCCACAGGCGGAAAAAGCCGCCTCACTACTGGGTAGCCTGCGCCTTGTTCAGTGAGGGTGGTGCTTGGGTGGTGTTACCATTCCACTTGGTCCCTTTTGTCCCTTGCAGCAACCAGGGTGTGAAGATCCTTTTTCGAGCTTCCCTTGACCATAGATCGGTCCCTTTTTCTCAAATCAAAATATCTCTTCCTTGCTGTCCCAAGTCGATCTCGGTCTTCCATACTCTGCGTACAGAAGGCGCCCCTCCTCCGCTCACTTGTGGCTCGATTTCCAAGGGCGCAGTCGGCAGCCAAACCCTGCCCCGCCTAGTCGGTCTCGGGTAGCGACGTGCTTCATTGACAAAATGCCTGCGGGGTCCTGCTTGATCACCGGGTAGGTCAGGTCTGTACAGGAACCTAGACAAAGACTGATCTTGTCTTCTCCTCTCAGAGGCACCGGATACATTGGCTCCTTCACAGCCCTAGCCCTTCTCGAAGCAGACTACAGGGTCGTCGTGGTCGACAACCTCTACAACTCCTCTCCAGAAGTCCTCAATCGGATAGAACTCATTTGCGGCAAACGACCCGAATGCTACAATGTCGACATCACGGACGAAAAAGCCCTCGATGATGTCTTCTCCAAACATCCCGACATCGACAGCGTCATTCACTTTGCCGCATTAAAAGCCGTTGGCGAGTCGGGCGAGATTCCCCTCGACTACTACCGTGTCAATGTCTATGGCACACTCTGTCTCCTCTCTTCGGCTGCCCGACATAATGTGACAAACATCGTCTACTCCTCATCCGCTACCGTCTATGGCGACGCCACGCGTGTACCGGGCATGATCCCGATTCCAGAAGAATGCCCCCTGGGACCTACAAATCCCTATGGCAATACCAAGTTCGCTTCCGAGTTGATGATCACGGACCATATCAATGCCGAGCGCGCAAAGGCCCAAAAGCAAGGGGATGCAGATGCAGTCAAGAAATGGAACGCCGGACTCTTGCGATATTTTAACCCGGCGGGAAGTCACCCCAGCGGAATCATGGGTGAAGACCCCTCGGGAGTACCATATAATCTGCTCCCATTGCTCGCGCAAGTTGCCACAGGGAAAAGAGACAAATTGCTTGTATTTGGCGACGATTACGCATCTCACGACGGCACCGCCATTCGCGATTACATCCACATCCTGGACTTGGCTGAAGGCCACCTAAAGGCACTCGACTATCTACGCACGCATCAACCAGGCGTCCGCGCCTGGAACCTAGGCACCGGGCGCGGCTCCACTGTGTTCGAGATGATCAAGGCGTTCAGCAAAGCGGTGGGTCGGGATCTACCCTACGAAGTAGTTGAGAGAAGACCAGGTGATGTACTGGATCTGACCAGTAACCCCACACGGGCAAATCGAGAGCTGGGTTGGAAGGCCACCAGGACGATGGAGGATGCATGTGCCGATCTATGGCGGTGGACGGAAAATAACCCCGAGGGATACAGGCAGAAACCGCCCCAGCAGTTTTTGGATGCGTTGAAGAAGAACAACTGAAACAGTCTGTGCGTGGTGAGGGACACGAGGTATGACATGGAATGTGGGCTGGATGGTCTGAGGATTCATTTTTCGAAGGAGGCAAGATCGATGCGAACAAGGGAGGCAGCTAGTCGGATAGATGGGTCTGGGCGATTGCATACGGAACGAATACCCTGCACACAAAATGCACTGGCGGTGAGCAATGAATGGGCAGTCGGTTTGCACGAACATGATGTATTGGGGGGGGGGGGGGGGTTTCAATTGTTTTGGTGGCCCCCAACAGGGGGTCAGGTAAAGATAGACGGAACGACGAAGGATACTGTCTAGATATGTGAAAACAATCCAAGCTACAGATGGGGACGATCAACAAGCAAATGCGGAAACGGAAAAGATGTAAGAACAAGGCGATGTCCAAGAACTAGCACATTGGTCTGCTTTCAGGCTTTGACAGGATGAAGTTTACCACAATCCTAGTGCTTGGTACTCAGCCGCGAATCTTGACTTTTCAAAGGATCTACCATGTCTACCGAGTATTTCCATTTCTCGACCTGAGCCATGACTAAGCCACTTTGAGCTGTGGCAGTGCCTGCGCGGGCTCGGTACGAGCGAGGAGGTACATACACCTCCCTTGACCTCTCTCGCTCCCTCAGCTGGGTGCTGAGTGCCATGTGAGCCGCCCGAAGTGCTTGGCCATGTTACTAGCAGTACTAACAGGATCAGGCAACGATGGTTTCCGTCTCGGCTTTGACCACTTTATCATGACCGCTCGCCGGCAACATCATCGGCCTTCCTTCAGGGATCCATGCCTGGTATAGCTATTATATTGTGTGCATGATTGCGCTATATCCATGGAGCATGCTCTTCGGACTGACCTGGAGGTATTTCCTTCACAGCTCTACTCACCTAGGACTTATCATTCATGCAAGCACTGTGAAAATATTGTAATCGACCTTGCCGACTCTTTTGACATACTAGTCACGGGTGTTGTCACCGTGACTGATACAATCTGCGATGTGGTGTTGGCTTCGTCTCCCGAGAGCGCTAACAACGCGGCCAAAGATGGATGCGCTCTCTTTGATATGCTGTTACTTCAACTCCAAGGCAACTTTCCTCCATCTCCCGAGAATGGTCAGCTGGTCCTAAGAGTTCGCTTTAAGAACCCCGGCGAGATTTATTTCACCCGTGTCGAGTATGGATGGAGCGACACTGCTACTTCTAATGATATAAGTTTGCGAGGCTTCGTGGCCTCTGACGGAAAGAGAGCCCAACCACGACATCCAAAAGATTTCCACGTCATTGGGATCGTTGATTTGTTGCCGCGCAAGAGTCAATACACCCCGGCTCCCGCATCAGCTTTTGGACCTACCGGGGAGCCGATTATGACACGGGAGCATTGGGAAGATGACCTTGAATCGGTATTGATGGATAGCAAAAGTCACCTCGATCATTGCCAAAATAACCACCAATGTCGACCGCGAACAGACGAGTTTCTGCCAACAAGATTGGTTAAGATTTGTCGGGACCATGGGAGAGTCACTGCAAAGATTCATATCACCCAGAAAGGGGAATCCCTTCAATATGCTGCGCTGTCTTACGTATGGGGTCATGTGAAGCCAGTCGTGATCGATGGAACCACCATGGAAACCTGGGCTCAACAGCTGCCGGTTGCAAAGCTACCAACGACCTTACAGGATGCCCTCATGGTTACCCTCAATCTTGATCTTCGATATCTGTGGGTAGACTGCCTGTGCATCTTGCAAGATGATCCCGAGGACAAAGCTCGCGAGATTGCCAAGCTCCCACAGATATTTGAGAATGCCTATGTCACCATTTCAGCCGCGGGGTCCAGAAGTTGCGATGAAGGTTTCCTGCCCCGAATAGGATCTCGCGCCAGCTCGCTGCTGGCGCCCCGGCTGACAATGATAGACTTGATGAACAATCCTGAGCAGTTATTCGTACGACCTTCTGGACGGGAATTTGACCAAGACAATCAGCCAATCCACAAACGAGCGTGGACACTACAAGAACACGCTCTATCTCCTCGAACATTGATATTTGGCACCGGGCACGTCAAATTTGTCTGCCGAGAAGGGAGTAAAGTGATTTCAGGAAAAGACTATCTGCGAGCTATCAGAGTTCATTTAAGCTTGCCAACGATGAACAAGATTCACAGTCCCCGGGAAAGATGGTACGACACTGTCAAAGATTACACTCGTCGCATCCTCTCGGACCCAAATGACAGACTTCCGGCTATATCTGGCCTTGCGCAGAAATTCTCCATCATCCTGGAAGACATCTACCTCGCTGGACTCTGGAAGAACAGTTTACTGGCGGATTTGCACTGGTTCGTCTTTGACCATGGTTCCGATCTTGTGGATAGTGCGGTGAATCGATTACCAGGTCCTACTTGGTCTTGGGCAACATCAAGGTCTGAGATTTTGTTCCCTTCGGATGGCGAAATCAACACCGAAGCATCATACTTTGCCACCGTTATTGACTGTACAGTTAAACCGGCCATTGCTGATCTCCCATTCGGTCTGATAATATCAGGCCGTCTGAAATTGAAAGGACATTTCTTCAAAGCATGTTTTAGGAGCGCGAATACCTCGGGTGTATCTAGGAGTTACCAGGGCAAACTTTCTGGAAACGCTGGCGAGTTTGGAGGATCGATCACCCTCTATCCGGATGGTAACAACAATGCCTTTCAGAACGGCAAGGATGGACTCGTTGAAATCACCTGCTTGGAGCTCAGTGAAAGAAGGTTCTCCCCATGGGCCGCCAACCGTGGGCCCATGATTGGTTTTGAAGTCTGGGGCCTCCTTCTCTGCAAAGCCGAGGCAGGTTTCCAGAGAAGTGGTCTGTGGACGTACTGGTATTCAAGCAAGCTCAACTGGTCTGGTGAAAGGGCGCAGATGCTGCATCTGGAGTGGAAAGAATGCATCAGGAATCTGCGAGAGAAAGTTGTGACTATCACGTAATCGTCCCTGCCTCCGTTTCGCTGGCAGAGTACCAGAATTCAGAGGTTGGCCAACATAAAAACGAAGCCGAGTCTTTGACTAGACTGTTACATGACTTGAACTCAATCCCTTCGTTGAGTGGATGCAGGAGGACGCTAGAGAGGCGTATAGAGAGACATCGCGGAACCGGAAGCATTCGCAGCCGGCACGAAACGTCGAGTTCGGGGATTCGGAAAAAGACAAGCCGAGGCACTGTGCTTAGTTGGGCGAAGTGGGCGACATTTCATTGAGACCACACACATATCAACACATAGGTATCTACCTATGTACAGGGTACGTATGTATCCTCGGACTCCGCATATCATGGCACTGTGGAGACTGAGTGACAATATCCTCTGCTTAGCGAGTACGAGGTAATCTTCTCACTCTCGGACGCCTTGGTGGGCTGCGAGTTTCATTTAAGTCTCTCGAGCAATCCCCAACACTGAAGTTGATACCCTGAAAAGAAAGGTAGGTAGGTATATTCAGTTTCCTGGCTTGCTCAGGATACGTCTCAGATATCTTGCGCTGCCGCAGACAGACCAATATCAGCAACATACAGCTAGCTACTGCATGGTAACGACCTCGTCTTCGTCATGACGCCGAAACCCGTCCTCATCTCCGGCGCCGGCCTGGCCTCTCTTCTTCTCGCGCGCTCGCTCCTGCGTTCCAACATCCCCTTCCAAGTCTTTGAGCGCGATGCCTCGCTCTCCTTCCGCGGTCAGGGCTACCGCCTGCGTCTGTCCTCCGAGGGTCTCGACGCGATCGAATCCGTCCTGGACCCTCCCTCGTTCCAGCGCTTCTATGATCGTTGCGGGAAGACCGCGGGTAGTGGGTTTGTGGGCTTCGATGCTGTCACGGGCGAAGTGGTTGAGGAGCACAGAATGGGCGAGAATCTCGGTTCGCGAGAGGGCAAGATCGTCGGGATTGCGCGCGGAGATATGAGACGTTTGTTCATGGAAGGGTGCGAGGAGTTTGTGCAATTCAGAAAGGACGTCAAGGGCTATGAGCTGACCGACGATGGAGTTCGAGCCGTCTTTGCCGACGGGACGAAATCTGTCGAAGGGTCCCTCCTCGTCGGCGGGGAAGGCATCAACTCGACTGTTGCCAAACAGGTGTCTGGCGGTCGTCTCAAAGTCTACGATCTCGGCGCTCGAGGCATCCACGGACAGGCACCGACCGCGGCCTTCAAAACGCTGGGCGAAGGCGTCTTCCGAATCGTCGACACCTCCAACCCTCGCGGGCCCGTCTCCATCATCACCAACGTCCGTCCAAATGACATGGACGACCCCACTGTCGAGTTCGGGTGGACCATGGTGGGCGTGCCCGGTGTCGTCAAGGCACCCAATGACGACTACGCCATCGTTGGTAAGGTAGCGGCCGATATTGCCAAGTCGTTCACGAAAGATTGGAACCCGCGCTTCAAGCCGCTATTCGACCAGATGAATGAGTCCGAGGCCGCGTTTTGGAAAATCACATGCTCGACGCCAAGCGGTGTGCCCGAATGGCCCAACGAGCCGCGTGTAACGGTTCTTGGCGATGCGGCGCATAGCATGACGCCCGCCGGCGGCATAGGCGCTAACACCGCTGTCCGGGATTCGGCGTTGCTGGGCCGATTGCTGCGCGAGGCCGGCGGGTATAAAGAGGGCGTCACGGCAGCTTACGAAAGGGAGATGAGAGTCTATGCCAGCGAAGCCGTGAAGGCAAGCTACGGTATGGCCGCCAAAGCGTTTCAAATCCACATCGACGAGTCGCCTCAAACACTTTGAGACGATGGAATGGGACGTGATGGGACGGGACGGGACGGGATGGGACAGGGCGGTTCACCATTTGGTACGTACCCAAGTATAATGGTACTAGACGGCGAAGGTCCCGGTTTAATAAATCGCCCCTGCCTCTCCGCAGGCTTTGTCCGAGCACAAGACAGCTTGTAGACTAATACCATGTAGGTAGATGTGCACCGCCGTTCCCTTTCATTCCAGCCCTGACGCTAATTCTGCCATGCGTTGCGACGATCGCAACGTCGATGTAGAACACTCGGTGAGGTCTTTGAAGCACATAGTTATAATTATGAAAAGACTCACGTCGGGTCGGCGGTGACATGATCTACCGCACTACACCCTAGCTGAATTCACTTGCCTAGGAATGCTTGGAGGTCGCGTCACTGTCAACAGTGTCTGCCTACGAAGGGGGCGACAGGAACACATGTCTCGGCGTGAGTGTCGAAGACAAAACACATAAAGTGTTCCTTCCTGTATGCTATCAGTTCCGACTGCTTGTGAGCTCCTTCCTTTTTGCATTCGGAAACAGGGGCCTGATAGATCATCAGTATCAAGCAGCACGCCAGAACGGCTGACTCCGGGCCGGAGGGTCCCAAGCCGGGACAGAAGTTGAAAGGTCAAACCAACATCTTACCCTGGAAGAGAGCTTTTGAACGCGCTACCAGAGCGGCTGCCGAGTACCAGATTGAGATGGAGGAATACAAAGAAAACCGCTGGAAGGTTCTCCAGGCGCGCAGGCTCATCCAGGATTGGGTCTGCGATTATATCATCCTCGAGCTCGAAGAAGTACCCGACGATGCTGAAGATCCAAATGCGGCGCACAAATACATCCAAGACATAGACAAAGACAATGAAGTGTACGTCCGCAAGGAGATCCTCAGCAAAGTCGACGCCATGAAGCTGGGAGACTTTGAAAACGTGGCCGCTACTTCAAGCCAGCACCGTCGGTACAAGGCCGATCTCAAGGAAGCTGGATACATACTGCATGTGGTGATGATGAAATGGCAACCAACATCCTTGTCGGACTTACCTAGGCGTATCGACCCTCCATTGACCACTATGACTTCGGCAGACTCAACAGTGTTTAAGGCACTCACGATATCAAGTTCCTGGACAGAGCACTCTTGGCTGTGGTAAAAGAAATTGAAGCAGGCAAACGACGAAGAAAAAGAGCGTGGAAACAACCACAAGATCACGACCAACGAAGACGCTGAGGCATCCAACAAGGACACTTGCCATCACTTGTGGTCATTGTTGTTGGACCCTTCACCCTTCACTGAAACCAGAGGCTCTCGAGGAAAAGCTCAAGCCGAAGAACGTCACCAAGACCAAACTAGTTGCTGGCCTTGGTGGATCCGATGTCGACCTCTTTTCACTGCAGCTGAAGCTGACTGTACGCTGCGACACCCCGTTTAGTAAATCGTAAGGCAGACACCCTCTTACCAGGCACCCACGGATGACCGTCGAGGTGGTCGCAATGTTGTGCGAACGTCTCAGATGGTGACAGAGAGGACCAGAGTGTGGAGGCCAAAGTCGAGGGTGGAACTTTGGCCAGGTCATTCCAGGACTAGCGTTGAAGCCACCAGGCTTCTCTCTTTTGCTTGAATTGCTACCGAGTACCTCGTACTAGTCGAGTCCCGCTGACTCTCTCCTCTTGATTCTCAGATGGGCAGATATATCTCAATCAACAGGATATGCCACCACGGTTGCTATGACCACTTTCCCTCCGTTTGCTAACCGGGTTCCTCCGGGGTTGAAAGACCACCAAGCCCCAAAGAATGTGAAGGAATAGCAAAGTGCTTTAGCGGAGCTTGAAGTCGGTACAATATACTGCGCACATAGTACTTTATCCAAGACTGGAGTGTCAATTCGTGGCTCTCGCCTTTTGAAGTCTCATTATCTCGTAGAGTATGGGGGTATAAGATGGTCTGGTCCACAGGAAAAGAAAACGAACAAATCTTGCCGCCAACGCCATCGCTCATAACAGCTTAGGGAGGGATCAAAGTCACGCTCCGCTCCTAGCACAATACGAGAGTCACCATGAGGGTGCACATCGCAGGGTAGGAACGGATCAATAACGTTCAGGTTGAGTAGGCAATGCTTACACCCACGCTGCCCGTCCATTTCTTGATTCCGCCTCCGTCAACCGCTGTCCCAACTGGCTTCCCAGGGGTCTTTTTCCCGGCCCCCGCGTTCGTTCCACCAGCCGCAGCTCCGGTAACAGGATTCACCGAGAATCCAACCTCGACAAGCAAACTCTTGACCCTCCCTGTCCAAAGCGCTTTGACATTCCAAGAATCGTCTACTCGGAAATTCAGCACGTTCTCTTCCTCCCGTTCAATCCGTTCTTCCTTGAGAGCGCGTTCCGTCGGGCTGAACCAGTCTTTCGTGAGTGTACGAGCCCATTGGATTGGATCCCCGTCTGTCTCGTTGTCAGAACTGGTGGCAGTAGAGTCGTTGTCTGTGTGTCGGGAAAAAGCGGAGGAAGAAGAGTTCGGCCGACGTCGAGGCCGCCACAGCTCCCCACCTACAACATATCGCGACTCCCATGAATAAAAATTGAAGTCGAATTTGGACGACAGGGACAGTGCCGATGTTGGCCGTACAGAATAAGTGGACGATATCGATCCCGTGAGGGGAGTTAGAGTTAAGGTCATCGTGTATGGAAATGAAGAATGCGGCACGTTTGAGGGAGTGAGTAAAGTGTGAGACGCTGTAGAGAGGAGGGCGGCAGACGTTCCTGCTAGCGGCTTATTTGGTAAAGGATTCAGGCGAGGCGGTGGCGATGGTTGTTCCGAGCGTGTGATATGCGGTGTGAGCGTGGTGAAGCGCAGGCCCGTCGACAGGCCAATGACGTGTGAAAAAGGACTGTAATAGAATTCCGCACCAGCGGATAGTAGGGATGGTTTCGAGCCAAGACGATTTTGATATGCGGTCAATGTGTCTGCTTGGGGCGGAAACCCTAGTCGTGGTGAATGGATTTCCGTGAGGCTCTCAGGTGCACCTAGACTTTGCGGCGGTAGATCGGCTGTCGACGAAATATCAGTTGACGTCTTGGGTGGGCTAAGACCGAAATTCCAGAGACCTCTGACCCCCAGGATGCCATTGTCTGTCGAGCCCAGTCCCTCGATTGAATACTGGCCTGCGTCGTGTTGAATATGGGCAAGAACCGAGGCTGGTGGAGGGCCAGAATTCGTAACTGGAGGGGAAACCGATTTGCTGTATATTGAAACGGAGAGGAGAGTCTCCGGGCTGATGCGGCGTGCATATAGCGCCGACAGAACTGATGGAGGGGGAAGCTCTAGAGTCGCCCGCAGCAAGATTGGCTTTCTACCGTCTTTGCTTAAGATATTCGATAGGTCCTTCTTTTTATTCGGTGTGAAAGCGAGGGGCAGCCTTATATCTCTGTATCCCGGGGCCAAATATTTCAAGGGGATGCTAGGTGCTTCCGAAGGAACGTGGCCCAGTGGGATGCTAGAGTAAAGGTAGGATATGGAGCCATCTATGTGTCCCAATGTCGACAAGGTATATGAAGATGCGAAATTCGGGGTGCTCAGAGACGAGACGTGCAGCGACAATGTCGAGGGAGTGTAGAACGAGAGTAATGCATCGGACGTTGCGGTCAGAGAGGAATAGCTGTTGTCAGGATTCCAATCGGTCGCCGTCCCGAAGGCGTGGGCAATGTAGTCCATGAACACGATCATTTTGAGAGTGGGTTGGATTCAAGCGCACCAGGCGCTATCTCGAGTCTGAATTCATCTTGGAAACACCAGTGATACCTCACAGCAAGGTGTGTTTCTTTGACGGTGCATGGGGGTCATGGTCGAGATTGAGTTTGGAGGAGCAACGACGAGCTGTGCGGGCTGCTGCGTATTGCTCTCGAGGATGCTATGGTGCGCCGTAATTATACGGAGGGGCACAAGATCTGAAAGTGCATTTCTCCGAACCAGCGGCGGCTTCTAAAAGCTTGAAGACTCTTGTCAAAGTCTTGTCTGCCCACCTCATCGTGCATGGCTTCACTATACCCAGTTGCCATCAGGAAGCTCGAACTATTTGTCACTGACCTTCTCAGCAACCATGAAGCTCAAGCCGCCGCTATCGGGTCCAGAGTTTCCGACACGATCGGCTTACCCTTGTATACGGTCAAGGCGAACTTGGTCTGATCGAGCAAGAGGGATTGCCTGCTTCCAAGCAACGTCCACATGGCCACGGATAGACAGCTGTCCCGGATCTTTTCGCCTTTTCAGCCACATGAATCCACCGTCCCCTTGGCAATGATTGTAATGAGACGAGACTGTGAGGTGGTAACAGCCTTGTTCCTTGCCGCAGCGCGGGGGTCACTAGGTTACAGCTGACGCCACGAGGCCTCAGGCTACCAGTCAATGCGTTCCAGCCCCTTCGCTTCGCGCTCTAGACTCGGACTCCTCTGGTTGAAGATGGCTACAGAGACGGGAACTTCGCGACCAACTACTTAAAGGACGGTGTGAAGGCGCTAGTGCGTTGCCTGGATTGCCACGATGTACTGAGTATCCGCTGCAGCCTATCACGACTAGTTTGGGTTTATCACGCAATACCTTGCTGCAACGATAAGCTGAATGCAAACAGGTCTTTTTCAGATAACGACCACGCTCGTGGGTTTCTAGAAAATCTGCCCACTAGCGGATGGTCTTTAAAACCCTGCAAGGATCTCGCAGCTGTGATTTTCTCCGCATCCTTCAGCTCGCCCAATATCTTACTGCCCAGGGAAACAGCAGCGCACAATGTCCAAGTCCACCTACGCCGATGAGAAGCGGGTAGAGCCCATCTACCCAGTTGCCGACGCTGAACAAGATGGGACTGTCCCCTTCGAGGGTTTCAGCGCCTTGATTGCTGAAGGCGTGTCTCCCAGTCACAACTTGCTATGCATTTGCTAACAGGCATCTCCATAGACCACAAACATGAGATCAAGCTTCGAACTATGTCATGGCAGAAGGCAGCCTGGTTGCTCTGCGGCGATCAAGTTTGTCTTGCCATTATGGCCCAAACATGGTCGCTCTCGTAAGGCTGCCCTGTTGCATTTCTAATTCTAATATCACTAACAGCGGTGGTTCAGCGTCCTAGGCTGGGTTCCGGGTATCATCACCATGGTTGGTGCAGGTATCCTCTTTTGGATCACTTCCATTACCATGCACAAATACATTATGAAACATCCTCAAATCAAGGATATCTGTAAGATCTTCTTTGCTGGATGCGACGGAGGGGCTCCCCAGCTCCTCTCGGGACCTCCGAACTGACTGTCGGTGGAACAGGTGACTTTGGTTACTATGCCTTCGGCAGAAGTCGAGTCGCCTATGAATGGACTGGATTCATGTTGCTCGCCAACAACATTCTCCTCATTGGCTTCCACGTCCTCACTGGTGCCAAGATTCTCAATACTTTATCGACTCATTCCCAGTGCACTGTCGTCTTCTCCATCATCGTCATGCTCATGTAAGTTTCCTCTTTACCCTACACCTTCGCTCCTTCTAGTATAACCTTTAACTCTAACGACAAACAGGGGAATCGTTATGTCAATTCCGAGAACCTTGCGTCATGTCTCTTTCATGTCGATGTTCTCAGGTGAGCGGCCGCCAAATCTGCCACGCTGCCGGTTCGCCCGCTAATCAGTCTACCTAGCTGCCTGCATGGGAATTGCAATCCTACTATTTCTGATCTTTGCTGGGATCGAGCAAAATCCTGGGTATTCGTACTATGGCGATTACCCTGCCGCAGGGGAGGTCAGAACCTACCCTTTCCCTCTTCCTGGCACCACCTGGGTTAATTGGTAAGTCTTATTGAAAGGATTTCTACTCGCACATGGACGTTGTCAAAGTTTTAATGTCTCTTTCAAAGTCCTAAATACCTGGATACTGACGATAAGACAGTCTAAATGCGGTGCTTAATATAACATTCCTTTGGGTAGGAGTTTTTAGACACTATCAATGCTATCAGTCCCAATTAACATTCATTTAGGTGCCGCAAATCCTTTTCCCGACTTTCATCGCCGAGATGGAAAAGCCAGAAGACTTTCCTAAATCACTTGCCGTTCTCACGGTCATTTCTGCCTTCCTATTCATCTGTCCTCCGGCAATTGGGTTCCACTACTTGGGCCAATATTCCACTGCCCCAGCTTTCGGGAGTCTGGGTGTCACGGCCTACAAGAAAGGTTCTTTCGCATTTGTCATAGTCCCAACTTTGGTTATCGGCGTGATTTATGCCAACGTCACATCCAAGTACATCTACTTCCGGATCATGGGCAAGTCTCACCACGCCCACAGCAACACTGTCATCGGATGGGGTGTTTGGGTCCTGGTCATGGCCGCTATCTGGATCATCGCATTAATTTTCGCCGAAGTCATCCCCAGCATGGGGGATTTCCTCTCTCTCCTTGGAGCTGCGTTCGATTCATTCTTCGGCTTCATCTTCTTTGCAGTGGCGTACTACCACTTGTACAAGGGGAGACTATTCCACGGTGTATATAGGTCCATTATGACGGTGATCCATGTCTTCGTCATGATTGTCGGGCTGTTCCTGCTTGGACCAGGGTTGTATGCTGCTGTCAAGGCCATTGTCGCGGACTATTCGGGGAGCACTACGCCGGCATTTAGCTGTGCGGATCTGTCTATTTAGACGAAGCTTGTCAGTAGAACGATAGGTCTGAAGGTTCTCGATACTGCTGCAGCTTCCTGCCTGGTGTCGACGCAATCTACCCAGGGAAGACGATGGATGAGCTGGTCTGGCCGAAGCGTGCGAGGCTGGCCAATGGAGGCACTTTGATAGCTTCTGCATACCGTATTTAATGTACTAGCCTGATTAGGCCTGAACCATGCCGCCTTGGCACTAGGCCAAACTGTCACCGAGTATTGAAACGGCTTGTCACTCTAGAAAGAAGTCTTGGGTCTTCGCAATGAACCAACCTTGTTATGAATCCATTTGGTTCAGCAGTACTCCGTCTGAATACCATGTCATGCCATTCCACCAACTGTCCAACTGGCGATGGGTCCCCCTTCACATCCACAAATGAACATCACGACGAGCACCTACACGAATAGGGCGCAACGATTGTCCTCTTGTACAGCAGTCTATAAGTATTGCGCGTAGTTCTTGCATTTATTTTTCTTTTTCCTTTTCCTTCTTCTCTTCCCCTTTCGTCCCCATTCCCTGAATCAAAAATGCAACACGAAGATAACCACCATTCAAGCATTGACAAACAACGATGGCCCCCATCGATATTCTATGAAATGTACTTGACCCAGCTAACCCGGGGAATATCACCCTACCGCTAACCGCTACTAACACGAATTATGTCTTGGTTCAACTCAGCCGAGAGATGGACTCAGACACATTGGATGCCCTCGGGGAGCATGAAGCGACGGTCACCAAAAGAATGGTGGACTACACCTAGTTGGTGCATTACCCTCCGCCAGATCTACGCATTCTAGAAACCAGTATTCCTGCTATTGCTCACGCTGTTGTGTATGTGGATACTTTTGTGGTCCTCGCCGACCTAAAAGACAACGTTGCTAGTGGTGAGTTCGACCCGCAAAAATTTCTGTATTCACGGTAAATGTCTCACTGGTACAGCGGTTCCCGGAGACACACAAGAGGTCTCGATTATGCTGCATGAACCCGCAGCCCCACATGCCAATCAGGTCGTCGCTAAAATTCAAGAAAGAAGCAATGCCCAATTACTCAGCTCAACGGACGGCGTCCTGCACATCATTGTCAGTCCAGCGGATCTTGAGCGCATTGCGGCTTTGGACAGTGTTCAAGCTATTGAAACTACCACCCCGGCCGAGCCTTAGAAAACGCTATAAAGGACATCTCAGGCATCAATAGCATCAATACGGACTTGAAGGCGAACAGCATGCTTGCACTGACCGGAAAAGGTTAGGTCGTTGCCTTGGCTGATACTGGTGTCGATATCACTCATCCCGCGTTCAAAGACAAAATAGCCAACCAATTCCGGATCACTGGAGTTGAGAAAGACACCAGTGGTCGTGGGCATTCACGTGGATGGCACTATCCTAGACAGCCTGATGATCAGCTTTGAGTCAAAGGATTGTGGAGGCATAGCGCCCAATGCTCGTCTCTGTGTGCAAGGGGGAATATTTAAGGCCAAGAGCCCTCAAGCACCAGAGCTATTCGATAGAATTAATCAGCTGCCTGATCTCAACTGCCGCATTCATAATAACTCCTGGGGGACCACGTGGAATGACGAACAGAAAGCCCAAGCCGAACTTGGGAAGATCAAGTTTCCACAATTCCCATACACCATCTACAATGCGGAGCCGGTTGACCGGTATGCACCTGAGCGTCCTGACTTTTTCATACTTTTCGCAGCCGGCAACGAGGGCGGCAAAGCGACCGACACAGGAGCCCAGGTGACTGCTTGTGCAGCCGCTAAGAATGTCCTGACTGTTGAGGCAACGTTTTCAAACCGGCCAATGAGCATTGGATGGCACGTCGATTATACACCAGAAAATGAGAAGTTATTCAAGCAGAAGGACCCGGAAGCCTACCGTCAAGGCACAATTGTCCCATTCAGCAGCAGGGGACCGTGTAAAAATACTCAACGCAGCAAGCCTAACGTACTTGCCCCCGGGGGTGCCATTCTTTCAACGCGCAGCAAGGATTTTGACTCAAAAAGGCTCGACGAAACCTTGCAAGGCGCTTCTTTACCACCAGGAGGGCAGTTAGGCAACCAGAATATCTTCATGAGTGGCACTTCGATGGCAACACCAGCTGTTTCGGGCTATGCGGCTTTGCTGCGAGAGGCTCTAGACAGCTGGCAGAGCATAAAGCAACCCACAGCGCCTCTGATGAAAGCTCTCCTTATAAACGGCAGCAATGTTCTCCCCGACACACCCAGAAACGTGCAAGGCTTTGGCGAGATCGATATGACTAAAGTTCTCCGTCCAGTGAAGCCGCAGATTGCCAATATCACCGGAGGCAAAGCCGCCTCTGGCTGGACACAAGATGTGGTGAGCAAGAACAAGAGCACCCGACTCAAGGTAATGAGGGCCGTTGCACTACAAGCAATCTCCACACTTGTTTACCATGATCGACCGGGAAATCAGATCCAAAACAGAATGAACCTATACGTCGCGCGCGCCGGGAACAGAATAAATACAGCGCCAACCACCCAGTACGAGAATGTGCATTAGCTTGTCATTGGACTTCTTACGCCTGGAGCAACCTTGACAATTGGGGCGGAAGCAGTGTTGTTCACTGGCATACCAATACCAGGGGCAGTGAATCCGATGCTATGGACCGCGATGTCATGGGCCGTGATTTGGGATTGCTTCTATGTTTGAGCGTCATGGCCGAATACGCCACCAAGGAGATCCTGAAATGGTTCAATGGTATATCAGTACATGCCGAGACATTGAGACAACGGGGCATTTGGAATGGTCGAGATGTACACAAGTCTCTATAGCTACCAGTCGCTACATATTATTGCCACGTGCTACGCACCCTTCATACAAAACCCGTAATATTTCGATAGATGATATCTATTTTCTTCGGTATTCCGCGACCCTTCTGTAGCCTTCTTACCACGATCTTGTGTCTCCCTTCCCCACACTGTACGGAGGACTCGCAGGTTGTATTATTACGGTCTTCGGAATATGGACCTTCGCTGGGCCATACTAAATAAAAAGGTCCTTGTTGGATTCAGCGGCTTCGCAGGAGGAGTAGAGCACCGGTATTGCATCCGAAGAATCCACATTTGTGAGCCCTCACAAGTTACATTCCTGGATGGCGTGCGGCTATTTACTTGGTATTGAGCTCGGAATTCAACTCGGCGTATCCGAGAAATCGGGTTCTCTATCCGAATCCACGTTGGCGGCGGCGGGCATTCCAAACAGTTGAATACCAGTAGAACACTCTCACCACGTCGACCAGGCCGAGAGAGGTTCGCGTTGTTTGTGCTGTTGCATCTGCATATCATTCGCCCCTCACCATGACGTCGATACTCTACCTCTATGTGCAGGGACTCAGGGAGCGGACTGATACCATAGAGGAGCTGCGAGTATATCTGGAGTAATTGATCGGGTCGATCGCGTTCACACTCCCACGTTAGCATGCGGACCAGGTATTTCTTACTGTAGGCCGCTCCGAGGCAGAATCCACGTATGCTGACTCGAAAGCCGGCTAAGTATTGTTTGAAGGCTATATTGGCGTAGTGATTTTATCTTTGGACTGATACTTTGTCGGCTCTGTATCATGTATACCTATAATATCTACGATAAAAGTCTTTACATACGCGACTCTAGTATCTGACTTCCAGATTTCTATATGTGCAATTTCATGCTGAAAGCGGTACTCCACATCGCTGCCACCGACCCTGCGAGCACACGCTCCTTCCTATAAGTGCACCGAGTTGGAGTTGTCAGCGCATGAGAACGCGGCCGATCCACCGGATGCTTTGTACAAATCTATAATGCCAACGATAGATCCGTAGGTGCTGCAAATCATGAGGAAAGTACCGGGAACGATGGCAAAGATGCCCCAACCAACCATAAACGTCCACCAGCGCCCGCACTTGGTCTTGGGCAGACTCCGATTATCGAAGAGCCACATGAAAGTGATCGGTTGGAACGACATCAGCGTTCCGAGGAGGGCGCCGATCAACGATACAAGACCGCCAAACACCGGGATGGCACTGGCGATGATGTAGGAAATCACACTGACGCCGAATGTGCAGCTGATCCAGCCAACCCAGTGGGCCATGGTGTTGGATGAGAGATGTCGGGAGAGTCTGAGGATGCGGACGAAGATGTACTTTGCGGCCAGCTGGAAATCCTGAGCTAGGGCTGAATAGTCGTTCTGAGCGGAGATACTTACATGGATGAAAAGCGTCGTGGAGACCAACAATCCTGGAAGGGCGAGGCCATAGCAGGCCTTCTTCATGACCACACCAGCGGAGCCCAGGGCTGGAGAAGCGACACAAGATCCGCAGTAGTAGTAGACCACCACCCCCATGGTAATGTACGTTGCTGTGACGCCACTCTGGCAGATCAACAGCGAACGGGTGTAGTGTTTCTGCGCGCGCACCTCAGACACAATGGCAAAGAACCCAGGAGTTCCGGCGTACGCAAACACCAGGGAGGAGACCGCAGATATGGCATCGGTGAAGTTCGAGCCCTTGAACAGCTTGTAGTCTGAAGACCAAGGACCCACTTGGGGAGCATCGGCAGGTAGACTGTGCACGCCGACGGCGATCGTCACAGTCAAGACCGAAGAGCTCGTTAGATCAGAAAATATGTAGAGTGGGGAATGGGAAGAATTCCTTGCTGTGACTATGGAGGTAAGACCAACCCAGGCCAGCCATGAAATCCGACCGAGTGTTTGAATGCTCCCACGCAAGAAACCTGCAATCGCTGCCACCAAGACTAACACGGCAAGTACTGGCGCCATGGGTTGTAACGGCATTCAGGCCAATGGAGATACCGAGCATTCCAGAGCCGCCGACAAAGACCCAGTCTGCAAGAGGTCAGGAAGTGTAAGGTGCAGAATAGGAACCGATACTCACAAAGACAAAAATCAAGTCCGAGGATCTCACGGCCGGGACGTCCAAAGATCAACCCGCCAGCATCATGGACGCTTGCGGTGCTGCCGCGACGGACAGCAACCACTTCGCCCTTGTCCGTAGTCTGGACAGGGGCGAGGTCTTCAGCATCTTTGTGGCGGCTTTGTGGAAGAAAGTAAAGCGCTTGTGGGTGCTTGTAAGGCAAGGGACAATGTTGTGAAACGAATGGAGGCAGGGCGGCCCTCAAGGGGGATATGCTCCCTTATCTACATGTACGTTACGCTGTGTAGAGAAACCTGTGCACGATAGGCCGTAGCCAGGTTGATTCTTACCGACGTCAAATGGTCGCTTGCTCTAGCCTGGACCGCAAACTAGGGTCGTCGTTGAGGTTGATCCATCGTAAACTACGAAATTCGTGCTGCTAAGTAATCGATTTAGCAGTTAAGAAAGACTTTTAACATACAACACATTTATGCTAGCCGCGGCTCTGAAATACTCGTAAAATAGTACGTTTTTACACTTATTAACAATGAGGAAAGATCTCTCGAAAGATCTCTGGCTAAGTATAGACTCAGTGATTAAATCCACCTTGTCAAATGATGTCTTCAAGGTGTTCGAAGTCGTCGTCGCTAATTAATGGCTTTCGACCGCGATTCTCATCGAAATATGGCGAGTTATGATGTCTTCGAGGCTCTTGAGAAGGTACAATATAGCGATAACCAGTTCGCGCTGGCACTCCACCAGTATCGAAAGCTATTGTATTAACTAGCATGGAGGCCTTTTCGCGGGTAGAAATCTATCAAAGTTCGCACCTTTACTTTAATCGGTGTAGGCTTATGGGCCTACTCGGGTGGCTCTATCTCTTCCTGAGTAGGCGTAATTAGGCGTGCGGCGACCATCTTCGATACAAGGAGTAAAACGGTGGTAGAAAGGTCGAAACGAGTTGGTAGAAGGAAAGTGAGCAGTGGTGGTGAAAGGGGTTAATTAGGTGATGTAATTGGGTGTGCCACTCTTTTTTTTTTTGTCACCCGGCTCGCCCCTTTACCCCCTTCGTCGCACTGTATCAACGCACAGGCAAGCACAGGCAAGCACAGGGTACCTCGTATGAATACGTAAAATGTCCCAGTCTCCTTCAGCGACCAGCTATGCCATTCACTTTCATCAACAGAAATACAAGAAACTTCGGGCGCAACAGTGAGATAGCGGCCATCAACGCTCACCATGCCTACACCAAACACGCGAAAAGACGCGAGGCAATAAAAGAGGCTGCCCGAAGGCGCAATGCTGAGCTTTTGAGCTACGTCGAGGCATCGCATGCATCTATGCCCCTCTTGATCCAGCAAATTGGTGGCTTGCGAGATGACCCTTTCTGGACGCTCCCCGTCGAAAACACTTGCGATGCCATGACGGGTTTCGACTACCGTAAGTCTCCCAGAGGTCCACCTTGTATCCCTCGGCTCATGATGTAGATTTCCAAGTCTTGTGCCCCCTGGCATTGAGCTTGGGCAACTACAACCATGCACAGCATCAGATCATGAGGAGCAATGTGCTCCAAACGGCAATGTATTGCAGTTCAATGATTGCATTGAACTTGACCATGCAGAGGTTACATATGGATAGCACAACACGTCTTTCGCGAGCTGCTCTCTACCACCTGAACAACGCAGTTGCCCAGTTGCGAGAAACTCTGCAAGATCCGGTGGCCAGCACAAGTGACATTGTCCTTGCCACCATCTTCCCGATGGCTGTTGTCTATGTATGGCTCCTCCGGTCCTCCCCAAACCCTGCCAGTTCCCAAGGTTGGTTTGTGGCATTGTTGACATAATACGTGTAGCGCGTGTTGAACGATCATGTCGCTTTCAACGCACATGTGGAAGGCGTTCGCCGCATAGTCGCGCTGCGTGGAGGGCTGGATAACCTGGGGTGGGGTGGCTTTTTGAAAATATCGGCCGTCGGGTAAGCAATCACGGAGGGAGCACAGCTACGCACTGGCGGCTGTCTATTCTCACTGACTTCGAACCTGGTGTCAGGATGTTCGAATCTGCCGCCGTCCTGCACCGTCAACAAACCCAACGGAGCCAGGACGAAGCGCAAGGTCTCAAGCTGCCAAATGATTCCATTATAGAATATCCATCTGAGCCATTCCCCCGGACCTTGCAGGCGAAGCTATCAAATTTTCCACCGGGGCTTGCCTGCCTTGCTCTTGATTGCCGCCTCAGCCTACAATGCATCAACTTCCTGCAGATCTTTTGCGAGTGGCTCGCGAATAACAGCTCTACGCCCGGCCCACACGATTCCATGACCGAGCTGGGTCACGACATCCTGGGTATGCCGGGACTGAGCACTACCGAACGAGTCCTCGCTGTGGCAATTCAAGCCTATGTGAATTGGTTGGAAAGGACCGTGCGACACTGGAGTAACTTTTCGTCTGAACATGGTGTGGAGATGCAAATTGCCTTGTTGAACAAGCAACCTGACCAAACCGATTGCGATGAGGACAGTCTCGCCTGGGCCTGTTTGATGATCCGAGACACAACATCAAAGGGTAGGGGCTCATGGACTTGGGCTGACAGACATCTTTTGACAATGAACCTTGATGAAGAAAGAAAGGAGCGTCTCGATCAGCTTTTCTTCAATCGTCCGAGTTCAGCAACGGAGATCAATTGACGGGGCCAGCTCTCATGCCCCTGCGCACTAGCCTGAGCTCTTTAGTGGGATGGCGGATGACTGCAAAGATATCGCAACACCAGGAAGGCTTGATACGCAATCCCACCTCAGGCAGAATTGGAAGCAGGGGTAATCTCGAAGGGTTGCTCGACACGCGTATCTATCTACTGATGAAACAAGTGGCTAAGTGCCGATTTCTACGTCCTTGCCGCCGCATTATCGGACTTCAACTCGACCACCGCCTCCAGGGTACTGCAATAAACCCGCCGAATGGAGTGAGTTTGACTCAGTGGCCGCCCGTCTAGATATAGCGTGCCGTACGATGGGGAACCAGGGGTCTGCTGTTTCCAAGCGAAGAAACATATAAGCGAAGGTATCGTCCAATCTCATAGTGAAGATCGTTTATATGTATCTTGTGGCGCTGCCGCACCATAGCAAGCAATGCGTATTGATCATATATCAGTATTTGGAACGGAGTTGTCCCCCACAGACAGAGCCGTCCTCAACCTAGCCTGCTCACTTGACTATCCCAAACGAACCAGCACTTCTGTCTCACCTCGTCGGCGCTTAAGTGTGGGATCCTGATCGACTCGAGATCATCGCATCGCTCATACTCGTCCACGTGTGTGAGTGTCTTGGTCTGCCTGGTGGGGAAGAACGCAGTGGGTTCTTCGTACTCGTAGAGCATGAGGAATGTTCCCTCCGACTGCACCGCAGCGCTGCCCTGCGGGACAGGAACCGACACTCCTGCCGGACACGCCGTCCAGGTATGTGGCACTCCAGGCGCGATCGTCACCAGGCTCTGCGGCGGGATGACGTATATCTCGCCATTGAGCTCGACGAGGGCGACGCCATTCAAGACGACGATGCGCTCGGCAATGAATCTTTGCGCTGGCGCACTACCGTTTCCCGACATCGCAGAAGAAGAGGCGGGTGCAATGTGCACGTGTCGCGGCAGCCTAAAGTCGGTCGAGAACCCAATGAATCCAACCTGTCCCGAGAAAGCCGTTCTGCCGCCTGGATCTAGTTCGTGCATCTCCACCGGAATATCGCTAAAAGGGTGTTTGATGTTTGCGCCTTGCCCGTGCACTATGTTGCAGCCGTTGGGTAAGGTGACTCCGTAGTGGTGGGAAGTGGACATGATGGAAGTTGATGAGAGCGAGAGATGCCGGTGCAGAGATCTTTGGCTAGCGACAACGGGCGCCCAGGGCTTCGGCGCATATGCTTAGGCCCGAGAGTGCGCAGAGTGGCAGTCGTTCTTTGCGTTCAGTTCCTTAAGTGGCGTCTCATGAGTCCCTCATTCCATGTATCTTCCCCGAAGTGTTGCAATGTTGCAGGGAGAACGTTGATGATGGCGGACCGAACCAGGCGGTTCTTGTGGCTTTGGCGAGCAGGCTAGTGAGACCTCAGAGCCTCGGCCTCAAGCAAAACGCGAGGCGCGATCGTGACCTGTCTGAGTGGTTCGCCTGGGGGTTTGCTCCGGCTGTTACTAAGCTCCAACACTCTCGCTCCGAAAGACCTGAGTCTCACAGGTTCAAAAAGACCTGGATAATCCTTGTAGCAGTCACAACCCCGGGCTTAATTTTAGCGGTCCATGACATGGTTGGCGTCCTGATGCCAAGAGATGTCTCGCGACAGAAAGAGAGTAGCAAGGTCCAAGGTGTAGAATGTCTCAATGGATACGACACTCCATGATGGAAGATATAAAGGAGGGATGGCCACTGCGAAGTGGGCGAGCGACACAGGCAAACAAACCAGCGGCACAAGCCGAACAAAGATCATAGAGAGTTGAACCAGAAGAAAAAAAAAAAAAAACTATGGCGCTTGTTACTGTTCTCATCATCGGCTGTGGCGTTGCCGGCCCGGTCCTTGCAGTCCTTCTGAAAAGAAAAGGATACACCCCGATTGTATTTGAGAAAGTGAAGCAGTTGGGCGACGTTGGGGCGTCTCTGATGTTGATGCCGAATGGGTCAGTATTTCAAAAGACGCGGGGGGGGGGGGGGGGGGCCGAAAGGCTTGTGTGCTTCATACAGAGTATTGACTGCGGATACAGGTTGAAAGTATTGAACTTGGTCGGAGTGACAGCAGAGATCGAGAAAGAATCCCTGCCTCTAGAAAGATTTCTCGACTGTTCCTCGGACGGGGAAGTACTTGGCTTCTCAGAAGAGCCCAAGTCATTCAAGGGGAAATATGGCCAACATGCAATGGGCGTCAAACGGACAGGCCTGAACCTGAAACTCAAGGACATGCTGATTGACTTGGGCATCGACCTGCGGGAAGGTTGGGAGTTGGAAGACATTGAGGAGAAGGAAGACGCCGTCACAGCCTATTTCAAGGGAGGCCGAAGCGTAACGGGCGCTTTCCTCATCGGGTCCGATGGTATCAAAGCGGCATCCAGAAGGATTCTACTGAAGAACAAGGGGACAGGCGAAGGTCTGCCCTTGTTCAGTGGACTTACTCAGGTGAGCAACTCGAGCCTGGAGCGATCAAGAAGCTAACCATGTACAGACCGCCGGGCTCTCATCAACGCCACAGGCCATGAAAGGCAAACCTTACATGCGGAACTTCTATGGTGAGGGAGTCCACATGATCACCTACCCAGTCTCGTCCGACGTCACATCTTGGGCATTGACACTGCCCGAAGAGACTGGCTCCGAGGCTTCCTGGGGCTTGATTACAGCAGAAGAGATGGATGAGAGGAAACGGAAATTACTTGCTCACCTCGAGCTCTGGAACGACACGGCTCCTGCAAAACTGATCCAATCGGCCGCTCGAATGATCAAGTTTGGGCTGTTTGACCGAGATGAGATGAGACCCGATCAATGGCATACGAGTCGCTGTGTGCTTGTCGGAGACGCTGCACATCCGACAAGCCCGCATCTTGGCCAAGGTGCTAATCAGGCATTGTACGGGAGTTTCTTGAATGCCTCGTTTGAACCACGGCTAACGTCCTAATAGGGAAGACTGCTATCACCTCAGCCATTCGTTGCCGGATTTGGATCCGGAAGATGACGGCCAACGAATCCTCGCCGAGCTGAAACAGCGTCTGCCAGCAATTTTCGAGGCCTATGCGGAAAAGAGGCAGCCCCGGACTTCGGCCTTGGTCAAGGGGGCACGAACTCAAGGCCAGATGAGAGTCGTAACGGCTGGGCCGGAAGCGTGCAAGAAGAGGAACGAGAAGGTCGCTTCTGCTTGGAAGGACACTGATGCGGTAGCAGCCAAGTACGAGGGACTTTGTCAGGAGCCATTCCAGTTGGTATCTTGAGGCCAGGACGGATGTATTACCTCGCTTTTAACTTGCATCATCAGCGTGCATTAAGGAAGGCCAACGTGATGGGGTTCTACATTGCAAAAGGGGCTTGTTGTAAATCAATGTATCTTGCTTGATTCTGTCCATCTTCAGCATTTATTGCTCTGATCGGGTTGGAGAAGGCCAGAGTGATGACCTAGCGGGCTAGGTACCCAATACTGGCGAGGCTGGGTACTCGGGACTCGGGACTCCCGAGGTCTTTATAGACGCCATGCTAGCTCTCCCACACCACCGAAACTTAGTGCCATAAACCTCGGTTGACTTGGCAGGAACCAGAACATGTTGACTGGTCTCCCGATTTAGCACACGGTAGCTGATTGGCATCATCTGCATGTCAAGGTCAAAAAGTCGGGCCGCCTCATAGAATCTTGTCCCTATGTCGAACTCCAGGATTTAGCCCCAAGACTGGTGAGGCTGGACGAGATTGACGAACTATAAAAACTTAGAAAGGACAAGGTGGCACCAGGAGAGAGATAGAATCCAAGCTCAAAGATGTAGAATGCCAGCTGTTCAGACAAGTGGGAATACCAAGATGTGCAGTACACTGTTGAAAAGGCTCGAAGGAAGACAAGATTCATAGCCTTTTGCAGATGAAGCCAAAGTGTGTCTGGATGGGGGCGGACTTTCGACTTGTGGTTGCCTTGACGGCTTGAATGACAGACATAAATCGGCATGAAGCACATGAAGCTGTGTACTTTTTCAAATGACAATGTGCATTTGAAATCCAATTTTGTCAACCACCTCCAAGCCACCTCGTCCTGGCAGTGGTAGAGACAAGGCAGAATTCTGGCACGCCACGTCGCTCAGCTTTGGGTCAGCATCGTCCCTTGGACCTCCGTATCCGCCATGCGTTCCTCCAATGTGAGAGCCTCACGTTACATGTCTTACAAAATTCTATTGATCTTAAACAGCCACAGCCTCAACTGCATTAATCTCCATCTACCGACACGGGAAACTCTTTGTGAGAGTTACTCAGTGCACAATGCTCGCGTGCCCTACAGTTGCTTCTCTGGCTTGGAATGCAGGGTATGCCTTCTCTGATTCGCGATGTTGAATGCCAATTAGCTACGAGCATTTGAGCTGACACTTTCGCTTGATCGGAGCTCAGGCGAGCTCCATGGGAGAATCCTGAGAAGTCTCTAGCTTGACTTTGAGGAGTGTCAAAACAGAATTCAGGACGCCGCCAGGATGCGGGTCTCTTGTTCAATCTCAGTGTCAAGTGATGACAAACACGGGGGATATAGATATTTTAGTCTGCTCCCTCCTCGTTTCTACTTTTGGACTCGTTCTTTGATATGCTGTGTATGCTGACAGACCATCCCTATTTGTCTTTTGGTCTGTTGGCACACACCGTAACTATCTATGAAGTCATCAAGCTTCTGCCACACTCTCGCCTGAAGTCATCGTTTCCCTTATTTCAGCCATTGTCTCGATGCACCCTTCGCTGATAGTTATACTCGCGGTTGTGGATAGAAACGGCTACAACCCTCACCAAGACATTTACCATATCAAATCTCAGGGCCAATCCTTGTTGCTGCCACGCTCTACTCGCCCTTACGTGCTTCGCAACTACCCAGGAACTTTATCGACACGACATACTGTCAAAACAACTCTCCTATCCCGAGCGGGTGGATGTGGACATCTTTGCAACGGCATCGGCCAGTCTCAATCTGGGTCTCAACACCGCCGGTCCCCCTCCGCTGCTGACGCCCAGTATATCGACTTGAACATATAAGCCGGGTCTATTGCCCAATCACGAGTACAGCCAAATTCGAATCGGAGGAGAATAATCTTGCTGCCTTATTCCGCCTACAAGCAGGGACACGCTCACGGGCGTCGTAGTTGGCTGCTCACCTGCACAGCTCTTCGTCTCTGCGACTCCGTCCCCAGGCCGACTACCCATTGTTGAGAACTGAGTCAGTCTTCGGAGCCAGGGCAGGGAGGGGGACGATATTCCATTTCTGCAATTCTCTGCGCACGTCTTCAAGCTTATTGGTGACGAAATACGCTGCCCACTTCAGCCGGACAAGGGGACTAGAAGCAATCTCTACAAGTAAGCATGTAATTCTGGGGCTGTAGACGGTACAGCTTCGATTGTCAAGTGGCTTTCCGAGAATTGTGGACTTTTGCACAAGATAACATAGTCATCTACATAGTACCGGATGATCTGCGCCCCTGCGACAACGAACAGTATGCCTCCGCTCTGGAAATTATACAAGCTAACAGGGCAAGGCGGTGAGTCCGAAGGAAGGTATTGTCAGATGCTTGCAGATCAAAGCTGCTGGCTACCCTAGTTTTGCCTAGTTACAAGTTGAGTTAGCGAGATGCTTCTTCCACTCGGATGATTTCGGAAAGCTCACGGCTGGTTGGCCCGAGTACGTCACAATGAGAGATTTCGGCCATGGTGTGATACGGGCCATTGATTATCTTGGATATCAGCTACAGTATCATTCAAACCTACAGTAGGCACATCGCCTCGCTTGCGCAGATTCGCCTTTCCCGATCAACGATCACCCGCCATGAAACAAGAGTCACGGACTTCATCAACTTCCTGAGATGGCTCAATCACTCGCTGCGGCCGGGCAAAAACTAGAGCGGCGCACAGTTGTGTCGGTCCTCCTATTTCCTCATCAGCCATACGCGTCCAAGCCATATAGAGTTCTTCTGTTCCGCCGCTCTGACAAGGTCAGCACATATCGGAGGAAGCTTGCGCCCATTGCAGGCTCGGTCGAGACGTACGACAAGTCGCCCCTCCATGCAGCCTGGCGAGAACTGAAGGAAGAGACTTCTTTCGGACCACAGCAAATTGAGCTATGGAGACGAGGTGCCGGATTCGAATTTACGGACCAGAAGGTTGTGGTTGTGGGCGAAGGCGACCACCAAGTCAAGGGACGAGTCTGGAAGGTCTGGCCCTTTGCGTTTCGCTTGACCAAGGAGACTGCCGACTACAGTAATGATGTCGACAAGTTGGGGCTCAAGATGAACTTCGAGCATCTGGGCTGCCAATGGCAGAATGTCGACGATGTTCTGAGTGGCAAGATATTGGATGACTGTGTGCCGAGACTGGAAGTGACACTCGGGCAGGTCTGGGTTGATCCCGACAGCATATTGTACCAAGCACTGGAAGAACTTCGACTAGACCATTCACACGGGGCTCGAGAACTGGCCACAATGGCAGTGAAGTCACTGATCAAGATCGTTGAGCACGACCAGCAAACGCAGCGGCCTGGAGATGTTACCGAATGGTGGAAGGGCTTTCAACGACAGGCATTTCATCTCGCCTTCAATGGCCGCCCAAGCATGGCGGCTGCCATCTCGAATGCTGTTGCCACGGCCTTGAAAGAAGCAAAGAATCAGATTGACCCCTCGGCACCAAATTACCTCGAGAACGTCAGACAGAGCCTTGACGCCTCTGTCGCCAAACGGGGAGAGATATCCAGACAAGTGAGTCACCAATTCTCGAGATTTTTGCGAGACACGTTCAGGCCAGCTGCTCAAGGCCGAACAGGTGAGAAGGAACGCATCAAGATTTTGACCCTGAGTTCGTCCTCAACCATCAAAACTGCGATTCTGCATGCCCTCGACGCCGATGGGTCATTGTCAATGGAACTGCGCATCCTCGAATCGCGGCCCCTTAACGAAGGCGTGAGCTTTGCCAACGCATTGACCGAAGAAGCCCAGCGGCGCCACGAGCCTGGGGCCACGGGCCCTTTCATTGACGATCGCCTGCGAATTGTTCTAGCAAGTGATGCCTCGGTTGGTGTGCTGAGTAAGGACGTCGACCTTGTCATTATTGGTGCCGATCGGATTTCAGAAGCGGGAGATGTGAGCAACAAGACCGGCTCCCTGGCGGCTGCCTTGATCAGCAAGGCAGTCACCAATGGCACGGCTGCCGTTGTGTGCATCAGCGAAAGTGAAAAGATTGCGGTCCCAGGAGCCGCGGCCGATCATCCGGAAGAGGACAACGACAAAACCGAGCTCACCAGCAGCTGGGGCAAGCCACAGCCCGCTGCCTTGTGGGATGAAATGATCACAGTCCGCAACGTCTACTTTGAATGGGTACCTGCCCAACACATTGACTACTACGTCTGCGAGGACGGCACGCTGTCGACGCAGGATATTCGCCAGAGGTCGAAGCGGATATATGAAATGATGAACGAGGTCTTCACGGTCGAGCAGGGATTGAACATTTTCGAAACGCCAGGTCGTTTATAGGCGAGCTCAGGAGGCAGGCCTTGTGGACTCGGGAAACGCACGATCTTTCTCCTCTTTCTAACATACCTAGGTCGATAGGACGATAAAAATTGATCACGGAATTCAGCATGCGAGAATCTCGCATCTTCCTACCACGCTGGCTGTCAAAGTAGAAATGTGTCTACTTGAGCGCTGCTTCACGTGTCTGTAGAGGCGGATCGAGTTCCTTTGGATGTTCGACTAAGTCTCTCGGGGTACGTGTCGATATCGACGATCATCCATCCTTGAGTTCTCATCCCGGACTACTAATATCCATTCGCCACGACCTTTGTTCACGGACCGCCGCCGCCGCCAGAGTTACTGCGTCTCCTATTGGCCCGCCTTCGGGCCTTCTCCAAAATTGCCGCGATGCTCAAGAAGACCAGGAGTTTGAGCTGCCGTTGCGTTTCTAGCTCTTCTCCACTGCCGTCTTCGAGGTCCCGAAAGACCCTCAATTTGCCCTTCTTCCTCCAGCTTTTGAACTTGTTGTCCAAGAACACCGCGATGACCTCGTTGGCGCCCACGTCGATGAGTTGGAAGCTCTCGCGGTGTAGAATGCGCGTCGCGCTCCCGCCTTCAATGCCCGCCGCGGCGTCGTGGGTGCGTTTCCACGCGTACGACCTGCCGTTGAGAGACATGTGGTACTCGCCGTGGGTCATCAGGTTTGCATTGCGCACTTCGACATAGGTCATCGTGGCGTCGGTGGACGAAGGATCGCCCAGTCCGACCTTGATGTGGCGCGAGAACTTTGGGAAATGCGCTGCTCCGACCACGGGTCCCGATTCGCCGGTGTTGGCAAGATATTCCAGGTCGTTCGTCATGCCCGTGGTCGGGGGCAGGGCGTGCAGGATCACGTCTGGCTTTTTGAGAGCAAACTCAGACACTTCGACGTAGTACAGCGGTGCTTTGCCCGTGGCTGTCGAGGCAGCGGCGTCCGTGATGACGAGCCCACGGCTCAGGAGTTTGGGATGGTACCATCCGTATTCTCGGGCGTGGCAGGGACTCGCTTGGCTCCCTGCGAACAGAGCCTCATCCTTCGCGTCATATAGCGAGCGCTCGGTGGACGACTCCGAGTTCCTACGGTAGGCCGGTGGAGGGAAGTCGTGGACCTCAGAGCCGTCCGATTCGTACTGCCCTTCCAATCCAGGGCCGTGAAGTTTTGAGTCCATTCGCAAGCCCTTGGACGGGAAGAGGATGTGCTTGCTTCGAAGACTGAGAGTCTCCCGATGAGTAGAACCACTTCAGGGAGGAGGGACCAGTTCTGTAGAATTTTCCACTTCGAAAAGGAGACACCAGGTCCGTGCTTCAATATATATATATTATACATTCGCCCGCCGAGCCGGGATCGACGAGGGCCATTGAACCATGACAGAATAGGAGGCTGAGATTGTGTTCCCCGGGCCTAATTGCAGTACGCCTGACGATCTTCCATTGGGGGAGCCAGACCACCTAAATTCTAGCTCGCAATTTCTTGCGCCAAGGGAAACGAACGAGTTGCTCAAGGATTTTGGATACGACGTACTCGGATTTTCGACAGCTACTGCAGCACACGTGATCTTTGCTTCGGTCCCAAGGACCCAAAGAGGATCGAAGAAGGCTGGCCTAACTAGTCTGATTCTGCTGACATACGAGAGCACAAAATTTGGGACTGTTTTTGAGTCTGCGCTGTGCCCTCCGTCATACAGGACCAGCAAGATGCCCTCGGTTCGTGACATCGGCTTAAGAGAAGGATCATTAGTATTTCTATCGTCAACCGATTTGAACGAAACGGACGCCACTTTGTTGCACGTGTGTTTGAATGGCTCCGTACTGACAAATCGACGAGCCCGAGAGAACAAAGGAGGTCGTCGACGATGACTGACAAGGACTTCTAGAAACGGCCATCCTGAGAGGTCCAGATCGCTTTAAATCCAGCCAGCGGCCGGGCTATCAAGGCGAAGATAAACCAGGGATGTATTTCCGCATGTTGGTGAGGTTTCGATGCGATCGGAGTAAGCCCACCAGGTCTGGCGAGAGCCCTTCCATCACCGAAACACAGGTGAAGAAGATCAAACAAGCATTTCATCTTGGATCTAGAAAAGAGTTCAAAGGGGGATTGGTACTGAAATTTCAGCTGAGAGCTAGGTGTTATCTGATACGCGGCAGCGAGACGGACCCTCCTTTCGTCGTGACCATGACTACCAACCTCAACCAACACTTTGCAACAGGGCGTTTGCGACCCAGATTTGCCCACTTTCCACCAAGACTGCACGCAGAACCACCGCAATAGGGCGAGCCGGTGCAAAATAAAAACACCTTCTCAGGCTCAGAACGCAGAGCCTCGTCGCGCGACGTCATCCATCACCTCCTTCTCCAACACGCCATCTCGGGCCCGGCTATGCGCAAAGGTAGAGGTTGGCCTCCACTTGCTCGAGGTGCGCGGCGTGGATTCTTCCATCATCTTGTCGACCTGTTCCAGGGTGAGGCCCTTCGTCTCAGGCACCAAGAAGTACGCATAGACGAATGCCGTCGTGCAGAGGCCGCCCCAGACGAAGAAGACCGAGGATTTGAGGTCGCCGTGGTCTTCGCCGACCATGTAGGGCGTGATGACGGCGATGATCTGTTTTTCACATCCTTGTCAGCTAGCTGCTTTGCTGTTTTCTGTAAACCGCTTTTGGCTCGAGGCCAAGACAAAACTCACCGTGTTCCAGAGCCAGTTCGACGCCGTCGACAGCGCAACGCCCCGCGAGCGAATCGGCAACGGGAAAATCTCCCCGATCACTATCCACGCCCCGGGACCCCATGTGGACGCGAAGAAGAAGATAAATATGGCGATGAACGCGATCTGGGCGTTGACCGCCGGGATGTTGTCCGCCAGGCTGAGGTTCGGATCGGCTGGGTCCGGATGAGTGTGGTTAAACCCGACTGTCACGCCGATGATGGCGACGAGGAACTGGCAGATCAACATGCCTAATGCGCCCCAGACCAAGAGCGGACGACGGCCAAACTTCTCAACCGTATAGAACGAAAGTGGTGTGCTGCATACATTGACCAAGGTAAAGATGAGTGAGATGAGGAACGTGTTGTCGATGGCCCCCGTGCTCTGAAGGAAAGGGGTCGAATAGTAGAAGATGAAATTGACACCAGTCCTAGCGGCGACTAGTCAGCATCCTCAACACGGACCTAGACCTTTTCTTTTACGCGGAGGGCCATACCATTGTTGCATCATTTGCAGAGACGTGCCCAAGATGGTTCTGCGCAGGTTAGATTTCTGCACCCTCAAGCCCCCCTTGAAGCAATTGGCCCAGCTGGAAAACCAGCCGCTAGAGGGGATGATGGACCGCTCGTATTCCTCATTGGCAACGATCTCAGCTAGCTCGATCTGAACGTAATCGGAGTCGCGGGGCTGGCCGCGGAGTTTCGACAGCGAGATGGCGGCATCCTCGAGGCGGCCCTTTTTGACGAAATAGCGTGGTGAGTCGGGCAGGGTGAGGAGACCACCGGCCAAAATAAGGGCCCACGCGAACTGGATGGCGATGGGGATTCGATAAGAGCCCGTATCCTGTCGATCCTCGGTTGCGTAGACGACGATGGAAGCAAGCATGATACCAATGGTAATACAGAATTGGTAGCCGGCAACGAGGGCTCCGCGGACTTTTCTGGGGCACTGTTGTGGATGGCTTAATGTTCATCTGTAAGGGAGGACAGAGGTAGCGTAAATATACTTACAATCTCACTCATGTAAAGGATCACAATGGCACTTTCGAAACCGACCCCAATACCGGCGATGAGGCGGCCGGCCACTATCGCAGCTAGGGCATCGCCTTCTCCGGTGATCATTTGGATAACGACACCGAACATGTAAATCATACAGCCCATGATGACGGTCCACTTGCGACCGATGAAATCTGCCATGTCGCCGCCGATAAGAGCCCCGAAAAAGGTGCCAGCGGACAGGATTGACACAATGAGCGATTGGTGCGAGGAGCTAAGAGCATCTGCAGTTGGGCCTTCGACTGCCCGAATGAAGATGTCTGCTCCGAGCACTCCATTGATGTAACCTGAGTCATAGCCGAAGAAGATGCCGCCGAATCTGGCTTGCCGTTAGTGTCGTCGAACTTTACATCGAGAAACGCAGGGCTTGAGGATGTCACCACCACCGGTATCGGCCTCAAGGTGACTTACGAAGCAAAAGCGCACATCAAATACGCTTTCCATGTTACAGGCGCCTCAATGCGGTTGACATCGTCGGTGGTTTTCAGAGAGACGGAACGGGGGTGTTCAGCCTCCTCTTGGAGTGCTTTGGAATCGGACATGGTGGATGACTGCTCAGTTCGATAACCGCAAGAAGGGGACACTGTAAATGTGCGGACAATCAGGTATCACAATAAAACCTTGCTGAGGAGCGGGGGAAGTCCATATGACTTATATACATTCCTGGCGCGGACCATCAAAACAAGGATCTCAAAAGATTTCGCCGATGGGCACCCATGGGTGACACATCGCGGATTCGCGGAGATCCATAAAGAGGACCAATTGCCAATTGAAAGGCCCGGTCGAGCCTCGCTTTGGCTGACCTCCTTCGCGCACGATGGCGCTCGCGATATGTGAAGGGTGGAGGAGTTTCATGTCCATTGATCGGACTGAAACCCAAGAGCACAGCGGGAGCCGGTGAGTAGCAGATTGCATCATAGATTGCAACCTTGGAAATGGCCACTGCAACATTGCGGGCGTGGCACGAGTCTTGAACTGGGATTTGACGTCGCGGAGTCAGGCTTGTCCTTGAGCGGTCCAGTCTTGGACTCGGTCTTGGATGTTGTTCCAAGACCATGACAAGACCGGGACCCCCACAGCTTGCTCCAGCATTCCGCAGGCCGAGCCATGAAGCTGAATGCCCTTCTAGGACAAGCAATCTGCGCTTGCAGCATCTAGATTCTTCTGAGAAGAGAGCTCGGCTCTTCCGAAGCACGTTTTCGACATTGAATCGGTGCGTAAAAAAGACGACACCCGTCGGCTGGTGTCTTCTGGCTTGTGGCGGAGGAATGCTCCGCCTGGTGTCATTGATTGCCCAGACAACGGAGGCGCCTTGGCATTCTGGTCCAAGACGGAGTGGCAGAAGCACCCAAGAAACACATTGCGGGGTTCGTTCCAGCAAGCATGTTCCAAGCGTTCATGCCAATATGCTGAGCAACGTTTCGTGGCCTGTGGATGGAATTGCCTCTTTTGCCCCACGGTTCTGTGTGTGTTGGATGGTGGAGGCTAAATTGTCCGACAGCACGCAAAATGCTGTCAAATCTTGCAGCAGCTGGCGTTGGCATTGCAATCGCTGGAGCAATGACTCTCAGGCTGAGATATGGCGAACGCTTACCCGAGCAGGATCAGATGGCCACGATCTGTAATCTCGCCATGATAGTGGCTCCAATCAATCAATTGTCAGTCGAGCTGCGGTTGAATGTTTCCAGTTATTTGTCAAGATATCTGCCAACCGTCTCATCGTCCCGTTCCTCGTCGCCTTCCAGAATGCCATGATCTTATTCAATAACAATTCTTGAGCCTGTGAGTTATAGATAGACACCCCCAAGCAATAGAACGGTCAGTAGTAGTATTCTGCGAAATAATCCACTGAAGGTTCGATGGAGCGGACAAAAGCTAAAGCTTGGGAGAGCAAGGTTGAAAGGGATGTTGAAAGACATTGGCCTCCCATTTCGGACGAATGTGCCACCATCCGCCTCAGGAGAATCTTTGCAGCAAGGATATAGAGCTTTGGTCCGAAGAAAGATTGGGTGGCACGTTGAAGGTCAGAGGGCAAAGACAACGAGGGATCTTCGTTGGCAGAATCAGTGGAACTGATAGTGTCAACGACGTACGAGTCGGAAATATTGTCATGGGTCCACCGCGTCAAGTCTTGTTCCAGCCGATGGCATTGTCGCACGTCGAATCTCTGGGATCGAAACTGGGCATATACCAGGGCCACTTGTCGGACGTACGAGAACAGCATTGGGGGTACTCCCAGAACCGGCGAATAGGCATAGTCCAATGTATTTTCCCGCCATAGCTGCTCCAGCACAACCTGCGCTTTCGCAAAAGACCTCGTCGACGAGAGCAGATGTCGGAGGCGGATCCTGGAAGGGGATGCTCGTAGCCACATGGAAAATGAAGGATTCTAGGGTGAGAATGCGTGTGGCAGTTCACGTAGCTGGTGCGCTCCTTGATGCCTCCATCCGCTTCCAGCACGACTTGAGCAGCGCGGCCGCACCATACAGATGGGTCGAAACACCTTCAGAGCGATACAGTCGAGTTCTCTACAAGGGAGTTTAGCCACCTTGGGAAAGTCATTGTGTTGAATAGGTACTCGCCTCATAGATGTATAGCATAAGAACGGTTCGCAGAGCAATGATTTCGGCCAGCGGAGAGTCATCCTGGGCGAGGGAGGCTCGCATCCCCTGCGACAGCTTTGATGTAGTGGATTCCGCTCGTCTGCGATGGAAAGCGTCATTTTCTTTGATTTCAGCTGCAGAGCACGCCAGGAGAGCATCCATGAAAAATGGCGTGCTGTGCGCAAGCTGGAGACTTCCACTTGTAAAATCTTTGATATATTGGCTATCGGTCGCGGGTCGAACAAGCTGTGGGACGAAGACTGTTCGCATGAAATCGAACAGAGGAGGGCTATGAATCTTTGTGTGTGAGGCGACGGAGGTAAGTTGAGGAGAGACTATGAGAGAGAACTCATCTTCTTCATCGTCCACGCTGTGGTTATCGGATGTCGGCGAGAAAGAAGCTGAGGGAGCACGAAACGGATCGAACTCACAGGTCAGACAGCCAGTTTTGGTGCGCAGATGGGCTGGCCTCCGCCGCGGCTTTCGAGAGTTCTTGACCATCTGCGCCGGCTCACCCATGGTCAAGCCGGTCCCTATTATGATGTGGGAGGAAGTGCTTTCTTACAATCCTCAGAACCTGAGACAGGGCAAAGAGGTCAATGCGGGGGATGCCGCCACCACTATTCCAGCGGTCTCATTAGGTTATCCTGGCTATCCTTGCCGATATGGTCTTAGCGAGACGAGGCAATCCGACCACTTGCAACACGTTCCGCGATTTTGGGCCAATTCCCCCCCAACTCTTATCACGGGTGGCGAGCTAGATTTCGGCAGGCCATGCACTAGATCGAGAGCTATACAATGGAATCGTCGAGTCTTGATGTCCCTTTCCTGCTTCAGGCTTTGCTTCGCAGGTGGCCGCTGGTGGCATACTCGTGTGAGAAACACCCTTGCGCAACTGACAACTGACTGAGGTCGGGCGACATGCTTCTCATTGTCTGGGTCTGTGGCAGATATAAGAATGCTAGAGCATCTTCGATGAAAAGGTATGGACTCTCCACCACTGCCGACACCTGCACTCTTCCTTCGACACCATGTCGTTGGACCGCCGCTCTTCTGTTGATATTTTGCTGGCCTCCGGGAACAGTTCGCATTGAAGGCAAAGTACTCAGTACATACATCACGTTCCACCTATTTTTGCATGATCTAGACTTATATTCTGCTCACTATGTGCCGGTGACAGATCTCCATGGCAAAAATGCAAAGATTATCTTGCAACCTCAACCCACCACCGACCCGAATGATCCCGTGGTAGGTTACTCTTTAGTGCCTGTACCTCAGAGGCTAAGACTGCTTTTAAAACCACAACTGGCCAGCATGGAGAAAACGTCTCAACTTCATCCTGGTGAATTTCTACGTGCTCTTGGTTTTCGCACTATATGAATCCCCCATCCACAATAGCATTACGAATCACGCCTCACGCATCTTGCCGGCAGGATAAACATGGTGACGGTCACTTGGGGGTCCATGAACTTGGAGCTAGGATTTCAGCTACGATGTTCTCAACGATAGCTATGCCGCAGGCTGTGATCTCTCTGCATTGGAGGCATCTTCCTCCTACCATTCGCCCTGAAATACGGCAGGCGCCCTGTCTACATATTCAGTTTGGCCGTTCAATGCGGAATAGCGACCTGGTCTGCCCGAGTACCAAATGTCGCGGGTCTCATGCTGGTCAATATCCTCGGATGCTTTGTCGGGGCCCTCTGTGAAGTCATGATTCAGATGACTGTCGCAGATGTCTTCTTCGTCCATCAACGCGGCTTGATGAACAGCATCTCCGTCTGGACTCTGACCATCGGATCTTCTCTAGCACCGCTGGCCGCCGGATATGTCACTACCTCTCAGGGATGGCGTTGGGTCTGGTGGTGGACTGCCATTTTGATCGGAGTGTTTGTGATCCTCATGTTCTTTCTGTACGAGGAGACAAAATATGAGTGTCAGGCCATTGGCGGCTTCCCAAGTCCCAGTCGCCCTTCCCAGGGTGACCTCTCCAGGCAGCTCGACGGTGACTTGGAGGAGAAACAATCGCCTGCAAAGGATGCCATTGCCAGTGTCGTTCCACGCCCGGAGGTCCCCCTCGTCAGAGTCGAGATCGATCCGACAATCCAGGTCAAACCCTACTGGAAAAAGCTGGCTCTCTGGTCATCCTCACCAAAGTCCATTCGATTCTTGGTCAGACACAGCTACCAGCCCGAGACGCGGCTGTGGCTGATTCTAACTTTTACGCATTTCGTGGCCGCGGGCCTGCTGATGTTTGGGATCGGGCTCGAAAGGGGTCTACCGTGGCCTTTCATCGCTGTTGGCTTGGGTGTGGCGTCATTCGGGTCGACGCCGGCGACGAGTCTCTCTCTCTGACCTACCCTGACTGACGCATACACCGAAGTAAGTGTTGAAAATCCAGTTCGAATTCTACAGTCAAACCCGACAAGTGTGGAAAGTTACTGACAGTGCACGCACGTCCCATGCAGATCATCTCCGACACGCTCGTGGCCGTCACATTCGTGAAGAACCTGTTCCCTACCGTCCTTGTCTTTACATTGACGCCTTGGATCGCAGCAGTAGGACTCGCAAACGTCTTCATCACCGCCGCCGTAATATTTGTTATCATGCTGTTGGGGAACGTCATCTTCATCGTGTTTGGCAAACGGTTCCGGACCCGCTCGGGAGGCAAATATCGCCTCTATGTTGACCATCACCTGGGAACAGCGTAACCTTAAGTTGCCCTGTGCTGGATCGGACTTGATGACAACCTATATACCTCGCGGTGCCTCGTAGCAAGTATGTTTGCTGCCAATATTGTCTCGTCTAACTGGCCGTCTGACTACGCCATATTTCATCTAGACTCCGGTGGGCATATTTCCCCTTTCCTTTCCCCCTTCATTTCTCCTTTCCTGTATTGACGAAGTCGACGCTCCTGCCCCCTGCGCCACGAAAGTACGAGTTCTCGCCTTGGAGAGAGAAAGAGAGAGCAATAGCCAGCCGCCGGCACCCGGGTGGAGCGGTCTCGTGGGGTTCAATGCGTCTTGTCCCGCGATCCTCTCGGTAGTAAACGTGCAACAAAAGATGCGAGTTCAGTTAATTCAGTGCTACTACTTAAAGAGACACATATGGACCTAGGCAGGTAGCTAGGCTCGCTCGCTAGCTCCTCGTGGCGGCGAGTGGGACAACCTTGGGCCGACGCTGTCACTTTGCGCGTCCGAAGCCTACAAGTTGAGGCTAGGTACGCCACACTGCACATATAGGGTATGTAAGATATGAGGACTTGTGCTGGTCTCAGAGAAAGACCCGAGAGGCTATTTGCGCGGTGCGCCTTTCTCGGCCATCCGTCCTTGGTCCTACACTATTGCCGCATACATTACGTAGCAAAAGGGCCGAAGTGATATGTTTCCCCCCGTTGGTCCTGCGAGGGGCGTTTGTACTAACATACATATGTACAGTCATCGGCCCAGCAAGTCGAGCGATGCCGATCGCGGCGCCGCAGAGCGTGTTTGGGGTGGCAACACCCCATACAAGTGGAGAAATAGACAAGGTCGCAAAAAAGGGGGAGACGCCTTATATTATTATTTGCTTCTGGAAAATGCGGCTGGCTAGCTGGCTGGATACTATATATTAGATCTACCTAACTACCGATCAATCTGTCCTTCGCACTACACCGCTAATTTGCGAATACTCTGCGGTCGATAGATCCGAATGGCTCCCACAATCGTCAGAAATGCTTGTATCTTCACGAGCACAAAGGACGCAGACGACGTTGTCGCCGGGTGTCTGGTTTTTCAGGATGATGGCTTGATCCAATATGTGGGCCCAGAGGAGGGTTTGGAGAGCCACTGTCAGGCCATCATGCCTGCTTCTGGTAGTGGTGTCACAGAGATTGACGTCGACAACCGCATCGTGACCCCCGGCTTCATCGACAGCCACGTCCACATGTTGCATTTCGGGCTGTCGCTAGGCAAGCTCGATGTCATGTCGTGCAAGACCCTCGAGCAGATCCGGGACAAGATTCGGAGGTTTGGACGCTCGCACCCGTCTGAGCCGCGGGTCCTGTGCAAGGGTTGGATTCAGGCCTCGGCCGCCGGACAGGCTCTGGCGAGCATGCTGGACGACCTTGATCCTCGGCCGATCTACGTTGAAGCCCTGGATCTGCATTCGATATGGCGCAGCACCGTGGCATAGGATGAGTTGGGCGTTGCATCCATGAAAGATCCGCCGGGAGGGATCATCCATCGGGACGGCAACGGGAGGCCATTAGGTCTCCTGGACGAAGGGGCTCTTCCTTTGATTGTGTGGCCGCATCTAACAAAACCCCTGACGGCGGAGCAGAAGCAAACTGCACTCCACCACGCAGTATCTGCTTACACACAAGCGGGATACACAGGTGCCATCGACATGGCCATGGACGAAGACGAGTGGGACGCCCTGGAAACCTACCGCTCCCGCAAGGGGCTACCTCTCCATGTCGCTGCTCACTGGCTCGTCCCGTACAGCGACCCTGACCAGGAGATCCAGGCCACACTCGACAAGGCCATTGAGATGCATCACACCTTCCACCCATCAGCCCCGCCGTCTTTCTGCGTTTTCGGGGTCAAATTGATCGGTGACGGGGTCGTCGACAGCTGTACGGCTGCCCTGAGCCAACCATACGGCACAAAGCCAGATCCCGTTGAGCCTATCTGGCCCGCGGAGAAGATGGCAAAAAGTCATCCACCAGGCCGACGCCGCGGGGCTTCAGTGCGCCGTACACGCCATTGGAGATAAGGCCATCACCCAGACCATCGATGCCTTTGCAAGCCTCTCAATGCCTTTCTCACGCCGTCACCGCATCGAGCACTGGAGCTTGCGTCCAAGAGCGACGCCATGCGGAGCGGTGGATAGGCAGTCTGAAGAAAGGCACGAGCGCAGACTTTGTGGTCCTCGACACGGACTGGACGGCCGCTGGCTTGTTGAAGGCGAGAGTGAGGCAGACCTGGTTTCAGGGACGAAAGGTTTTTGACATACAAGATTGACCCATGGTCCAGAAGATGTCAATTTGCACGTCCATTCGCGGGAGGTTAGGCACGCTGGCACCTCTCGGGTACTAATAGCACGAGACCTCTCAACATGATCTTCGTGGATATTATTATAGGATTCTCCAGTCGTGAAACTCGCTCTCTCCATTTTACACCTTCGTTCGCGCTGGGCGCAAGAGCCAGGTTACGTATGAAGGAGCATCAGTTGGTGTTGCTCTAAAAGACTCTGTATCCTATGGAAGAAACCGGTGTGGGAAACAGGAAAATTGGATTCATGGAATCGATCATTAGGCTCACATAACACCGAAAGAGCACTAGACAATACTGTCTACAATTTGTTCCCCAGGTCTCGCCATCAATGGGCATTTCCATCCGATGGCGACTACCACTATTAGACACGAGATGATGAGGACAACTGCTCACAATTCAGCCTTGGCCTGGTTAGAGGTTGGGGCTTGATTAGATGCCTGGCTAGAACTTGGAACAGCACGCTGTACTACACCGAGTCTCGTGTTGCCGACATCGAAGACACTATCAAACGTTAGCTTGACGCGAGTGAGCCAAAAAATCTGACTCACGCATAGACATTCTGTAAGAAGGTATCTCCAAAGATGTCGAAGTTTAAGTCGCCACGAGACTGAATGCCCCCATACACCATGTTGCCATCAGCGCCACCAGCAAAAGCGAGGTGTTGCTTCTCAATGGTAATTGGAGTGTTGCCAACCATAAACGTGACAGAAGGAAGGTCATTTTCGGCAGTGTTCGCAGGAAACACCCAGCCCTGCTGGCTGCTGTCTTGTTGCGCGCCAGGAATGGCACTGTAGACTGCTTGGCAAACCTCATCGGATGTGAGGAGCAGGGTGGTGCCGGTGTCAGCAATCGCTTTGTTCCCTGAGAGTTGAATGGTCTTGCCGTTCACTTGGGCAGAGGTCGAGTCAAACATCCAGAAACCCTGAGAGTTGTCGACAGGGGTGTAGGCAATACTCGAGCCAGAAGGGATGACTGACTGATCAATTTGGCCAAAGGTGTCTATAATTCATGTCAGCGGTCGGCGAAACCAGGACAATGGTCAGCAATTACAGAATGACTCTTCGTTTACGTCTTTGATGGAACCAAGATAGCAGGTGAACAACTCGGCATTCTGAGGGATGTCGTCTTGGGCAATCATGTTGGCAACCGGTGTCTGGACGGGCTTGGGCTGCACCGTGTTGATCGAACCGAAAGCAAGACCCAGGAGGCCATCGGACGTAGCATCTTGAGTAAACTGAGACGATAGTTTGGTGGCGAGCTCAATGGCTTGGTTCTTAACTGTGATGTTGCCAATCTCGATGTTGTCTGTCCCCACGTTCCCAGATGCGGATGATTGATCACCGTATTGAATCTGCCAGGTGGAGCCTTGGGTGGTCTTGAACGTCGTTGACTTGGAAGGGTCGAAGATGGTATGGCCTTTGCCTCCAGATAGAGTGCTCTGTGGCAGTTCAGTTGACCAGCACCAGAGGTCGGAGGATCCCGAGTCGAAGTCCTGGGCACCGGTTAGTGAGACTTGGGATACTTCTAGAGGCGCTCACCAAGTTCAGCGTCTGAGCTGGTGTGCCAATCTTGACCGGACAGGTATAAAGGGAGTCATTTTGTTGATCAGTGGCAGAGCTGCCGACCTCGTTAGCACATGTGCAGCATTATTCCGGACGCCACACGTACACTTCTCCCTGAGACCCATCTGCGTTCTGCTCGACGAGAAGTTTCTTGCCTTTGACAGCGGAGTATGGGCCCTTGATGGTTGGGGAAATGCGGTACTTGTTGAGCATGTAGACGTAGGACTTGAGACCGTTGCGTCGGTAGTGAGGGTTGCGTCGGATGGGGACACGGACGAGAGAAGCCATGTTGGGCAGTTGGGGTTAGGTAGTCCGTTGGTGAGAAGTGTCGAGAGGGGGGAGAGAGAGAGAGAGAGAGAGAGAGAGTGAGAGAGAGAGAGAGAGAGAGAGAGAGGAAGGAGTTGAAATACTTATAGTTGCGACCTCTGTCAAGGATGACGCGTTTGCCAGGCATTGCATTGCATTGCATTGCTTGGTTAACGAGACAAACCGGGAAGTCCATGGGTATGTGCGGTAACATGGCAGCAGCGATGGCTCGAGTCTCGATGCTCGACACCCGGCAGGCCCAGTTCCTTCTTTGTGGTGTTCACTGTTTGTGAAGCAGCCATTCACGACCATAGCTGAGCAGCCTGAGCCGAAGTTGTGGTTTGCCGTGTTTCAAGAGGGTTGCATAATACCTTGTCCAGCCTGTCCCTGTCCAGGGCCGTTCCTGGCAGTTGTTTCATCTATCAGTGCCAGTGGCCACTGCGGCTCTGTATACCATTGGCCTCTGCCCCCTCTGTTCGGTCCCTGTTCTCGGTATATTATCCCCATTACCCGCCGCATGTGGTGCCACTTGTACCAACACCAGAGGCCAGCAACCAGCAGATTGCGGGGCGTCGATGGCAGCGTCGATGGTGCTTCGTCATAGTCAGCGTCATTGCTTGACACAAACAAGCTTTGGCACCCAGTCGGCGAGCCCAAACCTTGGCTTGTTCAAGCTTGTCTTGCCTTTCAACATTTGCCGAAACAAATAACGGGCGCCAGGCACACTACGGCTTGGGTTTTCTATAAGCCTATCGTTGCCATAGTCGCAGATCACTGGACCGCTTCCGTAAGTGCATAGTGAGGTACCTCTCCTCACCATACAAGGTACCCAGTCTGGTCTCTCAAGAGCGGCATCGATAATCTGCATGAAGTCTCTACAGAATGTGCCTCCCATCCGCAGACAGAAGGCGCTCGGCCCGCGCCAGTCAAGTTGCTCCGAGTCAATCTCCCGACGAACCTCGACGTGTTTCCTTCGCTCTCACTACCCTCAGAGCCTTCTCCGCCGCGGCCAGAAATCTTGTTGTGTCGGGGTCGGGGTCGCCCTGGAAGCGGCATCGTGATGGGCCATGGCCAACTATGTCCTTGACAATGTTATCAAAATTGACACTCCCCTAGCCTCTGTCACCCTCTCCATTGCCCCGAAACTGCTGGCCGTAGTTTTGCCGAGAGCATTCAGACCAGTATGCGAACTGCAAGACATGGATGAAGCTTTTAGCCTGCTGGAGTAGATTCTTGCTGGGCGCCTTGGTCCGGAACAAGTGCTAATCCCAGAATCTGAACTTCTGAGGGCATCCACAGAACTCAGAACAAGCCGTCGCTTCACTACTCAGGCCCAACGTCCCTATTTTATACCGAATCTGCGACCAAGAGTCACGAAGCAGGATATCGCAGGGAGAATTGCTGGTGTAAGAAAGCCTGGGGACAGCTCTGACAGATCTGGTGTTCTCAAGCGTCAACCCCCACAGCTCAGTGTTCAGCTGCAACTTCAATGTGTAATATGTATCCATGATTGAGCCAGGGTTAGCCATTTCTGCGAGTCTATCCTCACACCTCCCCAAGGGTCATTTCTCTCGTTTGATCTACCCAAAAGATGTTGGACCTGCTCCAGGATTCCGTCAGCTTTGTCCATGAGAATGTGGACGACGTGGACGTCCGTTGTGATGTCGCCAAGGAAACCTGAGACCTGATAGATCGATACATATGCAAGCGGCAACCTGGTGGCGTCAGGGGATACGCACCTTTGTAGGTAGCCGCATGGATTATAAGACACGATTCAGCATTTCTTTTTCCCTTGTGACAATATGTTACCCTGGGACTGTAGCTCTTTCCAGCGGGCTGCATGGTGGATGAACTCCAGTATACCATCCCCGGCTATGCGAGAAACCCGCTCTTCCTCATCTCCCACCTGAAGCAATAGCAATGGTCTTGTTATGCAGCGTCACTTAATAGCACCTGCAGTAGAAGACGTATAGATGCCCAAACGAGACCTGCGTGGGTGGAATCACGTTGGCCGAGGACATCGGCGGCACGGGAATACGGACGTGACTTGTTGCATATCAGGGTCACAGCCATGGTGAGAGAACTACGCTTCTTCTTGAGCATCCGATAAGAACGCATGGCTGTGACCTCAAGTTCACGAGCGTGCTCCTGAGCGTGCTCCTGAGCATGCTCCCTTAGGCCATGTTCATCACTGTCCGTGCCGCCAAGATGGATATAATTTTTGATGGAGGTGCCCTTCTGCTTTGCATTTTGAGACCATTGAAACGGGGGATACCATCAGCGCCTTACACATCTTGTCTAGTTGCGTTCATTCAACACCCTTGGACATTGGACAACTTCTAGCCAGCATGCTGCATCGCTGCCTCGGAGAGAGCGGACGGCCTCTATGTCGGCAATGGTCCAAAGAATTCCCTGATGGGCGGGCTCGCCTGACCGAGTGCCGAGTTCACAGATATCCTTGTGCAAAGACCTGTGCGTTGGAGCACGCCGGGCAATTCCCCATCTATCATACATCCCATGCAGCAAATGATTTGGAGGTGGAGGGTCAACTTCTTTGTCGTCTAGTCCCCTAGTTGACAGCTCCGGCGTGCCACGTAGTATCCTGACTAGTCGCGGCCATGAGAGCGTTTCGTTCTAATGATTGGAGGCGTGTAATTTGCTGTAACACTGAAAATAGGTGGGTGGATGTGAAGGATTTGGGATTGGGGGGATCGATTGAGAAATTGCCGGTATGCCTCCTTGGTGCCCAATTCTACTAGTAATGTTAGCTCTACATATTAATACTTGTACGGGGTATATTAACCTCCTCAACCTCCTTTAGAATGACCACTGGCCGGAATTTGTATACGACCGCAATAATATCCACGCCTCGGAACAGCACTCGATACAGTCGAAACAGTAGGTGGCCTGCCACTGCTCAACGACACCAAAGCAAGATTCCAAGGGGCCAATCAATCCAGGCCCCGAACCGGATTCAAAGCTCGACCTGAAGCCGGTAGGTGTCCGTCTTCGCTCTTGGGCCATTTGCTACGCGTCAAGTCTAACACAATTTAAAGTGTGGCAGTCATAATTGCTTCGTGGATAGGGACAATCTCCGTGAGATATTCCCTGGTCTCCAAGTTCGTCCCCGTCCTGAACCCGCTCTCGCCGTCAAGGACGACCATGATGCTTGGTTGCAGGAATACGGTTAGGGGGGAGCGCTCAAATGCCGTTACGGTCGGGGCTACTTCTGCCGTGCGCATGGAAGTTGCATCTCTGGCGAGGAGGTCGGCTCCGGAAGCACAGCGTCTTCGAATGAACAGAAGCAGGGCTCATGCCCCGCTTATCACTATGGAGGTTAGAGACCGCGCAACCGAGCGTACCGGAAGCAACTGTGATACCTTTATTGTAGATTGCATCGGCGATACAGGCTATATTGGCGAACGAGATGCATTCGTTGCTTAGCCTGATCTGACCTAAGACTGTGAAAAGTTTGATAAGCCTGGGTGTGTTCTCATACAGATTGTTGTGTTGATTAAGGAGTCCAGCTGGTCAGGGAGAGAGGGTTAGCATAGTTGAGTTCAAGTGTTTTGACCTCCATATGACTGCCCTATAGTCCGTCAAACCCCTTAATTCTCCCGAAACTTAATACGCCCATCACATTCAATTGGGCGTCTCGTCTGCATAGTAATCTGTTTCTTCCCCTCCGGACGGGTTCCATTCAATTGTAGGCTTTTCCGACCGAATCCGTGCAATTCAAAGGATGGGCTCTCGACGTATGACCGTATCACGATGGAGCACCATTTTCGCACTTTGGCCCATCTCCTCAAGCAGCCTCCTCCTGTTGCGCAAAGGTGTTTCGGGATCATACGTCGATGCAATGAGAATAACCGGATTACTCAAAATAGCTGAAATCGCCGCGCTAAATCTCGGCTGCGCTAGACCAGTACCTCGTGAAGTCACGGTAGGGCGATACTTTGAGAAATCGAGAATCGCTAGAGATCTAACTTTGATCTGCCTTGTTGGCCCATAAATGGCTGGACCAAGTAAGACTTCCTTCCGGTGTAGGTGCATCATCGGCATCAGGACGATCGCTAGGGAGACGAGCTTATCAGATGATGAATCTTTCTCAGCCGGACATGATAGCGATGACTTGTGCTACCATTGTTGATCGAGGGAGGTTGCGGTGAGTGTTGAGTAACCTTCCTCAAGTTCATGTAGCATCTGCGCGGTGGCTGTTCCATTGCCAGATCGTGTGGAGAGAGATAAATCGTAAGAAACAATCCCGGATGCGTAAAGAGGGATGGATCATTCGATTTTGTAATACCCGGCGCTGGCCGAGTGAGGATCGAGTCAAGAAGTGTGCTCGCGCGGGCCTCCGAAGGTCTCGCCAAAGCGCAGTTTTGACGACCGGCTTTAACGCACTCGCCTAGGAAACCATCATGCTAGGCGTCGGTAACACTATCGAGCGATGTCCAGCCCCAGTCACTTAGTTTTCGATGATCCTTCACATATTCAGCCCCGTTTAGGATCATGCGACCAACACGGTTGGGGAAGATGCTGGCATACGTCTGGCCGACTCCAACGCTGTAACTGACGAAGTAGGCCGTCAACTGCTCCACATTTAATGGTTTTCATTCAGTGGTTTTCGTATCTCTCCTAGATTATGTGCAACCGAGGCAGTGCTAGCAGCCGACGAAATCGCCCGAGTCATTGTCGGTAAGCATAGAAGGTGGTGTTATCAATGGCATCGGCGATTTCGATCTGTCTTTCTGCTTTGAGGATTCTCGATGCTGCGCTTCCAGTACTAGTAGTCCTTTCGAATATCCACCATGTCTATACCTGGTCCCTTTGGCATTCAAGGAGTACTTTGGAGTTGTCCTAGATAGAAGCTGCCAGCCTAAGCATTTTCCATGGTAATTCAGTACCGAGAATGAAGATCCTCCCGCCGCCTGGACTGGGTAGTGTCGGGGTAGAAATTGTGGAGTACTAAGTCGGATCCAGGGGTAAAAATTCGAACCAATCAGGCTTCAACTTGTCCGTGGCAGCGCGCATACGAAGGCTGACTTTCTAGCCGTTCCAAACGTCGGACCATAAATCGGTCGAGGTATGCGGAGTCCTCCTGGTTGCAGCCGTGATTGTGGTGCCCATGCTCTCGTTTGGCTGTCATCCCGAAAGACCGTGAATTTCTACCCCAAAGGCTAAAACAGAGAAACTCTCTGAGATGACAAACTGACAGTGACTCCTCCTACATGACTTTGTTGCAAAGCTCGCATGGGTGCAGAGGGGCAATCGACGGAAGCTTGTAGGACACACATATATATTGAGCATTGCACCCTCCGGCCTCTGGTGGCTGGCTGCACAGCTTGGCTCCAAGTTATCGTGAGCTTGCGAGGACATATCATAGATCACTTTCGATCGCATGATCGTTGGCATCACTCGTCGCCCGTTTGTTCCCTCGCCATGTCTCCTCAGCAGCAGACAGTATTCCGGTTGACGTCGGGCGGCGGCTTTGAGGGGTTGCAAGCATTCAAAGAGCCCGTCCCGACCATTGGCGACTACGAAGTCCTTGTCAAGATTCACAGTGTTGCCATCAACTACCGCGACATTGCCATAGCTAATGGCACCTACCCGCTTGCGGTCAACGATCAGGTCGTGCCTTGCACGGACATGGCGGGACAGGTTCTTCAGGTCAGCAAGCAGGTCGACAACATTGTAGTTGGCGACGCCGTGGTTGCCGCGATTAGCTCTTCAGCATTGTACGGTCCAATGAAGGACGACAAACACACACTCGGAGGATCCAAAGACGGCGTACTCAGAGAATACATCGTCCTGCCAGTACATCAAGTTGTCAAGCTGCCTAGATCGCTCCATACCTTTACGCAATGGTCCGCCGCGGTCGCCACGGGAACAACAGTATGGAATTGCTTTTATGGCTGCTTGCCATTAAAACCCGGCCAGACAGTACTTATTCAAGGTATGATACCTGGAACCGAGATCAAGGTAGCAACTCATGATGTCAGGAACGGGAGGAGTCGCATTGACCGCTCTCATTTTCGCGAGGGCGGCTGGCGCAACCACAATCATCACGTCGTCCAGCGATGAGAAGCTTGCAAAGGTGAAAGTCAAATATGGCGTTGACCACACGATCAATTACAAGACACACCCGAACTGGGCTGCTGAAGTACACCGCATCACCGATGGACAGGGAGCCAACCATGTCATTGAGAACGGCGGAATTGGAACAATTCGACAGAGTATCGAGTGCGCTGCCATGGGTGGGACCATATCCTTAGTCGGCTTCCTCGCAAGCATACCCCAGGACCAGGTGCCCGACGTGACGCTATTGGCACTTTCCAAAGGCGCCCTGCTGCACGGCATTCTAGCTGGATCCAAACAGCAGCTTGAGGAAGCCGTGCAATTTATTGGTAGCCGTGATTTACCCGTGCCAGTGGACCGGACGTTCGCATTCAATCGGGACGATATCATCGCGGCTTTGAAATATGTGGCATCGGGTCAACACATTGGCAAAGTGTGCATAAACCTGAACTAGGTAGCGTCTGCCAGAAATTGAAGACCAGAGGCAATGAATGTATCAATCTCGAGGACATGGACACCTTGAAATATTTGAGCCCATAGTTTTAATATTGTCGTGGCCATTTGGTGACAGCGGGATGACTCATTTTCGTGAATATTCAGCGTCCCTGCCAGAGACGTCTCTTTGATAATTCCGGCGATGATTTCCAAGAGCTTGCGCTCAGTCTTGCGCAATGGGATGCAGGTTCTGGTGACCGTCGCAATCATTCCAAGCCAATCTTTAAGCAATAAGGCACATTCGAGGCTGCTCAGCGAATGCTCGATACTTCGAAATGGGAACCGAGTATGGGTAACCAACCCAATGCCCAAACGTACTGGTATACTCAAAGCATGCGCAGCATGTAGGATAGCTCGATCCACCCTAGGTGACCTCTCTGTATGGGCCTCTTCAAGCACAAGGTTGCTGATATCTCTTGACAAAAGCGCGCGGCACGGTGCTGAGTTTGAGCTTAATCGAATATAGGCAAGGCGAAGCAGGGCGGTTGCGTTCAGTCCAAGAGGCCCTTTCTCTGACAGTGGATCAAGACTAGACTCATGGGTGAGCTCCCAGGACGATTGCCACGTGTGCAGGGCGGTCTCAAAAGCTTTGACTGCATCTGGCTGGATGGATTTTCCCATAGCGTTACGATTGGCGAGGCTTATTTGTTGAAGCAAACCATGAATGAGAACATAGTCAGCAAATGAAGACAATGGGAACACAACACCATCGAAGAGTGACTGGAGCGCTTGTCGAAATAGTCGTTGAACGGGAGGATTGCTCAGATGCCAATGTGCAGCGTCGGTGGCCTTCCATGGCTCCATGCAGCTCGGCAGGAAGACGCATATCTCGTGGTTGAAGAGCTGCGGAGGGGTGTCATAGGCGATGTTGTGTAGACTAAGAAGCACAAACGCGGCGAGTAAGGTCCTCCTCCGCTCCTCGGAAGACACCCACTCACACCAGGCCTGTTCCTTCGCAGCGGCATCCATCAGCCGACCATCCACGTCTGTGGGTACATCCGACTCGGAGAACTGATGCTGTCGGACAAGCATGCTCAATTGTCCCCCCATAGATAATGCGTCAGGTAAGGCGCCCTCTCCAGTCCATGACGCATAAATAATGAGGAGGATGAGCGTTTGGATCTTTCCAAGTCCATCCCTCCTTTCGAGCATCGGATGATTTCGTCTTGTTAGCAACCCAGTTGATAGCTCGAGGTCCTGCCGATGTGCCTTCTCCGCAAAAATGGCTTTCGCCATAGAGTACAAGCAACAAGAACAGGAGGCTTCAAATCGGTTCAGGGCTCCAAGAGCGGCGGCCGCCAGCAGTAATTCGATGTCCGTTTTTGCGACTGAGAACGTTGCGGAATGAAGGAAAGGAAGATTTTCTTGAAAACAGCGGAAGTATGATTCCAGATTACGGCTCAAGGCATTTCGTGACGGCACCTGCCAATTTCCTGGAAGAACTGCTGAGTAGGACTCGACTTCGAGGCAGAAACCTTCGTAAGCAGGCTCGGAGAAAGACCATGGTAAGATACCTGTAAGATCTGCGAAAGCTCCGCTATGATCCACATCACTGTTACGCGCGCGTTCTGCATCGCCTAAGTCTGGTAGACGGGAGCTGAAGCGAGGGAAGTCGTTGGAGCCCGGAGGTTGAAGGTGTGTTTGGTCGTCAGTGAAAGGGCAATCGGCGTCAAATTCAAACACGCTGGGCGGCAGCATATCTTGCGTGAAGAGCTCCGGATCAAAAAGGAGGTCTAGATCATTCACTGCTGTCTCTCCCGTGTGCAACCCGCCCGGTTCACGGTGATCCTCCTCATCGGCTGACGGGGCATCGGTGCGCTGGTCGTGTGATAACCTGATGTGACGCGACAAGAGATCCCTGGGTGAATGGTTATGCGCGTATCTCCCAAGGCCAGAGAACAGGGACTTGCTCACTTTCTAGTGAAGGCCTGGCCGCATTGGCAAGCAAACGGCGTCTCGCGCGTATCTGCTCATTGTCAGCAGAGTCCTTGACACCTTGGTTTCGCACCCGGCCTTCGTACGCGTGCGCTCATGCCGCACCAAATGTTCCCGCCGTTGGAACTGCTTCCCACAGTAGCTGCATGGTTGCACCACATTCCTTGGTCTCCCTCGAGGCATCCGACCAGCGAGTGTGTTGATGGGTGACGATTACTAATGTGAAGATGAAAATACAGGCACAGTGCCAGGCTTTGCCACTCAAGTCCAGTAGGTGAACGTAGCTGTATACGGCGGAGCATGTATACTATGGTGGAGCATACAGACCTAAATGGCAGTCTTCATTTACATTGTTCTGACTGTTTCACTCCCATGGTACCTAGGACCTGGTAGAGCCCTTGCGTGAAAACATTCAGGAATTCAATAACCACAATTAACCCCGTCCGTTCTAAGTCCCCGCTTCGTAAATCTCCTTCTCCATGATCTTCCGGTCCACCGGATAGCTAAGTTGCCCGTCTTTTTCCTCGCCGGGTGTGTCTTCCAGAAGTGAGACTCCAAGCTTGGCAGCTTCGTCGCTTGTAAAGGTACCATAGTAGTCGACGTCGTCATATTCGCCCAGACCCTTGGGTGGGAACACCTTGTTGAGCCCAAGATATATCGTGAAGCTGATGGCCAGCCCGAGTGGGAAGGCGAGGTAGAACATGTCCATGCAAGCCTTTGGCACACTCACGCTTGGGTTGACGTTGGCAATGAATCCAGGTAACTGTGGAGCCCAACCACAAATCCAGGCCACAAATGCCCGCGGATTGGTGCCGTGAAAATAATAGTAGATTCCCGTTGGGGAGGGTGTGTATAAAGCCGACAGCTTCATCCGGCGAGAGCGGATGATGAAATAGTCGCAGATCTGGATGCCACACATGGGTCCCAAGAAGACGGAGTCTGTCAGGATTATCGTTAGCTAACTTCCTCGAATCGTGCATATGCTGGACAGCAAAAGGAAAGCTGCGCAGCAAAAAGGAGAAAGACCTACAGGCGCCCATAACACTGATGAAAGTCCCAGCAGAAGCAAGCAACTCCCATGGACACATGGCAATGGAAAGGATGAGAGCCAGGTAAGCACCTCGCCTAATGTTGAAGTACTTCGGCAACAAACCAGCCATGTCCATGCCAGCCGAGAACGCATTGTCAATAGTGTTAATCGCAAGCTGGCAGACCACGAGTCCACAGCCACCAAAGAAGGCTGCAGCTCGAGATTTAGCATTATAGTCATCATCAAGCCAGCGGAGCAGGAGATCAGGTGGATTCCAGTAGGCTTGGCCGTATAGTTTGATAGATGCCGAGCTCGTGAGACAGCCAAACAGCGGCAGGATTGTTCCCAAGGTGATGATGGAGAACCACTGGCCAAAAATCTGGTCGCCTGGTCGTCGAGCGAACCGAGAGTAGTCGGTTTGATTTGTAAGTCCCACTGCAATACCCCCGATCACTGTCGTTATACCCTGCACGATGGCCCATCCTAATTGACTGCCAGATTGTGCTGCCGCGGGGGCTGACAGTAGTGGACCGCCGCCCCGAGCAGTGGATAGGACGTATATCATCATTGAGATGAGTGTGACAACAGAGACCAAATTCATCACGAATAGCAACCGCCGAGTCTTTTCAGGGGGGATGTAGAGCATTGGTATGGTAATGATGTTGTACACTATCCAACCGGTCAATGATTTTGTCGTGGTATTTGCAGACTTCGGGAGGGTGTTCTCCATGTGCTGGAAGGAGGAGAAGATGGAACTGAGCACTGCTGTGACGCAGAGACCGCCTGTCCAGGATTGTACGCAGAACCAGGTTAGACTCAGAGCAATCCGCTGGATAATGATGACATAGGATCCCCAGACACCCCATATGCCACGCGATAGAACTGGGAATCCAATATGCCAGGTTGCACCGACCATTCCATTACATATCGCGACTCCGGCGATAATAAGCTTTCCAATGATGACTGCGATCATAGTCTGCCAGACGGACAGACCGACTGCAATGAGGGATGCCCCCAGTTGCCAGTTACTCAGGGCAATTTGATTGATGGCCCAGAAAGAAATGTATGCCCAAGTGTCCCAAAGGCGGCGTGAAGGAGGGAGAGGTCGAATGTCATCGTTGATCCAGATTGAGGATTCACCCTGCAGCTGCAGGTGGAAGGAATGTGGTCTGAAGTTTGGCAGCTTCATCGCGAAAGGCCTGGAATCCAAATGTAAAGCAGGTCGCGAAAGCAGGCCGTGTTAGAAGGAATAAGGACTTAATGTTCGTCGATTGTGCGAGGGATGTTTATAGTGACTCTGGTCAGCAGGTTGCCGTACATATGTGATTCCAGCCGCTTAATGAAGGAAGAGTCGTTATCGTTCGTCCAAGGCGCACCATCACTAGAAGATAGGGAACTTTCTTGAATCTTGAAGACCCCTTGCCAATGTAGGGTGAATGTAATTCTGGGACCGAGCCTCCTCGGGAAGCGGTCTAGATTCACGTCAGCACCCGAGCACCAACAGCCGCCAGGACAAATACCAGACTCTCAAGAGTGCGAGCAGAGGCTTGTTAGTAGCCACTACCATTTAGCTGCCGCCTGCCAAACCCACAAGTATTCAGTCGGTTATGTTTCGTGGGGCAACGATCGCCGTTACCTATCTTAGGGCATAGTCGACCAATGAGGAGTATCCAAGGCTGCGGACATTGGCGACATGCCTATCTAAACCTATCTATTGAGGTCTTGCCGCAAACTAACTAGTTCGGGCTCGTAGAAAGATAGGTAAAGACACGCATGGATCAGCTTTTCCAAGTTCCTTTTGGGGGTCGTGCTTCAGGTGCCTGGAAGGCGTATTGTAAACTCGTTGAACTTGCCTCAAACTCCATCTCCACGACAGGAGTTGCCGAATGACAAGGAACATCTTTGTCAAGAATATGACAAAACCGTAAGTGATCTGGACTGCCTCGCCTACATATCTGATCCCAAACCTTCCTTGCCTGGCCATATGGGTAATCGACCTCCTTAAACTGAATGAAATTGCTTTGGTGAGCTATCATCCACAATAAATCGCACCGCTCTCGGATCCTAGAGCAATAATTATATTTCCGAACTGATCTCGCATTTTAATGGGTTCAATCCGAGCAAAACGAACTCTGAGGATTGGGGTCGATGTCGGAGGCACGAATACGGATGCCGTGCTTCTTGACTTGGACGCAGTTCATCAGCCCAATCGTGGAGTACTGGCCTGGCATAAGACACCAACAACAAGTCCAAATGTGACTGACGGTATCGAGATTGCCGTTGGGAACGTGCTGAAACAGGCCGAGGACCGCGTTTCCGAAATCTCCTGCCTCATTGTTGGGACTACACACTTTTTGAATGCAGTTATTGAACGCGATGTACATCGGCTGTCGAAAGTGGCTGTCATTCGACTGTCAAGAAGTTATACTAGAGACATCCCACCCTTTTCGGACTTTCCTCCAGTGCTGGCTGACCTCCTCCGCGGCTACCATGGCTATATTGACGGAGGCCTCCACATTGATGGCGCTCAGGAAGCTCCGATCAATGAGGAGCAAGTTGTGAAAGAGTGCGAGGCGATTGAGAGGCTCGGGATCAAGGCCGTCGTCATCTCGGGGATTTTCTCTCCTATCGATCAGCATTTTCACCAAGAGAATCGCGTTCGGGCCATAATGCAACAGCGACTCAGCGATGTCGACATTGTCTGCTCATCCGAAGTCTCGAATATCGGTTTATTGGAAAGAGAAAATGCTTCCATATTAAATGCATCCATTCTGAGGTTTGCGAGGCGGACAATCCGTGGCTTTCGTGCTGCCATGGGGCGGTTAAGGCTCGACTGCGCACTATTCATCTCTCAGAATGATGGTACAGTCATCGATTCCACCTCGGCCGCAAAGCTGCCCATCAAGACATTTTCCTCGGGTCCCACAAATTCCATGCGAGGAGCGGCCTATCTTGGCCTTGGACAAATGGCAATGCAGGGCGAAGCACGTACGTCAACAATTGTAATTGACGTTGGTGGTACGACGACAGATTGCGGTGTTCTTTTACCATCAGGATTTCCTCGGGCAGCCTCAGCCTACGTCAGTGTGGCAGGGGTGACAATGAACTTCCCTATGCCTCACCTAGAATCAATCGGCCTCGGAGGGGGGTCGATAATACGCGAACGGGAAACGGATGTCTCCATCGGGCCGGATTCGGTTGGATACCAGCTGACTACTAGGTCGAGGGTATTTGGCGGTGACACTTGTACAGCCACTGATGTTGCGGTTGCCGGGGGTCTTGATATTGGGGACCCGAAGTTGGTCAGCGATATTAAGCCTGAAATGATACAGCGTGTTCGCGCTAGGACGAAGAAGATGCTTGAACGTGTCATCGACCGGTTGAAGCTAACGCCAGCACCATTGCCGGTGATTTTGGTCGGTGGAGGTTCTGTTGTCTGTCCGCTAGAACTCGAAGGTGTGTCTCAAGTTGTGGTGCCAAATTTTCATTCCGTGGCGAACGCCGTCGGGGCCGCGATATCGAGGGTGTGTGGCTCGGTGGATGCTATTTATAGCATTGCCGATATGTCCTTATCCGAAGTTATGGAAGACGCAAAAGCCCAAGCCGTTGCAAAAGCTGTGAAAGGCGGCGCTGACTCAAGTACCGTCACTGTGGTCGAGGTTGACACCCTGCCGATACCATACGTTTCCGGGCAAATTCGCGTCCTAGTCAAAGCAGTCGGAGATCTGTCTCTTGATTATGTTGCTGAGAGCAAAACCGTCCTCGATGTGGAAGATGATGCAAGTGAAGCTCTTGCCGACCAGGTCAGAGACCTCTCGCTGTCTTCAAAGGAAGAGATGACTAGCGGCAAGTTCGATTTTGACGCATATCGGCCTTTGGTCAGACTGAATACGGATACTGGTGTCCATGAGTGGATTGTTTCAGAGACCGACCTTGAGTGGCTAAGTGTAGGATGCTATATCTTGGGTTGTGCTGGTGGCGGTTCACCCAAGGCCGAATTCCTCAAATTGCGAGATCAAATCCGTGCAGGTTGTACGATTCGTATAATCGATAGCTCCTCCCTACGGGACGACGCCCTCATATACTGTGAGCCCGATGAACCACATCGTTGCCTCTTTTGTCGCTGACAAAATAATAGGGGGTGGTATGATGGGATCGCCGGCTGTGTCGATTGAGCGATTGAACTCTTCAGAATGCATAACCGCCGTGGCAGACCTGATGGAGTATCTAGGTCATCAAACATTCGATGCGATCATGGGCCTCGAAATCGGAGGCGCCAACGGCTTGGAGCCTTTGCTCATAGGCTCGTCTCATGCGTTTAATAGACCAGTAATTGACGCAGATTGGATGGGTTTGTGCCTCATCTTCACATCGCACAGCTATCAATGAGTTTGCTGACACGATATCAGGTCGAGCATATCCGACATACTGGCAAACCACAATTGCCGTCCATGAAAGTGGACAGCTGACACCGTGCGCAATTGCTTCGGGTGACGGTAAAACGATCATCATGACAAAGTCGCCTGACGATGAAATAGTTGATCGTGCCTTGCGAGCATCTTGTTCGGAGATGGGATCAAGAGTCGGCATGGCCGCCAGGCCAACGACGACGGATCGTGTGAGGTCCTACGGAGTCATCAACACTTTGTCGCTGTCCTGGCGTATTGGCAGGACGGTAGCCCGTGCTCAACAAGAAAGCACGATACATACAGTTGCTGAACAAATCATAGATGAAGTCGGCGGTCCAACCACGGCGAAGATCCTCTTCCGAGGAAAGATAACGGCAGTCGAACGAAGGATTTTCAAAGGACATTCTTACGGGGAAATAACCATAGCCCAAGCCGAAAAAGACGAGGAGGAACAGAGCCATGATAGAGCTGCAGTTGCTGAAGGAGGGGTGGTCAAGATTCCGTTCAAGAACGAAAATATATATGCAAAGCATATCGCCAAAGACGGAAGTGAGACATACCTGGCAACGGTTCCTGACCTGATCTCTGTTCTCGACACGCAATCTGGATGTGCCCTCGGCGTTCCGGAATTTCGATATGGGCTGCTTGTGACGGTACTTGGGATTACCTGCTCACCGCGATGGTCGGACACAAAAAGAGGTTTGGAGTATGGCGGACCGCAAGCATTTGGATACAGCATAGATTATTGTCCTTTGGGTGTCTTTGTTGAGCCCAAGAGCGTCGTTCTCGAATACGCAGATACGACAGCCTGCGCAATAGGAGAATCCTAGAAGTTGGACTGCAGGGATCTGAAGACATTGGCGTGTTACTGCCTGTTGAGACAGATTAAGATACACCATCGCCATCAGTCCTCACAACCTCGTGAGAGCTCATGTTGCGTTTAAGTGTAATCAAATCTTCGATGAAGCAGGCCTTGATTGAATGCCCATGGTCACTGCTGTGTACACCAGAAGGAGTTCTCTCCACAATGGACGCAGAGACACCCTCTTGCTTTGCTGGAGCTCATTAAAGAGTGCTGTAGCACTTTTGGACGCGATCAAGCGCGATGTGACAGTGTCGAAAGTGGCAGGGATTGGGAGGGAAGCACTAATTCGTATTGGGCGTGCCAAGAGCTGTTGGTCCATCACGTGAGATGGGAGGCTTTGAGTCACGTGAAGTACCCAGATCTCGCCCGCTAATCGGTCCATCGGCTGGAATTGTGAGGTTCCGATATGCCGACGATTCTTCTTCATCGACTCTCATTGTATCACACTTGATATCTTCCCACACGATAAGTGCCCATTGAATATACCTCTAGAACATTAAGGTATCTCAAAAATTTCTTAATGTCTTGTGATGATGCCTTACGGAGCAGCTTCTGGCTGAAGAAGAGTAACTGGCCGATTTCGCAACAATGTGGCACACATCATCCCCACCAATTTCTCTTTCGGCGGTGACATTCAACGGGACTCCTGATGTACCAAGAGCGGAGCCGATTTATTACACAGCGCGTAGGAAACAAGCGTCTGCTATTCCCCCCAAACCAGCCTTCTTGTTTACACAAAGTCGATCTAAGTGAGTGTTGAAGCGCTGACAGCTCACGACAGATGCTCCCGGTGTCATACGAAAAGAATCAAGTGCTTGGGCGGTATGAACAAGACACTGGAAGCCCGGCGCACGTTACACTGACTAGGACCTAGGTGTTCCGTGTAGAAATTGCACACTATCTGATTCGCCATGCATTTTTCCGCCACCTCGCAAGTCACGATCTTCGGTGAGCCAGCAGGGTCCTATCTTGCCTTCAAACAGCCTAAAGGAGGATCATTCAATATCACCCACCGCGGCCAGTGGAGCCTCGATCCCTGCGGCATCAAAGACTGGCAGCTATAGACGTTCCGAAAAAGATTTCAGCTCAAGTCGGTCAAATCAAGGCAAACAAGTTTCGAGACAAACTTATCGTGCCAGTCCTTCCTGCCGAACATTCACTGAGCAATTTACTGCGTGGATTGTGGTGCAGAAGCTCAAGCTTAGTCCATTTGATGAAACCTCCTTTGATCCATCGTGGGCCTCCCTGGGGCACATGGAGTCTGGCTTAATGAATCCTGGGTTGGAGATATCAGTTGATACTGAACTAACCCGTCCTTCGGTTGGATCGGAGGCTAGCCGGCCAGTGAAGATTCGCATGCCGCCCTACAACCACAGCATACACCTAATTCAGTACGTTGAGTTCGCAATTGGCCATGACCAGCACTACTTTCGAAGACAACACATTCGCGCCAGGGTAACGCAAATGTATCAGAACCCAGAATCCCCTCAAAGCAAAGACCGAGGTTGGCTATGCTTTTGGCTTGCTGTACTTGCAGTTGGGGAGCTACAAAATAACAATGGAGGCATCAGCACTGATAATGGCCTTGGATTAGACCGTTCACTGGCACTCCAAGAAAAAGACCCCCCCGGAGCCGATTACTATCACCAATCCGTTGCATTTCTTCAGCAGGTGGCTGAGAATCCTGACGTACAGTACATTGAGACCTTGTGCTTGCTTGCAATCTACGCGTTTTCCATGGACAAAATTAACACAGCTTATATGTACAATGGCCTCGGTTTGCGTGCGGCGCTCTCACTGGGCTTGCACCGCAGCCCGTTGGATTTCCCGTCGGAGGGCTCGGATCTCCGTATAGCTGAATGCGAACACCAGAGGCGGGTGTTCTGGACCGTTTATTATCAGGATCTGTACGTTGGCAATGCTTCAACCTCTCTCAAAGCGAGCTAACCATGGGCTTAGACTTACTTCCTCCACCACAGGCCGTCCGTGGGGTATCCTGGACGATGAAATCACCATTGAATATGCCGACTCCAGTCGTCTTTCTGGCGACTCAATAATGGAGTTCTTTGACTCTGAAGAATCTAATGCGCACCTAGAACTCATGCGCTTGAGAGGTCAGGCTTATTCTTCGTTATACGGTTACGCAGGCACCGCGATCAACCCCTATTCTCATATTTCTTTGTTCAATTTTGACCTGGGGAATTCTCTATCACAGCAACACCTGGACAAGATGGATGAATTTCATCAAGGCTTGGTCGCTTGGCAGCAGGAGCTTTCGGAAAAGTTGAAGCTCGCTAGGAGTTTGAATGGGTCAATGCTAAATTTAAGCCGGGTGACCGCGAACTTGCATCTCATCTATCATCAGGTCAGCTCTCTTCACCACGCATATTTCTTGTCATTCTTACTGACCAGGGCTAGACCATTCTTGTGCTCCTCAGACCTGCTTTGGTCAATATCCACAATGACCGCTTTGAAGCACGAAGTAAGGAGCATTCGGAGACGATCGACGCCAATCCGGGGCCAAAATCGATGCTGCGAGGATTTTATAACGCCTCCCTGGAATCTGCGCGAGAGACGGCGAGCATATTAGAATGGCTGCAATACCAAGGTGCACTGTGTTAGTACCTCAATTTCCCAGTCGGAGAAAATGCTAATCGGATCTATTATATGCAGCCACTTATTCCTATTTTGACGCTAGCTACGCCTTTACTGCTGCCATAGTGCTCTACCTTGCCAAAACCATGCGGTCCTTCGTTTATCGCAACCAGGACGCTCTTCAATTCACAGATGAAGACCAGAATGCCCTCAATACTATATGTTGCATTCTTCGTCAGCAGAGCTTAGCAGGCAATGTACCCGCGAAATATTTCGACAGACAGCTTCGGTTGCTAGAGAACAACCTCGAAGCCCTCCAAACAGCCTTGGATAACCATGTGAGTTTGGATGATCTCAATTTTGACCTCGATTATCTAGGCCCCGAGCTACATTCATTGTCGGATGGTGTCGACACATCTCTACCTGCAGGACCATAATCGACGCTTCTCACATTGTAACATTTCATCATCGTGAATTCTCTGAGATTTCCCGACTCAGACCATTGCCAGATCGAGTGTATGGGACGCGAGAACTTCCTGGGATCTTCCTCGACTAAACTTTGGAATATCTGCCCCCAATTATCTCCACATGAGACTCGGAATTAAGGTAGAGAAGTTGCATCGGTTTTGTCTCTGTGGTCATTGCAGGGCTTTGTATAGGGCGGTACACTGCGCGCTTGTTTTGACGATCAAAGTATCCGAAGCACTAGTGTAAGAAAGGGTCCTCGAGAAGCCACGCAAGAAGATAGGATGTCTTGTTAATTTCATGACTGTTGCACCTGTTGGACTTTCGAGACCTGAGCGGCGACCAGGACTTGCTCAGCGCATGTGGATATTCATATTCGGAACAGCGCTAACTTGAGCCTTGCTCTTGTGAAAGACTAGGAGTGTCTAAGCCCTCTTGTGCTACCTCCCTCTAACCGGCTTGGCCCCTCGGAACCAGCGGAGGGAATTCGACTTCGCAATGTACAAGACCCTTGGCGACGAATGAGGGGGGAAATAGAGCAAGAGGGGACACGCGATCCAATCCAGTCTCGCCCTTCTTGCGCTCACCGATCTTGTGATTGCGGCAGACAAACGGGAAACTCAAAAGTATAGCAGCTTATGTGCTCTGACACTGTCATTTTGGTCGTTTTGGTCAATATTTGCAGGCTACTCATGAGTTCCTCTTCTTCGCACTCCATCGGCACTCAGGATCATTGCCCAAAGCACTTTGTTGGTGTTAATGCTCCTTAAGCTGAACTGTGGATAACAATACGGCCGTTTAAAGTGCCCTATGGTTCGATATGATTACGTCCACAACATCTCAGCGCAATGAACGACAGCAGGCCGGATGAGTCATTTGGCAACCAAGATCAACCGGACCATCTCAGGCACAAAGCGGGTTGCGACGCGGATTCCGACGAGGATGAAAACAACCATCTCCAACCAGCCACATGGGGTTATGCAAATATGGTATTTCCATTGCTGGCAGGCACATTTGGGCCCCTTGCCAATGCCTTCAGTATCTGTGCAATGGCAGAAAACTGGACAGTCCAAGTGACCAACACAGAGCACAGGCTTAACACAAAGCATCTGCCTCGGTACGGACTGCTCATAGTTCATACGCTGCAGACCGCTGATAGAATGTGAACAGCCTCATTGCCGCCAATGCTGTATCGCTGGTGCTGGCATTGACCGCCAACCTGGCCCTTTTGCTCCACATGGCACGTCGGCTACCTTTTGCCGTTGCCCAGTCCATCACTATACTCGGCTTCTGGTGCGCTTCAATCCTCCTCATCGGTCCTGTCGCCAAAGTCGCATACGACCTTCATTCGGCCCAGGGGCGCAATTATGTCTTGTCGCAGGCCTACTACTACGCTATATTTGCTGTAGGACTATACCAGCTTATCTCTTACATCCTGTGTGTCACCGTGTATGGCGCGTGCAAGGGACACTACGGCTATGAGTTCAAGCTCACGACGGCTCAACGGACCCTAATGTTGCAAACGATCGTTTTTCTTGCCTATCTATTGGTGTGGGCATTGGTCTACTCCAAAGTTGAAGGATGGACATACCTCGATGCCGTATTCTTTGCCGATTTCACCGCTCTCACCATTGGAATCGGCTCGCCGTTTGTTCCAACAACGCATCTCGGTCGCAGCCTCCTCTTCCCTTTCGCTTTTAGTATTATTCTCGTGCTCGGCATCGTCGTGGGCTCAATCCGGACGCTGGTGTTGGACCGGACTGAGGTCGACTTGGCCTCATTGATGACCGAAAAGACACGGCAAAGAGTGCTGAAGAGAATAGCGAAAGCGAGCCAAGCCGCCCAATCAGGCAAAACGAGAGGCAAGGTCATCGGTCTACCCGAGGAAATCGCGGCCACTCTGACTCGCAACCCCGAGGCTCATAAGATCGGAGAGATGGAACTGCGTCAGGCGGAATTCGAGGCGATGCGACGCGTACAACACTTGGCCACGCTGAAGAAAAGATGGTTCCGCTTGTTCGCCTCTACTCTTGCCTTTGCTCTGTTGTGGACCGTTGGAGCCCTCGTCTTTACAAAAACTGAAGAGAACCAAAACTGGTCGTACTTCGTCGCACTCTACTTCTCCTACACCTCCTTGCTGACGATTGGTTATGGAGACTTCCAACCGACGAGCAACAGCGGTAAACCATGGTTTGTCTTTTGGACGCTGATGGCGGTACCTACATTAACCATTCTTATTTCCAACATGAGTGACACTGTGGTTAAAGTGGCCAAGGAATTCACCATTTGGATCGGAGAGGTCACAATTCTTCCAAGCGAGAACCGTGGTATTATGGATCGATTGAAGCTAGGTCTATACAAATCGACTCTGGGATTGATTCCCCTCGATCTTAGCTCCGATAGGGCCGCGGATAATCGGAGTGATGATGAGGCCATGGATATTGAACGATTCCAGGAGCTCAATCCTAGGCTGTTCAAGATGCGCCGGCAGCGTATCGCTGAGGATCTCACACAATCCACCATGCAGGGAAGGGCCGAAGAAAAAGCCTCTGGCAATAATATTGGTAGTGATGAAGACTATTATGGGCGGCTCCTCGTCTCGCACATTCGAAAGGTCTGGAACGACGTGAAAGCCACGCCAGACAAGAAGTACAGCTATGTTGAATGGGCCTTCTATTTGAGCCTCCTCGGCGAAGGTGAAAATGATGATCGGCATCATCGTCGACCTCAGGCAGAAGGAATCCAGCGCTATCCTAGCCTGAAGGAGAGGTTTGACGCACATCAGAATGGACGAGGGAGTCAGGAAAGGCGAACTTCCTCCAAACCAGGCCATGATCCGGACCAACAGAGTGATACCCAAATCACCAAATGGAGCTGGATGGGACGCGACAGCCCGTTGATGGCAGACAAACCTGAAAGTGAGTGGCTTCTTAACAAGTTGTTAGCTCGTCTCCAAGACAGTCTCAGACAGCACGGGCAAGAATGTCTGATGAAAGTCGAGGGTGACCCGCGAGCGGAAACAGAGCAGAGAGCGGGTCCATCTTCATCAATAAACCTGAATGCCGTTTGACAAATGCTACACCACGAGTGTGTCACCCAAGTGGTGGACTGTTTCTCCCTTGCTGCCTGGTCACAAAGGTGATTAGCCTGCATGAGCTAAGCCCACTCTTGAGGTGGGCATTCGACCGTATCAACAGGTCGGTTGTGGAATCTCCCGGACGCTGAGTTCTCAGGAAAGGGGTTTAGGGACAGTGGAAGAACGATTCCACGCCCAAAATGTTATCCCGCCTTGCCGACTTGCATTGGTTTCGAAGATCGGTGAATAGTCCAACCTCGTATTTTCGCAAGGTTGACGAATGTCACATTTTATGCTACAAGGGCCTTCCCCTCACCCCCTCAACGAATTAAGTTTCCCAGAAGTTCCCTTTTCAACACGAACACTTCCTTCCGTCGCCGGCCGAAAGACTATTTACTTGCTCACGTGGACGCGGTCTGTGAGAATCAGGAACAAGACGGCACGGATTCGATGATGAAGGAATCCTTGACAATTCGAACTTGGAGAGCACTCTAGCCTCCCGGACTAGCATACCATACGGTCGGGTGAGCGTCGACGCGACGTTCTTCCCTACTTGAAATTTTCCAATCCTCCATCAGTCTCAGAGTCTGTCGCTTTCTTGGTCATGCGTGTCACAAGGCGCGAGTCTTGTACAAGACATTGAAGGGTCAACATGTCAAAGATAGCATATTGAGTGTATCAAGGGCCATTCAATTATGTGTTAAAAGAGGTGAGGCTAAGCGCAAGGCGTCGCATTCTTGAAAGATAATTAATTGTGAAAACATGTGATTGCATTGCGAAGTCCCCTCCAGGTTGTGCAGATATAACATTGCTGTCTGCCCGATAGACAGGGTGAAACGAATTGGCCGGTAGCAGGAATCTTTAAACAGACACGTATTGTTACCATTATGTAGGGAGTCAGATGAGCTTAAACCATGAGCGTGTGCAGGATATTCCGTCCAATTACTACTCCGGACGCGCAGAAGGTAACACAGCAAAATGGTATCTATATTACTCGCGAAACGAGTAACCTCTTCACCCGATACGGTTTGATCCTATCCAACCTGAGCCCTGGCTGAGCCTCTACCTGGGACTCCTGCCTGGTGGCCTCACCAGCCTTATTAGGCGCTTGGGGCTGGGCCACGATCTGGCAGCCCACAACAAGGCAGGCCGTTCCTAGCCACCATATGTAAACACATCATCTCCAATCGGCCCCCAAACAACAACAGCACCCATCCAATAATAGCGAACCTACCGCCGGAAGTCCAGAAGATGCCCGAAGCCCGTGACACGGATCTTGACACTTTACTAGCAGATGGACCGCGGTATTTAGGTTTGCTTCGTAGCTGGCAAAAATGCAGCCTGTGCTGAAACTCGATAATCACTATATAGGTACTCGACAACTTTGGTCTTTGTAGGAATTCGATAACTTTTCTCTATCGAGGTGTTTGGCTTGTTGTCGATGATCTGGTAGAGCTGCGAGAACAAGACCGTAATATATCACGCCCGTTGGTAGCTTGAATGTCCGGAGAAGAGAGCCTAACAGAATCTTGTTAGTCATACAATGCATGCTCAGTGTCCATGAAGATGGTTGGTGTCCATGCTGAGCTCCGGATAGCCAAGAGAATTCTTCTCTCCCAACATTGGAAATAGCTGATTCATTGACAGGAGCCGCTTCAAAGTCTATTCGTCTGTCTCATTCGCTGCCTCATTCAGCAGCTGGTCCTCTAGGAGAAGATTTTCCATCGCCAGAGCATCGAAGGAAGGGGTGCGGCCCGAGTATGAAGTAAGTTGTTCTCGTAGATTGGAGAGTTTAGGGAGCGGGCTAGATTCGGCCGAGGCTGGCTTTGAAGGAGACGACATATTGAATGCAGATGATAAGCACGTTCAATGCCATGTCAATGCGATGATGATGATGCCGAAGGATAAAAAGAATTTAAGGAACTTCATGTCGCGAAAAGCCAGTTCGCAGTGCTCTAGTGGTGAATGAAAATACTGATGATATTGAAGACAGGCTCTTCGTGAAGGGGATTTCGCCAATCAATGTGGGCTGCCAATCTTCCGTCAGTCAGTGATTGGTGTCATGAAGCGCAGGAAACGAGACATTTAATTGAATCTGGCAGTATGTAACTAATCAAGGGCAATGTATAATCCACCAACAAGTGCACTGTTAAGATGGAAGTGCCGATAGCTTTATCTCTGTGCGTTGTTCGTGCATTTCCGTAACCCGTGCAATGAATTTCTCGGGTAAATTGAGACAGCTTACAGCGTAATCAGTGACGAGATCCTGACTGCACTCGAGATATCGGGTTCGGAACTCAATCCACTGACTTTCTGTCTGAGGATTCTGTGCTGATTGCAGGCCGAGGGAAGTACGGGTCGTTCCTCAGAAACGCGCGAGCGACTTGCTCGATGCCGGCAGCATCCATGCTTAGCGGCTTGCAGCAGTCAAAGTCTAGGACCCATAGCGAGTGAGTTCCCAAGATGTCGTGAGTGTATTCGTTATGGGCGTTTCCGAACGCTTCCCAGTACAAACTCTATGTCATTGGCGTCTATCTTCGGCGTCCAGTGCGTCATGGCAAGTGTCTCAGCCATCGCATGTGCATACTTCGTAATCGGAAGCTCGAGGTCCTCTGCCTGGTTGAGATGGATGATTGCGTAGGGAGAAGAAGTTTCGGGTCTGACTGGGAGGTTTGAACTGGTTTCCACGATTTCTGGAAAGGCAAGAAAAGTCTCCAATTCAAGAATTTGCATAGCCTCGCTAGAATCAATCATGTCAAAATTCAATTTCTCTACTACTAACTCGTAGAGTAAACGGCGGTCGTTGCGAATAAAGGCAGAGGGCTGCGGATATCAGGTCACATGGGGCGGCACAGGGCTTTACTTAATCCTCGGTATGTAAATAACCCCAAAATAGTATAGTGAGGGAAGCTATTACGAGAATGCGACAGCCTCACCAGCCTGACCCTCCGCGCAGGCGCTAATTAGGGGCTGGAACTGAAACAGGCGGAACAGGCCAAACGCCGGGGATCTGCTGAACCTCACCCGGCAGAGCACATACACGTTCAAATCTGTCGCTCCGTCTACCCTACAACCGCGGGTCGGACAGCACAAATTCTCGACCTCGACTCAGCAGATTTCATAAGTATCTTAGGGACATGAATCATCTTCCCGTACCAGAGAACAGGCAACGCCCGTCAAGTCGAGTCCTGTTTTTTGGATATTACGACATCCCATTCCTGGGCCAAGTCGCCGAATCCAACGACAACTTTTACGCCTACGCAGAAACGCACAGTCTCGCGGACCGAGATGAGAAGCATACACCAAACTTGTCTGGGCTCCAGGAATTGGAGGACGCTGACATGTACTTTGCTAGAGTACAAGCATGGCTCTACTTTGGACTAATAGCCGACACTTTCGGTGCTAGAACATGCAACCAGGACTTCATCGTCACCAACCCTTCCACGGGTGAGCAAATCATCAACTCGACCAAGCTGAAGCTATACATGTCGCAATGGCGAGCTCGGGTGGGTAAGATGCGAAAGGAAGCCAAAGACGAACGGATTCAGCGCGTCAATGATTCAACCACCGCAGGTTGGAAATTCTGTGACCAACTTGATCATTATGGGGTTCCGATCACTGAGGTGCACCAGCTCATCGTTTTCTCCATACGGATTCTGATTTGTTCTCTCTGGGATATGCTATGGACGAGCGATATGGACGGTGCACATTTGAACGACAAATTCAAGATCTCGGTTGATATCATCCGATGGCCGCATTTACCAGCATCCTACCGACCTCTCGCGCTTCTTATGGTTGAGTACAACTGGTGCTCCCACGAGATCTTGAGACTGCTGGATACTTATAGTCTCACTACTGTGTGGTCAATCACCTGCCTGCAGGGGAGGGATGCACCACAACTCGACCATGGTCGTTGTGCCGATGCTTCTAAATGCGTGGCACGCGACGTCGACCCTGCCAATCATCAAGCTCGGCACTTGACACAGGGATGCAAGTGCGAAGCAATCGGTCCGGATATCGATGAAGTCAGCAAAATACTCAAAGCTGGTGGCATTCCTCTCGTCAGGTGCACGGTCCACGAGGACAGCAGGGTGAGCTTGAAAGTTGTTCCTGCAAAGGGCAGTAAGCGCCATGTTGCATTCAGCCACGTCTGGGCTGATGGTATCGTCATTCCAATGCAAAACAAAGTCTTCCGATGTCAATTCCTCAAGCTCGCCTTCTACCTTCGGAGAGCCCGTCCGCGAATACAGGCAGAGAGATTATTTTATCTGCCTTTCGCTCCCTTTCTGGCTCGCAATGTCTTCAAGGGACCGAAGTCGTTCGACATTTGGCTTGATATATTCTGTATACCATCGGCTGTGCGTCCGGAATTTCGAGAGCTCCGGAAACAGGCAATATCACGCATCTACCCTGTGTTCGCAGGCGCCGAAGCTGTTTTAGTTGTCGACAAAGCATTGACAGAAATCAAAAATACTGATATATCAACCACGGAGACAATGGCGAGGGTAGCGTCCTCTGGCTGGATGACACGTTGTTGGACATTCTCTGAGGCATCACTGGCCCAACAGTCAATGATGCTTTTCTGCATCGGTGACAGACTCATTGAGTATGGCGATTTCCAGCGTTCCACAAAAGCTTTCAAAAAGCTCGATCTTCCTTCCAGAAGCTTCTTGAGCGACTTGCTGCGGGCTGCATTCTATCCGTTCCATATCGCATGGCTTGCTTCACAACCCGTGGTTTCAGAATACGTCGGGTTCGCCTTCGTATGGAACGCATTGACAGCTCGGTCAACGTCGTGGCCAGATGATGCGTGGGGGATTATGGCTACTCTGCTTGGATATAGCGGCAAAGAGATCATGAATCTACCTGAGCGAGACCGACTCCCTGCGATGATGCGCGATCTGCCCAAAGTCCCGGCGTCTTTCTTGTTTCGCGATCTCCCACGATCGGCCTCAGTTCCGGCACATATGCGATGGATTCCTACCCAGGTTCAAGGACTAATACGAGATGCAGATGGAACGTTTGCTTTTGCCGAAGGCGGGATCGTATTTCCTCCGAGTCTCAAGCTCAAATTCATCCTACCGGTCAATGGCCCACTTCCACATACATTTTCATTCGAACTAGCTCACGAAGACTGGCAACGAAGACAACTATCGATCAGTTTCGAAGTTAGTATTCATGACATCAGTGCCCTTACACAGCACGTGAAGGGCACTGCTCAGATCTGCATCCTCCTACCCCAGACCGAAGGTCAATCAGGCGATAGCGAAACAGAGTACATCAGCGGCAATGGCTGCAGCCTCCTTGTCAGGCAAATCCGACCAAATTCGATCGTCGAAGCCGACTTCCTCTCTTCAATATCCTACAAATTCACCCAACAGAAACAGCAAAGTCACTTCCAAGCCAGCATGGCAGGCCCAATTGTGGTAATCCCCTGCAACCGCGAATCATGGTACCAACCCAAGATGCGAAGGAAGAAGCACTCATTACCCCCATGGACCATGACCAGGATTCTCTACTTCGGCGTGCCTGCAGTGTTAATCTTGATCATGGCGGCCACGATGATTCCGCTCTGGGTGTGGTATAGGGCGACAGGCCAATCATCCCACACGCGAGACATCCTCTTCTACTCAACATGCGGGTTTGCTCTTTTTATCGTTGCCGTGCAGTTTGCGGTGATTTTCCACGAGAAGATCTTGATCGGGAATTGGGTCGATAGTTTTGAGGACAGGGAAGGATCGAAACCCCCGTGGTGGAGGAGGATTATGCCGCTCTTCTGATGGTTTGAGGCAGCCGAGCCGCACTCATCTGCAAGCATTCAAGGTCGGGCATCATCTCGTATTGATCGCCGGTGGCTTGAGGGTCTGATTGCGGCGGGGTGAGAATGATACAACTCGCAAAAGTGAAAGACTGCACGAGATATTCCTGAACCTATTGTTTAAGTGCCTGTCGAGCCGGTTTTAAAGATATGTGGCACAGTCTGCTTCGCAATACGGACTCCAAGAGTGCTCCATAACGACCAAGCGATCGCTGTGTGAACAATAATTGACAGTGTACGATGAATAACAGAGAGTCTCTATTTCCAAGGTAAATGGGAGTGTTCAATTTCAACGAAGGCTTCCCCCGTTCTAAAGCAAGGACTTTGAGTGTGCCACTTATCTTTCGATTCGGCTTACTATGTATTACTTAATCATAGCGAGCACCAGGCTGGAAGCGCCAGCATCATGGTCCGGAACCAATAGAGTAGGCACAGCCTGGTACTACGGCTGAGAAATACGCCTCGGCGCTTGCCCTAGTCTCATAGCAGGTTGACATGGGCGGCTACTGCAACGGAGTTCAAGAATGCGGGCAGACTCACTGGGGCAGTGTTTCTAGGCTGCTTCGCGGTCGCTGGCCTTGGCCCCTTTTCCCGCCAGACATTCATTGTTCCAATACAGTAGTTTCTTCCAATCCTTCAGAACTCCTGCGTCCCTCAAACCTACAAGTCAGACCAGTCCATTGTAGAACATTGCACCAAATAAGTGGCTGTTTTGACAAGCAATGGCTAAATTAGACTGGTTGGATGACTCTCAGAACCCTACTCTTTGGATCGTCGCAATCTATCCGTCCTTGATCATCCTTTTATCCGTCTGCTGCCATCTGAAGATGAATCGCCTGATTCATAATCTTCCACTGGCTCAAGAAGACTCTGCCGATAAAAAGGCAGACGAATGCTTAATCGCGCAGGACGTCTTATCCGCAGACTACGACATGGTATCTCAAAATTCTACGGATAACGTCACGGAGAATGGAACGTCCTCGACCGAAACTAAGCCCACTGTCAGCGGGTTTGAAAATCCAGTCGAATCTCCCCAACACGAACCTTCAGGGCACGAGAGCATTTCTCTCTCGGCTTCCCGCCATAATCTGTACGAAATCACCAAAGGTGCTCTAATGTTTTGTCTCCAGCTACTTCTGATACATCGACTGGGAGTTCTTGCTTTGGGGCGAGTTCGCGAAACGCACCGCCTGACAGACAAATTCATGGCAATACTGGCCATGACTGTGGTCACTATTGTACTGTTGATGTCACTTGGAACTCTAACAGGAGCAAGGGATTTAGCGCTCCGGGGGTATCGGACAAATGACGGAAGGCGGCCATCAACGACAGCATCAGATCCCTACCAGAAGTTCTTCGTCTTCTCCTTTCTCTCCTTGCTATTGCCATGGTTGAGAATTCTTTCCAGTCTCAGAGACTGATGTATCTAGATACCAGAAGAGATACTGACTTACGCGGGAAGTGAATATCAACAAAGGGAAGAGAATGCCCTCTGTCTCAAAACTATCCTTCAATAAACTTGCATCATCTCTGAGAACTGTTCTCACAGAAATTATTGGAAGACGGGGGAAGCATGCTGGGAAGGCGACGAGAAAGAGACTGGCTATTGCGAGGCAATTATATCGAAATCTAGACCATTTTCAAAATATCAGAACTTATGGACTGGGATTCAGATGGTCAATTGCCGCTGCGATCGATTTGTCCACACGACCGTCGAGCGACACCTTCATCGAGGCACGTCGATCGACCCTACTAGCACCAAAGCCCTGGTGACCAGACCCGATAAAGCGCGATATAAACTCTTTGGTAAATGCGTTACTATGCTTGACCGGCACCGTGAGGACTCCAACTTTATTAAATTCGAACTCGCCCTTGGCGGTAAGTTCCCTAAGGAGGCGTACGATGGACTCGTTCCCAGTATGGAACGAATAATTAGCTTTATGTCCATCATCTCCTACTCGTCCGGCGTCTTTGCGCCCAACAAGGGGCCGAGGAAAGTAACTGGCTGAAATATTTTCGATGTTTCATTAGTGGTTTCAATTTGACGTCCCATAGCTTAATATCTACACTGTGTCTAGTATCGGCAATCGTGGTAAACGCGCTGCCGTTGCCACCGTACTTAATTGTGCCAAAACCGTACGCGCATGCCGAGAAGATGAAAAGAGCGGTTCTCGAGCTGTTGAGCGTCAGACACGACGTGGAGCTGTGCTATGAGGCCTCGGCTGTGTTGGAAGTGGTCAGTATTCTGGTCATCCAGGAGACTAGCAATATTGTGAAGAAAACCCTGGAGTTGATGGAAGAAGGAAATTTCTCATTCTATGTGCCTTCGGCCAACTTCGAAGACAGTTCGACATGCAGTACGCTTCAGGAGGCACAAGAGCGCAAGGAAGATGGGAGACAGGGGGACAGAGCAGATTGACTGACGGTCAACGCAGAATAAGGGCATTCCAATGTGCGAAATCGAACCCGTGGACAATCCCCATGCTGAGAGAAGGCTGTGGTTCAATTGTCGAAACTGCTTCGACGCCATGACCGCCGATGGTTGACATGGCATTTTTGCACTTTTGGAGCTCGCTGACAACGAATTGGGTGTCAGGTCGGAGGGAGTGGGAAAGACCAAAGACGACAATGAGCTCTTGATGCCTTCTAAAGGCAAATCCTGTGAAGCCTTTCGTTAGAAGATTGCGAACCTCGAGACGGTCGATTGAGAGCCAATGAGTGTTGCCTCAGCGTACCTCCTGGCGGTCGAGCAGGCATTGGACGCCCTTCAAAATGATCGATTTGGCATTTTCGATCTTCGCCGAACGAACACCTTTGACTTTGAGACGTGTCGCCACACCAGTAGAGGCGGGATGTTTGCTATCACACCAAACCTAGGGCAACAGCCACAGCAAAATCGCGGTCTCCACTGAAACTTAGTTCTTCCACCACAGATAACTGACCCTGTGTGAGCGTGTCAGTCTGGCCGAAGACAACATGGGAGATATTTCGTGTGCCTGACCGGTAATTGCCGTCTTGTACATAACACCATGTTTTGCCGCGACCCTTCCAGCAGTTAACTGACCATGCGAACGGCGAGGCCCGTTGCATAAGGATTCTCCAGTCACTTTGGACCCGTCGACTTCACAAGAGCCGGATACAAGACGACACCGCCTGTCGGAATACGAGAGCCAGGTGCGATTTTGCATGTTGACAGCCACTCTGAAGTAGTCATGCGTTGATTGGCTCATCACGAAGACCATCGGCAGCGCACAGGTTCGCCGTGCTAGTCTGCAGAGACCTATGGACACTGACCGGACTGTCCTCTATCTCGCAAATGCACCCATCATTCCTCCTAGCACAATTAAGACGATTAACAGGGAGATGGTTCGGAAGTATTGTTCAATTGGGAGTGGGTGCCCAGCCACTATCAATGCAGAAGAGATAACTGAGAAGATATATGCCGTGGAGGTGCTGGAGACGAAGAGTAAGTCGATCTCGATCACTCGAGTGAATACGAGAGCCCATAAAGCACTAGAATAGAATGATTCGACCATGACAAATTGAACAGTCGTCGCTAGCGCCAATAAGGCGCTTCCGTCGGCGATAGGATGATGGGGCGTGTTCTATAGATCCCGCCTTGACCCATTCGAGAATAATGTTTGCGTACTATACCAGGTACCCTAGCAGATTGACTATTGAAGTAAACATTCCACGGTCTAACTCGACCGCCAGAACCTTTGGTGTAATGACTGTGTATTTACACCTGGAAAAAGGGAAATCTTGAAGGCTATAGACCAGAATCGATCTGCTCCACAACATTATGGCCACTGTACGCTGCCCAGTCGCGGCAAGTTTGTGCCATAATAGACGGAATCTGTCGGTTTCGCATGACCAGGTCTGGCCGCTCCTTACGACCACAACGTCAGCTTTGCAAGGTATTTCTGGGGCAAGGAAAGACATACCATGATATTAACATAAAGTCCGTCACTAACATGCCACGCGACATGGCAATGAAGCGGCCACACGCCGGGGTTATCAGCCTGGAAGTCGAGAACGATGTACGACATTCCCGTCTCGGTGGGGATACCGCGTTCGAGCATCTGGGTATCTCTGCGCTGTGGATTATGCGGCCTTGTGACAGTGCCGTTCCACTCGCCTGTGCCTTGTGCCACAACCCAGAAGTTATGCCCATGAAGATGCATGGGGTGGGCCAGAGGGACGAGGCTGCGGATGATTAGACGTAAGGATGTGTTGCTGTGGAAGTTGTACACGTTCCATTGCGGGTCATACGGGTACGATGTATTGCCTAGCTTCGTGAGAAGGAGGAGAGGGTGGCTGTAAACTAATGTCAGCTAGTGAAAGCAGATGGAGCTTAAATTGTTAGCTTTGTGCTCACTCATAATTTGCCCGGAATGACTCGTTATTCATCTTCCAGACTTGCGCCTGGGTAGCGTTCGGTCCGAAATCCACGTCGATAGTCTGTGTGAAGGCGGGCGTTTTTGGCGGCGCATCCTGGAAGAACGGCTCCGTTAGTTCCAGCGGGTCGTTTGCGCAGTTGGTGTCGTTCCATTTTGTAGCAACAGAAGTCGGCGTTGCTGATGTGTCTGCCTCTTCGTAGTAAATTGCTGCAAGTGCATGAGACTGGTTGGTGTGGCTGCATAGCGTACTGATATCGCTCCTCATCCAAACAGCGTCTGTGGGCTTACCGGCGCCTTCAACGATAATGTCTGTTCTCTGGCCCACTCCTAGAGTAATGACATCTGCTTTGTATGGTTTCACCGGAACGAAGTCATTGGCGATTACTGTCATAGTATGACTGTCGATAGTGAATTTCTGGAGACCTTCGGCGCCAGCGTTGATCAGCCGCAAGCGGTGTTTCTTGCCAGATTGGAACTTGAATTTAGAAAGTCCGGCATTGGGCGTGCAGTTGTACCCTTTGGCCAGAGAACAATCGTAGTTCATCTTACCATTGATCAAGTTGTTGTCTGAGTTGGGGATATCTGTTTTTCCGGTAATCGCTTCCACGATTTTGAAGTATTCGCTGTGGAAATGATCGGACTGGGATGGTCAGTAATACTGCGATGGGAGGGGAGCTTTGAATATTCCCACCAGCACGATTGGACCAACATCTACATCATAACCGACGTGAGAGGGTCCATAGATGACCATCGGACCGAATAGACCATCCGCGTATTGTGCACTGTAATGAGAATGATACCAGCTTGACCCGTACGAGTCTGCCTTGAATGAGTATGTAAAGGTCGAGTTGGGAGCAACGGGGCATTGCGAAACTATACAAGAGGTCACTATTACTGAAGCATGAGTCTGGATGAAAAGTGAGCGACATACCGGATGGCACACCATCAAACCATGGCGTTTCTTTCTGCAAAAGACCATGCCAGTGCAGAGACGTGCCTTCCTCTGGGCCAGTGATCTTGTTTTCAACAGTCACCTGTGAGTGTGAGCTATCTCGTGAATGAATTCTGTTCTTCTGACACGGCTCACTTGTATTGTATCTCCCCAATTAGCCTCGATGAGAGGCCCAGGAAACTGACCATTGATGAGGACTCCCCAATTTTGGACTCCATCAGGGGCAACCCAGCCCCTCGATAGCACAAAGTGATAACTTCGAATAAATCCAGTGTTTGGCACTTCAACATATGGATTCGTTTCATTGACGGACGCCTTGCCCCATGGATATTTGTGCGGCAGTGGCTACAACAGTGTTAGACTGAATTATGCTCCTGAATTCGTATACATACATTGTTCTCTAGGAATCGAGGAAGGTAAGGAGCGTCCAGTGTACCGAGATTGCTACCACCTGCATGACGACGTGATGAGCAGTTACCACCATAACCAAATGCGGCATACCCTACCATTCGTTACTTTCTGAGACAGGTTGGCCGTCAAGTTTGAGGCCGCAAGAATTGAGTTCAGAAACTTCACGCTGCTGGACGATAAGGAAGGAAATGGACGATATGGGAGCTTGAAATGAAGTTGGTGTCTGATTGCATATTGTTTGACATGTTTTAAAGGCTCAGCGGTATTCTTATACACCTTGCCATCACTAAAATCATTGAGCTAGTCAGGGGTTAACTTGTCTGAAATGACACCGTGAGATGGCCAAATCCTCCGCAAAGATTTCCTTTTTGGTACTTGTTCAGCCTACGGTGGTGGCTGCTACCAGTATCGATTTATTTTTGCCCGGTGGCATTTGACCAAAGAGACCCAGAGATCGCCTAATCCAAATTTCCCTAGTTTGAAGTGGAGAAACTAGATGATACATGAGTCAGTTTGGAGGATCCTAGAGCAGGGGAGTATATGATTCATCTAACTGGGACGACTACGCACATAAAGGGTAAGCTGCTTGAAACAAATCCATGAGACCTCTCTGATCTCCCCAACTCGAGATTATTTCTCGTGCTCGTTCTCTGATGTCCTCAGAGGGAGGCATGAGGCTCGCAATCTTCAAGGGAAATGACAAGTTGAATGAACCCCCAGAGTGTATTCCGGCCTCCTTGTGGTAAGATGCACACTTCAAAATCATCTCTGCATGCTCTTCCATCCGTAACCTCTCCATCTTGCTCACCGACGCCACCAACCTGTGATAATTCAAGCAAATTAGACATGCTGAATGAAAAAATGCCACAAAAGTGGCCTGAAAAGTTGTGGTCAGGCATTCGATATCGTATAATTCTGAGAACAAATCTAGCCGTAGCAATAGCGAATCCGTCTGCTCCAGGATCTGCCTCCTCAGATCGCCGGATTCTCTCAGCGATTTATCCTGCTGCCATTTATGCACCTTGAAAGAACAAGAAGGGAGTTGTACAAGAATGTCGACAAGGTCGTCTAGATGTGACTTCTCGCAGGCCGCGAAAGGCAAATTATGCCACTCGGGTTGATCAAAGGGTGAAGGTTTACGAGTTGTCATACCCACGACTACCTAATGAGCGTTAGCGAGTTGCGAGATCATGGCAGGATTTCTGACATACCGAGGCGAGTCTTAAAGACCGGAAAAGCTGATTGGCTAATCCTCTCTGGCAGGCAATGGGGCCCTTCAAGAGCAACATCCTTATTGCAGCAGAGAAATGGTGCACCCATCCGTCTGGGGTAGTGGACGCTGTGGATTCAAAGACGGCCAGAAGGCAAGTTGCCGCGATCGATGCCAGGGACGACGAATTTGGAGACTTTTGCGCCTCTCTTGCGTTAGTTCGAAAGCTGTCCTTTTGAAGGTGAAGGCATTTCGCATAACATTTACGTGCCTGAAGTGCAATGGTTGCACTCTTTATCAGGCGTCCGTAGAGCGCCATGGACGTCGCACGGCTGGAGTAGGTGATTATCGGATTCTCCCATGAAGCCAGCATCCGGGGTAAGTCAGGTATCCACATATGTAAACCCGCTCTTTGCCCTTCCGGACACCTATATGATGCAATGAGATTTGATAGGTAGAGTTGTTCGAAAAGAGGAGCAGTGTATATGTCGCAGGCAGACTGAACTGAAACATGATGTGGTCCGGGTCACGGCCAGTCGAATCACGGCATGGCTCAGATGCCTCAAGTGTTAACCTGCTATTTCCGGGGATAGCGCCAGCCATGTTCACCTGGCGAGTAATGGGCTCTGGAGATCTATTCCGTTCAATGGACCTGGCCGATGTGGAATCACTTTGCAGTGAATAAAACTCGGCGGTTGTTGACGCTCAGCGTAAGGGAATTTTGGCAACGCTTTGTGCATGGACTGCTTTTGTCCGCTTGGTTTCTTGACTTCTCTTGACCTTATGCTCATATCGACGAACACAGGACCAAGTTTTGGACCAGAACAATCAAGGTTGGCGTTGGAGCATTCTCGACATATTGGAGCATTTTCATCGCACTATTCAAAATAAATTAGGTTCTGGTCGGCCGCTTCCCTCGGGAGATATAAGATGGATTGTTACCTTGATTTTCCGTTCAAGGCAATTTTTGCATTCCCTACTTCGTCCTGCGTGGCGACCCATCGTCGAATAAGGCTGTCGAGGCAGCAAATGTATCGCAGGTTGAACCTATTTCATTCGGCGATCTAGCTGTATGGCGGTTCCACACTGTTCTTCTGTACCGCAGGCCACTGAGATTATTGAAATGGCTCCTCCCACGGCTATACAGTAGGCAGTATATCAGCCGAATGTTGACCGAGATGAGGAGTGAATCTGTCAACTTCGCATTTCTAGAAGCTTGAGTCGTTGGTTGGTCGGAAGCCTCTCTTCGCATACTCGGTAGGACACTGCGGCAGCCTCTAAGCACTACGTATGAAAACTTCATTATGCAGTCGCAATCAAACTTAGAGCTGAATCTACATTGCCAGGAAGAATTGATCACGGAGCCAGGGGCCAGGATGATGATGTAACAAGAGCGTCGTCCTTCGTCGAGTGCTGACTCCATTATGTAAGGTGGTATTAAGGACGCTTAGCGACAAGGCTGAGCGGGTCGCCTGTAAAAGTCAAGATGCTACCCTGGACTACTGATCACCGTTGTTGGCTCCAACCAGCCATTGATACGTCCGTATCTCCCGAGAATTTAATTGTTGCAGGTTTGATGATCAACAGTCTGGCTGACCTGCCAGGAGCTCTGTCGTCCATTTTTGTATGATTTCACCCAGCATGGGACACAGGTTTCCGCAAAGATTTCTACATCAGGCCATAGCGCGTCCACGCTCCGTTCAGCTTTCCTAAACTATCTTCCTATTCCCGTCATGCACTACTCACTAGGATGGCGGCAATTGTCTATCACCATTGCACGCCTGTCCTTTATCCTTCATCCTTCACCCTTCTCGGAGATTCCTATGAAACGGATGAATACGCGCTCACCAAAGCGCGACATCGTCTCGAAGCGTAGCCGCAGGGGAGTCTTTCAATCCACCGTCTACAGCAGTAGGGCCACATTCATCAAACTAGGGAGTAGCCGTGACTCGCCTATCATGACAGGATGAAGTCGAAAGTCCACATTCCCAACGCACCAAACGAACCCAAATGGACCCACGGAAATGGCAGGATGAAGTTCTGCGCATTTTGAAGTTCCATTACTTAAAAGACTATTCCTTCCTCCAGAGTTAAAAAGCCGTCGGCTACCCTTATCATCATTTGGAACTCAGAATCATCAGCAAGCCCCAGATAGCCAGGTCCTTTCCCCTGAAAAAGACTTCTGGTCATAAGCACTCTACCTTCTCCCTGGACCGTCCAGAACATTCACAACATGGACGACGAATGCACCCATGTTAGCCCTGGTTGTCCTTCTGATGGCTCCAGTCTCGGTTATGCGCCAAACCTCCCTGTCACCATTGTTTTCCTCATCCTGTTCGGAATAGCGCTATTGTGCAATATTATCCAGGGATCAAAGTACAAAACCTGGACCTTCATGGCTATGATGTGTCTCGGGTCGCAGTCTGAAGTGATTGGATACATTGGCAGAATATTCATGCATTACAATCCTTACCGGTTGAGCACATCAGTTCACCTGCCCCTAGGTTTCTAGTTGCCAAGCTGAATACGAACCGCAGATTCCTCGTGCAAATTATCTGTCTTACTAGCGGACCAGCCTTTTACTCTGCCGCATTATACCTCTGTCTTTCACGAATGTGAGCTGGGTTCAAGCACGTCGCAGAATTGAAGAGTCGCTAACCGGGTCGAAGCATCATCGTTTACGGAGAGAACTTGTCTCGCATATCCGCTAAAATGTACACGCGATTCTTCATTTTCTGCGACCTCATTTCCCTCTCGCTTCAAGGAGGGGGCGGAGGCGTGGCGGCTTCAGCAACAAAGCCGGGTACGCTGTCCATTGGCAACAAACTCATGCTAGCCGGGTTGATTTTCCAGATCGTGTCCCTTGGCTTCTTTGCAGCAGCCTGTGCCGACTTTGCGATACGTGTCAAGAAATACCCAAACCGAAAGAACCCTAGATTTTCAAAGACAAGGATGAGCACAGGCTTCCGAGCGTTTCTTCTGGCAGTAGCCTTGGTCTTTATGGCAATCTTCATCCGATGCATTTACAGAGTTGTTGAACTTGGTTCGGGATGGGACAGTGCTCTCATGAGAAAGGAGGTCCCATTCATCATCCTCGAGTCCGGGTAAGTGTGGCTGCTCTGCTGCTACTGGAACCGAATTATTGACGGTACTATCACTAGCATGATTACTATTGCCGTCTTCTGTTTTGTGGTCGTCCACCCCGGGTTCGCTTTCGGTGATGATTTCAATACCATTCAGTATATGGTCCTGACCAAGGGAGGAGGGGAAGAGGCAGGATTCAGGAGGGAGAACCGATCAACTATCGAGCTCGCCTGGGGCCAGGACCATGAAAACACTGTTGGTGACTCAATGATTTAACCTGCTGGGCTCGGGAGGGCGCTTGAGAACGTGGAATACATAAAGGCGATGTATGTAAAGAGTGATGCATGTTCTGCGCAATGAATGAAGATCGAAGATTAGCACAGTTGTTGGCTTTGTAAATCCGTATTGTCTACTGTACGTGGAACCAGGAGTTGTGGGCTTGATAAGTTGTAGCGATTTTAGACGGGCATTTACATAGATTATCAGTTTCATCTCCTAGCTATAGATCGATAAAAGAAACCTTAAAAGCTTTCAGCAGCTCCTGTATTCTACCAGCCAAAAAGGCGGGATCGACGCTTTGAGACAGGTCCGAAAAGCTGTTCGCAAAGGCATGAGGAGTACTCGAGTTGCTGACTATCAGCAGCAGTCGGTCTTACTGACTTAGGGTGCCCAAGTGCCGCGCCTCCATACTACCAGATCGAGCTGCCCACTTAATTAATACGCTTGAAGCTGCCAAATCGGGAAAACTTTGCGGAAGGATTCCCTCTTCTACCTCCGCAAAAGGAGTCGAAACACGAGCCTAACCATGATGAAACTGAAGCATACCGAGTATATATAAAAGTGGATTAGACATGTTCTCGTTCCTTCTTGCTCTTGCCTTCTTCAGCAGAAAGTCAAGAATACAATCTTCGTGTCATCTTCAAGTCGAAAAACCTTTGACTCCTCGATTCGAAGCCGAACTCGACTGTGCTATGGGTCTTCTACGATGCCCACCACGCAGCCGGCAGGTGATTGGGTACCTGTATACGGCCAAGCCGCAACTACATGCAGTCCGGGCTGGCAGCCGTGTGTGAACGGGCAAGGCGGCGTCGCTGCCACAGGAAAACAAACAGGCTTTGAGTTTGGAGAACATCAACGCTTCCAGGGCCCCGAAAGGTGCATAGATAAAGGACGTGCAAGGATAAGACATGAAGCGATAAGCTATAACATGGTTATTTTTTGTTTGGGGCCAATCTATGATCTGTTTTGTTAGCTGCTGAGAAGTCATCGCGTTGGGAAGTACCTTGATTTACAAGACCTAAGCTCTTCTCTTTGTTACCAATTGTCAAAGTGGCGCCTCAGAGTACCTATCTCATTAGGTTGATGTGCAGTTATGGTGTGTCGGTCCCGTGGATTTGGACCTTTGATAGCCAAGCATTTATTGGACCAGAAGTTTGTGGTAATGAATGAAGAGGAAAACGACGCGAGGAGTGCTCAGGAAGCACATGGTGACCAGAGGGCGAGCAAAGCAACGTGCAGTCTAGTCACAAGGAGACATTCAGGCACCAGTATTTTCGCGCGAGACAACCTGTAGCGTGCCAGGGGAGGGAGAAGGCCGTAATAGCCGGTTGGTGGCGTAATGCCTTTGTTGTTCTCTGTCTAGTGTTTGTCTGAAGAGTTAAGTCAAGAAAGTCACAATGACTCGACTACTGTAGCTAGCTTGAGCTAGCTAAAAGGAAAGAGAGGCAGAGGGCTGCCAAGGCACTTCCAGGCTAGCACTGAAATGCCATAGTGCTCTCATGTGCCAGAGCCACGTGACATAACCGAGTACTGGGTACTGGGTACCTACAGTACTGTACTTGTTAAGTACCTCGTACCCAGTACACCGGTAGGGTGGGTGCAAGAGGGTAAATCTAAAAGGGGCAAGGCTGAAAGATGCGTCCCCACGTGATTCCGGAGCAGTTCGCAAGGCTGTGGCTGACACCTTGGCCTTGGCCTAACTAGCCGTCAACCGGTTTTCGGCAGTGGGATGAGCCGACTACCTGAATCCCCTTCCTGATGCAACAACCTTCTTTTTCCCGCATGCTGCTTCGTTCTCATTCCTGGAAACTGGGATTACTCCTTTGACTGGGCGCTGTTGCCGCGACTGGAAAAGGCTGAAGTACTCGGTAATCCATTTTCCAATGATTTGAAGGGTCACTGCCTCCCGCATGAGCGGGGAGACACATTGACACCATGGTCTCAGTTGAATTGACAGCAGCACAGGCAGCTTCTGGTCTCGCCCATGGGCCGATGACCTCTGCCTCACCTGCATTATTGAATCTGACGAGCCTCAAAACAGCAGCAGCGAATGTGACATCTGCCTTCTCCCTTCCATTCAGCATACACCCGATCTTCCGCTTCCCTCTCCGACTTACCTCGCGAATCGATCGCGCCCTCCTCCACATATGGAGCCGATTCGTTCTCGAAGGACTTGGTACCAATAGTCTGACAAGAGCTGGGACGGCCACCGGCGCTGGCATTGCTGGAACCCAAGCCATGGCAGATGCAGCAGCCCAACCCGCTGTGGCCCAGGCCCTGGGAGATGCAGGTGGAGACAGTTGGGCGAGCTTCTTTTCAGAGGCATTCCAAGCAACCGGCTTTAAGTCTTATTGGGGCATGCTGCACTATCTCACTTCAAGATGGGCCTTTACGTGTTTTGTGGTGGTAAGAGTGGCTGCTTTGGAAAGGAGAAGAACATCTACTGACATGCATAGGCCCTGATTCTAAACCGTATCAGTGTTTACGGGGCGTCGAGGCAACGAATACAGCTGACTTGGACGAGGAGGCTGGCTTTGCGGATTGTCCCCATTTTGCTGTTCATAACTCAGATCCATCATCTCCTGCAAGCTATTCGGTGCCAAACATCACCGGATTTCTCACTCTATCGGCACGGAGACAACAACAAATACAGCCTCTTAGACTGGTCCACCGACGGTGGCTGGCTGCACACTCTCACATCTACACTTCTGTTTCGGTCGACAGACGCCCAAGCTTGTGCCGCCATTGGGATGAGCAGACCAAGCCCAGAGGTTCGAGCACCTTTTGGTTCTTTCTCACTTCTTTGGCCTTCCTTCTTGCGGCTGAGCCTGTCCCATGTCGTTGAAAATCTGTCATGCTCGCTACAACAGATACCGACGACGGCAGAGGTTGGAATGTCCGTGTTCGAGCATTCTCTTGCATTCGCCGAGGCTGAGACGATGATCTCCCACACCCTGGGTCTCGGCTACTATGGGTCAAGCAAATCCCCCAGCAGCAGTAAAGCCAATATCACGTCTCCTCGCCCGGATTCCCAGCCTACAATACCCGCATCCGGTACAATATTGGCTCTCGCCGACGCTACAGCCACTCTGACAGGTCCGCACCTACTTGATCGTGTCAACGTCCCGGTAGAAATCCTCTTGGTCGCATTGTTGTCGTGCTGCAACTCGCTTTCATCTCACGTCATTGCTGTTTTGGGAAAGCAACGTCAATGGAGACTTGTGAATACGGGAATATGGGCCATGACTTTCATGGCGGCATTTGTTTGGGGATTCAGCACGACCAGTGTCATGGTTCGGAGCGGGGACAACGGTGACCATCGCCCTGTTAGCAGTCTTTTACACTTTCCTACGGTGGCGATTATAGGATTCCTTCCTCATATGGTCATCCTAGCGGGGATTGCGATCTGCCTGCTCATATACTTGGTTGCACTCACTTTGACGGCGGTTTCTCTCGGCACCAACCCGCAAATTCCACGGCCAACCACCCTTAAAGAACGATTCATCATAGCTCACGAAAATTTGCAGGCTGCGGTCCAAACTCGAGGGATTGAAATTCGTTGGCATGAAGACTTCTACACAACACTCCTCCGCAGTGGATTTGCTGCACTGACAGCGGCATCTGAAGCAGTTTTCTTAAATGAGGGCAGAGCAGTCGAAGTACGCCAATTCACATGGTTGGAAGAAGACAGACTGGATGAATTCGACGCAGCAATGCGTGAAATGGGACCTTTTCAAAGTGCCTTCTCAAACAGTCAACAATTTCAAATCCTGGAAGAATACGGCCTTCCCCCTTCGAGACCTGGGGCTGCCGACAAGGGCGGTGTCTGGGAGTCTGGCTATTCCAAGGAACGAAAACTCGACAAAAAGGAAAACGATGCCAAAGATTCATTCCTCTATCCTACCCCTCGCGCTGGCGGAGTCGGCGCTGTACAACGGACCACCCGTTTTTATCTGCTCATGATCTATGTTCGTGGCATCATATTTTTGGTTGCTGGATATATTGGATTTGGGATTGGCGTTCTGCTGGACACGGTTGGCATCACGGCGCGACCTCGCTGGCTTAGACGAATCGTCGGTCGGTCTCTGAAGAGGATGAACGCAAAACCAAGTGGTCCGAATAGCGAAGGAATGCTGGACTTTTGGATTCTGTCAGAAGACGGGAAGCTCACGATAGCGAGCAGCGATGAAGTCGATATCGAGCCAGAAATGAAGAGGCGATTGATGACCGAATTCCCCGGAGAGAGGATTGATGAACTTCTCGACGCAAAGTTGTATGAGTGGTGGAAGTCAGGCGGCTGGTTTGGCACGAAAGATGACAGCGGAGATTATCAGCCATCGAATGCTGATGATTTCGACGATACCACGAGTGTCATTTCGATGTCCACTGAAGCCAGCACTCACAACAGCGATGGCGATGAAGAAGATGCCTGGGAATCCGAGCCTGATGGAAGTCGAACACCGACTCAATCATCCACGGGTCAGTCGTGGTCATTCTCCGGCGTTGAGACCAGAGAATCAACACCGGCCTTCACAGACTCGCCGCTCGATGCAGCGACCCTGGCAAGACTTTTAAATCCGCCAGACAGAGAATCCCGCGAAGAAGCACGGATACTTGCCTCGCACCTCGCCACTGTGCCGGCTAACTCTCCTGGTGTGATGACTCGTTCACGCTACCGTCGCGAGATCGAGTCCGAACGAGCTCGAATCCTCCTTGCCGGACGCAGTCCAGCTCCCGCAACATCCAATCACCATCGGGTCCCAACAATCTCCCTGTACAAAGAGCCGCAAACCACAGGTCCCCGACCCCTCACCTCAATGGAGGAAGCAGAGGTCCTCGAATCCCTGATTCTCAACCGTCGACGGAAGCATGCACCCCCAGTGCCATCGCCTCAAAGTGGAACGCCAGACACGGGCAACCCAGATCAAGACAGACAGTACGGACCGCCTTGTGTCGTTTGTCAGAATGCGCCGCGAACAATTATTGCTTGGCCGTGTCGATGTCTCTGCGTCTGTGAGGATTGTCGGGTCAGTTTAGCGTGGAACAATTTTGGGAGCTGCGTTACCTGTCGGCAGACAGTGCAGGGGTTTGTGAGGCTTTACGTACCATGAGGTACCTGTGTATGAGTTGTAACATCCAAGGAAAGCAGGCGATATACAAAGGTCTTGCTTCTTTTCCTCCCCTTCTCTCTCCTCTTTCCGCTGTAAATCTGACGGTCGTTGGATGAGCAACAGCCCAGCGCCCAAGGGGATTTATTTCCTCGTCCCAGTCCACGGACTTTCTGTCTTTCTTTCTCTGTTTCTTCCGCGGGGTTTTATCGATCCTCTCTATACGACGGTATTGCCGTATGCCAGTTGGCAATAGTGCCACCAGCCCCAAGTCGTCAGAAACCCTTTCGACACCTTCACTCCCAGCTGTGTTAAAATTGCATCCAACACTGCCAAGAATACAGAGTATTTATTGCCCTTCAAGTCCGTGTCTGTATCGACCGCAAAGCGAGCAAAGACTTTGAATGATTCATATTTAGTTCTGATTTTAATTTTACATTTCCGTATGCCTGCCCAAGCAGGTAGATCCCCCTTCGCAAAGGCAAACCAAACCAAAAAATTCAAACCAAAAAAACAAACCGCCCATGCCCATCATCATCCATCATCTTCATTAGCGCCGAAGTTTTCCAAATCGACGAACGATAAAGTCACGGCATACACATACACAGCAGGGACTGCAAAACTGACACCGTCTTATCGTTTCTTCAAAGCCAAATCTCCCCAGGCCTACATAACTAGCCAGAGGTGGTGGTGGCAGCAGTGGCGAACGCTTCCTTTTCCTGGTCCCATGTTCCCAGGAAAGACCCTAGATCGTCTATGGCAGCATCCAGATCAAAGTCGGCGTCGCTCTCGACCAATTTGAGTAATTGCTGCCGCTGTGCATCCTGCCTGCTCGATGATGACAAGCCAGGGTTGCTCGACTGGAGAGGCGCTTTCATCGAATTCTGCAGGGATGATTTAAGGATGCTTCTCGGCGCGGACGTTCGTAGGACGTTTGGAGATCCCGAGTCGTTCGGGGCTGAGCGCTGTCCGCCGTCTGCACTAGATTGCTGCTCCAATCCGAGCGGCATAGCTGTCTTGGAATCCACCATCTTGTCTTGAATCACGACAGTCGGCTTCGTGACCTTCAGAACCGATTTGATGGACCCTCGAGATGACCCAGATAGTATTCCCTCGGTCGATGATACCAGTCGCCTTTTGTTTTTGGTTGCTCCAGCCTTTGTGATAGCCACTGGAGAGGATGCTTTTTGATTACCCAGCCCAGCCTTCCTCATAGACTTGGTTAAAGCGAAAGCATGGTCAGTCATGGAATGCAACGTGCCGAAACTGTCGGCCTTCTTCTGGGATTGATGCTGGCTATGTGGTACTGGATCTCGCGGGTTGATTAGGAGAATGTGCTCCTGGTCAGGCCCATCCACGGCGTGACAAGTCATATCCCCAGTGGCGGAAACATCAACAGCAGCTGCTCTTTCCACGCCCATGGCCTCGACAACTTCGGAATAACAGCGATCCAGGGCCTTGTGGAACATTTGACCATGACTGGAGAGATCCGAAGGCAGAGATGCTAAGACCGGAGGTGATGGCCCTTGAGCGGATGGTAAATCAGCCATCGTGCTTGATTCCGCTTTTTCCTCCATCACGGAATGAGGCGCAATATCACCGTGGTTCGGAGGAGCTGCGTCTTGTGCGCTGTGAAGCGAGGTAGAACTACCGTTTAATCCTGGGGCAACACTTCTCTTCGACGCTGATTCTGTCCCTCTCTCGATTGTAAACAGCTGCAACCGACCAGATTGGGGTTGAGGTTCGCCTGAAGCAGTTGTTTTATCGCAATGGTGATGCAGGCTGAGGGCAGGAGGAACTATATGGACAACGGACGGGATACGATGGGCTGCTTCGCGTTTGGATTTTAAGATGGCATATTCTGCCCTGTGTTCATTCGTGCAGGGTTGCTTCGTCGCGTCGTAGTGATTGTGGATATCTTGATCCTTGCGGCTTAGTGGGGAGGTATAGTAGTCTCTTGCTCCCGAACCGACCTTCGGGGTTTGCGGTTTGACGGGCGATGAAAAGCTGCTCTTAAATCCTTGGGATTGCCTCAATGCTGTCGGCCTGCAAGAAATGACGACTTGATTACTGGCGATGTTGACACCAGCATCTACCTGAACCGGAAGTTCGATGTTCGGTCTCGGATATTCGCACTTCTTCGTCTTGCCATCACTGGGTGATGAAGGTGGCAAATTCGGCTGTGCATGCTCTGGTTCCTTGTATGCTGCATTTGTCCTCAACCAATTTTCCACCTTGTTGTTCTTAGGAGGCTCAGCATCCTTCCCAAGATGTGGACTGATACTCTCTTCCCCCTGTAGACTGCTAATTACCGGGCTCTGGTTGCGCCCCGAGGACCTTTCCCTTGGTTGCTTTGTGACATGTATGCTTGTGTCCGGAGCCACTTGTGCCACATGGTTCCCCCTCAAACCCGGAGAGTTCTCCTTCTTCCCTCGCGCAGGCTCCCTAGGTGGCGTGGGGCTCGGTTGATTTGTTCCAGTCTTCTTCGTTTTATTCACCTTCTCTTTGGCCCAAGGATTCGTCCATCCGTCGTCGAAGGGTCCTCTCAGTTGGGCTGTGAGAATGAACAGAGGCTGGCCGCGGAGATAGGCTGTGGCGTGGCTCTCAATCCGTCGCCTTTTGGCGGCTCTCTGCTCTTCATCTTCTTCAAGGTCACGGCTCTGGTCGCAATAGACGATTGTATCATCACAGATTGGGATCTCATCGGCACAAATGGGGGACACCGGTCTTGGATACTCGGGTAATCTGGGGTTCCGAGCGGGCATGGCCGAAAAGTAAAGATTCAGACATGCAGGTTACGACCTGGAGGAACAACGATATTCACTGAGGAACAACGACTTGCTTGAAAAGGTCAGACCGAGCAGGTCGCAAGACGTCAATTGCCTTAGGCCGTGAGTGGCGCCTGACATCCCGCACTTGACGGGAAAGGGCAGAAGCTACCTCGTAATACTCACTAGTCGATCCTGAGGCGATAAGCAACCTCACGCGTCACGCGTCTCAAGTGCCTGCAGGCAACTATGACGCGCGAGACCCTCTCTTCGCCATGCACCTCGTATTCCAACTACGTAGCGATAGGTACGGAGTATTAAGTAGATTGAGCGATTCGGACACATTAAATAAACCCTGTTTCCTGCTGTGTCTACCTATCTGAGTTATTATTACAGGCACACGAAGCCTTTGGACGCAATGCCGCAATCTCAACGAAAGGAAATTCGTAAGCCAATCGACCACAATTGTTTTCTCCATTACCAGTCTGTAAAGATACCACCACCGTCAGCCTAACTATTAATAGGGTATCAATGCAAGCAGCTGAATTCACGCAAAACATGAAGGTCCTCTTTCAGCATCCCTAGTGGGAAGTAACGCCGTCGTAGTAGGTCTTGTTGGCGCTACCGTTGGTGATGTCTTTGTTAGTGTCGAAGGCTCGATCGACTTGGTTGCTAAAACCAGTTGTGGCACCGGCAGGGTTGCTGGTTACCGTCGTGCCAGTAACAGATGACATGTTGTCTTCCGAGTGCGGATGATTGCCACCACGGACAATACCAGCAGCCGTCTCATGGGGTTTGCGGGTGACCGATTGCGGCTTGGGAATGTCAGTGGACTCCTTCGCGTCGCCGATGCTGAAGATTGGCGATTCCCAACGATCCCCCTTGGCCGCAAGCTCCTTGTACTCTGTCGCCTTGGTCGACACACCGCCGGGCAAGTTGATGTGCTTGAACATGGCGTCTTGCTTTGTCATGGCCATATTGACGTTGGTCTTGGAGGCGACATCTTTGGCCTTCTCTTTCTTCTCGGTCAAAATCTTCTGGTAGGAGTTCCAGTAAGCTTGCCAGATGTTTGGAGCATTCTCAGGATCGTCCTTAGTGGCTTGTTTGGCGCGTTCCACATCTTGGTGAACGCTGAAAGCGAAGGCGTCCGCTTTCAAGAAGGCGTCCTTGATCTGTTTTTCGAGCACCTTTTGAATAGCGGGCTTCATTGTCTTCAGCACCAACGGCTTAGCAATCTTGAACAACAATTTGTGGTTGGACTGTTTGATCTTGACGTTCAAATGCTTAATTGTCACGTCCACCTTGTCCACGGCCACGAAGTGACTGCGGTCAGTGGCGGTGGCATTTCGCGCCGAGATCTTGAAACTGAAGCCTTCGCCTCCGAGGAAAATGTCCATGACTCCCTTGTCGGTGATGGATGGGAACCCTTGCTTCTTCTTGATGTAATATGCCACGTCTTGCAAGTCCATCTGAACGCCGGAGCCGGCGATGGTGACCTTGTTCTCCCTCTTGTTGGAGATTCCCTTGCGACCCATGCGGAAATAGTTGTCACTACCAAACTCCAATACGTTGGGGAAGAGATTGTCGCTCTCGATGACAAGGTTTTCCACCACAGCGTCAATCATGGGGTCTGAAACCTCGATTCTGGGAATTGGAATGTAGCGAGTGTTTTCGAAGATCTCGGGGATGATAACCTCGGTGAGATCCTTGATCAAATGAGGCTTGAACGTGGGCTTGCCGTTCTCATCGTTACCTAGGTCGAGAAACATTTTCGTCACGGCATCCCCAAATGCCTTGTTCTGTGGGTCCTGGTCAAACTGATCGCCGAGGAACTTGATTTCGTCGAGGACGCGGTCGGTGTGATCCCGATAGCGGTCGCGAAGGAGGAATCGGCCTTCGTCGTGAAGGCGGTTGTATTCCTCATTGGCTGCATCTTGGAGGATGTATCCTTGCTCCTGCAGGCACTTGCGGATGTACTTGTCAACAGCTCCAAACCAATCTTTGAGTTCTGGATCACGATCTGCGTCTCGGTAGATGTTGTTCAAGGCGTCGAAGAAGTCATCGGTACTTGTGTAGTTGGCGAAGCGTTCAATAAGTGTCTTTAGTTTGATTAGCATGTCGTTGTTGTCGCGGTAAGAGTCTGCACGGACCTTCAGGTTAGCCTCTGCTCTCTTCAAGCGATCGTCTTCATGAGCACCTTTAACAGTTCCCGCCGACTGCGAAGTCAAGTTGTTGGCATGGCCACCATATGTCTCTGCGAGAGAGAGGAGTGTGTCAATAGCTTGGCGATCTGATGTGGATGTCAGTCAATCGTGCTTGGTCAGATGACGCAGTAGCCCTTACAGTCGGAGTGGCCTTGGATCTCCACTACCATCTTCTTAAGGCGCCAGATAGTCTGGTCACGGCGCTCTTGGGGTATCTTCTTATCCATATAGTTCTTGGTGTGCTGAAATGTGGCTTCCTTGGCCTTCTTTACATCTTCCTGGCGTTCATCTGGAATATTCTGCCGTGCACGGTCCCTCAGAATTTCTGTTGCATTTTGCAGTCCTGCGCGTCCGGCCTCTTGATTATCCTGACTCGGATGCTGCTGAGCAGTGTCCACGCCCTGCTGTGCGGCGTCCTTGGCTTCCTCTCTGCTGAAAGGCTTGTTCTGGTTGTAAGCATCGCGTGCTTGGTTCTTCAGACTCTCTCGGGACAAGTCTGGAACGTCGTGCCAGGTGTTATCTTCAGCCGGGTGGTCGATTTGATTCAGCTGGTCTTCGGAAGGATTGACACGGCTGGCGACATTCTGAGCGGCATCGCCAGCCATGTCCCGCATAAGGATCGTGGCATCATTCAGGAGTTTGCGGAATTGGCCATTCGAGAGGATGAGTCTGCCGAGGGTCTTGAGACCTTCTAACGCTTGATCACCGTGCTGTTGAGCGGTGGTTTTGTCCATAGGGGCTTTGGGGAGGTTGGCATTGCTGCCGTCCAGGTGCTGGGCATCCCAGATGAACTCCTGAAGCAGATTTCCCTCATTCTTGGACAGCAACAGGTATTTGGCTTGACGGATGACCTCTTTCAGGTCGCCAACCAGTTTGCGACCCTCCTCGGAGAGCTTTGGAGAGGGTGAAGAGAGCGCCTTGGATGCAAGGGCACTGTTGAGCGCGACATCAATCTGCTTGTTGGAGGGGACCTTGCCATTGGCGAAGGCTTGGTAGATGCCGTAGAGCTGGAGTTTTTGGTTGATGTCCTTCTCCTTGACGGTATTGTTCGTGGGACGATTAACAGAAGCCATTGTGGAATTCAGTCAAGGCAAAACGATTCAAAAAGGGTATCACAAATGTAGGAAAACAGAGAAACGAGACGGGTCAAACCCTTCAACCGCAGGTTTAGTGATGAAGGTTCGCGATCGCAGTCTTGGATAGGCTGTTGGGAGAGGTGAATTTGTGTGAGGCAGTGGATTGAAATGATGGTAAAGTATGGATGAGACGTGGTTTGAGCTGAAGGAAAAAGCCAGGCAAGAGGTGAGGAGGTGATGTAGTTATGAGTTCCAGTGCCAGGTGGGAGGGGTTGTATTACCTATTACCTCACAGCCAAGCTGGTGGCACAGGGCGTCACTGAAGACTGAACAGAAGGAGCAAGGAGCAAGGAGCAAGGACCACGCGCAACACGGCCTGCTTGTTCCAAGATTGGGAGCGATCTGGCCGCAATCTTGCCGCAATCGACCAGGGATCGGCAGAGCTGTGGCTTGCACTCAGCAGAAGACGCCAGAAACAGAGAGGCCGTCAGTGGTTGAGCATCATCTTTGGCCGAAACAATGTGGAGATGTCCAAGGCGTCGTAAAGTCAAAAGATGATGGCGCGGATATCAATCGCAAGGACCAAAAAAAACCCAACGAGGCGTCATGACATCACAAGCCACCTCTGTGACCACTGACCTCAGCAACCTCAGTTAGCTAACATCATGACGACGAGCCTGTTCTTCTTGTTCTCTACATCTCTCCCGCCTCTGTCCGTCCTCAGGATGCTCGCGGGGTTGGTTATATTGAGTAGCTTCTGATAACAAGACTGATGCGGTTGCCATGGGTGGCGAGGGTGGTCAAGCCGCTTGTCCAGGAGGGTGTTGTCCAAGTGCTCGTATGTCGCTTATTCCAACGACATCTCCAGGGTCCTGAATTCTCGACGTTTTCGTCATCACCGGTCACTGCGAACGTCGATCACGATCAAACGAGGAATCTCTTCCTTGCAGGTCACGGCTTGGGTCGAAAGACTGGCAAACCGTGCATTGCTCTCCACAAAAATGACGTTTGGAAGGCTCCAGTCACATCTAGACTGCCCAAGGCTCTGGGAACAGCTACCCACCAATCACTGCAATCAGAGCATTGCCAAGAAATATTAGGTAATTAACAAGTAACCAGTCCTTGTACTGGGTGGTGGCCAAGGCTGGCGTGAAATATTGCCAGCCACACTTTCCCTCATCTTACTTGTTAGTACCTCTATTACTCGAGAACGAAAAACCCAATTGCCATATACGGTTTGATCCTAGAGGGTGAGCGAAGGCTGCTTTTACCTGAGCTTTAATTGAGCCTTTAGCTGAGCCTCACTGAGCGCCCCTGAGCGCCCCATGAGCAGCTCCCGGAGCTACAAAGGGGGCCCTAATCAGGCCACTTGGAGATTGGTTAAACCTGCCTCTCACGCCAGGGCATTGGCTTCAGATGATCCTCAGCGAACCTGGCAAGTCCCTGCTCCTGCGCTGCTGCCTAAAATTTCTTATGCACGGCGCTCTCGAATCCTAGCACCTAACGATGCAAAGAATTAATTGCTTCGGAGAGCTCCACGCCACTTGTCTTATCGACGCAGTCCTACCGAGTACTCAGTCCCAATTTAGGGCGCCGCTTCATCCAGACACCTCATATCCAACGTCTACGTACCTGGCATAGGGGAATGGTGTAAATTCATACGGTCGTCGACAAATGGCCTAATGTGAGATTCGACGGACCCAAATCTAGTCTCTTTGCAATTGGAGTGAATGCATCCTAGAGTGTTTCTCCAGTAGCAGAAACAGGAGGGCTTGAACTGGCCATTAAAAGAGATTAACCGTCGACCAAATGCTATATTATATCGCGAGTCTCATATGCAGGGCGAGGTGGACGAGGTGGCCGCCGAATTTCCCGAGCCCAAGGCTCAGGTTTTCAGTTATGAGAACCAGGTCTTTTTGGTGGATAATCCTTTCCTGCTGGGTGACGGAATTGTTTTTTTCTCCCTTTTCCTTCTGTTGATTGCAACCGCCGAACATGGCAACCCCGTTACCTGTCCAATTAAGGTTGGCACTTTGAATCCTGCAACACCACAGGATCTAAAGCCTCGCCACGCCCTGCACTGCCATGAGGAGCGCTGTGTTTCCTTTATCATCCCTTTCGTGGACACTCATTCCACTATCGATGAGAAAATTCACAACCACCACGTTCCCACCCATAGCCGCATAGTGTAGTGCCGTCCTCCCGATTCGATCTCGAATAGAAGTGTCCGCTCCAGAGTTAAGTAGTCTCTTCACAGACTCATATTGTCCTGCGAGAGCTGCCATATGGAGCGCTGTTCTTCCTTCATCATCGCTTTCGTGAAGACACATTTTGATATCGAGAAGTAGATTTAGAGTCGCCGTACTCTCACCTATAGCTGCATAGTGTAGTACCGTTCTCCCGGTTCGATCTCGAATAGAAGTGTCCGCTCCAGAGTTAAGCAGTCTCTTCACAGACTCATATTGTCCTGCGAGAGCTGCCATATGGAGCGCTGTTCTTCCTTCATCATCGCTTTCGTGAAGACATATTTTGATATCGAGAAGTAGATCCAGAGTCGCCGTGCTCCCAGCGATGGACGCTAAATGCAGTATTGTCAACCCAGATACAGCTTTCCTAAAAGGATCTAGGCTGCTGTCGATCAGTTGGCGCACAGTCTTCACATTCCCCTGTGCTGATGATGATAGTGTCGCTCCGTTGAATTTTTCGCTCGTGTCAGCTCCACCTTTGATGAGAAGTGACAGAATCCCTTCGTTCCATGTCTGGACTGCACTGAATAACGCCGTCTCTCCGTTGCTTTCATCATTGATGTTTGCTCCATTTTCGATCAGTAGCGACACTATGTCCAAAGCTCCTCTCCGGACTCCTCGGTAGAGCGCTGTCTCTCCCTTGGCACACCTTCTGATCTCATCCCAGTACACTTGGTTCTCAGTGGCGCCCAGCAGATTTAGCGTTGCTTTATTTAATGTTGTCTCGTTTCCCTTGCTTCTTTCGTTGACCTTTGCCCCCGACTTGATCAGAGCCTTCACTTTCTGAATGTCCCCGTGCACGATTGCGTGGTGCAACATTGTATCGAGATCCAGTCCCATGTGGACAAGCACTTTCATACTCGACACATCCCACGAAGGCCTCGACCAATATATAGCCGTACTAAGGTTATCTAACTATGAAAGGAAGTTTGTTAGACTCCAGCTGGGAAGTTGGAGGCCATTTCGGTCACATTCGTGGAGGCCAACTAGGAATAACATCGTGTTGTGTATCGCTTCCTGAACGGAAATATCGTAGTTCGCGTATAGGAAACCTGAAGCGCAAGCGTCTGTGGACATACCTAATAGGGCGTAGATAATATCTCGCGGGTCGGAGGCTTCGCTTGCACCAAATTTTGCTAATAATGTCCGAAGGTCTCGCTTCTGCGTCCACCAGGAGCTATTTCGTGAGGCACCAGGCATAATATCTAAGACGGCCTGACAGTGAGGATTTGGTGTGACTCCGGTTAAGTGGGGGGCAAGAACAAAAGTTTTTGCTGGGATGGACTTGGATCCGCAAACGACGTCGGCAATTCGTGCGTTGGCAACTTCTTGCAAAACCCAGATTCTCTTGAACCAAGGCCGATCCAATAAAGATTTCAGACCACCGCACACAGCTTCCTCGTTATAGGAGCGTTCCTTCAGGATGATTTTCCAGACACTGATCCAATGCGTGTCGAGAGGTGTCCAGTCGGCCTGTTCCTGTTTCATGCGTGTTTTGCTAAACTGCGCAGCAGCGTCCATGAATAGGTCTGTCTCATCAGTGAAGGGGCCAAGCCATATAACAATCCGCTCAGCCTTGGAATAAATGGATGCCATCTGTCCAACTTGATGACCTCGTTCCTTATGATTCTCCTGATCGATGCAGAGCGGAACGATCCAAGGAGCGTGCGCACCAAGTCGACTTGATGGATGGCAGGGCCAGGCTGGGTCTCCCAGGGGCCCGATTTGGGCCTTTACCGCTAGTCTCTTTTAAGCCGCACTGGCCCGTGAAGGACGTCGACCATTTAACCTCCATTAACCTAGCACCGAATAAGGCCCCGCTCGCGACTCGCGAATTCCTTCTCTCTCTTCAACGTCTCTCTTCTCGCACCGTCTCTCACCGTCATAGATAAGAATCCTCTCGCGCCATCTATACTCCTGCCGCGCTACCATTACTCTCGCGCCTCTACGCTACTCGACGTAGTTTCGGCTAACGCTATACGCTATAAGAATAATGGTGACGTCTATCTTTCTTACTACCCTCGTAGGCGACTAGGCCCCCGGGAAAGACTTTTCATAGTGCCTAGATAATGAAGCCTAAAAGGACCTTACTTCCTCGAAAACCTAAACGTTTTTTCTTCCTCCGCTATTTTATTTAATCTCTCTTTCTCTCTCTTTCTCTCTTATACATAATTTCACTCACTTTTTTCTTATACTCTAATCTCGCGGAAGAGTTAGCGTATTCCCATTCGATATAGCTCTTATTTTATATCGGGTCTCTTTACTTTAGTACTAGTATAATATCTCCGTAGAGAAGGCGAAGATTCTTCGGCTCCGGTGATAATTTAAAGACGAAGAAGATAAGAAAGAAGAAGTTCATTAAGTGTGGAATATCGCCCTCTAAAGGTTTATATTAAA